AATCATTTCCACACGTGACGCCAGAATCATCGTAAATCGACACTTACCGCTTACCCCGCCAGTCGCCCCTCCTGTTTTCACCAATCAGAATGTACCCGACTGCACGTTTCGCTCAGGCCGGTTGCATCCTTCCCAAGATAGTTAACTACCCTAACCTAACCTAATCTGGCTGGAACCGAGGAAGACCCTCGGAGGTCGCGTACAGCCCATCTCTCGCCACGGATGCATGTCCACGACAGTTGCCTACGACAACAAGTGTCCCCTGCGAATCTACATCATTGCACATGGCGATGATTCTAACAATACATATGTATGATAAAAATAACACACTGCAAAGCAAGTTGGCAGATCCTCTGTTGTACATATGGCGTACCTGTACCACCCGTCCTCGAAATCTACCTTACCATGACAGCGTCACCCATGACAGACTAACAGACGAGGCAAAAAAACAAATGACATGTTCAGACCACCGGTGGGCTTCCCGGGCACTTTTCGCCAGCTGACAATGAAACCCGAAGATTGATGGTGGTCCGATCCTAACAACTACGTAGTCTAGTTACTCCGTACACCAAGTCATCAAAGGACTAGCGGACAGGGATGTCAGCCACCTTGGCGCTTCCCCCGCAGCCAGTGAGAATGTCCGCTGCCATCACGTTCCTTGCGGGGAGACAACCATAGGCAGTGGGACGGGAACCACCACCATCCCCCGATCCATCGCAACCATACCTGATCTCCCAATCTGCGGAGGGGTGTCAACGGGTGTTGCCATCCCACATGGGCGATTCGAGATATGTCCACGTGCCCCCTTACATGGACCTTTGGATGACACAGGCCACAGAAGCTTCCATACAGGATCCATCAAGGGGTTCGAAGGGTGGTATGCATCGTGTTCCAGGGGTTTGGCACTGTCCATCAAACTTTACAGCCAGCAGATCTGGCACAATGGACTCTTCATTGGCTCAACAAGTGCTCGGTCCCTGTTTCACTTTGGATATGTCACCCATCGGGATGTGGTGGGCTGGCGGACCACGCATCGTTGATCCAAATATCCCTGTGTCCATAGCATCGGCGAAGTGCTTTCCACTGCCTGCGTACCGTCAGTCCGTCTCGTCAAATTACCCGGATTTCGTCTCTGAGCGTCGGTGAACGCGTTGGAACCACGCATAGAATGTTCCTTTCGGGATACACTAGCGTCCCGACCCCCATCAAGGCCGACTCCCTCCGTGGATTGAAAGTACACATGCGCCCTAATGGCTTTGGCTTTTGTCAATATGGGTCCTCTCTTTCATCTCCCAATCTTACTCGAGACCACATGTCTCTGGATAAAGCTTAGCGAGCTTGTCCACATAAGCCTTCGCGCCCTTCCCGAGACCAACGGCAAGGGTTGCTGGGAGCAGGAGGTCGCGTGCTTTTCTTGCATTGGTTGAACTCCGTATAGGAATAGTCATCTTGACGCGGCTCCGTCACACCCGTGAGGGTCCAGATGCAGGAACTCATACGTTCCTGCCGCATTTCCGATCGTGCTGACGACACTCGAGTCATTCGTGTTTCTTTGCTTTTTCCACTCTTCTGTTGTGGAGGTCGTTGGGTAAGTCGGTTAGGCAATCGCAATTAAGGGCGTCGGCCTGGAAGTGATATGCCGCCACCCTTGCAGGTCAGGCGAGTTTAGAATCGGCGAGCCCTTGTTCCTTCGATCCTAGCCCGTGGCGAGACGCTGCATAGAAACTGGAATGTCTGCCAAGATAGTAGGCTGACAAGTTCACTTATTGTCTTGCCTACCAGCTGGTCAGGAAACATACATCAAGTCTGTAATGTGACAGTTTATGTATTTCTGTGTCCATGCCAAGAAAAGGTGTATGTCACAATGCATGCAGGATGATCGACTCCGATGCAAGATTACTTCTTTAGTTCAACGTCAATGCATTTGGTGAAAGATGTATGTAGCAATTGTGTTGCCTACATTGGGCATCGGCAAGATGATCTACACTAGGAGGCTGTGTGCATACATATAAGTCTATATACTGCCTATGTACCAGGATCCACGTAAACCGATGATGCACAAAGTCGTTGGGGTTAGTACCTTCCTGGTCGAATGACTTCTGTTCTTTTTCCTCTTCTAGGATCTCAGTGCACACAGATTACGTATGTCTATTTGCACCGGGCAATTCCGAACATGACATCTCATGATTGACCCAATATGTCATTCAGTAGTACGAATGAGTAGGTACACGTATTCTTGTCTTTTTGAATAATCCTCTTAGGGGGACAACGCAGGTATGACCGACTGACCGATCATTTAATGTCTGTACTAACCTTGTCTGGATATGTTTCAGCCGAGCCGGTCGCTCATGTCAGTTCGTACCTGTCTTTAACCATGGTTGGTTGAGAGTTGTCTCACCCCTGGTAGCTGATGTATATGGACCAAGGAGCTGGTGCCTACCTAGATAGCAAATAGAATGGTATGGCATCGTGATGTATTGTATAGCGAACGAGTGATGCTTACGTGCTCAATTTTATTCAGCTAGATACTGACCTTGCATGTTGGTTGGTATACTCCCGCAAAATTCCCTAGTATCAGATAATATATGTTTTATTGTCTTGAAGCAATAAGATTCATCAGAGCGTATAACTCTAGTCTACCTAACTGATCTACGAACTGAATACTCCAGTATATAGGTAACCTGCCCCGTGAAGGAGGAAACATCAGTCAGGTTGATGATAAGACTGATGATGGTGAAGGCCATCGAGGCGATGATTTCTGTCTATGAAGTAGATGGCAGGCTAGGTCTAAAAGAGGCAATTTGGAGCCTAAGGCCCCAATATAATTCCTCAATTTCAAGGCATCTCATGACATTGATAACACTCTAGCTTTTTCAAATGAACCTCCTTAGATAGAGTATACAAAGGCATATTTATCTACATCCTGGATCGATGAAACAAATGACCTGGGCTTGGCTCTAGAAACGGAAGGATGGAATGTAATGGATATAAACGGGGCCGGACTGTGTCTTCAGGGTTGTATGATTGTACCAACTTCAACAAGAAACCTCAGTACCTAATGCTAGCTCACCTCCCATCCTATCTCTATGTGTTGATTGATGGAACGGGATACTCAAGAACAAACAATAATTCAATACGGCGCAGATTGAAACTCCATGTCCCATAGCAATCCAGCACCTTGCTTCACGGCACTGTACCAGGCTCCAACACTGATAGATAAGCGCATGTAAACTAGCACCGAAGTCAAAATATAGGGCAGCAGGAGAGCGAAGGTGTTCCATACCTTGGTTTAGGAACCGGCATCTATCCTGATCCCGTTCGAACAATTATACACCAAACAACAGATCTATTTGGGCGAAATTTCAGGCAAGATATATACCCATATATGAGGGGAGGAGAAGTTCCAAATTGGCCTGTGAGAGACCCCGACTCAAACCACCAACCGAGTTATTATCGCCTCCGCAATCGTCCCCATCATCTAGCCCCAGCCGAGCATTCCAGAGTGGTGCGGTGCAGCATTCCCCAGATCGGCGGGGAGTGAGTACCCAGCATTCTTCGCCTTCTGTCACGGTACATGAGCATTCCAGATGGCCCAGTGAGCCAATGGAAAGCCGGCCACCGTGGTCTTCGGCACACTGTCGCCGAAAAGCCCAAGGGCGATATGGGCGTCGCAGGCCAGAAATGTTTTCTGCCACTGGAACATATTGGGGCCCTGCCTTCCGATGGAATGAGGGACATCTCGGGAGTTTAGCATGAAAAAAGCTATATTTTATGGGCAGAAAATTCCTTCTCCAGGTGACAGTCATAAACTTTTGATTGAGGGGCATCGCGAACATCCTATCGACAACATCATTGTCACGAATACCCGTGGTAGCTGTGAACCATGAGGACGTTTTATAGCTTTCTGCCGACGCTAACGGCTTTCATCGCCTTGGTCTTGGGATTGTTATGCCTCTTTGCTGGAACATCGACCAAGGTGCTCGTCAGCGCGGACCATTTTACGGTTAGTACGCCATCTGATTCTGATGGAGCTATGGGACTGACCAGAGCTTGCGTCTCTATCCTAGCTATATACACCGACGATTGGCAATGGCACCGGAATGCACGATTACTACTCGATATATACCATGACTTACTGTGAAGGGTTCCTTATGGACAACGAAGACAAGAACCTGACAGGCTGTTCCAATCGGACGATGCTTTTCTCGTTCGACCCGGCCCAGGTGTTTGCAAAAGAAACGGGAAATACCACGTCCTTGTCAGATCTCGGCTGGCCCAGCTCGGTGACGGAGGACTTTCAGGCATTCCGCCTCACCAGCCGGGGCATGAGCGTATTCTACTGCATTGGCGTGGGACTCGCAGGCCTGGCGATGCTGGAGCGACTATGGAGGGTGGTCACTCGCGGACCGCCTCAGTCTGCGATGGGACTCTGTTCACTGTTGGTTAGTGTTACTCTCTCTTTCGCGCCTATTGACCACGCTGACGCTCAACCCCACAGCTGAGCTTCATGATGTTCAGCATCGCATCGATTATTGCGACGGTGATTGCGTTCCAATTCGTGGATCTAATCAATTCGCATGGAGAGTCGGCCAACGTGACGGCGGAGTATGGGCGAACATTCCTGGGAATGACGTGGGCGGCTGCCGGGCTAACCTTGGTGGGAAGTATGGCCAGCCTTGCGATGGTGATGCTAGATCGGGTACGGCCCGGTGCAGTAGTCGGCGGTGGTGGTGGAGGAGAAGGAGGAAAACCGGCAATGGTGGAGGATTCGGACTCGGTACGATCACGGCTCTGAGCGACGAAACGGAACGAAGAGAAGAAATTTTTTTAAGGAAACAAACCGAAAGGGAGGGAGTCGGAAGAAAACCCGGGAACCGAAGTCGAGGGTCGGGAAGTGATTCTTTTGGATTCGAATGCAAATAGTTCCAGCATTGTTGGATATAGAAGAGACCCACAGAAACGTGCGCATGATAATTCTATGGGTGTCCATGAGGATGTTGATCGTCTCCTGAGGGTTGGTCGGGCCCGGTAGAAAACTGGGTCTCCCGCCGGTTGGCGACGTCATAGGTGGAGTCCCCCGACTGTACGGAGTACAGCGTACAGCGGAGGGATTATTCCAGTGACAGTAGCCCTTGGGATCTACTGGTGGATCCAGGAGTATATCATGATGACATTCATGGATGGGTGTTCCCGGTTGTGTGATGTCGGTCGGGGGAGGACGGGGTTCCTGCGTCGAGGCCATCATAGTGGTGTGGTGTTAAAAGGGAAATCATCTCATGTCTTAACTTGCTCCGTCCCCTTTTGGGAACACGGTGGGATCCTCCCGAGAGTCTCCCAAGATACCTAGAAGAGATCAAGCAGAATGATTCGTAGAAAGGGCCGGTTAGGTAGACATACATGTCGGGAGCCATCGAGGGGGTCCAGTGAGCGAGGGCGGAAAAGACCGGATTGTCCAGAGCACCAGCGCGACTAAGCCCCAATCGGAATGCCGTCACAGGTGAGGCCAAATAGAATCCCCTCATCGTGATACCCTCATTTCGTTTTCATTTCCCCTTCGCCGGACCACCAAGACCCGACAATTCTCCCCCACCTGATTGGGGCCTGTTTCTTTCCCTTTCCATTCCATCATCGTTGCTGAGCCTCGTTTCCTTGTTCTTTTGATCGTGTCGCACGCATAGTAATTACCCTCAGGCCTCCCCCCTCTTGGCTCTTGCCTCTTGCCTCTTTCGATTAAACTTCATCATAACTTATATATCCCCCTCCATTCCCCCCCTCACTTGCATTCCTCTTCTTTTTTCTTCTTCCACTCTTCATCTTCCTTTCTACTCTTCACTCCCTTTCTTCCACTTTCCCTCTCTCACACTTACCACTCCATCAACAACACAAGTCTAGTGCTCCTCTTCACTTTTTGAAAGAGTATCAGGCGCCACCCCCTCACTACACTCTCCTCACTACCTACACTGCACCACTCTACACTCTACACAACATCAATTCCCAGTCAACTCCACTCATCTCATCATGGGAAAGAAAGCCATTCAGTTCGGCGGTGGTAACATCGGTCGTGGCTTTGTTGCCGAGTTTCTCCACGAGGCCGGCTATGAGGTCGTCTTCGTTGATGTCATGGATGCGGTCGTCTCCGCTCTCCAAACAACCCCCTCCTATAACGTCACCGAAGTCAGCAAAGATGGTGAGAACACCAAGACTATCTCCAACTATCGCGCCATTAACTCCAAGACCAACGAGAGTGACGCTGTCAAGGAGATCGCCACGGCTGATGTAGTCACCTGTGCTGTCGGCCCCAACATCCTCAAGTTCATTGCTCCCCTCATCGCCAAGGGTATCGACGCTCGTACCGAGTCCAAGCCGGTGGCCGTCATCGCCTGTGAGAACGCCATTGGCGCCACCGATACCTTGCACGGCTTCATCAAGGAGCACACCCCCAAGGATCGCCTGGACACTCTGTATGACCGCGCTCGCTTTGCCAACTCCGCCATTGACCGCATCGTTCCAAACCAGCCCCCCAACAGTGGTCTGAACGTGCGCATTGAAAAGTTCTACGAGTGGGCTGTTGAGCAGACCCCCTTCGGTAGCTTTGGTCACCCCGACATTCCCGCCATCCACTGGGTCGACAACCTGGAGCCGTACATCGAACGCAAGCTGTTCACCGTCAACACCGGCCATGCCACCACGGCCTACTACGGTCATCTCCGCGGTAAGAAGATGATTGCTGACGCTCTTGCCGACGATGAGATTCGCAGCATGGTGCACAAGGTCCTCGACGAGACTGCCTCGCTGATCGTTTCCAAACATGGCATCCCCGAAGACGAACAAAAGGAATACGTCGACACCATCATCGGCCGCATGTCCAACCCCTATCTCGAAGACAACATCGAGCGTGTCGGCCGTGCTCCCCTTCGCAAGCTGTCGCGCAAGGAACGCTTCATCGGTCCCGCCTCTCAGCTCGCCGAACGCGGTCAGAAATTCGACGCCCTCGTGGATGCCATCGAAATGGCCCTCCGCTTCCAGAACGTGCCGGGCGACCAAGAGAGCGCCGATCTTGCCCAGATCCTCAAGCAGAAGTCGTCTGAGGATGCCACTTCTGAACTGACGGGCCTGGAGAAGGACCATCCGTTGTACTCGCCCGTCTTGGAGCGGGTGGCCAAGGTCCAACAAGATACCAAGTAGGGAACAACACGCGACCTCCTCGCAACACCCCATTCATTCCCACTTATTGGCACCAACAAAAGAAAAACTTACACGTCTACCATGAAGGGTCCCCTCTCGAGCACGAATGTGACTGACCATGCACCATTCATACCCGCGAGACTCTGTTGATCGACGTGGATCGGATTAGGCCGCAGGACGGACATTCGAACCGTATGGAAATCGGCGAACACTGGGCGGCGCGGACGGACGGAGCATTGGGATTCTCGGGTTAACTAGCATACGTACCGTACACGATTAGTGACTTAGCTGCAGCGCATCTAGGTCTAATGAATGTAATGAATATGGTATCTGATTCTGCTTTCTTTCCGTAGGACTTTAGACTCTTTCATAGCTTACTCGGCAACCACTTGGGCTTCCTCTTCTCCACAAATGCCCGCAGTCCTTCCTTGATATTTTCCCCTTCGTTCAAGCGCTTCTGCCACCCATCCACCAGCAGCCGACTGGCATCCTCCGCGCCAACGCCTTCCCATCCCAACTTGACTCCCTCGCGACTGACAATCACCGCATCCGGGCTGTTCGCCGCAATCTGGGCTGCCAGCTCCAAAGCGCGCGGCACGACCTGATCCTCCCGCGCGACCACCTCGTTCACAAACCCCCACTCGCGCGCCTCGGCGGCCATCACCCGCCGACCCGTGAGCACCATCTCCATGGCCCGTTGCCGACCAATCGTGCGCACCACGCGCGGCAGCGCCCCAGCGATGGCAACCACGCCGCGCTGCACCTCGGGGAACCCAAAGAATGCCTTCTCACAGGCAACCACCATATCCGCGTTGACGATCATCTCACACCCGCCGCCGAGACACAGCCCGTTGATCGCGCAGATGATGGGCTTCTTCCCGCTGCGGCGCGAGAGCCCGCCGAACCCGCCGGGCGGCGTCGTGCGCTTGGCGTTGTTGGACTGGGCCTGATTGTTCCATTCTACGCCTCGTTAGCTGTGTCGTCTATCCTTTGGATTCGTGATACGCACCCTTCAGATCGGCGCCCGCGCAGAACGCCCGTCCCTCGCCGGTCAGCACGCCGACCCGCACCTCGGGCTCGTCGTCCATCCACTCCCAGATTTCGTGGAGCTCGTGGTGGCCGGCCGTGTTGATGCAGTTCAGGTCGCGCGGGCGGGCTAGCGTCACCAGCAGGACGTGAGGGGTCGGGAATGTGAGCCGGCAGTATTGCGGCGTTGGGGGCGGGGTTTGGAATTGCATTGTGGGATGTTTTTTTGGGAGGTGTATTTTAGTTGTATTTCGGGTGTCGTGTTGGAGGGAGGATGGGTGGTTTGTTTTGAAGTGTTGATGTGGTTTTGTTGTGAGGCGATAGACGGCTTTTGTTATGTGGTTGTGGTTGGTTTCTGCCGAGGTCTAAAATGCGGAGAAGGAATTGCGGAGTTGGCGTGGCTTGTATAGCCCCGATCTTCGCTCTACTTCGTACCTAGGTACACTTCTGTGCTGAGCTGGTGCGTTGTCCTGGTATGTTGATGACTGCAGGTACAGCTACGACTTTAGCTTCATAAGCAAGTCTCATATATATATAGCCCCTATGTAGATCAGATCATCGCTTAACTAGCTGGGATGTATGCTACGAATCGATCCTCCCAACCTCACAACGCCGCAACTCCATGCCCCTGGGTAATCACGTTAACAGCTCGTTATTACACGGTATACCTCTATGCCTTGTTGATCCAGCCGCTGTGCACCATGAAATCGTAAATGCGGCCCGTCTTGGTGGTATCAATCTGGTGGTGGATTAGCTCGTCTATTTCCGTTAGCTGATCGTGTGGAGACACATACCTTGCAGATCGACCGCGCATCTTTCTTCTTCAAACTACCGCCCTGCTTCATGGCCTCCTTGAGCAAGGTCTCCTTGATCACTAGGTACGGTTTCGGCTGGATGTGGAGCACGTTGCACAGCTCAACCTCCTCCTTCGTCAAGAGATGCAAATCGGGCGCGCCATCGTTCTCTAGTTTCCAAGGGATCACCCCGTTCAGCGGCTGGATCACGAATTTGGTCTTCGCCGGCTGTGGTGTCGACTCTCCGTTGGCGGCGAAGGCGCGGTCAAAGTCGTTCAGCGGCACATTGGACGGCTCAGGCGCTTTGTTAGCACCCGAGGCCTTTTGTAACCGCAAAGGCAGCTCAGGTGTCGTCAGCTGACTGGCTGCAGATGGCCCCTCTGGCTGTTGCGACTGCTTCGGGCGGGTACTGGCGAACCGGTCGAAGGACCCTTGGGGTATGAGACGCTGAGCCCGTTGTTGCTTTTCTTGCTCGTACTTCTCGCCCCCTTTTAGATCTCCGATTCCCATCTGCCGCCACTCCTGCAATTGTGAAATGGCTAGGCGTAGGTTGTGCTCATATTCGAGGCCCTTGTTGAACTCCTCAAAGTCGTCGTGATTCATCATCCGTGCAAATGGTTTGGCCTTGTTGAGTAAATCTCGCTCTTCTTTCGTGCGCTTCTTCTCTTGTGCCGTATTCTTTCGGTATTCCAGAAGGTTGTGCTCAAAGAGGATCTTCTTGCGCTCCATTCGGGCAGTGAGACGAGAGTTGTAGATGTCCACTACCGTCATCTTCAGTTCCATCTCCGCGTCGGTCTCGCCGTTTGCCGTTTCACCCGCACCCGGTTCGAACGTCATATGCTGCACGGCTTCCTCTGCATCGTTCATGAACTCGGTTTCAAACTCCAACCGACCAGGCATGTAACCCTGCACTTCGTGGCAGGCTGGTACACTAGCGGTCGGCTTCTGTTTGGGCGTGGTCGGCGGCGCCGCCTTGGCTGCCTCCTTGCGCTCCTCGATGCGCCGTTTCTTGCGGGACTGAAATTCTTCCTTCGAAATGGAATCGGACAGGCGCGTATCCTCGGGGTCGGCGCTCGCCGGCAAGGGGAAGTTGGGGCTCTCGATATAAGTGCTGATGTAGTGATCGCGAACTTCATCCTTAGTTCGGTAGCCGCCGATGTGGTCTGCGATGTCGGCCCAGGAGCCCAGACCGTAGATCTCGGCACCTTCAAGGAGAAGGAGTTCTTCATCAGCGCCCCAGTCCTCCTGGAAGATAGGGACAGAGTTCTGCTCAATCACTTGGTAGGGATGGGTGGAGGGGTCGTGGTTCTTCGACTTTTCGCCGGCGGCAAAGCAAGGGACGCAGAGGTCATATTCATGACAGGCGGGGTGGGCGCAGGAGATACGGACCTATTGACAGCAGCGGTTAGAACATGTTGCTCTTTATGGGTTCCCCATTTGAGTTGTGAAAATGCGATCATATATTCCTAGGAATAGTCGTACCGTTGAAGTCACATCCACCGAGCAAATGTCGCAATGATATTTGGTCCCGGCTTCTGTACCGCGCGAGGCGGTCTTCTTGCGTATTACACCCATCGATCCCGGATTCCTTTCATCCTCCACTATGCCCTGATCCGTTTCGAACACACAAGCGAGCCCTCCAGAAAAGTCCGAGGGCTACCAGGTCGACCGAGAGAGATGTTATTGAGAAGGTTGTCGGAGGGAGTGTCGCGCGCGGGATGGATAGCGTGCACGGAAGGGGTTGTTATTTGCCGTCGTGTGAAGGTATAAGAGGCGCTGAGAAGAGCGATAACAATAGGAGGGCGTGAGATAAGTAAGTCAAGGGCGTAATCGAGGAGTAGTGACTTGGGATCAAGCAAAATCACAGGCGGTTTGTCGCGACTCGAGGGTGGATTGATTGGGGGCTGAAGTCCCAGGTGAGTTGCCTTAGTAAGGACGTCGACAGCACGTGCACGGCAGTCTGGAAGCCTGAGGCGACAAGGCAGTAAGGCTACCACAAGGCCACCATGTTCCTGACCCCTCTTCCCGCTTTTGCTCCTGTTTGTTCCCTTTCCCATTAATCCCATCCAGCCATTATTATTCTTTTCTCGTCATCTTCTCTCACTTCTTCGTTCATTCTGTCCCTCACCCCCTCCCTCCTTCTTCCATTCCACCTCATCCTCTTTGCAAGACAGCCCCGGGTGCTAGTTACCTCCCCTAGACCCTGGTTGTTCTATCCTGCACCCTCTCTGTCTCATCCCGCGTGTGTGATCTTTCCTTGTCGGACTTAGCCCCAGCAACCCCCCCGATCGATCTCTTGTGTGTTTGACCGCTGTGGCTGTGGCGGTTCTGCATCCCTCTGCGTCCCTCCAGTTATTCACACCCTGATCTCCCTCCTGAAGAGTGTCTGTCTCCTTTTCTAGGCCTCCTCGTCATTCTCTTCCTTTCTTATCTTCCTCCTTCATTGATTCTCTTCCACCGATTCTTTCCTCACCCGCCTTAACCATGTCGTGGAAACTCACCAAAAGTATGTTCAGTTGGTCTTCCCTCTCCCTCCCTTAACTATAAATAGCTTCCCAACTGGAAATCGGTCGACAACTGACGCTTCTCTCCCCATGCAGAATTGAAGGAAACCCACCTGGCTCCTTTAACCCAGACCTTCACGCGGTCATCATCCACGTCTACCATTAAGGGCGATCCCAGTGAAGAGACGACCCCAGTGACCTCCCAGTCCCCAAGCGTCTCGACAGCCAGCACCAATGGAATCAGTATGTGCCCAACCCCTACCGGGCGCCGCCTGAGAATCCGTTCTAACACTTGTCCGACAGGCGCTTCCGAATCGCTTGTCTCGCCTCCGGTAGCCCCTGTCAAACCGGGGATCCTGATCGTCACTCTTCACGAAGGTCGAGGGTTCGCTCTTTCGCCGCACTACCAGCAGATCTTCAACTCGCATTTCCAGAACAACAACTCCTATGCGATGCGCCCCAGTTCCTCATCTTCTCACACCACGCACAGTCAAGCAGCCTCATTCGTCCATCATGGCCGTCCACAGTCGACTAGCGGAGGAATCAACGCCGCCCCCACCATCCATGGTCGGTATTCTACCAAGTACCTCCCATATGCCCTTCTGGATTTCGAAAAGAACCAGGTCTTCGTCGACGCCGTTTCGGGATCACCCGAAAACCCTCTCTGGGCCGGTGACAACACCGCTTTCAAGTTCGATGTGTCCCGAAAGACCGAACTGAACGTCCAGTTGTACCTCCGCAACCCCGCCGCACGGCCCGCCGCCGGTCGGAGTGAGGATATCTTCCTCGGCGCGGTCAAGGTCCACCCCCGATTTGAGGAAGCACAACCATATGTTGATGACCCGAAGTTGAGCAAAAAGGACAACCAGAAGGCGGCTGCGGCGCATGCCGCCCAGGAACGCCATCTCGGCCAACTGGGTGCCGAATGGCTGGACCTGCAGTTCGGCACGGGTTCCATTAAGATCGGCGTCTCCTTTGTGGAGAACAAACAGCGCAGTCTCAAGCTCGAGGATTTCGATTTGCTGAAGGTCGTGGGTAAGGGTAGCTTCGGCAAGGTCATGCAGGTCATGAAGAAAGATACTGGCCGAATTTACGCTCTCAAAACCATTCGCAAGGCTCACATCATCTCGCGGTCCGAAGTCACTCACACCCTCGCCGAGAGATCTGTGCTCGCCCAAATCAACAATCCCTTCATCGTCCCCCTGAAGTTCTCCTTCCAGTCCCCAGAGAAGCTCTACCTAGTCCTCGCTTTCGTGAACGGCGGCGAGTTGTTCCACCATCTCCAGCGGGAACAGCGTTTCGACATCAACCGGGCTCGTTTCTACACAGCAGAGCTGCTTTGTGCGCTCGAGTGTTTGCACGGATTCAAGGTCATCTATCGTGACCTGAAGCCTGAGAACATCCTTCTTGATTACACGGGACACATTGCCCTGTGCGACTTCGGACTGTGCAAGCTGGATATGAAAGATGAGGACCGCACGAACAGTAAGTTCTTCATTTCCAGTCTCCCAGCTCTCCGCTAACGTATGGGATAGCCTTCTGTGGTACTCCTGAGTATCTAGCCCCCGAACTTCTTCTAGGCAATGGTTACACGAAGAGCGTCGACTGGTGGACGCTGGGTGTCCTCCTTTACGAGATGTTGACGGGTCTGCCTCCCTTCTACGATGAGAACACCAATGATATGTACCGGAAGATCCTGCAGGAGCCGTTGATGTTCCCCAGCGATGACATCGTTCCTCCGGCCGCTCGAGATCTTCTGTCGAGGCTGCTTGACCGTGATCCGCAACGCCGTCTGGGCGCCAACGGTGCTGCCGAAATCAAATCACACCATTTCTTCGCCAACATCGACTGGCGCAAGCTACTCCAACGGAAGTATGAACCAAGCTTCCGACCCAATGTGGTATGTTACCTCAGCATAGTCTCTACCTCCCGCCGTTATATGACAAGATACTAATCTAGATTACCACAGCTGGACGCCCGTGATACGGCCAACTTTGACCGAGAATTCACCCAAGAAGCTCCCCAGGATTCGTATGTCGATGGACCTGTCTTGTCTCAGACTATGCAGCAACAATTCGAGGGCTGGTCCTACAACCGACCGGTCGCCGGTCTTGGAGATGCTGGCGGTAGCGTCAAAGACCCATCTTTTGGCAGCATTCCCGAGTGAGCGAACTTCTAGCGCCCAGCCCATGACCATCCTCGTTCGATGGTAATATGGCTGTCAAGCGTATGAGGAGAACTAATTGAAACGGCTCTTCCTCCACCGCCCACTTCTACTCATCTTGCCGCGCAAATCCTTCTCACCCTTACTTCCCCATCCCTTGCATAAGGCGTCGATAACATCTTCCTGTCGGGATTTCCCTCCGTGTCAGTGGTCTCACGTGAGCGTTCATTTCGTGTCTTTCTATTTCCTTTTTGCATTTGAGATACAAACAAGGCTGGTCCATCAAGTCTTATTTCTTGTCTTCCTTCGTCTCCACGAGATTTTGACTGTGAATCCCGGTTCTTTGCTACCTCAAATTTGCACTTTGTGCGTTATACTTCCTTTCCCTGGGGAAAGAAACGAAGTAACGCAATGCGTAGCCGCCTATGCAGATTGTTTGTCCTATCTTCCTATTCTTTATTCGCGATACCTGGAAAGCTGGTCTGTCGTTGTTTGTGCTATGATCTGCTGGCCCGATCCCTCTATTCTTAAGAAAAATTCATAAACCTCGGTAGCAAATCGAACTGGATGATTTGGAAACACGACTACTTCGCATCTGTCTAGGATAGTTCCAAAATGGTATTACTCTCTTCTTTCTCTGTCTCCTTTTACTTTCCTTTGGGCATTTCTTTTGTCCTACGAGGCTTATTCATCCCTTGTAGATGCAAAAGTATTGCAATAGCGCCTCGAATGGCTTTCAACGTCTAGGTCGGCGCTTTGGAGGCGACCAGTCCACGCTTATACTCGAATTCAGAAATCAGTGGAATAATATAACATGATATTGTCATGACCAACAAAGCTAGGGAAACAGTAGCCACAGAATAATTCAGACAAACAACGACTCTAAGGGAAGATAAATAGTGAAAATAAAGAGGTATGTGATCTGAGAAACCCTCCGCTCCGAGCTAACTTAATGGGTGATGTGATGTCAGTCAGTACAAAAGAAAGATAAGACGGATTTTTCCACCCTGGGGAATCCGTTTTTCTTTTCCAAACTTCCTTCTGCCTCTTTAGAACTCCAGTATCGTCATAAAATAAATCACAAACACGCGTGCGCGCGCTCTCCGCTCTCCGCTCACGCCTCCGCTTCCACCTCGGCCGCGCCATTGGTTTCCGCCGTCTCTTCTGCGGCGGCTTCACCTGCCTCCTCGGCGGCCTCATCGCCGTTAACATCGATCAGAGACCCGGTGGACGGGGCGTCGGCAACGATGCCTTCTTTTTCAAGGCGGAGGTACTCATCCCACTCGGGGAAGAGGTCATCGTCCGTTGTGATGGTGTCGGGGGCGCCAGGGGGAATACCGATCAGGCGGGCGATCTTGGTCTTTCCAGATTGCTCAAGGGACCCCTTCCACTGGACGGCCAGTTCCGGCGTGCGGGAGGGCTTGTAGGTCTGCGAGAAAAGGACGGCTTCGGCAAGTCGGTTCGTCTGCACCAGGAGGTCGATACAACCGTCCACATCACCGAGAGACCAGAGGGTGGAGAAAGCGACGTTGTGGAGGCCGGCCTCGGAGGCTTGCTCGGCCAGCTTGCGGAGGCCGTCCTTGTTGCCGCTGGCGGTGTGCAGAAGCAACAAGGAGCCGATGTCCTTGGCGTTGGCGAAACATTCCTGGGCCAGAGAGAGGTTCCATCCCGCCAGGGCGGCATCCCCGACAATCTTCCACTTGTGCTCGACGTTGGCTTCACGAGCAATTTCAAGGGCGATGTCGAGGTTGTTAAGTGCGAGAGCGAGCTCGAAGCGGTGTTCGGCGTCCGTCGCGACTTCAAGAGCCATCTCCTTGTAGCCCTGGCCTTCGAGGAAACGCGCCACCTTGTTCATCTGATCCTGGGGAACGTCCTTGAGGAGTTCGGCAGCCATCTCCATGTCTCCGCGCAGCACCACGGTTTGGTACTCGACCATGCTGAGGGAGAGGCCGAAGGACACGACATTGACGTCCTTATCAGCGAGGTAGACTCGGCCATCACGAGGCAGGTAGCCAAGGACGTACATGCCCTGGTCGAAGTGGGAGATAGTGTAAGTCTGGTCGCCAACGAGGTAGTTCAGACGGTTGGTCGAGTTGGTGTAGATGAAGCAGTCGCCAACCCATTGACCGGTCCGGACAGATTCATTGACATCTGTTACAACCTCAAAGGCAGACTCAACGCCATCTTCGTCGGCCTCACCCTCGTTCAGACCGTTGATGTAGTTCTCCCTCGAGAATCGAAGAACATAGAAGGTATCCTCGCAAGCAAGTGTGACCAATTCGCCGGACTCGGACCAGTACACCTACCCGTGGTCAGTAAAGCACATATTGAGAATGTGGGAGAAACGCTTACAGATTTCGGCTCGACTTCAATGCGGCGGACCAGGTTTCCGGTCTCCCAGTCGAACATGCCAATTCCGCCCTGTCCTTTCACACCCAAGAGTACACCGCCAGTCAGACCCTCAGCCTGGAATCCCACGTCCAGGCCACCGCTGACCTCCTTGAAATTCCGGAAGATCTTGACGCTAGTTGCGGATTCGCGGATGGCGTAGTCGTTGCTGTTGTCCTTCGAGCCCCAGGCGAAGTCCAGCGCTTGTCCGAAGGCCTTGTTTCTCCAGGCAAGAGCCGTGTAGATGATGTATTCCCCATCACCACACACCGAAACGAATCGCCCGTTGGGGGAGTGTGACAATGTCTGCGGGTACACTTCGCAGGAACCAAGTTCCTTGGTGGGCAGGGAAAGCGGCGCTCCGTCCTTAAGGCTAGCATCACCACCTTTAATAACGGTCGAGACGACCTCATTGTGTCTTGCCCAGACGATCTTTCCGGAGCCGTCCATGGAGACAGCAGGTTCTTCTCTACCCATCTTGACCACTACCGCACCGTCATCAAAACCCATGGCAATGCCCTGTCTGCCACGCTGGTAAGCGATACACCAAGCTCTTTCAAGGCCATAGCTTAACGACTGCTCCAGTCTGTATGTGTTTGCGTGCCAGATCTTGATAGTGCCATCTTCGGATCCCGAGATGATCACCGGCAATTCCGGGTGATAACAAGCGAAAGAGACATTGCTCGTATGTCCCTCCAACGTCGCGATCAAAGCCTTTGTCGTATAATCCCAGACCTTAACCGTCTTATCATCAGAGGTGGTGAGGAGGTACGGTTTATCGGCCTGAGGGTAGTAATCGACGTGGTTTACTCCCTTCGTTTCGTGAGCTTCCAATGTGAAGTTGGCATGCGGGGAGCCAAGGCTCCAGATCTTGACGGTCCGGTCCAGACATGCGGATGCAAAAGTGTTGGTATCCTTGGGATTGATAGACAAGCCCATTACATAGTGACTATGGCCCTCATAGACCTGAACGCACTTCCAGCCCTTCTCCCAGTCCCAGAGTTTGATCGTCATATCATCAGAGGCGGTGAGAACGAAGGGTTGGGTAGGGTGGACCACGATCGAACGAATGTAATCCGGGTGAGCTTCGAATGAGGCGATCTTCTCGGAGGTGTTGTAGTTGTATACACGGAGTTGGAAGTCGTCCGAACCGCAAACAATCCAGTTCTTGCGGGCGATGAAACGGCCAGCTCGTACGGGGACATCGGTGAGCTCGAAAGTTTTGATAATTGACTAGCATCCGGCATGTTAGCTGTGCCAAAGGAGGGCATATGCGGAAGGGCGTACTTGGGTTTCGTAAGACCAGATGTATACGTGACCTGTTTTTGGATTAGCACATCCAGGCGAGCGGTAGGTTCGAATCAATGTCCCAACGCACCGCTATACAAAGTGGTGAGAATCTGTTCCAGAGTCAGCCACATGTCAATCGATTCATCCAAATATGAAAACTCACCCATGGCTCGGTGGGGTGGAAATCAATGCCCTTCACCCGTTCGGAGCGGGCAAAGAGTTGTCTCTGTTTTGTTGCGGAAAAGGGTCAGCTTCAGAACACCTTCATACATATGCTTTCCCAATCTCGCCGCGCTTGCGTAGTCTTATTCCAACTCATTCCCAGAACCTGATCGCGTACCTTAACGTCCAGTTTCATGATGTGGGAGTAGCGACGGTAAGGCAACTATGTGCGGCGTCGGGGGACGGCCTCAACAAGGAGGGGAAATCAGGCCTCGAACGACTCCGACAGGCCAGTCGGGATTAAAGACAGGAGGAATTGGAACTCTGAGTCAAAGGCGCCGAGCAGAGAGAACGTCCCCGACGAGAATGGCGTGTAAGGTTTCAAGGAGCGGTTCAGGGACTGGCAGCGATGTGTCCACAAGGAGATGGGATCCCGCCAGCTATCTGGAATCCACTAGCGACGCCGGGTCTCACCGCCTACGCTTCTGGGCCATCACCCTACAGGACAAGACTCGATGCACATCACGAAGGATTTACCTGACTACTAGTTCTAGGAGTCCAGAAATTACTTTCTATCAAACCTTCACTAAGATTGCATGTATCTCAAGATCATATATTAGCCTCCAATTCATTATCAAACTTTTCCTTGTCTTTGTATGTCAATCTCCATACCCATCAGGCCTGGCAATTGCGATGACAGAGACCAGACAAACATGTACAGGCATCTAGAATGCGCTCACCAACAACAGTAAATGTAAACAAATCTACTGCCAATCCCTATCCCCGGAGATTGAATGGACTGAAAGGTCAGGACATATCATAACGGATCTAGTTGTCACAAAACGTGTCCCGTTTAACTCGACACGGGCCAGCTAATAAATACAAGTAGTTGAGGATATAGTAAAAGAAATCTCCCGTTCGCAGCAAGTAAATGCTCTACGAAGAGCCGGAGGGGTTGCGCTCGAAGTAGGTCCACTGGCCCGGAGCGGGCTTCTCCTCAAGTTCCTCCCACCTGAAGGAACGTTAGCATATTTCTAACAATAGACTTGGAAGAACACTTACGCCTTAGACTTGTACATCTCATCCACAAGCTTCAGCTCACCCTCGGCGACCTGGATGACCTCCTCTATGAGACCAGCACCAATCTGCTTCTCAATATCGGCAATTCTAGCAAATCATCAGCGTCCGAACAGCGCAAAGACAATGCAGCGACTCGGGTCAACATACTGCTCAGCCTCAAGAGCAGGCTCGTTCTCCCACTTCATCGCCTGGGTTTGGAAATCCGATTCCTTAGCCTCCGCAGCAATCGACTCTTCAATGGCCTTGGCCCAGCGAGCCTCTTCCTCTGGCGTACGAGCAGGGCCTTCGGTAGTAGGCTCGATCTTCTCGCCGTCCCACTCCTCGCCGCGGGGGTTGTCGCTACCGTCATCCCGCATGAAAGCGGCGTACGAGCCATCGGAGCGACGAAGAGAAGCAAAACGTTCGGGTTCGGCGGCGACGGCCTTCTTCACGCGCTCCAACCAAGCCTCATAGCCGGGGGGCTTCGTCGATTCGACAATTTGCAAGCGGTGACGGGTCAGAGCCTCGGTGGACTGGCGGTAGACAGAAGTCTCGGGGAAGGCTTTCAACTTTTGCAAAGTATGTGTGTACAGATAGATCAAGGTCGGGCGGGGGTGAGGGTGGGTGTTCAAGCCGGTGATACCGGTAGGAGCGAACGGCTCAAGATACCGGGCCGCCTTCACGTTGGCGAACAGTCGGAGAGTGGACCGCATGATGTACTGGGAGATATGAAAAAAAAGAACCAGGAGGAATTGACCCCAATTGAACTGAACTGGCGGCGCAGACTGGCTGGATCCAGACGGGTAAGGGAGTCTTGGAGCGGGAAGAACGAAGGTTGATGAGGTTCGGCGGGCGGAGAAACAGAGATTCCAGCGACGTCCTCTTGCAGCCACTACTACCATCACTACCGTCGCCGCCAACTGTCTTTGTAGGGGGCTCCCATCTCACCCGCATTCTTCTCTTCTCCCTGTTCATCTTTTCATCTTGGAACTGCGGTCATTCCGCAGCTTTCGATGAATCTGTGATTCCCTACTCGACTTTTCTCTCGCTTCTCGTCGCCTCGTTCTCAACGCTCCTATTTTTGGACCTCCGAGCCACTTTCGATCCCTTCGTTAGTCCGAATGTGCCACTCGTGATACTTACCAGAAACCTCGCTTTTTTTCTCCTTCCAGCTTTCCCTTTCGCTCTAATTATACGACTCCAAGGTCTTGCGCCTTAACCAACAACCAGCATGAGGGCATCGGTGCTGGCGTTGTCGCTCCTCTCGCTTTTCTCCATTCCCACCTTCGCCGCTCCCTCCAATGAGGCTGTCGAATCACGAAATGTCCGTCTTGTGAAACGAGCCGATCCGGAAGCAAAGGTCGACCCAGAGACCCTGTCGACGACCTTTAATGGAATTGAAGTGCCTCCCATGAAGGCTTTAACGCCCGACAACTTCGAGGAGACAGTGAAGGATGGCTACTGGTTCGCACTCCTCCCATCGCATTCGCTTTGAAGTTTGGTGTCCTCGTCTTGCTAACGAATAGCAGGTTTGTCAAGTTCTTCTCCCCTAATTGCCCGCACTGCCAGGCAATTGCGCCAGCCTGGCAAACACTATATGAGTATTACTATGTAAGTAACAGGCCTGGTGTCTGAGTCGTGCTATTCGTCCCTGTGCTGACCCTCTCATAGACATCAGACCCGCTTTCCTCCTCGTCCGCCAAATCGCCCGATACAACCTCCCTGAACTCTTTCCACGGTTTCTACAACTTCCACTTCGCATCGATGAACTGTTTAATGTATGGCGATACGTGCAAGAAGCTGAATGTTGAATACTACCCTCAATTCTCCCTCTATCACGGCGGGGAATTTGTTGAGTCTTTTACCGGAAAGAAGACGATAGAAGGACTCAGTGAATTTGTTGAGACCAAACTGGAGTCCATCAAGCCCGGTTCTCGTCCTGCAGAGGGCGTTCACCTCCCGAAACCGGGTGCCAGGAGCGTGGACACGAACGCCAAACCAGAGACGCCTGCTGCCAAAGATAAAGATCGTGAGGCTGGAGCCAAAGCCGGGGAAAAGCAAAACGAGCAGGCTGCCCAGCTGTCTGGTGACTCTTCCGAGAACTCTGCAGCCAAGGCCAAACCCAAGCCCAAGTCGGCCCCGGCGAATCCTCAGGGTATCTCCGTACCTCTCACTGCTGAGAGCTTCCAGCAACTGGTCACTACCACCCAGGACCCTTGGTTCATCAAGTTCTACGCTCCCTGGTGCAGTCACTGCCAGGCCCTGGCCCCCAACTGGCAGCAGATGGCCCGGGAAATGCAGCACACGCTTAACATTGGAGAAGTCAACTGCGATGTTGAGTCGAGGCTCTGCAAGGATGCTCACGTGACTGCTTTTCCCACGATGTATTTCTTCCGCGGAGGCGAAAGAGTCGAATACAATGGCCTCCGGGGCCTGGGTGATCTCGTTGCCTACGCTAAGAATGCAGTCGATGTGGGCCTTGGCGTTCAGGATGTGGATGCGGATACCTTTAAGGAGCTGGAAGAGAAGGAGGAAGTGATTTTCTTGTACTTCTATGACCACGCTACCACCTCGGAGGACTTCCAGGCTTTGGAGCGCCTGACCCTCAGTCTAGTTGGACACGGCCGTCTTGTTAAGACGAACAGCGCAGCCCTCGCTGAAAGGTTCAAGATCTCAACCTGGCCGCGTCTCCTGGTTTCGCGCGACGGACGGCCGAGTTACTACACCCCGATTGCCCCGAAAGATATGCGGGACTTCCGCCAGATTCTGAACTGGATGCGCACTGTGTGGCTACCGATCGTTCCAGAGCTCACGGCATCGAATGCGCGAGAGATCATGGATGGCAAATATGTGGTTCTCGGCATTTTAAGCCGAGGACGGTCAGACGAGTTCTTGCAGTCCAAGAGGGAATTGAAGAATGCTGCTCTGGAATGGATGGACAAGCAAACCCAACTCTTCCAGCTGGAGCGTCAAGAGCTGCGTGATGCCAAGCAGCTCCGCATCGAGGAGGCTGAAGACCGCAATGACCAGCGGGCGTTGCGGGCTGCCAAGAACATGCGCATCACCATTCGCGAGGACGACAAGAAGCAAGTCGGCTTCGCTTGGGTCGATGGCGACTTCTGGGAGCGCTGGCTGCGGACGACCTATGGCATTGATGTGGCCAACGGTGAGCGCGTTGTCATTAACGATCAAGATGTGAGTTTTCTTTCATAGAACGCTGGTCTTCCAATCAGTTACTGACTTGAACCAGAACCGGCGTTATTGGGATACTTCTTCTAGCGGCGCTTCCATCATGGCATCCCGTACCTCCATCCTCGAAACCATCCCTCTGGTGATTGCCAATCCCCCCAAGTTGACCCCGAAGTCGACGGTTGGCACGTTTGAGTCCATCTTCTTCTTCACTCGCAGCTTCATCTCCGAACACCCCATCCTCTTTATCCTCTTGCTCATCACCGCGATTGCCGCCACGATTGCCGTCCGTGGCAAGTTCCTGAGACGGGGCGTCCGTGGTGGCATTCTGGGGGTCACTGGCGGTAGCGGTGGCTTCTTCCACCTGGATGGCAAGGAAGGCTTGTTGAACGGCGGTTCTACTGGCAAGGTAGATTAATTGGGAGCATGGGAAGCATGGGAGCATTTGTACAGATAGGTTTCTTCTTGATCCATTTTCTTTGCGTTTCTTTTTGTCTCTTCTTTTTCCCCTTTGCCCTTACAAAATTTAGTGTGGAACTTACGGTCTTCTTATGGGAGCTGTTTTCATCCTGACCTCTCCTGTTCTCTTCCTGTATCTTCTTGTGTTGAGATTGAACGGTGTTACGGCAAACGTGCGTTGTTGGTAGACAAGCTCTGTTATTTAACAATTTGAAGACGTGGACGATACTGGTTGAACTTTTGACTTCTGGGAACTTATAAACACTACCTAGGCACTTTGGTAGAATAGTCCTCATGGCGTTCTACATAGGACGTATGTATGTACCTAATGTATACTGATGCCAGTGCAAATACAGCGCTTTTGATTCGACGGTCCGGTATATCACGTGATATACAATTGGAGGCAGCTGATTGGTTCTCGGGTGGCCGCGAGCACTGGACGTCGCGGACCCTCCCGGTTTTCCTCGACGGTTGCGAATCTCAGTCCGAATTGCCCGTCATCCTCCTCCAGTTCTCGTCTTGAAGACTCTTCTCGACTACAATCAAGATGGTATGTTCTCTGCATGTGTTTCTCTGCTGGTATTAGCCCCGTCGGAGGTCTCCAGTCCTGTAAGGCCGAGGGGCTGAAGGCTCCCTGCCATGATGTGATGTCCGGAGCATTACTGACCGACCTACACCCTGCGACTAATTGGCCGACGACGATTATATCAAATGCTAATCTGTCTTTTTTGTGACGACAGGTTTTCTCTCAGACCCTTCGCCGCGCTGCGGCCCAGAGCGCCGGTGCCTACCGCTCTCCTTTTGCGCCCAAGTGAGACACCCCCAACCAGCGACGTTATTGTTTTGTGCAAGACCCGTCGACTATGTACTGTATGGATGATTTATTTGCGCTATAACATGGGAGATTTGTGTATGCTTGTATACCGTGGACGTGGTCCGAAGGGGCCCCCATATCAAGCCAAGTCGAATCGGATTATACAACCCCATATATGTACTGCAAGTCGGAGGGACTTGTGATGTCGGACGGCGACAAACGACACTGGATGCCAATGGACTCACTAACAGCTCTACCTGTTACAGATACTACACTCCCATGCAGGTCCAGGGTGTGACGGCTAAGACCGCCGCCAAGTAGTGAGTTTCCACCTCTCTCCCTGATGGTAATTGACGTCTCGACGATATACTGACGGATGGAACAATAGCGCCCAGATTGCCGGTACTTTCGGTGTCAGCCTTGGCGTCTTTGCCCTCTTCTTCTTCGGCGAGGTCCCTCGTGTCCGCAACGACGTCCTCCGCCAGTTCCCCTTCTTCGATCAGTACTTTGACCGTACGATCGCTCCTGAGGACAACGTATGTATCCAGGATGTTCTTTTGGTTTCTTTGGCCAGGTTTTGGCTCTGATGAGGATAAGATGCTAATGCCTGTGCAGCCGTTCTAAACGTCCCTTCTGGAGTGCACTTCAGCGATATCACATATTATGATGGGGTAGATGGTGGAAAGGAAGCAAGTCGGTGCTGTACTGTGTAGAATAGCGATGAAATGTTTTGAATAGCACATAGACGAGCCTACCTTACCTTCTTCATGTCCAACCTGGAGTAGCGGCGGTCGGTGCGCCATCAGACGTCCGCCACAGTATCTCCGACGGCTCCTTAACTACCAGCTACGGTCCGTCTCTATTCCTACAATGGTAGGTCCAGCCAGACGAATCACGCTGCTATCGCAAGCCAGGATGGTAGTCCAATCAAGCGGCATGGCTCAGCGGCCGTTATTAACGCCGGGCTCTTATCTCGGCCCCTTTTGGCCTGGCGATAACACGCCTCTTCGCCTGATAAGAAGCAGACCCTATGAGCTTCGTTTCGTCGCTTCTCTCGAACGCCATCGAAGCTTTCTCCGAGCTTGCACCGGATGCTTCGCCGCCTGAAATTGCCCTCCTGGGCCTGGTCTGCTCGCCAAGCTTTATCTGCCATGTCCGGACACCCCATATACGGAGGACCGGGTCAGAGGGACTCGAACGTCCAAGCGGAGTAGCTTCGTGCTAAGTCTCCCGATAGACACGATGACTGGCCTGCGAGCCGGTGATCCCGTCGCAATCGAGATAGGCGTGACCATGCGCCAAGCATATCAGCGTCTGAACCACATCCCCCACCTCGGCTCGTCGCAGCTGCGGCGTCCATCGATGTCATGCTTGGGTCGATGATTGGAAGGGATTCTGCTGGCTCCGTCGTGCACTGACATTGCCTCGATTATCAGTCCGATTCTGATGAAAATACGGGGTTCTATCAGGCTAGATGTGGGCCCTGGTCGATGATAGGGCTTTTTCCCCTGCCCAGATGATAAAGCTGGTTGTATATATGTCTGGTACTCCCAGACACTGACATGCAGTCTTCTCTCCAAACTACCGGTCTCTTCCTCAGGTGCTGTATCACAAGTCCTCTCTTGTCCAGCACACCTGTTACACAGCAGCAGTTCAGCTCGAACGGCGAATGAAGCCGAAAAGCACAGCAAGGAGTATCTCCTGCTTTCGTTCCCCGTCCCTTACTTTGACGGAACATCGATCCGTTCTCGTCTCTGAGAATCACAAGTTCAGCTCTTGACCGATTGACAGAGGGTTACCCATATCGACCATGGCTAAGTCACAATCATCAGACAAGTCCCCGTCAAAGGGACGAATATACGCCGATGTCGATCATGACCCCGTCACCAGTGTGCTCCCCAATGGGGACATCCCCTACACGGACCATGATATGGACGCGGATGAGAGGGTGATCGTGGCGTTGGGATACAAGCAGGAATTCAAGCGTGAATTCTCCCTGTGGACGACATTCTGCGTCAGCTTTGCGGTCCTAGGGCTGCTCCCATCATTCGCCAGTACCATTTACTATGGGATGGGATATGCTGGGACGGCGGGAATGGTTTGGGGGTGGATAATTGCAATGGTTTTCATTCAGTGTGTCGCGATGGCAATGGCCGAGCTGTGCTCTGCAATGCCAACGAGGTACCGTTAATCCCCCGAGACTCCTTGTTTCGTACGTCCCGTCCTATACTGACCTCACTCAGCGGTGGGCTTTACTATGCTGCGGCCGTTCTAGCTCCCCCGGGGTACGGTCCCTTTGCTGCTTGGATCACCGGATGGTCCAACTGGATCGGCCAGATCACCGCTGCTCCCAGCGTGAACTACGCGCTTGCGGCCATGTTGCTGGCCGCGGGCTCGATCGCAAACCCCAGCTATGTCCCCACCGCATGGCAGACGTATCTCCTGACCACACTCATCATGATCATCCACGCGGCCATCAGCAGCATGCCAACCCGATGGGTCGCGACGTTCAACTCCTGGGGCTCAACGTTCAACATGCTCGCGTTGGTTGCTGTGATTATCGCCATTCCTGCAGGGACCAAGAACGAGCCCAAGTTCACCCCATCCAAGGAAGTCTGGGGCACCATCACCAACATGACCGATTTCCCAGACGGCGTCGCCGTGCTGATGACCTTTGTCGGCGTGATCTGGACCATGTCCGGGTACGACTCGCCCTTCCACCTGAGCGAGGAGTGCTCCAACGCCAACATCGCCTCGCCGCGCGCCATCGTCATGACCTCGGGCGTCGGCGGCCTGATGGGCTGGTTCCTGCAGCTCGTCGTCGCGTATACGGTCGTCGACATCGACGCGGTGCTCAACTCGGACCTGGGCCAGCCGTGGGCGTCGTACCTGCTGCAGGTGCTGCCGCAGAAGACGGCGATGGCCGTGCTGGCGCTCACCATCATCTGCGGCTTCTCCATGGGGCAGGGGTGCATGGTGGCAGCGTCGCGGGTGACGTACGCCTACGCGCGCGACGACTGCTTCCCGCTGTCGCGGTACTGGAAGCAAGTCAACGCGACGACCAAGACGCCCGTCAACGCGGTGATCCTGAACGCCGTGCTCGGCGTGCTCATGTGTCTGCTGATGCTTGCGGGCGAGGTGGCCATCGGCGCGCTGTTCTCCATCGGCGCCATCGCCCAGTTCGTCGCCTTCGCCATCCCCATCGCCATCCGCGTGTTCTTCGTCGGCAACCGCTTCCGCAAGGGGCCCTGGCATCTCGGCCCCTACGGCGCCCTCATCGGCGGCATCGGCGTCTCCTTCGTCCTCCTCATGGTCCCCATCCTCTGCCTGCCCAGCGTCGTCGGCAGCGATCTCACCCCGGACCTGATGAACTGGACGTGCCTGGTGTGGGGCGCGCCCATGGTCGCTGTCACCATCTGGTGGGTAGTGGATGCGCGCAAGTGGTTCACCGGACCCAAGGTCAATGTGGAGCATGCCATTCACCCCGTGGAGGAGGAGGAGGAGGTAGTGCCCGCTATTGTTGTGGGGGTGGAGGCCGAAGATCCGTTGGCTCGGGATGTGGATGCGAGAGATTCGTCCAGCAAGTCTTCCAAAGCTTGAGTGTGTGTGCTGTATATACCAGTATCTTCCTTCTTCTGTAATAATGTCCTAACAAGTCAATGTTGTCCTTCCTGTTATACATGCGCGATATCCCATCTCCACATTGTAAGGTAGTAGACTACTGAGGAAGCCTGTCTAAGACGGAAACAGTTGTGTAGGGATAGAAGTGTACACTCGTCTGCCACGATCTGCTCCTGGGAACATACGGCAATGGCATCTTTTTGCCAACAACGATCAGCTTCCTGAGACCTTTCTATCCTTTACAGTGTATCGTCTTGCCCAGGTCACAACTCGGAGTACATCGGCGTCAGTTGATGTACCAGCTTAATATCATCCTACATGTCAATTTTTAGAAAAGATCAGATATAAAGAGAGCTGTTTCTATTCTTATAGTTCTCAGTCCGCGACATTTATTATTAGGAAAAGCAAACATGTGCCCGCCATACTTCCATATCCTGACATTCAACATCTTTCTCCTTAACTCGAAATCTTGCCAATCGCAAGCACAAGTACAGCACTACGCTGCCGTACTATGCACTCCAACCGCGCATATTCCAATCACAACCCTCGATCAACGCAACCATCGTAGACGTGGCCCAAGTAAACGCTCCATTTCAGTCGAGATATACATCCAGAAGATCCTTTGATGAATGTGACCTATCGGAGAAACAGATCATATGCAGCGCGCCGGGCGTGCATCGGGATCCAGCTCGCTGTGAAACTTGAGCTGCATGCGCGACGCACTTCTATGCGACACCCCGGGTTTAATGTGTGCGAATAGGAGGGGCTCTGTATGTGAGTGGGTGGAGATGCGGACATCGCCGCGTCCTGCATCTTGCAGTTCGAGACGTTTGGGGGACGGTGAACAGGGTGTGTACTCCGTGGGTACTCCGTAGATCCTCTATGTGTATGTCGTCTTGTTTTGATCCATGTCTTTGCCAGTTACACGACAGTCATCTGTATATTGTCAGAGTTGCCGAATTATATATATCTTCTCACATCCGATGGTTGTGATATATATAGAACGACTACAAGGTACCAAGTCCAACGTTGATGACTCAATATACAAGATTGTCTCCATCACATCGTAAGCTCGGTCATTCAATCCATGTATCCATGTACAACTCTCGGCCCATCTCGCTTCTCACTCCCCGCTTCGCATCCCGCTCCGTACTCCGGATAGCCTCGCTGTACTCCGTACGGAGTAGGGCCCTGCAAGAGCTCCACCGGCGTCAGAAGACCCCACTGATCCAACAGACGGACCGACCGACTGTGCCTATCCGAACCGAAGGCCACCTGTCTGAATGCCGATACTGCAGGTACGACATGAGGATGGGTACGGAGGCGAGAATCCATCGGTCTTTGCCTGGCACGAGAAGGAGATCCCGACTGCTCGCGGTTCAATACTCAGGAGAGGGCAGAGGGTGAAACACTAGTCTCAGTCGTCGGTAATGCGCGGTGATCGCACATCTCTACGGAATTGATTTCATCGTGCGGTAACCCCTCGGCTTCCGTCGCGGAGATGACTGACTACGTACTCCGTATGCGTATGCGTGGTGTACTCCTAGAATATGCACGGAGTACTCCGTTCGGGCTAGGATGGAATTCTACCGGATATGTACTGAGTGAGACACGACAAATGGCATCCAGGGGGAGTGTTTTCCTGCGGTCAGGAATGGTGTGATTTGTACTCGTGACGGCAACGGACAGGAGGGGAAGTTTTGGGAGATGGCATCTGCCGACTTCCGATCCGTCTTAGACTACTGTACGGTTGGAGAGGTCGTATTATTGAATAATAATTATAACAACACTAGTCTTAATACTCCGTACTCCGTAGAAGAATGTCGAGGGGTAATCAGGATATCGATAGACTTTCCCACCCCAATAATCACCGCGTAAACCCCGGGTTTAATCCCGGAAAGCCTATCTTTACAGTATCATCGAGTTGCATCCCAACACCACGGTAACCGCCGCCATCCACGATGGCACAGAGGTTCTCTGGGTCGACCACCGATTCAAACTATGGCTGTACCGTGTATTCTAAACCACGTGTACACCAACGGTACCGCTATACGGAGTACGAGTATGCCCAACAGAAACCCCCAACCGGTGTGGCTTACAGAGCACTCTTTGAGCTTTCGACTTCTACCTCCGTATGACCGACTCTCAATGGCGGCATGGCAAACCTCAGACCACGCACTAGGCGAAAAGCGCGAAACAATGAGGTCGGTGGCGCTTTCTCCTCGGATGCTGCAGGTGCAGCAGGTCCTGATTGGCGAGACCAGCGAAGCGAGTGGAGGCCAGCCAGACTTGGCTTCGGGTTTCCTCCGGCGCCGGCCGGAAAAACCACCCTTTTTGCGCTTTGCCCAGGCTGAAAGTGCCGAGGGCCAGCATGCTTTACCCGGATTCGGCGACTCCCAGCTAGAGTCGATACTAATGGTGTTAGTGGTGTAGACGATCTGCGTTGGAGTGCCTTGTATCATTATGATTACTGTGATTATAATCATTATGTGATGACCGCCACGTAGCTGCCTTGAGGTCAGATACTAGATCTCATTGGTGTTGTCGCAGATGGCAGGGTAAATGTCTTGCTCTTTGAGAACCTACGACAACCTGGCGGTTCCTAACGTTGCATTGGTGAGGGAATTAGAGTGATAATATGCGTTCCTCCGTACAAACCTCGGTTTCCCACGGCCTACTTACGGAGTATGTACTGTACACCCCATGTGCAATCCACTATGATAGCACTAACACAACTAGCAGATGCCAAGCTTTATGAGCATCCAGCGCCGATCACGTCGGACAATTCGACGACCACCACATGGGAGCAGCAGCCCTCGTCTCGATTCTTCAAGGCCAGTCTCCAGTTCTCTTGTGCGACTATCGACTATGGACACGAGACTACGCCGTAGCAAGGTTAGCTCGCGAGGTCACTCCACACCGCCCTGGGCTCCGTGGAAGTTTCCATGAGCGGGCCATCGGCTGCGCGAGTGGAGCCTACTGCCGTGATCGGACCGCCACTTTGGGCGAGGTGCAGGGTTGCCGGCGGTCCAGAGGCGCTGGTGCCCTCGTTCCTTGGGTCCGGCGACATAAGTGGCAACTCGCGCGAGGTGATCCCGATGCATTACGAAATCTGACCGATTGAGTGCGCTTCTGGCTGACTACGGCAGTACGGAGTAGGCTAATCCTGGTCAGTGATCAATCGCATGATCCATACAAAATAGGGAAAAAAAATACAAATAAAAAGGAAGAGAGAGAAAAGGAAAAGGATGAAAGAAAGACTCATGGTAATAGAGTCATTACTATCAAAGAAAAGATGCCATCCAAGGAACCTCAAGGTCTATCGACCTAGATTGGCTTCGCAGACTATACTCCGTACGGAACATAGTTTGTGGAATTCCTCGTTGCGCGGTCCCGAGGTTCTCCGCGACCACGAGTCAAATCCTTCCGCGTTCAACATGATTGCGGAACACTTCATCCGGTAATGCCGGAATGCATCGTCGAATAATCATAATTATAATCATCGTAATAATAATTATGTGCGTCGATTCGGCGGCTTATCGCGGCGAGACACTTTCAATTTGAAATCATCTCGATTCTTATTACTGTCGTACTTCCGTCGGTATACAGGGTACATGCTTGGGTAGCTCCGATCAGATAGTCGCAGGAGGGGTCACCCGGTCACCCTGCAGTCGACCAGGTCCACAATCGAAGCGGGAGAAGCTCCCAGCGAAAATCTCCTGGTGGAGCCCCTCTGCTGAGCCTAAACGAGGGACCCATTTTCCTCAATCACTGGGTGGACAGTCCGGCGACACTCTAAATCGTCTGCAGAAGTGCTCCGACTATCGTTCGCTTCCAGCCGACAGAACCAGCATCGTCATTACACTCGCATCCATGTCTATTCTTGCCGATGGTGAGAACGCATTTGCCGATGTGATTTGTGATTTATCATCCTCAGTTTGGTGGTGGCGAAAAAACATGGCTGAACCGTGGATGACCATTTGAAGTGGTAATCTTTTCCTATGAATTTATTTATTCTTACGGTGTATTATTCTATTCCTAATATCATATTATCATATTATTGCAGGCGAAACAGCGTGGCACCAGCGCCGTGTCAATTGGCCGAGTTTCTGCCCGCATGCCGAGATGCAAAAGTACTTGGCTGGGACTAGCGCATGGACCTGTCCGAGTGTGCTTCTGGACGCTCGTCATCTAGACTATTGGTCAAGATGTTGGATCCTTTGTTCGTCTGGTTCGTGCAGTGAGGTTCTGAATAGAGTGAATACTGGAATGGCTACATTATATCACGACCGTATTGTTACCATATCGACTCCTGAGAAGATATATATAGCTTGCTGTTTATAGTAACAGAGATCAGACAACAACAGCACACGACAAAGCTCGATGCACAGACACCGTCTGATACAGATCCCAGACCACCATGGATCTGCAACCTGCTCTAGCCTGGGCGAAGTGGTGTGGTGACGAGGCTGGTGGATGGACAGGGATTGGCCAGACTCTCCAAAGTGAAGCCAGCCACCTCTGCATAATATATCCCATTATATACATCGCATTGACCGATTCAATTGGGCTGAACGCAGGGTGATATATACCGGTAGATTGATATAGATATGGGTACGAGCTTATTTACGACGTCAAATGGTTGCTACTCCATCCTGTACTCCATCTCCCGTTGATGAACATTCCCACAGCGGAGCCAGTGGGCAAATCTACCAGTGTTCCATCTTGAAGGAACAGGGCCGTCTCTCCACTTCGACCTCAACTTCGATAACTTTGATAAGGTTCCTGCCCCTGTCGATGTGGGATTGTGGATGGGCCATCAGGGCTGAGGTGCAATATGGGGACCATGCGGGCCTGTCCTGTCAACTGCGGAGAACGCATCGAGTGTAAAAGGAGGCACACAGCATGACAGACAGCTACTGTTCAGTACATCCTCCGTAGAGTCTAGGTCGAAAGGATCAAGCCATCTGCATTACCATCCTTTCCGGTGTTCGGTCGACCAGCTGAGAATACGTAATGCGCCTACGACACCCCCCTCTCCTACCCCTGAAATTCTCGTGCCGCGCCTACCACCACGGGGGTTTCAGTGGCCCGTCGGTCGACGATGAGAAAGGAATTCGAACGCGGTCGTCGCATGTCGGGAAGGGAAGAGGTGCCTCGCATCGTCGAGGTAGCCTGAAAGCAGCTTAGACCGGACGGACGAACCTCACCCTCATCGATAGTTATCCGCCCCTCCATGAACTAACTAACTTATCGCCCCTCCTCCTGCTTTCTTTTTTTCATTTGCCGCCGTCGGCGGGATTACCAACGATCCTGGTCGAGGTCCGTCCATTAAGCGCAGGACTAGGATTGATCTAGATTGCTCATTACTATAATGCTTCTAGTATGATTATTATTGTTCTTTTTATTATTAGATATTGTTATTACTATTACTATTACGATTCTACTAGTATAGAGCTGATCAGTTAGTTATTTCTGTCTACGGTAATCTACTCCGTAGACTGCCATATCCGCTTGCGTGATGTGCTGTTACATGGATCCTGCATGGTAAGTCCTTGCCAAGTATCTTTTACGTAGCTGTGTGCGGCAAGGGTACCATTGAGGTACTTTCAAGTTCCCGATGCTGCCTTCGGCACACGGCCGACTGCCTCCAACCACCCGTGAAAAATTCAAGAATTATAATTCAAATTCTTTTTCCCCCCCCCTCCTCTTAATAATGCAAAACATTCAGCGAATCAGTCACCCGTATCCCCGACACGGCGTTTTCATCATTTTTCCCCTGCTTGCCGCTGGTGCCAACCAAATTCAATTCAGAGGCGATGTTCGGAACGGGTTCTGATTGTGAGCCGACTTTGCCGTTTTCTGGTAGAGGAGTGTTTCTTGGGACCATTGGTCAGCAGTTATTTCATTAGACGAGCCGACGAAAATAATATTCATAATAAAAATAACAACAGAAAAAAAAAAAATAAAATAAAATAAGATAGTAATGATAATAATTTTGGTTGGCAGAATTCCGCGGCTGGGAACGGTTACAGTGGCTGCTTTTCCCTAACGGGGGACAATAGATCGTAAAATTCCCCTCCCAAGGGTAAATCTTCGGCCTGCACCTTAACTCGGAAACCGGATCGAAAGGCAAAGAGGGTGCCAATGGTCGGGTGCAGACAGAGCATCTCGTCACCATCTTCGGATCCTAGGAGAAGAATCATAAGAATAGATCATACCGTACGTATTGGAGTAGAATCCTAGGTAGGTAACTAATCGCCGTGAGGAATAAAAATAAATATTTGATTTATTATTGTAATAACTATTATTATTCTTACTTATTACGATCATTGTTGTGATTTTTTTTTTTCGATTTGCCTCCCCGAGTTGCGATCGTCACCGCCCGTCTTCCCTCTCACAAAGTCTCAACCTTCTCCAATTACCCTAGTTCCCTATCTCTTCCCCCCCTCTTCTGCTCTCTGTCTTTTTTTTCTTGGTCTCCTTCCCGTTTCCTAGAAAAGTTTGGTCGCAATCCTTCTTTTTCTTCCCTTTCCGAAATCTGCCACCTTCTTTCTTCTGAAGTTTCCGCCGCTCATCATCGGCCCCCCTTCCCACCCCCCTCCATTCCCCGTGATTAGACGGCTACCTTGGTTGCTGTCTTTCTGGGAATAACTCTTTTTTAAATTGTTATTATTATTTTTGAATTTTTTTGAATTTATTTTATTTTCTTCTATCATTCTTTTTCTTTTTCTTTTTCTTTTTTTTTTCTCTGGCCTTATTCGCCTTCTTCTTCCCCCTTTCCTCCATTTCTCTCGCGGGCTTGGACTTGTTCTCGTTCTTCCCTGCACGCGTGAACCCACTGCCCCCAGAGCAATTGCAGTTCATACGATTCTCTTCCTCTCTCCCCCCTCCCTCGTTCCGACATCCTGGTCCATCTCGCGCATTGTTGACGCGAGAGCAAAAGTTGACTAGCGACTTTTTGCTCATCGACCTTTTAGCAACTGCTGGTTGTTGCTAGACCCACTTACACGCCGCCTCCCTGGTGGATCAGAACCATTGACTGTTTTTTTGACAACGTGCGGATAGAAAAAGTTCCCACACAACTCGATTTTCCTGGTGGGTGACCGTGGGGAATTCTGCGATTAAGCATCTCAACCTCGTCCTGACCTTTCTTCTCTCTGCAGTGGAGTCCCCGTCGTGTTCCTGAACGCCTCCATCCCTCCTCTGTTGTGTGTGTGAGTGATTCTTCAGCCTCCGCCTGCTGTGGGAATCCATCGCCCTGTCAGATCTTGCCGCCCGCATCTGTCTGTCCCTCTTGCCCCGTTCGTGCTCCGCGTCTGGGAAATTCGATTCCGTGACCTCTCTCGGGAAAAGGAACACCAAAAGTAAAGACAAGAAGAAAAAGAAAGGAAAAGAAAAAAGAAAATACTTTGCAAGGAACAATTACCAATTCGCAGAGGCATTGGCAGCGTGGTTCAGAAAAAACTTCTCTGCCTTTTGTCCGGAAACATCGCGCGAAAGATTCTCTCGGCCCTGCGATCAATGATCGGGATCCCGTGAAATCCTTGCCTCAGCTCAGCCCTAACTTTCTCTTCCTCTCGTTCCCCTCCCTCTGTCTTTCAACCCTCTGTGCAATCCCCTCCCCTCCCCTCTTCACGATGGATCCGAGATCTCACCCTTCGCGGCCCCCATCCACCAGTCTACCCCAAGGCTCCACGCCTCTGTCCTCCACGCCTATCTCCAGCATGCCTATGCCGCAGTACACCATGCAGCCCCAGTACCCTGTGTCGCAGCCGCACACTCTCCCCCCGCTGCAGCCTCATCACACACAGTCTCCGGGCCCTCACTCTTACATGGGCCAGCCGCCGTACCGGCCGGATCTGTCGAGGTTCCCCGCGTCCACCCATGATGTTTACGCGTCGTCGACCGCTCCCATCATGCCGCACACCACTGTGGGCAGCTTGCCTCCGTCGTCCTTCCTCTCTCATCCCAACCCGCAAGCTCAGCCTCAGTCGCAACACTATCCCCCCCCTCACAGCGTGCTGCCTCCCGCGTCCAGTGCGCAGACGTACCCGCAGCCGATCGCCCCGGCTCCTCCGCGGGATCGTCGGGGTGAGTACCCGGGTATGCCTTCGGGCGCCTTCAGCTACACGGATGGCAAGGGCTCTCCGTGGATGAACGGGGATCCCGTCGCGCAAGCCAATGGAGCCTCGCCATATGGGAAGGAGCCGCCTCGCACGCAGGTGGTCGGGTCTCAGGGCCGCCGCGGGATCCTCCCGAGTGTTCCGGGGCGTGCGACTCCCGTTACCAACGGTGTCAATGGTACCGCGAAGAATACCACGATTCCGGCCAAGGATGCCGACGGAAAGTTCCCTTGCCCGCACTGCAACAAGACCTATCTTCACGCGAAGCACTTGAAGCGCCATCTTCTCAGACGTAAGTTTTTTTATCAGATTGAATTTGGACCGGCAAAAAAAAAGCTAACACATGCCAAAACCGATCAGACACCGGTGATCGTCCGTACATGTGTGTCCTGTGTAAAGACACGTTCTCGCGCAGTGATATCCTCAAGCGCCACTTCCAAAAGTGCTCGTTACGCCGCGGCAACCCCACGGGAGCGACCCACCTGTCGCATCCCCAGGCGCATTTGAAGAGATCTCAAGCTGCGAATCCTAAGCCGATTCAGGATGAAGTCAGTAGTACCGTCCCGCAGTCCCATGGTCTTCCGGGTACGACTTTCGGCGAGGGGGCCGTGAACGGGAATGGGCTGGCCCATGGCCGACCTGGGTTCACGGATCAGCAGCCGCTGGGTTTTTCGATGTCGCCGGTCAATGGGATGCACCGTGGTCAACCGGACGACGCGTATCCCGCTGGTCAGCCGCATCAGAGAGGTCCCTGGCTGGCGGCTCCCAAGCAGAACCCGTACCTGGTGCACCCCGGCACTGATGCCTCTAGCCAGCAGCACTTGAGTGTTGACCGTCCTTCCTTTGAGCAGGTAAAGCCCCCGGTCATCCAAGACCCCAAACGCCCTGTCATGCCGGGGCCCACTCCCAATCACACTGGCGAAATTGACTGGACCTCGATGTTTCAGCCCGGAGCCTCCGACGGCTATATGAACCCGGTTTTCCCCCAGTCCATGGCCGCGGGCCAGGAGCCCATCCATGCCCACGTCGATGCCGAGCGCAAGTACTACCCCACTACGACTGCTCCCGGTCCCCAGGAGGGTGGCATGAACGGCCTGTACCTGGCCTCGACCACCATTGGTGGTGATGGTAAGTTTCCGCGATCATGACGATCCGCCCGAGTTCTTACGCTTATCAGTCGGAGTAGGTACGGTTCAGCCGGCGCGGCAATAGTGGCGCCAGTGGCGCCATATACGGTGGATGCGCCATCAGTCAAGGTGTTGAAGTTGGTCGATCTGGACCGAGATTCGGAGATGCATCTTTGATCATTTCTTCCATCTCGTTCTTCGACCATCTTTCGACCGCGATCTGCTGACCGCATCCGGATCATTTATGTTACGAAAACGTTCCTATCGCGGGTTATCAGGTTACCATGTTTCGTTTCAATTTCCGTTCCAAAATCGTGGGTGCATTTTTATCCGGCGAGTGCTATATTGAGGTGGTGCAAGTTCTGGTTTTCTGCTTGTTGTTTCCATCCATTATGAGTGGGCCGATGGGATGGTGTGTGGTTTAACCGGCGTCCAACATAGACCTGGGCATGTGTTTCTGTATTTGTTGCGGTTTGATGTTCTCCTTTCTGCTGCCAACGCGCCCAAAGATGGTCCGGGCAGTCACTCTCGGACAGAGCGGGTCCATGGTTTCCTTGCCTAGGATCATCCTTGTAAGTATCTTGGTGTTTGCGTTGTGTGTATGTGCTGCTTGAACATAGGGGTCTGCGTTGTGTTGAAGATTGTTTTCCTTTCCTTCTCGTTCTGTCTTGTTTCCCTTGTTTTCATTTTCATTTCTGTTTCATTTTGTTGCAAAAACGACCACAACATGTTTTCTCCTTTGCGGCTGGGTTGTCGTCGAGCCGGGAGCATGGCCCCTGGTCTCCTACAGGGTTGGGAGTGGAGGGTCATGGCGAACGGAGCGAGACACGCCCCTGGTCAGCCCCACGATGTTCCATACGTCCGGAGATCTGGATGATATATCTCCGGAGTCAAGTTGCATTATACGTTCGTCCTCTTCAAGCGTGGACGATTCCGGATCGGGCTGATCGATCTGGAAGGACACACGTGGGAGAGGATGTGGGATCTCAAAAAAGCTACCTAGAATATAGACAAGACTACGATTACAGTGTTAGAGTTGAACAGTATCAGACAAATGCAACCATTCTGAAGATGTCTTGTATATGAGAAGATAGATGGATAGGATGATAGATGTATTTGGACATCTTATCAATCAACGGAAGAGTGGTACTAGTCATATCTACCAAGTGGGGGTCAGTTGCATTCATCCATCCCTCATAGCGTGGATATCCGACCCTCCAGAAACCCGATGATCCAGGGGATCGAACAACCGAAGGCCGAGAACGCAGGTGATCATGCATTATCCCGGTTTTCCTGGACCCATTTGTCCGAGGCGGGTGTTGCATCCGGGATTTCCCTACGGTGTCTGGGGGCCCCAAGTCACTCCGCAATTGGAATTGGACCTGGGGAGATCTGCGCGGTGGGGATGGGGTGACCTGGCAGGAGGTCGGATGGAGTGTTTAGGGACGATAGGTGAAACGGCAAGTGGGTTCTGTGTTGTCGATGGAGAGAGAGAGAGATGTGCGGAGAGAAAGAAATACAGAGTAAGTAGTACGTAGATGGATGCCAACGCAAAAAGCCCTACGTCATTCTCGTGATGATATAGCAAACGGCTGATTGGACTGCGCCGCGGGAGGGTTCGGGAGACGTCCGATTATTAAGGTTGTTCCCTCTCGACTTCATTCCTCCCTCATCTCCTCCTCCTCCTTCTCTTTGTCTGCATCCTCTCCGTCCCGCCGCTCCATGTCGTCTCTCCGCATGCCTTGAGCCCTCGAGAGAAACACATCCGAACAAATCCTCTCCACGACATTCACGCCGCCTCTCACCTCAATCGACCTCGAGTCGCGCGATATAAGAACGGGCGAGGCCCCTCCCCGTTATCTACATCCCCGCATTGGACTTCACCATCACAGCAAATCCCTCGCACATCTCTTCCCGACTCCCTCTCCATCCATCATGTCGACCAACCGCCCTTTCCTGGCCAACTTCCTGGCTGCCTTCCGCGCCCAGTCGACCTACAAAGCCGCAGCCGCCGGCTCCCAGTCCGCAGGCGGTCCCTCGCAGTCCATCTCTCCCTCCCAGATCTCGCAGGGGCGCGCGAGCCATCGCAACCAAGGCCAGCACGGCGGCCTCACCACCCGCCGCGTCCGACACCACCGCAGCATCTACGTCCACCCACCATTACCACCACCACCATCACCACCAGCCCTCCCGCCCTCACTCCCACCCACGCTCCCCGCTCAGCCCGCCCCCCACCGTCGCAGATTCCCCCATCCCGTCCGCCTCGCCCACTCCCGCGGCCGCGCCGCCCTCGTCGCCGCCCACGCCCGCCTCCTCGAATCCCATCCCCATCGCCGGCCCGGACCGCCAGCGCCGCGGGAGCGACAGTTCCAGCGGCTCGGGCGGCTTCCGCGACGCCCTCGGCCCGGAGAAGTGGTATGTCGGCGGCCGCACGCCCGCCGGCGAGGAGCGCTTCTACCGGCTCGGGATGGTGACCAAGGGCGGCGGGAGGCTTGGGGGCAGCGGTCGGGTCGGGAGTATCGACCAGTTGAGTCTGTAGGTGGGGGACTGCGGAGTGTCTGGCTTGATTGATGTCTGCTACGAGTAATGGGATGGCGTAAAAGAAGTTCTTGTCTCGTTTTTTGTGATGGGATGGCGCTTGGCTGGCATGCGGCGTTTGATGGATAAAAATCTTGGGCTTTGTGTTTTGTTTCGGCGAATTTGCGGGTTTGCTCTCCTCCCGGCTGTATATGTGACTCGGATGACTGCGGTGTATCTACGGAAGCAGGGACGCCTGGAAGCAGGGAACGTCTTGCACAATGAATTTAGACTCTGCGTGCAGTGCGGATTGTAGTCGGATTCAGCCTGTAGTCTATGTAGTAGGATTACTCGGGGCTCCCCGGGAGTAACCGCTCCCTCTCTGCATCGTTCCCCTCATGCTCCTGCGGCCGCCCGCTGAGCCATAACATAGGCACCGCCGTGCCCCCAGCCAAGACGCCCAACGAGGCCACCATGGCCGCCCACCCGAAGCGATCCGCAACAAACCCACCCCACAGCGGCCCAACGAGCATGCCCATAAACTGCGCCATGGTCTGGATGCCGAACGCCTGCGCCACGGCGCCGCGCGGGCCGAACAGCCCCGGCCGCGTGCGCTCCATGCGCTCCAGCTCCTGCTGCGTCTCGACATACAGCGCCGGGACGCAGAGGTTGATGAAAAGGCCGATGATGGTGAGCAGCGCGAGCAGCAGGACTACGCCCGCCGTGGTGGGTGCGACGGCGGATTCCACGAAGCGGAGGCACACCAGCGGCGGCGCGAGGAGGAGGAAGCCCGTGAACGTGACGAGGCACGCGCCGCAGCGGTCCGAGAGGTGGCCTTCACCCCGGATATTGGTTAGTACTTGCACTCGTAGAGAGGGGGAGGGCGTAGCGTACCGAAGACCGGCCCCAGGAACGCGGTCAGCGCTGAGGGGAGGAAGGTCATGCCTGCGCCGAGCGGGCCCCAGCCGAAGCGCGATTCGACGAAGATGGGGATGGTCTAGAGCGGGTGAGTGTTTTGTTTTGCACGTGTGCGGCATGGGGGCTTACGGCGTCAAAGGAGGAGTAGAGGATGCCGTGGACGAGCAAGCCCCAGGAGGAGATGAGGACGCGCGGCTGGCGGGCGATGAGGAGCAGTGCGGGCTGGGGCGGTTTCGTCGGGATGGTGGTGGTGTTGGCGTCGGCGTGCGGTGCATGGGCAGGCTCGTCGTCCGGGGCGGCGATCCATTGCCGGGCGACTTTCTTCTCGATGACGGCGACGCGCATGACGAGGTCCACGCCGACCAGGGCAAAGGCCACGGCGAAGACGGCGTGGTAGCCGGCGGCGTTGTAGACGAGCCCGCCCAGCAGCGGGCCCAGCATGAAACCCAGGGCGACGGAGGAGCCCAGGTAGCCGATGGTCTGGCCGAGGTTGTCGAAGGCGACGGAGTCGGTGAGGAGGGCGAGGCCGGCGACGATCACCACGGCCGTTGCGCTGCCCTGCAGCAGACGCGCGGCGACGAAGAGGGCGACGGAGCGGGCGATGGCCAGGAGGCCCATTGACGCGCCCAGGAGGATGAGGCCGAGCAGGTAGGCGAGTCGGCGGGTCGGCGATATGTCAATGATGTAGCCGAACAGCGGACAGCAGACCAGCGCGACGGCGGCTTCGCACATGAGCAGTACGCTGACCCAGTATTCGCCTGTGGAGGTTAGCTTGCGTTTCTGGAGGGGACGGGGGCGCCGTACGATCATTGTAGGGGACGCCTGCGCGGTCGACGAGCGCCGTCGGGAGGACGGGGACGATCTGGGTGCGGATTAGCGGGCGGAAATGCGATGCGATGCGATGCAATTGACTGTATACCATGGCATAGAGGAAGTAGTCCTGTAGGTGTTAGCATTGATGTCTTTGCATGGGTGGATGGGGGCGTACAGTGAACGACGAGATCCAGACGGTCGCGACGATGAACGCCGTGGACGAGCGGAATTGGAGCAGCCATGGCGGCCGAGAGTGTGAGAGCGACATCTTTTGGGTGTTTGGAGATCATGGTGGTAGACGATTTCAGTGTTCAGGCTTTCATGTGGACTGGATCATTATGTGTTATGTCAGCATTCTGCGACGAGGATGGATGCGACATTGCGAGACAGTCGCCGGACAAGGATGGGAATGCGCGGAGATGAAGATGGACAGAGGATGGAGAATGCCGACGGGGGCGACTCCGGTGGGCTGATCTATATACTCTTCTCGCTGCATACTCCATATTCTGTATGTATGTATACTGTGTATGCATGTGGGATAGTACTCTGTATACTACCGATAAGATAACGGGCTGCGGCCGTCACCAGCGCGGGCTTCGGAGGTGGCCGACAAGCTCCATCAGCCCATCCGGTCGCTGTACTCCTGCTGCTCACATTTAAAAGCTCCCCGGATTCCGCATCTTGGTCTTCTTCTTCCATTTCTATCCTATACCACTGATACCACTTGGACCTCTACCCCTGCCTCTCCTCTACATCATCATGTCGCAAGTCGCTGCTGCTCGCTACGGCAAGGACAATGTCCGCGTCTACAAAGTCCACAAGGACGAGAAGACCGGAGTCCAGACGGTGGTCGAGATGACCGTCTGTGTTCTCCTCGAGGGAGACATCGACACCTCGTAAGTCCTCCGCCGCAGAAGCAAGGAACCCAGCTAACCCGCATAGTTACACCAAGGCCGATAACAGCGTGATCGTCGCTACCGACTCGATCAAGAACACCATCTACATCCTCGCCAAGCAGAACCCGGTGACTCCCCCCGAGCTGTTTGGCACCATCCTGGGCAACCACTTCATCCAGAAGTACCCGCACATCCACGCCGCCCACGCCCACATCATCACCCACCGCTGGACCCGCCTCAACATCGACGGCAAGCCGCACCCGCACTCCTTCTACCGCGACAGCGAGGAGAAGCGCAACGTGCAGGTCGACGTCGTCGAGGGCCAGGGCGTCGACATCCGCTCGTCGCTATCCGGCCTCACCGTGCTCAAGAGCACCAACTCGCAGTTCTGGGGCTTCCTGCGCGACGAGTACACCACCCTCCCCGAGACCTGGGACCGCATCCTCAGCACCGACGTCGACGCCGCCTGGCAGTGGAAGCGCTTCGCCAGCCTCGACGACGTGCGCTCTCACATCCCCAAGTTCGACGCCACCTGGCAGGCCGCCCGCGACATCACCCTCAAGACCTTTGCCGAGGACAACAGCGCCAGCGTCCAGAACACCATGTACAAGATGGCCGAGGAGATCCTCGCCCGTCAGCCGCTCGTCGAGACCGTCGACTACTCTCTGCCCAACAAGCATTACTTTGAGATTGGTACGTTCCCAACAAGAGACACGAAAGAAAAGTGCTAACTTCCCCAGACCTCAGCTGGCACAAGGGCCTCCAGAACACCGGCAAGAACGCCGAGGTGTTCGCACCCCAGACCAACCCCAACGGCTTGATCAAGTGCACCGTCGGCCGCACGTCTAAGCCCAAGCTGTAAAATGTTCTGTCGTTTCTGGAGTTCCAAAGCATTGTACCACTGTATATAGTTGGGTAGGGTACTGAGCATATACCTTCTTGGTTCCATGGATTAGAAGTATCGTATACAAATGTAGACAGACTCGACTCAAAGTTATTCGAAGAAACAGCTCAAATGTAATATCATACATACATGAACTCCCACCCATGCGCTATATCATAAAGGCGAACAGAAGAGGTATAAATACAAACGGAAGGGAAGAGGACGAAAAATCTATGCCGAGGACTTGGCCTCCTTAAACGCCTGCTGCACCTCGGGCATCCCGGCGATGACCGATTGATTCCCAAACTTGATGATGTTTTCCTTGTAGGGGTGGGCCACGCCCTCGAAAGCTGCAACGGTCAGCATCCAACCTGTGAATTCTCGTCCGGAGGTCCCCGGGAATAGACATACTCTTCAACCGGGCCAGCCGCTTCTCCCGCAACCGGTTCTTGGGCAACATCCCCCGGACCGCGCGACGCAGCACCTCGCCGCCGCCCCATTTCTCAAACATCTTGTCCATGGTCATGCTGCGCAGGCTGCCGGGCCGGGTGGTGTGCGTGTAGTATTTCTTCTGGAAGCGCTTCTTGCCGGTCGTGCGCAGGTCATGGCAGCCGATGGCCACGACGTAGTCGCCGCAGTCGGTCGACGGGTCGTAGATGGGCTTGTGCTTGCCCATGAGGAAGAGGGCGATAGACGAGGCGAGGCGGCCCAGACTGCGCGGGTCGGACCCGACGTCGACGCAGTGCCATGCGCGGGAGTAGGCGAGGCGGGTCTATACAATAATTAGCACGGAGTCGAACGGACAGACTGACAGTGATTGAATACCTTTCCGACGGTCTGCGACATGGCGATGGCTGGAGATTGGGGGTCAACTGCAAAACACGGAGAGATACACGACCCGGACGGAGAAGAGTGATGCCAAGCCCGCCGGCGCATCACGTGACACGTGACTTGCTCCAAGCCCTACTTGCCGGATCGGGCGCTAGCGCGACACACTAAGCGAAGGGCCACCCGCAAACCGCACGGAGAGCGTCTCCTCTGCCTTGATAATCGCGAGACGACGACAACTTCCACCACCCACACCGACACCGATCAGGGCCATACGATCCATCATGGCTTCCGTCCCGAGTGTGCAATGCTTCGGCAAGAAGAAGACGGGTGAGTTTGTTCATTCGTTTTACTCTCGTTGAGGGGGAATTTCGAAAATTTTTGGAGGAAAAATACTGACTTGTTGTAGCCACTGCCGTCGCCCACTGCAAGGTATGAGCATTTCACCACTACCCTGTTCCTTTCCTTCCGGTCGATGAGTCGAGTTGGACGGTATTCGCACGGTGATCAGCGGCAATGAGAAACGAGGATCAACATGGAGAATGGGTATATCAAGGGCAACGACATAAGCGACAGGGAATGGAACCGCCGACTCGACTCAAGACCTATTCAAACACATGCACGATGGCAACAGAATACTGAGAAGTTCTACAGCAAGGCAAGGGTCTCATCAAGGTCAACGGCCAGCCCCTCTCTCTGGTCCAGCCTGAGATTCTCCGCTTCAAGGTACGACCGACAAAGTCCGCCTCCGAAGCTACCATACTAATAACGACAGGTCTACGAGCCTCTCCTCATCGTCGGTGCGGACAAGTTCGCCGGTGTCGACATCCGCGTCCGCGTCTCCGGTGGTGGTCACACCTCCCAGGTCTACGCCATCCGCCAGGCCATCGCCAAGTCCCTCGTCGCCTACTACCAGAAGTACGTCGACGAGCACTCCAAGAACCAGCTGAAGCAGGCTCTTGTCCAGTACGACCGCACATTGCTCGTTGCCGACAACCGCCGCACGGAGCCCAAGAAGTTCGGTGGTCGCGGTGCCCGCGCCCGGTACCAGAAGTCTTACCGTTAAACGGGAAAACTTTGGTCTCTGGGATCTTATCAGGTGCATTTTGTTTTTCCTCGCCTCGTCTCTTGGGTCCGGGCCTCGCCGACGCTGATAAAACATTTGTGGGTGACGGGAGGACCGCAGGAGCGCAAGGAGAAAAGAAAAGGGCTAACGCTGAATGGTGTCTGTCGGGTGTACTGGGGAGGAGATCTGGAGCGCTCCCCGGGGCAATCGGTTATGGTTCGGATCTGGTTGTCGCTGGGGTGGAAATGTTTTATGATGTGATACTACTGGCTCGGTCGAGGTTGGTTTTAGTATAGGCCAGGTATCTCAAAATATCACCCTTTTTTTCCTGTTTCAAGCAAGCTCCGAGATTGTTCGGCGTTATGTCTGGTCCCGAGGATTACGTCTGTCAACTGAACACGATTCATGTCATGATTTGCAGCTCGTAGTGTATCATATAGGTACAGCGTTTATCACCTAATTGCTTCACATCATTCATTCATTGTTTCTCTGGAAAAGACACCTGGATACCCCACGAGCTAAGGCTAACTACAGAAACATGCGGGCGAGACGACAGAAGTACCAGACTCCGCTGCGAACCCACGGAGCAATGAAAGACTACAGAAAACAAGGCAATAGAAAGGCTCAAGCAACGACTAAGCTGATATGCCCTCTGCCCACGGAGAACTACCGTTAACATGCTGGTCCAGCGCGTCCTCGTCATCACTCTCGGCCCCATCAAGCGAGAGCAGTTGGAACCGATTGGGAATGGCAGCGGGTTTCGCCGACGGGGCCCGGGAAATGGCCATCTTCAGTCCGATGGGCGCCTTTGCGGCCAGGGGCGCAGCGCACTCGTCCGGATAGAAGTTGATTTTCATGCCCTTGTATGTCACGCGCGACATCATGCAGGAACGCGCAAAGAGCGCGTTGTGGACCGAGTTGGTGGAGATGTAGGCGTTCCCGTGCTTGAAGCTGACGGCGACGACGATGAGGTTGTGGATATGGTCGAGATCGCGGCGGATGAGCCCCTCGGTGATGTTCGGGTTGATGTTCTGCACCACCAGATTCCGCGAGGCGCCATTGTTGATCTTGCTCCGCACGTACGGGGGCAGATAGAACTGGCGGTCGTTCCAGGAGACCTCCGTCTGTGTGGTTGTTAGACGGTGAGGGTATCTTGAGGTGGTTGCACCTACACGTTTGCCTGCGATATACAGCCCGTGGGCTTTCGCATGCTTCAGGAACTCCTGCGCGTCCGACTCCTCCACGAACGAGATGTTGGCGCTGTGCTCGCGGGCCCGGAGATAAATATGGAGGAGCGCTCCGCCCCGCATGGCTTGGACGATATCGCGGTGGGTGACTCTGTCGGGGAGGTTACGGACGAGGATGGTACGGTGCACGGTGGGCACGGTGAGAGACTCGGTCGTACTCCTGGACGACTCGTCGTAGTCTTCTCTTTCGCTGTCCTGGGACGCCAGGAGGATCTCGTCCTCGTCGTCTTCATGGATGTCGTCGTAAGCGCGGGCCAGCTTATAGTTGCCGTCGTTCTCACGGTGCTTGTCGCCGCAAGAAACAAGACCCCCGCGGGCAGAGGATACATTGGAGTCTTCGGTACCGCGCTCAGCAGATGAACCGTAGATCAACACCTAGGTCATTTTAGTGAAAGACGCCGGCGCAGAGGGGCTCATTCTCACGTCTAGAGTTTCTGGGGATAGTCCTCCGGTCAGGAGAGACTCTTTCAACCGTTCTGGAGCCGTTAGACATGAGCGGGGGCCCAATCGGGCAAGTATGCAGCGCCGGTGGATAGATCACATACGCAGATGATGTGCATCTTCGCGCTGGAGTGCAGAATTTTCGGGTCAATGCGTGCGATGCCTGATTTGGACAGCGATGGGACTTACCAGGCGCTTGTATTCGGAATCTAAGATGGTCACATAGTTCGGGTCGTTTGAAGTATCCTATGGAAGGGTCAGCGGGGTTTGGAGATGCCGGCGATTCGCATCCACGTACAGTTCCAGCCCTGCGAGATAGTCAGTAACAGCTCGATGAGGGATATAGACATGTCACAAAGAAGGACAGCAAAGAAAGGAAAGAGAGGAGATAAGGGTCGGTGATAACCAGCCACGGACAGGCGATAAGACGCAGAATGCGAGGACGATGGGAGAACTCACTTCTGGAGGAGATATTCCAGATGACGCTTTTCCACAGTGATATAAGAAGACATGATGGGCTCTGTAGCGGAGAGCAGCAAGAAAGAGAATGGAGGATGGTGGAGGAAGGAGACGCACCAGCGACGCAGCGCGGTTAAATACAAGACGGGGAGCGATAGAGCAGGATGGGAAAAGGAACACGACAGGGGAAAGACAGCATTGGGACGATTCACAGACGGGTGGATGGATGGATGGATGGATGATTGCAGAGAGATGCAGAAGAAGAAACTCCCTTCCACATTCTCTCTGACGACTCCTCTTTACTTCTACGTACACTCACTCACCCACTCACTCACTCTCCTTCCCTTGAACAATCCATTCAGCCCTCTCATTCATCATTCACTTTCGACAGCAAACACGCTGTGTGACAACCCCCCACCGCTCGGTGGCGCCAGACAAGTCACAGCCAACTGAGCTGGCGCCTTTTGTTGGCTGTCTGTGTGGACGCAAGGCGCTTATCCAGACTTCGACGGTGGCATGAATGCACATGGCGCTTCCTCCATTCGCTCCCTTCCGCTCAGCGAGAAGGATCAAAAAGAACGGCTGCTGACGATCAGATTCCCTTTTCATCTTCCAGTCTAGGTGATATACAGTGCGTGCAGCCGCTGTCTACAAACGGTCGCTGTGCAGGAACATGTGTTCATCCCTGCGATCATCCAGATACACAAGGGATGACTTGCCGTTTGCCCTCTTGCCTCTTGTCTTGGAGTCTCCTACGTAAAGGCAATGCAGGATAGCCTCAGGGTACACTGTGCTCATCCCACTGGCAAAACACACGCGGAACACGCAAAACACACAACTGATGTCGTACTTTTTGACCGCCTTGTGCAAAGCCCCAACATCTGCTTTTATTGGACTGACCGGTCCACCACCAGTAAGGAAGCAGGCGACACACGCCTTGATCAGGTTTCTCTCTGCAGGATGGCGTTATCTTCTGTGTGATCGGCGTCGAAACCATCCGGCCAGTCAGGCAGGGTCCGTCTGGACCACTCAGCCTGCAAGAAGTTCAGTCTAGAAACTAAACCGAGCACAAGACTATCCCGGCTCGCGGTCTTCTCCCTCAGCCTCGTCTTGAGGATTGTCCGGTGCTTGCGTCGTAGCTGGTTGCTCTGGCGCTTCTACTCGGGGGCGGCGCCTCGTTCGCCAGACTTGCGCCGCATTGACGGCCACCTGCGCCAGGAAGATGGCCAGAAATATACTCACTACGACAATCTGGGGAAGATGCGTCTCGGAGCCTTCTCGCTGGAAGTGCGGCTGGCCACTGTTGACAGTAAAGGGTCCAGCCGAGCCGAACGAAACAGACACGGACATGGAAAAGGGCGTGAAGGTGGTAAAGACGCTCGATCCCAGCGGTAGGGACATGGTACCGGCTCCCAGACTCATGGAAAGCACGGCAAAGACGAGGACAGGGACGGCTAGTCACAAGACAGCCGCGACGGACGGGCGGGGGCGATCAGGCCTGCAGAAGGAGGACGGTGAGTGCCTGAATACCAGACATGTCTGATGCAGGTCAAAGCCCGGGGTACATACCACTGACGAGACTCCAGCTTTCTTATCCACCGCGCAGTGATCTTCAAGCGCTCGCGAACACTCGTTGCGGACAGAAGGGCGTACTTCTCTTCTTCCCACACCGGCAGGATACTAGCAAACCACCATGGGAAACGAGCCGGATCCGTGGGGATATCCCCGTATGCCAACAACGCTCGCGGTCGGAGCCATACCGCGCCCTGTCCATGCTGCCTGCGCACAAAGTCCAAGCCGAGCTGGAACAGCTCCTGCGTCGACATGCTCTCCAGCGGCCGTTCTGCAGAACCTTCCACGTCGACGGCCGTGGCCGACGTTTCCAGCGCTTCGCGCGCTTCCTCCTCGGTAATGGAAATGTCATCCACGCGCTGGATCCGGCCCACCTGGTAGCCGTCCACGACCACAGACCCCAACACCTTGAACCGCGACACGCCGGTCGCAACCACCAGACTCCTCCCGTCCGGCAACAGCTCGTACCGATCCACCACCAACACGGTCCCATACTGCAGGAACTGGGACCGTCCGAGGCCCTCCTGTAGCCGACCAGCACGGTTATACATGACCATGCCGAACCTGCGCCCGCGGCTCTGCATAACCCTCCGGATCATCAGCCGGTATCGCGGCTCGAAGATGTGCAGGAAGGTCGGCATCGTCGGGAGGGAGAGCGAGCTGACGAACAACGGCAGCGTCGTCTCATTGGGATTGCTCTCCTCTAGGGCGGATGTCTCCCGTCGCGCCGCAACCTGCTCGGGGAACAGCGCCTCGATAAGCGCCGCAATGCGCTGGTTCACCGGCTCCGACTGCAGCGTGGACGACATGTTCAGCTTGCGCCGGCACACCGGACACAGATCCGAGTGGCCCAGCACCATCGCCACGCACCGCTGACAGAAGGTATGTCCGCAGCACGTCGTCAGCGGATCCAGAATCAGCGCGTAGCACACATGACAGTCCAGCTCCCCCCGCAGCCGCTCCGCCAGCCGGCCCAGCACCGTCGCACTGCGGGCATCCGTCTGCCCGCCGTCGCGCTCGCAGGCCCCCCCGTAGCCATTGTAGTCGAAGCGACCCTCCCTGATCAGCGCGTAGAGCCCTTCCATCCCGCCCTCCTCCCCGGTAGCATTCTCCTCCGCCTCTGTTGCAGCAGGCCGCAGCACCTCGTCAAACACCTCCACCAGCCGCGTCAACAGCACATCCGTCCCGCAGTCCCCGACACAATGATCGCCCAGACACGCCGAGCACGTAAACCCGTCTCTCCGCGCCTCCGTGGCTGGGTACGTCACGCCCCGCCGCCGATGCAGCGGCGGTAAGCACCCGCGACACACCGTGTTCCCGCATGGAAGCCGCAGCGGCGTCTGCAACGGTCGCGAACACTGCGAGCACTGGATCAGGCGGAGGACCGCCTGTGTCAGGGGGATGTCGGCGGGTCGGTCGGCGGACGGGAGGGAGGAGGTTGGTGGTGATGACGACGGCGGAGGAGGGCAGTGTATGGCGGTGTTGGGGGTGAGGGGGCGGTGAGAGTCGTTATCTCCGTGCGGAGGGATCGCGTCGTCTTCCATCGGGGCGGGGTTGAGGGTCGAATGATGTTGATCGTCTGGGGGTTTAATTCATGGGAGGAGGATAAGGGGAACTACTTCCGTACTCTGAGTACTTCGGTGGTGGCCTTGTCAGGATGAGGTGTGGCCCGACTACCTTAGTTCTTCTTGGCTGCGGCAGGCCGAGGTACTCCGTCTTCCGTAGATCGACGCATTCCGCACAGCAGCGGAATAGGGAGTGCTCCGTATGCAATGTAATAGGGAATTCATCACGCGACCGCTATGTATATACACGTGTACCGCCAGAATCGCATCCGTTTCAAGATCAAGATTCAGAAACCGAAAGCCACCGCATCCCGCGTCCATCACGCCATCCTTCAGATTGCATCATCAATCGCTGCTCTACCTAGATCCGAGACAAGGCGCCAACAAGGCTAAACGCGATATGCTATCATCCAGTTTCGTTGCTCGTGACCAAACCCCGCCAACGCCACGCAGAGAAACTCCACAAGAGAGAAAGGAAAAGTGAGAAACAAAGAAAGAGCAGTGAAAGGATCATCCGGAGTCCTGGGACGAGGTCGCGTCGGAATCCGACTCCGACTCGTCTTCCAGCACGATCCGTCGCATGACGCTTTTGTCGAACAGGTCGAGAGCAAACCGTCGGGCTGGTAGCCGGAAATGGTGGCTTTCCAGGATGCTGAGGGTTTTGCGGAACAGATGCGGTTGGCGGAAGTGCTCAGGCTGCTTGGACTTGATGCTGCAGTTTCATCAGAGTTAGCCGATGATTGTTGACGCAGCTTACTAGCCACCTACCTATGGAGGTCTGCCGCCGCTCGTTTCGACAAGACCGTGTTGCCCATGTCCACAATCAGTTTGAGAATCTTTTGGTTCACGGGGTCTTCGTCCGTGGTCGCTTCCTTGAACTTCTCCTGCGATGTCCGCTTGGAGTCGTACTTCCTGTCGTGGGACGGGAAATCAACCTGTCGTTCGATATTAGTAGCTGCGACACTTGGCTTGGGGATTCCACCTACCAGGAATAACTTGTTAAAGTCGGTGGGAAGACTCAATCCTAGGGAGTTTCCTTCCTGGTCAACCGCCGAGTCCCATCCAAAATCCCTTAGCACCTTGAGCCCGTGTCGGCTGCGGGAGACGAGGCCGAGCACGAAAAACGCCGTGCCTCTCATCGTCAACACCTCCGCACTCTCGGCGATCTTCACGATGCGTTCGACAATGTCCGATTCCAGGAAGGGCGCCCCGAGTTCCATAGACCCGACATTGCCCACAGCCCAGAGACACCCCTTCACCTTGAGAAGAGTCTCCGTGTCCTCCTCGTCTAGTCGAAAATCGCGAATCGTCCAGGCGAATTCGTTGAAATGCCCCGACTGCTCCAGAAGCTTACATCCCTCCGCTGTTCGGGCGAGTTCTCGGTAGAAATGCGGCGGCACCAGTCCGATGTCCTGCATGTCCACAATGTCATCGGGGACCAGGCTGCCCCGTCGCGGCTGATCCACGTACGCTCGCGAGAGCGCAGCTTCCACCAACCCCACGTATGCGTCGTTGCGGCCCAGAAACCAATCGTCCATTTCTTGCGTGATGTAGTCGAGTCCGTCCAAGTAGTGGTAGCCGACGGAGGTTGAAAGAAATCGTAGGAGTAGAGGGGCCCCGATCTCTCCCAGGTGGTCGAGAGAGGGCCGGCATTTCACAACAAACTCCAGGTAGTCCCGATGGTTGCAGGCTTCTTCCAAGATTTTGACAGCAACTTGGCATACAGACACATCGGGGTCATATAGCTGGGTCACAAGAAGTTTGACAACCCAGTCGGCGTTCCCAATAGCCATCTGTGGAGACAGGGGGACATTGCCCACAGCGTACTTGCGCAGGAGTTTCGTGGCAAAGATGCGGATCTCCTTGGAGCCGGTAGTCAGCGCTTTGGAGAGCATGACCCGTAGATGGCTTTCCTGCGTGTAGTCCAAGTTCCCTAAGAGTGTTTGGATGAGATCATCCCGATCTCGAAGCTCAATGATATGGTAGAACATGTTGAGCATGTGCCATCTCTCCATCATGGCCAGCCCATTGGCGTCGCCGCTCAGGGTCCCTAACAACGCAAAGTACCCCCCGCTTAATGTCGACGCCATTTGCTCCCGGGAGAAGAGAGGCGACGAGGAGGTTAGGCCACTCATGCGATCCACCTGCGCGAGACATTCTGCAACCTGCCGCAGAAATTTGTTTTCCGCCAGATACTTCGTTCCTTCGGGTATTTGGACTAATGTTCGCATCAACGCACAGCCCGTTCGGACGTAGCGCTGGTTCGGTTTCGTGTTCGGAAGCATGCAAAACCTATACTTGAAGGGCCGGTAGAAGCCCATCAGACGTTTCATGAATTTTGAGCCCTTGATTGCCTCGTCCAGCCTCTTGGGATTGGTTAGAGGGCCTTCGACGATACGGTGAATCAGATCCCACTTCCATTTCAGGAAATTCACGGTGTTGAGGACATTGGTGTCGAGAATGGCCTGCCTGAACTGCGTCTCGTCCATTGCGGGGCTGAGTCTATCTTTTCCTTGGTCGCCAGTCAACAGCGAGGCAGAGATATCGACGTCCACACTGTATCTTCCCGCACCGGTTGAGACGCTTCCTATCGACCGAGCCAGTGTTCTGTTGATGCTCTCAATCTGATAGATGGTCGAGGTAGAGACGTCGTGGTTCTCCACGTCGAACTTGATTGCAGACGGCAGCAAGTGCGGAAGAACTTGGAGCTTCGAGCTAATGTGACGAGGTAATGAATGATGGGCGAGCTTCAGGACTTCGGTCAAAAGCAACGTCGCCTTGCGTCTGAGCGAAAGATCTGTTTCATCCTCTATGAGGTCGCAAAGGGCTTTTGAGAGACCTGCGTCCACCAGCGTTGCGAGGATGAGCGTTGAGAAATGTGCCGTTAGGTCAAGCTTGTTACCGCCGCCTCCAGAGAGTCCACGAAACTGTTTCATATCAGACTCGGAGCGAAGAGTTGCAGCTCGTCCATATGTCGTCAGCCTTCGACCGGCAAGGAAGGAGGAAGACCATGACGGTGGCTTGATCCGAAGAGCGTCAAACAGGAGTTCCATGATGAGATCTCGTGCCTGCGGGTCGGGGTAGTGTAACGAGTCGAGGAGGGATTGGAGTGGTTTGCCGCCGTTCCTGGCCAGCACCACTAAACCAGGCCAGGTCTTGAGCATCGCGGAAATAGCCTTCGCCGAGGATTTTAACCGGCCATTGCGCACAGAGTCTGATAGGGAATCGGTGAATGGGGCCAAGACGGCTTCAAGCTCCCACCCTCCCCGCAGATGTTTTCTGCTATGCGGTGTATCCAGGACGTGGAGAAAACTGGCTATGAGACTCTCCGACGCCCCAAACGTGCCCTCCGCTAGGGCATCATGCAGAGTCGCAAACCCACCCGCATACGCGATCAGTCCTGGGTCCTTCACCAGAATCTCTGCAAGGGTCATGATTGAGATGTTCCGGAGACGGTCGTCGGAGTGTTCTGCCACGGAAACAATCGTCCGGACGACCGCTCGCGATATCTCATGGACACCGTCCTTTACATCCAGGAACGCCCTCACGAACTTCAGAGCCTGCTCCCGCTCGATGCCTGCCTTGCTCTCTTTGACCAGAGACAGAATGACGAGCTCGTCTGTATGCAGCGAGCGGATGATCTGGAGCGACTTACGGTCTGCGATGGCATACCGCGTCAAGCGATACCCCGCCGCCACGACCTCTTTGCTATCGCTGAGAAGCATGACCTGCACACGCAGGCCAAAGACTGACCACGCGAGGTCATACTTCAAGGTCGGATGTCGCTTGAACAGCTCGACGAGACTGTTGGCCCGCTCGACGTAGTAATCCGGCGCCATGCCTTCGATCTCCAGCGCCTGCAAGGTCTCCGACAGCACGTACGTCGGGGACTCCATCTCCGCCTCCGGATTGTCGGGCTCTTCATCGTCAAAATCAGCGGTGTTGTTCTGAGGCGGCGACCGTATGGACCCGCCCTGGAACAGACTCGACAAACGACTCCGGGGAGGGGTGGACGGCGCCTGCGCACGTAGCAGTTCCTCCTCCAGCTCGTGGTGTAGCTCGGCCAGCTTGCGATTCGAGGTGCTCAGCTCCGACTCGACCCTCAGGCGCTGGTCCTTGGTCTGCTTGGGGTTTTTGGCCAACAGGGCCTCGAGCATGTTCTCCGTGCCCGTCTTGATCTTCATCTCCTTGGCGATCTTATTGCGAATCGCCGCCTGGCGCTCCTCGGTGCTGGACATCTCATCGTACTCGACGTTGCTGCTCCCGCGACGTCGGAACGTCCCCTCGGGTCGTGGCGTCGTGCTTCGGGACGTCTTCATGCTCTTGAGTTCGGAGCTGAAGCTGCCTGGGCCCGCGGACCCGGACGAGGGGGCGATGGAGCCCCCGCGAGGGCCGATGGAGGCACTGTTCTCCGACCCGGAGCGAGCATCTCGACTGGTTTTCGAGGCGGGCCCGGGCCAGCTGCCGTCCACCGAGAATTCATCCTGGTTGGAGAGGGAGCGTCCGTCGCCTGCAGCGCGGTGCTGGATCGACGTCGCGGAGAACCCTGAGTTATATCCGGACGCCATAGGTCGCCATCTAGCCGAAAGGGAAGCGTGTTTAGATCACCTATCGCGGTTCGGAGTCGGACTAGGAATTTATGGGGTACGGCATTGAGTGCGCAACGGGGAATTCGAGGGGCTACCGAGGCGGTGCAGGCGGTCTCCGCAACAATCGGACGGGGCGTGCAACCAACAACAACAACGTCAGAAGGGAGGGGGGAGGAGGCAAGAGGCGTGTCGCAGTAAGGTTGGGGATCCCGCCGGATCGCAGAGGGGGGAGACGAGGAGGGATGGAAGTTCGATGATGGATGAGCAAGTCACATGCGAGGCGGAAGAATCCTCAGATGACAAGGTGAATCCAGGGCAGAGCAAGTCCGTCGTAGTCGGATTCCCCGATGGATGATGGGCTATCCTCCCACCGCTCGGAGTTTCAGTCTGGACGCATGTCTTGGCTGACTAACCCGTGCCTCGTAGTTAACTAGACCACAGCTACAACATTCATACTATGATTCACTATCAAGGAGGCACTTTCTATGGTTATTGCTATTATTCTTGGTCCATCACTTGACACTACTCAGAGATTATGTGTCTTTGACAACAGAACTTCTTGATCAACCATACATCTACAACTTTCATTATTGATCCCTATTTGTGATGGATACCCATACATTGACTCAACAAGATGACTGCCTCGCAGCTTCACGGTAATCCAGGTATTAAGAGATTGTCCATGGTAAAGAAACATTCGTCACAGCGTGTTCAAGAGCACAAAAGCCACCCATGCAAGTTCTAGGAAAGTCGCAACCCAAGATGCTGGTGGGGAAAATGAAAACAATGTACAAAGAACGACAAGATAAAGCTCGATGCTCAGCAGACAGATGTAATAAAGCATGTACACCAGAAACGAAACGAAAAGAAACAAAAGAATGGAAGATTGCGGCCAGATGCAACGCCTTCTCATGCGAACTCAAAGGACACGCAGGGTAAGATCAACAAATCATTCCGTATCGCAGTCGTGGGATCCATGTCCCCTCTTAGAGACATCGACACCGGGGAGTTTTTGGGACTAGAGTACTGTTACTCCTCGTGGGTGCGGCAGAGGCGGCCAGCTTCTCATCGGCGGCTTCCACATTCAAGGCAGCCTCTCGCTTCGTTTTGGACCGCCGCCACCAGATGACGAGAATATAGATGACCCCCATGGAGCCGCTAATGATGCCGTACGCAATGGGCGACGCAGGGGGAATATCCGGATTCATGGAAGCTGCATAGTGGAAACCTATGCCCCCATTGACAATGCCCAGGACGGAGAGGAATCGTCCAAGCCAGCGGTGTGCCACGCCATACGCCGTCTTCTTACCAGTCCGTCGAAAACGCACATGTTGAACAATGCCCAGCACCGGCTGCACGAGGACGACACCAGCCATTGCCACGTAGCCAAGAATCGGGTGATAACCTGCCTCCTCGCGAAGGTCGATCGCCGCTGAGACGCCAACCGCAAACCCAGCCAAGGCGAGTAGCACGGCAAAGATCTGGAGAGGCGCATGAATCCACGCGACAGTATAGCGAGAGGGAAAGATGTGCAGCGTGAGGCCGAAATTGGGAAAGAGGAGAACAAAAGCGACAGAGGTCATGACGCCATGGGCGATCCGTTTCCTGTGAAGGATGGTGTCGCTGACTTGTTGCTGGACGGAGAAGGGGGTAAAATCCATGATGTCGTGGGATGATAAGAAAAATGGATTGGGCGAGTTGGCTCCGATGCCATGACTGAGATCCAGAGTGAAGATGCCATGCCAGTCATGTTTGTATATCTGCGCAGAGACATTGGCCGAGTTCATGGGTCCACCTCCAGTCATCGCCCAGATCCAGGAAGACAAGTTCGAGTTACCCATGATGCTTGTTCCGTCATTCAGAGTCATGCAGTTATCACAGCGAATGTTGGCGATCATAAGTCCGTGGCGGATACCGGAGCCCTCGAGAAGAGTAGCGTGGATGCTGGAATTGTAGAGGGGCTCGATAGGACCGGTTGCCCTGCGAGGGGACAAAGTGACATTTCCATCAGGCCCGGCGTAGACGACGAAAAGGTTTCCATCCGTCATTTGGACTCCTTGGCCCAAAGCAAACCATTTCAAGTCGGCAGGCGCCTTCAGTTGCAGGTACATCGGGCCAGACCCGTTGGAGGCAGTGTGTTCCGGGATATTAACGCTGTAGGACACTCCCTTACCCTCTGAGGGTGTATGGCTCACGATCTGACCATAGATGGAGGAGGCTAGACGGAGAGGTCAGTATCTGTATACCTCAACTGGGGAGCCCAGGGTTACATACCAAGACATAAGGCGCTTGCGGCCAGGCGGAGGACCCTCATTGCGTTGAGGTCTATTTGAACGCAGTTCAGGTGGGTTTAGGATCGATGGTGATTATTAGAAAAGAAGGACAGTAGAGGATGTGAGGCGGAATAAAGGTAGGAAAGAGAAGCTTGAAGACGTCCACAACAAAGGTGTAGAAGCTCCACGGGAGTAGGAATAGCGATGAAGATCAGTGATACACAAAAGGTAGAGAATGGAAGGGTCTCATATCCGGATATGGAAGGCTTTTATAAGATTGTGAGAGCAGATTTGAGTGAGTGAAGTCCTGTCGTTGAGTTAAGGGAGTGAATATGTTGGATGCGTTGGATGACACTGTGAATATGGATGTCAGTATGGGACTTGCCAATATCAGCATTGTGTCGCCACCCTAAGGGGAGGACCAGATTGGAGAATGCCATAGAATCAATCCGTTGATACAGTGAATTGGATGAACTGGCCGGAAGACTCCGGACAGATCACGACTGATGCCGTGAGAGTGAAGACAAGAGGATGGGCTAGAACATACTCATAGAGTGCAATCGAGCTGATTAACAAAGACTGGCCACAGCTGCCCTGAGCCACATAGTGTCACTGAGCGATATAGCCATGGAAGAGATCTGCATGGCAGTTCAACGACGATGTGACGAAGATCACAGGCCCATCGGGGGGGGGCAAGTGGCAGTTAAGCTACTGGCCCTGACTCTGACTCTGTGTGGATTTGACTTTTGCGACAGCACCGATGACAGATGGGAAGATCGGAGAAGGGTGGATGCAAGAAAGATTGACCACAACGACAGTCGATTAGATGCCACGAAAGGAGAGAAGATCGTCCGATTGAAAGAGCGGAGGAGGATCAGAGGTAGATATTAGGTAGTTTTATCTATTATTTTGGATCCCACAGGGCAAGCGGGGACAGGCAGGACCTTTTTTTTCTGGATTGACCCATGGCGAAAATCTTCCGAGATTTTTTTATTTTTTTATTATTTTTATTTTACTATTTTACTTTTCCACATTTCCACTTGACGGAAAAGTTCCCCAGGTGAACCTGAACCTGATCCTGATGGACCACATGGTCTGTGCCACTCGCGTTGTCCAAGAAAATAGTCCTTCAAGACAAGAATCTTGGGAGCATTATCCCGTTTCCGCCAGCTATCCGGCCGGGCCCTCAGCCACGGGGGGAATTCCTCATGCCGGAGAAAGCCGCCATTGGGTTCTGATAACTAGACGGAGAACTGGGTTTGGGACCGACTCGCTAGGTGGAACGAATGGAACAATTGATTCTTCGGTACGGGCAACACGAAAGTTAACTGTCGTACGACGCCGGGTGATTGGCCCGGGGGGAGCGTGGTAGAGAGCGCATGGCAATGGTGCCTGGCCATCTCCACCTGAAACATGGGAATAGAAACATGGGAAAAATACTTTCATGATTCATGACGGTGATTGCATTGACGGAGGATGCCCAATGAAGCAGTGGAATCTACAGAGTCCTCCGTTGTACTGTACATAGGGAGGGACCTCACGCGGGATACTTACTCCAAACGAACCCCCTGGACGAGTCGTCATATCATTTTGGAGGTGCAGAGGCTAGAGCCACACTAGACTGGACTGGGAATCATTAACCTAGTTACAGAGTACGTCCGTCCGAAGCCGCACCTGAAGGGCACGACCCCCCTTTCGTTAATGCTCCTGACGCCAATCGTGGACCCTTTTCATCTGCAAGCCGTGTCAGTTCAAACCCACATCCTGGCGAGGTGTACTCGACTTGGCTAGTTAGCTCCGCCCAAGGCGTCGGATCTCGGGACTCTCTGACTGTTGTCGCCTGTCGCCGGGCGTAATCACCGATCCTCGACGTTTGTCTTGTCGGTGGTGGGTAAGCCATGAGAGATCCGAGCCAATGACAAGGTTGGGCCACGCGATGGTAACTTTCGCACCCATGGTCCTTCAACGGCGATTTTGCCTCATTTAACAATCCATCAATCCCAAGAGAAAATTCGGCCTGGTTTCCACCCAGCTCTTTTTTTAGTTTTTATTTATTTTATTTTATTTTTCCCCCCTCTTGTGTTTGCATTCACCTGCATCCAAACTTTATTTATGCTCGGCGCAGAGTGCACTATTTTTGAGTGCTTACGCGACATGTAGTTGGTTCTTGGCATGTTATGAAGAAAAACAAACGGAGGACCTGGGCGGGACTTGGTTTGAAGGAGACGGAGGAGACGGATACACCGCAGGCCATCGGCCCAGAACTCGGTACTGCGAGGGACCAGAGACAAAGTAGCTCACCTATTATTAGCCAACCGAAATTGTCGCCACGCAAATACTTTTAGTACTGGTATTATTAGGCCCGCCATGTGAAGACCCACTCGCTGACATTGTCCAGACCTTTCGTCGTGCGCCATCGACCTTTGCTCTCACCACGGAAGGTCCATACTTATTATACGTGATGAACTGTAGATACCCTGTAGTGTCCTGGAGATGGCTCACGGACCAAATAATATCAATTTCCTGCAGGTTCAGAGTAATATGCATTCCCCCCCGGTGACTACAGGGGTTCTCGGATACTGCCCACGCCCTGCGCTAATTCCACCAGTACGAAGCACTAAGAGAGTTAGGCTCATCCCCACCACGCCCACTCGCGGATGGTCTTGCTTCTCAACCTCATCGCGCATGGGTAACCGTCGGAACGGCGGAAGAACCAGGGTGGTGAAGAGCCCATCGAACCGGCAACTATGCGATGCATATGACAGACATTCTGTGTCACCACATGCGAAGGACCCGATCCGGTGGAGCACATCCAAGATCGTATCCGTATCCGTACATCGGAGAAGATATCCTTTCTTCCTGCGGGATCTACAGCTGGTACTCCGTAGGTGCCTAGTGCACAAGTCTACGACCCGTTCATAAGAACATCGTTATGATACAAAGCAATTATTTAATCAATGCTATAATAATCCTACGATAAGATCTAGGAATACTGTAACGATTATTTTACTACCGGAGGTTACTCTCCAGGGAATTCTCCGAACATCCCTACGACATGCCTGATCGACTCTAGAAGCCATCCTGGCGTCGCCCACCTACATAAGCGAACCTAGCCCATACCCGAAACAGAAAAAGCTCGACGTCCACGCTTAAGACACAGCTCAGGTCCGCGCCAGACTAGTGAACAAACGATCTTGGTCATGACCTCACTACCTTACTACCTAGGAGTACTACCTACTACCTACTACTACTGCCAATCTTCTGCCACGGCTTGGTGGATTACGGCCAGGCCAATCGTCGTCGCCCCTCTGACACCGTTTAAATTGTGTTTATCATCTCTTTCAGTTTCATATCATACAGAATCCACCTCCCTTTTCCGATCGTTTCGGCTGGGCGCGCGAGTTTCAGATGCAAAGCTCCACCTTTCGTTTTCGCTCAAACTAGACCGTCCGTCTTGGCCGCTTCATCCTGAACCCGTCAAACCCATGATCGGTCGCATCTGCCTCTAGGAACTCCCACTCGTGGTCTTCTCTAGGATGGTCTTCATCATCTCGTTGCCAAGCTTGGCGGCCTCGGGGAACCGAGGCGAAAAGTACTGCTGGATCCGCTCGAAGCGGTCGCGGTAGGATTCGAAGTCACCAAACGAAACGCAATCAGACCATGCCTACGGATCAACCGATTACCAAGGTCAGCACTGTTCTCTTCCGTCTTTTCTGCCCTCCCTGCGAACATGGAGCTTGTCTCCTGATCCTTCGCGGGGGCACAACTTACCCGAGCTGCAAAGGTGAATTCCAAATCGTCCGAGCGGAACGTCTTGTCGTTGATCGCCGTCTCCAACGCCTCGTCGAGGAGCTCCGGGTTGCGGAAGAGGTACTCGGTGACGCCGAGCCACAGACGGAACAGCTACATTACGTACATGGTCAGCAAGCGATCCGCAGGTTGCCGCAGTGGCATGCAGGACCAGCCTCCTTAGCCGGGGTAGGACTCACAGGGGTTGAACAAATCATATGATCGTACGGGACGATGCCCAACTTCGACCAACAATCCACAATGGCCAGCAAACTCAGATGGCTGTTCGGAGGGGTGTCCTCGCGCGACCGGTTCGACAGCGAAAACCGGTCGAGAACCTCGTCCTTCAGCAGCAAGTCTTGTCCCTCGGTGCCCGCACGGAAGACCGCAGCCCCGGCGGCGTAGACCCGCTGCTTCAGTTCGTCCCGGCGGCCCTCGATCATCAGCTTGTACAACTCCGTCACCGACTCCGCATACTGGCGGATCTGTTTCTTCGCGGCCGGGTTGAGGATGGCGAGCCCGGCGTACACGTGCCATTTGTTCGAGTAGATGCGCAGCGTGATGTTGATCTTCACGTTCTCGATGCCGCCCACCCAGCGAGAGATCTCCCAGGGGAATTGCTCGTTGGCGTGCCAGGCCGTCCCCATGCTCAGGAAGGCGGCGTGCGTGACCGCCTGCGTGTCGGCGGTGATGCGGTCGTGCAGCTCGCCCGTGAGGTAGACATACTCGGAGTTGAAGCAGGACAGGACGTTCTCGACGAACCGCAGGCTGGCGTCCGACGCGCGGTGCTGGATCAGGACCTATGGAAAGAGCGTGGTGTTATTTCCCATGTCTGACGGGTCGCACGGGAGGCAGAGGCCCAGCGATGGAGGTAGAGTCGTACCAAGGGTTGGCCCTTCGGGTTGACCTTGGGGCCATGCAGGGAATGGCATGATACAACTTCTACATCCGGAGGGAGATGTTTATCGAAGGCGGCCAGCTCGGGAGCTTTGCATGACGTTTGACCGCCGACGATCGCGCCGACTTTCGTAGCTTTTGGATGATTCCACGTCAGATACCGTGCCAGAGGGAAGATCGGGTGGTGACCATTTACGTACATGGGCCGTATTGTGCCACTACCCTGTCAATCACTCCAGCCTCTACACTGTAAATAATGTAATCGCTAATCCTTGAAACCAGGTGTCCATCGGGATATACGGTGACACCTTTCTATATACAATGAGTTTAAGGACAGCATGAGCTGCGAGCAAAAGACGTACTTGAGAATCGAATTCTTTTCTCAGGGTCTCATAGTTATCGGGCTTGTCACATGCATTAATCCTTGAAGACACGACGGTCAGTACAACTAATTCGATTCTATCGAATATAAAAACTAAAAGTACGACGACCTGGAGAGGAGAATTCGTTAGCATGAAGTCTCAGCAGTCAGAGTGTGTGAAATCAATGCAGATCAACGAATTAAACATATCAGACAAGAAAATTTAGGTAGCTGAGATTTTACATCATTGACGGCCCAGTCAGCCACTGTCATACCAGAAAGGCGAGACAGTGACATTCCCAGACCATACTCGAGCCAAATGCACTCAAGTCATCCTTTGACAGACAGGGGGGGAGGTAGTGGGACTGAGATCGAGGCAGAGCTTACCTATAATGAACACGCAGGGGAAGGTTGTGATATTACCTCCACCCTGCATCGCTGAGTCTCTGGGCATACATCTTGCCCATGTCACCCATGCCAATGATGCCAATCATGGCATTTTCTTGGGTCAACACCATCTTGCGATGTGTGCGATCGCACGCTCCTCGTCGCTAATGGGTTAGTACAACACACGAAGACACACGACCGATCAATGCGATTGACGAGAGACTCGATCGTATGATAATCCAGCCAGTCGAGCCTTAGACAGTGGCCGTTCTGAAGGGTTGGAGGGATTTCAGAGATGATGAGGGAGAGAGAAGTCATTGTGTCACCGAGAAAATTCGGCTTAAATGCTGGTGGGAAAATTGCGGTTCACCGCCTTCCGGGCCGACTCCGACACCGACCACGGGTACTTTGGCTTTGCCTATGAGGGGCCTTCCTTGTCGGTGCCTGATTCAGGCCTCAGGCTGCACTCGCTTGCGCCCCGCCCAACAGACGGCCTGACCCAATCAAGAGGCTGCTTTCTGCAGTAGGGCACACACCCACACCGCATCCATTTTCTTGCATCCAAACTTCACGCTCGCCCTTCTCTTTCTCTCCTCCATATTCCATCCCACACCCAGTACACCACACAATGGCCCCCAAGAAAGCCGCTGCCCCCAAGGAGAACGTCTCTCTCGGCCCTCTGGCCGGAGATGGTACGATTGCCTCTCATATCCGAATTTCACTGCATGCACATGGCTAACGTTCGGGTTTATAGGCAAGCTCGTTTTCGGCGTTGCCCGTATCTTCGCCTCCTTCAACGATACCTTCGTCCACGTTACCGATCTGAGGTTCGTTTGCGCAGTTCCGTTTCTCGATCGATATGTTGCGCCGGTTTTTTCGAGATCCGATCGGGTGGAGAACTGGCTGGTGCTATATCGGTCGAGGAGAAGAGAATGCGAACATCTAAGCTAACGACGAATCTTACAGTGGTCGCGAAACCATCTGCCGTGTCACCGGTGGTATGAAGGTCAAGGCTGACCGTGACGAGTCTTCTCCCTACGCCGCCATGTTGGCTGCCCAGGACGTTGCCGCCCGCTGCAAGGAGCTTGGCATCAACGCTCTGCACATCAAGATCCGTGCCACCGGTGGTATGTAGTTGCCTTCACAGTGCTGAGCTCAAGAATATCAACTAACCCGTCCCAGGTAACGGTACCAAGACCCCCGGTCCCGGTGCCCAGTCTGCCCTCCGTGCTCTGGCCCGTTCTGGCATGAGAATTGGCAGAATCGAGGACGTCACCCCCACTCCCTCCGACTCTACTCGTCGCAAGGGTGGTCGCCGTGGTCGTCGTCTCTAGATCTGTGCGGGTGTGTGTCTTTTCCAGCTGGTGCACGATATTTGCCTGGCTGGAATGGAGGCTGCCGGTATAGTGTTCGGCCTGCGGATGTGGATGGAATAAACGCGAAGAACGGCATTTATCGCCTGGTCTTCAATTTTTTTCATATCCAAAAAATGGTGAAATTCAGTTTTGGGGATTGGAGTTGCATGCTCCGATGGTCAATATGAACTTCAACTGCATCTTTTGCTCTAGACTGTATAGCGTAGACTGCACAGTAGGCTATCAGTAGTGTACAGAAGAGTAGATTATGTAATATACAGCCCTGTCTCTTATCGATAAGGCCTCCATCTCATGCACTTCATCCTCCTGGACGAATCCAGACCATCCAACAGCCACATTGTCTGCGACAATATGACTGCGCCTTCTCGATGCTCTTCGACCAACGATGGGACGGGAACACACTTAATTTATGGATCGACTGGTCATGACTTAACCGCGGGAGTCAATCCGGGCCTTCCGTTGGGTCGAGGGGTGTTCTCCGCATCATCGACTACGCCCTGGATGCGACTTCATAGCCCGTCATGTCCTCGTCAGCCTCCGACCTATCCGCCATGATCCCGGTGGCCGTTCCATTCTGGTCTTCCTCTCTTTTCATTCGGGTCTCTTCCTCATTCTTTGCCCTTTTCCGTCCGCAATGAGCCCGCAGCAACACGCCATCTTATATTGAAAACAACAGAGAAGGGACAGGATCTGGGGATAGCGAAGAAAGCTCGCCGAGTCCGATCAGGACCCTCACAGGCATGACCCTCCTGTATGTGAGGGCCGTAGCGCCCTATGAAGATGGCGCCAATGCCACCGACGTGGTCGTCAACAACGTGCATTTCAATCGCACTGCGCTGGACTTTTACAACTACAAGCTCTACACCAACGGGACGCTGTCCAACGGCTCCGAGTGCTATCTCGCCTTCAACCAATTCAAGCCGTTCATGTTCTCCGAGAACGGCACTTTTGTCAACGGCACGTCCTGCTACTCTCCCCTCAATAATATCGGCACGCACGCCTCAGCCGGCCTGGCGTTTATCGTCTTGTTCGCCATCTCCATGTTCCTCACCCTGTTGAACCTCCGGAAGCACGGTCGGAGGTACCTCCCGACAGAACAACGGTGGATCCTCATGGGTCGCAGATGGAAGTGGTACTGGCTGCTTTTCGTCGGCGCGTGCGGGCTCATCAGCTGCATCATGAGCATCGACGTCGACCGCGAGTACCTCCCCAGCTCCCCTATCGTACTACAGTCCATTTTCTACACCCTCCTCCTGCCGGGCCTGATGGCGGCTGTATGGGAAGCGGTGCGACACTGGTAAGCCAGCCGTCCTCGTTCCAGCACCTCAGCCGACATATCGACAAAACTAACGAAAGACAGGGGCTCCTGGCAAGAGCGACAGATCATGGACCGCGATCCCTACGCCTTCACAAAGACCAGCAACCGCAAACGCCAGGAACTCCTCCTCCCATTCCTCTTCTACCTCTGCGCGATCGTCAACTTCGTCCTGACGGTGCCGCGCAGCTGGGGCGCCATCGAGCTGCAGCGCAGCACCGAACAGCAGGAACTGCACGCGGCCCCAGCCGCAACGGACAGCCGGTGGCGCGCAGCGGGGTTTGTCGCGATCGCCGGCGTCCTCGTGATCTGCTACAGCCTCGAGCACAGCCTGTACCGGTACCGGGCGCGGCCGCGCAGCACGGCGGGCCAGCTGCTGTTCTACGTGGAGGCGGCACCGTCGCAGTTCCTGGTGGCGATCGTGCTGCTGGGCGTGAAGATCGGGTACGCGATCGCGGCCGCGTTCGACTTCCGCCTGTCGCCGCTGCGCTACAACGTCGGCTCGGGCTGGCTGTACGGGCTGGGCTACGCGCCCGCGCTGCTGATCGTCCTGCTCTTCAACGTCTGCGGCTTCTGCGAGCTCAACGAGGACAAGGCCCTCATCGCCCAGCGCGTCGAGATCGACTCCGCCCTCGCCAGCTCCGTCGGCATCGACCCTGCCCTCCAGAAACCACACTGGTGGAAGAAGGACCGCTGGCGCGCCTTCACCCGCGAGATCTCCCGCCGCAAGTCGTCGTCCGCCCGCGATAGCCCGCACGATATGAGCGGCTACCTCGAGATGGGCGTCATCAAGCCGCAGGAACAGCGCGCCCAGCAGACCGGTGACGGCATCCTCGGCCCGGACCAGGAGAAGGAGGATACGCGAGTCACGACCCGGACGGCTAGCCAGGCGAGCGGGTCGACCAGCTCCGGCGGGCCTGGTCTGGAGCGTCACCAGATGGAGTATGTCGTTCAGCCGGGTAATGCGGACCAGTTGGATGCCCGAAGGCAGAATTAACGATGTACCGTGCTTGGTATAGTAAGTCTATTTAGTGGTGTGGTTAAATGGGGTGTGTGTGCGGGAGGCTGAGCGGGTTATATATAATGTCACGATCTTAATTCACCGCCCTTGTATATCCACGCATAGTAACTGTACTACAAGCGACATCTCAGCACACTACTAGCACTACAGTCGATACTGCAATCATTGCCATAGGTTTATCATATCACCTGTATGGAGGAGCTACTGAACGTCCCGACCGAACCCAATGAATGCACAGAAGCGGCCGCAATGCAAGAAACAGCAAGGGAAAGAAAGCCCGACACAACAGAAGCAAGAAACCCGACCCGGATGCTGTATCGCGATGCACCTCGTCTAACAACGCCAGTCCCAGAAGCAACCAACCGATCAATCAATCAATCAATCAAAGAACAACAGGAAGAAAAGCAAAGTAAGCAAGTATTCATGAACCTCCACAAGCGTGGCGAGCAAATCGTGACAAAGTCTTAAGGCTGCATGCACACAGGAATGGACATGGCTACGCCGTGAACACGCGGTCCAATTGTCGGAGCGCGCGCATATCCTCGCCGCCGAACCCGATCTTCTCGCTGGGGATATCGCGGGGCCCGTCGGCGCGGCCCGTCGACGCCGCCGTGGCCGTGATGGAGGGCAGGCCGCCGCCGGCTGCGGCGCCGTTCATCAGGGCCCCGATGCTGGGTACCGTGGTCCCCGTGGTGGAGGGTTCGGCGAGCTTGGGCGGCGGGATTTGAGCCGATGTCGATGGAGGCTGCGGCGGCGGCGGCGGCGGCGGCTGGGTCAGCGTGGCTGGGCTGCGTGCGGCCGGGCCGTAGCCGTTTGTTGCGGGGATGGGGGGCGGTTGGGTGCGCGGAGAGGCGCGGCGGGGGTCGGTGGCCGCGTAGGCGGGCGGGCTGCGCTGTTGGACGTCGTGGGCGTCGGCGACGAGACGCGGGGAGCGGCCGGCGATCACGGGGAGCGCGGGGTGGTGGACGCCGGAGGCATGGATGGCGGGCGGCGCGATAGCGCTCTCGATAGGGTGCACGGGGCGTTCGTAGGCGGCGGACAGGCCTGGCTGCGGCGGGGGCGGGGGCGGCAGCCCGGCGTGCGGGGGTTGATGATGATGAGCGTAGAGTTGGCCGTTGGCGCCCGACACCGGCGGGAGGTATGGCGAGTAATGGACGGTGACGGGCGGGGTGGCCAGCGGCGTCGGGGGCCAGGCATAGGGCGGAGTGTATGATTGCGGATGCGTGGCGCCGGAGCGAGCGTAGGGAGGCATGGGGTGGTGGACGGAGTAAGCACCGCCCATGGGGCCGCGAGTCACGACGGGCAGGTTCTGCTGGTCGTTGACCGTGGATTCGGGATAGAGGCCTTTCTGGGGTCGGACATGGCGCAGGGTGGGATCGTTGGTGGGCTGTTGCAGGTTGGCGGCGGACGGATGGGAGCGCGAGTAGTAGCTGATGAGATGGAGGTGTTGGCCGGCGGAGGTGGTGATACTAAAGGACTGCTTCATCAAGCCGTCGGGCTTATATCGGTAGCCATCGGGGCCTTCGTCAGCGCCATCGCCGCGGTCGTCGTCACTACCGCGGGTGCTCTCGGGGGTTTTCCCGGCTCGCGGAATGGTGCTCTGCGATACTCCGGTGCCTCCTCGCTTGCCTTCCATCTCGCGATACGTGAGAAAGCTGCCAGACACGCGACTGGCGCTCCAGGACTTGCCGTCCGTCCAGCGGCGCATGCCGGCTTCTCGCTCATCCCAGACAAAGACGGACCCAGAGCGGATCAACTGCCGTTCTTTCTCGGACAGTCGACGCTGGACGCGAGGGAGAAGACCAATGCGACAGGCCTCGAAGAGGATGATGGCGTCCGCAGGAGTGCGGACATGGCCGTAGTACGTCTCCATCCACCTTCGGTGATCGGTATAGGACCCCGGAATGGGTGAGGGTGGGTAGGCCAGGACAGGCGATTTCTCGTCGGACGGAATGATGAGGGAGTGTTTTGTGATGTTATGGTTTGGACTTGTCTGTCTCTCTTCGGACCAGTCTTGGATCTATGTGGTCGAGTGGGCGACAGATGAAGCGTGGTATATTTCCCGAAGAGGCAATACAGGCCGGATAGCGGAGATTTCTGGAGAGATATTTTCTGACTGCGTGGTCGCAGCGCTGACGAGACAGCGGGTTAATATTTGGTTCGACTTGATGATATCAGACGCTACCAGGGAATTTAGGAGGAGTGGTTTCAGAGGGAGGTATGGAGGAAGAGAAAGGAGGCGGATGGAATGCTGAGCAGCATAGGCGGCAAGGAAGGGGAAGAAGCAGGGAGTGGGGAGTGTAGGGCAGAGAGAGATGGATAAAAAGGATCAGGAATGTCGGCCGTGGGGACCAGGGTCTTACCTGAAGCGAGAAAGGAAAAGCTCAGGATGAATGCAGGGACCGGGGGGGGAGGGAGGTTGAGAGGAGATGGAGGAGTGAGGATGGAACCGACTGTAAGAAGAAACAGACAAAGGGAGGATTAAAGCAGAGTATCAGAAGACAGACAGAAGAAGAAGAAAGATGGACAAGACAAGACACGACAAGACCAGACAAGAAGATAGGGTGGGGAATGAATGGGCGCAACTCTGGACTCCACAAGGATAAGAAAGTTAGCTTGTGTATTTTATTTTATTTTATTTTATTCTATTTTTTATTATTTCTATTTGTTTAGTACAAGTATTATCATTTTAATAATGTACTCCGTACAGTCTGGTATTTTTCCGACTTAATAATGGATGACTACTAGTAGGCGATGCTCCAGGCTAAGAACCAGACAAATCAAAGTTACTCTGGGATTCTTTTATTCTTTTATTCTTTTACACTTTTATTTATTATTTCTTCTTTTTATTTAATAAAAGGATACGCAGTCTGAAAGAATCAAATAACACCCAGGAATAAAAAGCAGTGGGTAAACCCCGGCAAACCCAAGCAGCGTCTGGCCGTCTGTTAGTCAAGAGCGAACCTTGTTTTTAACCTTTTTTATTTTTCCATGGTCCGTCGCCCATGCTTCTGGGGCTCAAGGAAGGGATTCCCCCGTTTGGGCCCCTCCCTCCCTGTGCTCTCTGACTCTCTGATTCATACACAGAAGGCTTCTACTCCAGTTAATGTCTTCTACCACCGCAGGATGATCCTGGTCAAAGCATATATCTGAGAGGAGCTGACTGAAATTCATAAACGGTGGGTAATCATAACAGCATGACCAGTACCTACCGAGATAGGTAGTTCTAGGTGCTTAGGCAGAGATTATTAAACCAGTCAGATCGTCGCCATTCCATGCCCGGAATCTTGTGAGACACCTCCAAACCCACATACCAGTCAGTCCGGAGCCATCTCCTTCTTGCGAAGGGACTCCTTTTCTTTGTCAGATGAGATGCTTTGACCACGCCGGACGATGGAAGGTAGCAGTCATCATCCTGGATAGGGGATTGACTACGAGGTACGTACTCCGTGTACATCCATGGTGACAGCAGGCAGAAGGACAAGACCTACAAGAGCTTGGCGCGGGCTTGTGGGTTCTTGGCTAGCGTTGAACCCAGACGGACTAATCCCAGTGCAATCCAATGCAATGCTCAATAATAGAGTGACTTTTAGGTAACCTAGAAACAAGGCTTGATCCAGCGATGAAACGGTAATACGCTAGAAAGATACCAGTGGCGCTCTGATCGCTTGATCCCAGCCGAAAACCGATTAGTGCGCGACTCCTGGAGAGCTTAAGCTTAATCCAACACGAGGAACCTTAACCTCGCTTAGAGAAGGACCCGCCAGAAAAAAAAAGAAAAATATATTATTTATTCATATGAGACCCCCACCCCTTTCGACTTTGGAGAAGGTTCCACTTATCCACCAAGGCGAATAATGATGCAAAGCCGGTGGGTTTCATTCCTGTAATTTCTGGGTAATTTCGAACGGCTTGCTCTTCTTGCCGATGGGCCCTTGTCCGTCGGAGGTCGGCGATACTACCTACTTATACGGAGTACTGTATGCTTGACAGTGTTCTGTCTTCACCATCTATAGACAGATCACCTAGGAGAAACTGTAGGAGTTAATCCTTATACTACTTAATGCCTCTAGGGAATGACTCTAGGCACCATGACTTGAACAGTCCGCATAGTCTGCATAGTCTGTTATGAACCTGCGCATAAGTGTCGCCAAATAGGGTTACCTCCCCCGGTGTGGTGCAGCGGCTCTGCCCGAAAGCGACCCTTCCTTTCTTGGTCCGGGCTGACGACACATTCTTACCTAGGCACGACTAGACTCATCCTGTCTCTCGCTTCAGCGGATAATAGCCGTCTGCCGTGCTGTACTCTGGTTCCCACCGATGAGTATTATGAATGTTATGGTCGTTATTCCATTCATCTCGGTTCGGTTTACTCGTTTCGCCCAGACTTACGCCCATCCGGATCCCGGCAGGTGACAACAGCCACTGTGGCAACTCCCTTCGTATTACTCCCAGCCAACGGATTCCGGATGCTTGGGCTGTTATCTCCGGTGTCGTATTCTCTTAGCCTGTCGTTTAGACGAGATGACAGCTTCACCCTTTTTTTTTTTCTTTCTTTTTTTCCCTCGTAGATACAGTCATTTAGATTATCCGTCTGATCATTCTGTCCGTTTGACACTAGCAGCGCATGAAACAGGAATATCCCGATCCGCTCCAAATAGGTAGTTAGGTAGTAACCCACCGTTCCTGATTATGCCTCCTGCAGGGATCCCGGCTCAATATATCCGATTGACTGTCTCAATCAATCGGTAATATTTCCTGTTATTTCCGGTCAGTGTGCGAAGTAGGAGTAGGTAGGATCCTACCTAGGTATGAAGGGAACTACGGAGTACATGAAAAACAAGGGACAGACTATTACTCCGTATTTCTTTGGTCCCTCTGATAAAAAAAGTAATAAATACGACCATCAGGATCAGTCATAAGAATGAGCAGTCATATGCAAACCACACCCGAGCTTCATGCCACGTAAGACTTAAGGTTCATCGACTTATCACACCCCAATCAAGGCAGTCGCACTGTTGTGCCGCCCTCCATTCCTTGTCAGACATCCACGCCAGAGCAATCGGAGCTTATTGTCCAGTGAGACGGTTCGGATGGACAGATAAAGTTGCCAGGATCGAGCTTTAGTCGTGATGCTTGTGGTTTATCTCTTTGGTCGTCGTAACTGACAGACCATCTTACGAGGTATATTCAGTTGTTGTCAGGGATGTAAGCTTGGGGGTACAGGGTAGTGCACGTCGTCGCTCACGGTTGGAAAGAAAGAATGCTTGATACTACAGTAGATCCTCACATAAAGTTAGAGCTTGTAACGTAGAATATCTTGCTAGATTGCTACCGGATTAAGACATTGCTCACTTAACTTACCCATGTCCCTATTTGTCATCCACCCGATTTAAATCGTCAACCATGTCAACTCATTAATTGTACCTGCGCATGGTACCTCAACCGGAGACGCCGGACAAATTAGTCAATAATACCGCACAGCGAGCGGCTGTAATCCAAGTCTCTTCCGACAGAGCCGTAAGTAAATTCAGCCTAACCACGGATTCCAGCTCCTAGTCTGGGTCGCTAGAACTAACTCGGCCCTCAGGATAAGCGTATCGCCAACAGAGTCGGTCGGATCCTGGTCCGTCCCTCTTGGCTGTGCTTGGCCGGTCCACTTGGCCATGCGTAAATTATTCGAGCCAAGCGACCACTGCCTGCCATCCCGACGACTGTTTGCAGCTGATGTCTCACATGGAAACGCGATCAAACTTGTCAAATGATGCACGGCGTATGGGGTACCTCACTGACGGACTGCGATAGCCATCCCATGCACACATGTACTTGGTGGTGTGTGGTGATTGCAGATCGTCCTGGGACGACAGGTCGCTCAAACCTTGGCGAGAGAACCCTCTACTGCATCGACACTGTGTCTGTGTTCCCCCGCGAATCTCTGCAACGTGATACCACAGCAAGCTGTGTCGATAGTTCCTGCAACCGCACCTTGATATCAGTGGGTTCATCTCCATCATTTGGCGGGTAGGGCGGCCGCCGAACAACGTACATTAGAGGCACCCACATACTCGGTGCATACATATACATCACAAACCCCTCCACCACCACCATCCCCTGCAGAACGCCTGCCAAGCAGACTCGATCTGACGATGCAGAAAGCGTATGTAGCGGGCCAGTGGCGTAGGACATTATGCCAGGAGACACTGAACGCAACAATGCTATTACCGACAACTGGAAGGTCGCACAGCGGTACGACTATGCAATGAGGCGTATACTGCTCCTGGAGGTATCATGATGTCAAAGTGTCAAAGCACTCCTTGACACCATCATCTACCTCTACCTCGGATGGCATCACCGACCGGCGAGGTAGTTCGCATTCTCTTTGCTCCCTCCCTGCAGATTGTGTACGACCGGCACCCCTCCAACCATGCAATCAAACAAGCTTTTTTTCTCCGTCCGGTTTGTGATGTAACTCAGGCGACACAATTCAGTGGGAGCCGGGTGGGAACAAAGCTATCGAAGTGAACGGAGGACAGGGGACGTCTGGATAATCTCCGGCCCGCCAATCGGACTAAATCATGGTCAGAGGTTGTGACAATGGTTGATCCGAGTGATGTTATATATAGTGTCAGAAGCAAGGTCGCATAGTTGAATGTCTCGACTTGAACCGGTTTCTTGGATCTGATGAAGTAATATATATAATGCTTGGAATGTTGGTAGCGATATTCGGTAGAAACAACAGGCCTGACACCAACGCTCCTCGACATTCCAAACTTCCTCTGAGTTACGTGGTTATCTTACGATCAAGGCTCGAAGGATATGCGCATATCTTCTGGAAACCTCGCTGCCTCCTGGATCCCCTTGCCTTGCAACCGTTGCACGAGGGGGGAACGTCTGTGCTTTTCGTCACCGGACGGCATGTTGATTGTCGGCCTCAAACAAGAACAAGCCTGATGTTCTGGTATGGAGTGCAACCTTCCTCCACCCTTGATTCGAATCAAGGTTGCCAAGGGGCTTCCTTGTGAAACGTTGCACGGGCTTATCTCCACTAGCATAATTGGGTTAAGGTAAGGTAAGGTAAGAACACCGTGGTATGTACGGAGTACGGAATGTGGGATTGTGGCGGAGGGCCCCGATGGTCGAATTAATCTGACTTGGGGGGGTCCGGATAGTTATGTGATGGATGCTCGGCTAGCACGCCATACGAGCGACGATACCAATCTCGTCAAGAAAGCCAGGGTCCAAGATAATTAATAATGTTGGGTTGCATGTGGTATTGTCTTGTATATACAGCCTGAGCCTTTTACCCTCCTCTCAAGACCCTCGTAGTCTCTCGTCGCTGTAGATCAACTACCCGACTCAGGTATTGCTGCGAGGATCAGCCGCCCATTGCATAAATGATCGATCAGAGCCGGCGGATTTAGGTTAAGGTACGGAGGTGACGACCCCTACGGAGTACCGATGGAGGTTTTCCTCGACTACGGAGTTACATAGTTACCTACCTACCAGGTACCTAGGTATTTAGCGTTTACGTACCCTACTATCCACTCTTAATGTACTCCGTACATCCTGCAATCCATGCATCCTCCGTACAGCCCTTCTCATTATTTCCAACAAACCACACGCGTTGAGGATCCATATCCCTGCCCGGCCCCAGAGTCAAAGCGCTGCAGAGCCAAGCCGTCCCCGCCGACTACTGAATGGTAAAGTGACACGAGTTTCCCGACGGGATCCTCGATAGACAGATAGCCAAGGCTTAGCCTGGGGTTTCCTTCTGGGCTGCTTCTTTGGTTTTTTCTACAGCGAGGAATGATATCTGGTTATATAAATATTGTACAGGTTTGTTTCGAATCGGTCTTGTCTAGTTAGATATGCATGTTCCTCGGGAGGTATGTAGGGCTACGAACAATAGGGGGACCCCACCAAGGGTTATGTGAAGTGTGATATAGACTGCCTGGGTACTTCATACTCCGTAGATAGTGGCTACTTCGTTTTGATCGGCTGTACTACAGGGCCTAGTTTCTTCCTACCTATTTTTATGGTGTCCACAACTTACCTTATGGAGTGCTCCGTACGGAATACTCTTTATCCCTCCTACCCTCCGGTAAGAAGATAGGGTCCATAAGACACCTTGGATACTACATGGTTCCACGGACCCAAGCACGATTAGGTAAAGAAGAACGATTGCGAAGGGGGATGCATAACACAAACCGGACTTAGTCGCCCTTCGAATGATGATTCAGCATGCCGAGCAACAACCCAAGACCACCGGAGCAATACAATACGAGCATACTGCGTAATACGAGGAGAATCGGCCTGCCAATTCCTCCGGCTGGGTCCAAAAGGCTGGGCAGCGTCCAGGCCGAGACAATATGCTTAACACCACTAAGGTTGGCAACTTGGCATTTTCCTGCCCCCCCGCGTGATGGAAAAGGAAGGTCCCTCCGCGGGAACTTCTCTCGTAAGGCGACGGTCGTTTAGCGACCCTGTATCCACGGCCAGTGTGGCAGTGTGACACTATGGATAACGACCAAGCACTAGGCAGAAACATACCCTGTACGGAGGACGAACGAAATGAATGGCTTGTCTTGGACCTTATCCAGTCGGAGCACTATTGCCGTCTCGCCGAGGTTTCTCATTTTCTCCAACGAGTCACGATGGCGGAGTAAGACAAGAGCGTCGTCCGTCGGGCTCCTCTTACTTCCGACCATCCTAAACGAGGTGGATCGCCACCAGCCGGATTGGGGCAACCGTCGTAGCGAGGCTCCGCCCAGACCGCAGCTTGGAGGGATTAAAGTATCCGTCGATGGAGCCGGTCGTCACTAGGTCGCCCCATCCTTTGTTCCTGCTTATCCTTAGCATAATTTTCTGCTGCCCAGTCCCCATCCGTCGTACCTTGTTTGGTTCCCAAGATGACAGGGTGGATATGCTTGGGTTCAACACCCATCCGTCATACCCGGATCCGAGGCTAAACGGGCTGGATGTTCTTGAAAGGTCCAGATCAGGGTCGTAGACGGAGTACACAGAAATAGTAATGATCCATCTTCTCCAAAATAAGTGGACATCCCCTCGCGAGGCGCAAGATGAATGGTCGTTCTCGTGAATTCTGATGGATCGGGGTTCCGTTCGGGCGGAGGTCTCGTTTTTACCGGAATAGGCAATTATTCTGCAGCCGCCTGATGGCTTCACCGCCTTCCGTTTCGTTTTCCTAAAGCATATCCGTATTGATCTAACTCTCGTAGAGTTGACCGAGTTCACCTCGGTGCTTAGTCGATAGCTCCATATTATGCAGTCATCCCAGGTAATGAAACGCTCATACCGAGTCATTTCGAGTCATTCCCAATCACTGACCCTCCTTCCAGATGCATCGGCTATTCGCGCCGTTCCCAACTAGAACGCCTCTGGATCCTGCCGGTGGGCTCGAATCCGTCTAGGCTCACCACTAACTAATCCTCATCTCATGCGGGATGGAGTCAAAGCCACACTTGAGAATAGTACTATGACTCACGTGGCATCCAGCGGGTTCCCACGAGGCCGTCTCCATCGATATGTCAGATAGGACCACTACCTACATGCCAGGATGCTGCATACTGAACGCACGATATAAGAGGAACAACGTTCAGCAATGTAGTCAATCCCTCGAAAAGGTCCATTAGTCTGGAGCCTACAGATATCCTCCTGAATTTCTAGGCGAGCTCTGATCATTGGTCGTTTGCAGGCCAGCAATGTCGTTTAAAACAACCATATTGGGCTCTGAAAGGCTCCTCCCCAACAAGCCAATCTCCGAGCAGATTACCGCCCTCTCGTTGCTCGATGCGGTCTCGGTGGATTTCATCGCGCCCTGTGCCACTTGGCTGTTCGAGCCTCCAGCCCCAACAGACCTCGATCATTTCGACCGTTCTCACCACTTTCGGACTTCGCTTCGGATTACACTCGAAGCTTACCCCCAATGGTGTGGGAGGCTGAAGCTGGTCACGGAGGTCGATTCCGTTTCTGCAATCGATCCAGATCATGAGCTCCCTCCCCACGCTCGACGCCTGGGCCGTGTCCATCTCATCCATGGATCCTCGCAAGACCCCGGCGTGGAATACATCGTTGCCGAGAGCACGGCTACGCTGGACGACCTCTGTCCGACACCTCAAGCGCAATCCCCGACTGTTTGGGACCGCTCGAATGTATCCTTTGCGTCCTTTGTTCCTTCCACGCCAGTCAAGAAACCCCATGTAGACGCAGATGATGGAGGCGCTTTCCGGCCGCACGTAGCCATTCAACTCACCTCCCTCGCGTGCGGTGGATTCGTATTGGCCGTGAAGACCGCCCACCCGCTGGCCGACGCCCATTCCTTGGCCCGTTTTGTGAAAGACTGGGCGAGAGTCAGTCAGGCGCTCTGTCAGCGGTCATCCATTCCGCCGCTCACGCCTCTCTTCAACCCGGGGCTGTTGGACTCTCGCGCCACAGGCGACATCAACGCCGACCACGCCGACCCAGACATCATCAAACGCATCAGTACCTTGCCCTGCGAGCGATACGATTTCTGGACAGACTCTCCGGGCTGTCCATGGCCCGTGACAATCCCCGAGTCATTCCGCGCCGCAGCGCAGGTGCCAGCGGGTAAGCCCATCCCTTGGTCAGAACTTGACTCCAAATCTTCCGCGCATTACCTTGTCCGCCTGAGCAGGGAGCAGGTCGAGTCTCTCTGGCAAGAGGCGAACCAGGATGCGGACAGAGGCCGACTCAGCCGCCATGACGCCGTCCTCGCCCACATCTGGTCCTGCATCAACCGTGCGCGTCAACTCCAGGACGACCGCAACCCCGTTCACTGCAACCTGACCTGCGGACTGCGCTCCGCGCTCCAGCTCGGCGACAACTTCCTAGGCACACCGACGCTCATGGCCGACGTGGAAATGCCCGGCGCAGACGTCGCCGCCACCACCACGCTGCGTCCCATTGCACAACGCATCCGCAACTCTCTCCAGCAAGTAAGCGAGCCCGACCTACTGGGCGCTCACCTACACAGCGTAGCCTTTGAGTCCACCCCGCAGCGCATCTGGCAAGGTTTCCTGGGCCGCCGCCATATCATGGTGACGACGTGGGCCCGGGCCGGCCTGTACGAGGTAGACTTTGGCTGGGGGCCAGCGCGCTACGTCGAGGATGTGCTGGAGAACCTGGACGGGCTGGTCGTGATCAAGGAAGCGCCGCCAACAGACCGCCCCGCGGCAGCGGCGGCGTCTGGATCGTGGACGGAGAACGGCGTGGATGTCGTCCTACACCTCCGCAAGGAGGATATGGACCGGTTGATCCGGGATCCAGTGTTGACGCGCAGTGACTGACTCCGTGCGATCGATCAGGGATAACGGGCATTAACGGATATGCCTACGTAGGCTGAGGCGCAAGCCACCGCACGTAATGTATAAAGTCTGCCGCGAATTAGGCTGGGTAACTGGGAAGCTCGACGCATCCCGTGAATGCTACCCCCGTGGCGTACATCCCCATCCAACCACCAGACCAAGAATAAGATAGGCAACCGCGTGGGAGACCGAGGGTATCCGTGGTCCTCGCATGGTCGGAGTTGGCCTGGTCCGATGACAGCAAGCTCCGGGATACTGCACGCAGCTTTGGGTTTCTTGAATCTTGTTTTGTGGTCATGATTCAAGCCTGTGGAAGGTTTCTGTGAACCGTGTCTTCGCAGGAACTTCGTCTTCAGGTAACTACTGAACTAGGCATTAGCCGGGCTTTACCCAGCGGGATCTGCCTGAGTGTATATTCGTGGTCAGGGGTTTGAAATTTGAGCAAGTGGCTGGCTTGTATATCTTGCTGTATTGTGCCCTCGTCAACTCTACACGCTCTCCTCTGATTCGAGTAAACGGCATACACCCAGAGACAAACCTGTATAAGCTTAATGCCATCTACACAAAGGCAAATCGATACTCTAATAAAAATACAATTCGTTATGTACACAGCCGTCAGCAGTCTGCCCGGCCAAAGTATCGCGGAAACGATACGACATCGCGCACGCTGGACACGCCGGCCAGGAAGCCCAAGAACCGGTCGAATCCGAGCCCAAATCCGCCGTGGGGAGCTGTGCCCCAGCGCCGGAGATCCGCGTACCATTGCAGATGGCCCAGGTCCTCGCCGGGCAGGAGATGGGGGTACAGCGGCTCTGCGTCCGGGCTCGACTGTTCGTCGCGAGTCTTGATGAGGAAGTGATCCCGCATGTTCTGGATGATCTGCGGGAGACGATGCTCGCGCAGGGAGCCCCCGGCCACCTCGCTGACCTCGGGGAGCAGTAGATCGAAGCACGCGACCGTGTCGCCGGGAGGCGCGGTGGAAGCGTCCGACGGCGCCATGTAGAACGGCTTGATGGCCTTCGGGTAGTCCGTGACGAACACGGGGCGGCCGCGGTGGAGTACATCGACGATGTACTTCTCGTGCTCGAGCTGCAGGCCGTCGGTCCACTGCGGCTCGTACTCGAAGGACGCCTGGCCCGAGGCGACGGCGTCCTGCAGCGCCGCAATGGCGTCCGTGTAGGTGATGCGCGCCCACCGCGGTCCGTCCATCATGTCCTGCCACCGCTGTCGGAGGACCGCGTTCGACTCGTCGGGGTGCTCCTGCCCGGCCTCGCCGGATCGCTTCGCGGCCAGAATCTCCTGTCCGACGGGGGTGTCGTAGAGACGGCGGGTCAGGTCGCGGAGGAGGTGCTCGACGAGCCCGGTCAGCGCGTCCAGATCATATATGAAGTTGACCTCGGCCTCGAGCATGTAGAACTCGCTGAGGTGGCGCGGGGTGTCGCTCTTCTCGGCGCGGAACATGGGCGACATCGTCCAGACGTTTCCGAGCTCCGCCGCGTAGGCCTCCAGGTGCAGCTGCGACGACACGGTCAGGTATTTCGGGGCGCGGAAGAAGTGCTCACCGTCCGGCTGCTGGGAACCCATCGCCTCGCGCGGTACGACGGTAAAAGTTTCCCCGGCGCCTTCGCAGTCGGACGATGTAATGAGCGGCGGGTGCACCTGGACGAAGCCGCCGTTCGGGGCGGAGCGAAATACATTGCCCAGTTGGTAGAGGCATTCGGAGCGGAAGCGCGAGAGGAGGGAGTTGAACGGCGTGCGGATGCGGAGGTGAGGGATCTGACGGAGGAATTCGGGACTGTGGTACTTTTTCTGGATCGGGTAGGTCTGTCATGGATGGATTGGTGAGCGTGAGCTGTTCGTGCGGAGGGAGCTGGCGTACCTCGGGGTCGGCTTCGCCGACGATTTTCACTTCTGTAGCCTGGAGCTCATGGGTCTGCTCCTTGCCTGGTGGACAGGCCTTCCAAATCCCAGAAATCTCAACCGCTGTGCCCGTAGATAGCCTAGTGTACAGAAGAAATGTCAGTCTCCAGAGTCTCGGATTGATGGTGTAGAGCGGATGGGAATGCGACATACTCGGCTGCCTGCGCTGGCTTTAAGAACGCTTGCAACGGCTCCACGGTCGAGCCATCGGAGATCTCGGCAAACGCGAAGCGTTTTTGTTTTCGGACCGAGCGAACGAACCCATTCAATTTGATCTCCTGGTCTTCGAGATCGCAGGGCCCGTTGCGGCTTCGCTGGAGCACCTGGACACAGCGTAGCGGCGCGGGTCCGGCGCTGCGCGTGGCAGGATTATGGTTCAGTCTGACAACAGACGTAGCGAAGGTCCGTCGCCATGTCCGCATTGCTTGTAGAAAGGACACCGAACGAAGGCCGGATTGATGTGGAGAGGTGGTTGATCGGGGATTAGATGAGGCTTGACGACGCGCGCCTGTCGATTTTCCCGGCCCGATGATTCAGCTCCACCTGGCCCTCTGACAGCATACTCCGCACTGTACGCCAACGTCCAGAAACTACACGACAACATGGAAGTACTACTTTACAGTCGGCTCATAAATCGTTAAACTAGCCCGTGTTCGAGTTCATTATGGTTCATCAGGCGATATTAAAAAGCACTGGAGTTGAGTAGATAGAAAGACACAGACAACGCCTTCCCCCAAATCCAACAGCGAAACGTTTAAAACATGTCATATCACATAGGGCTTCTCTGCTGCTCATATGCCTTCCGCTCTTCTTCGATCATCTCAATCGCATCAGAGATTCGACCATCTACCGCCTCTGCATACACAGCAATCCTCTGGAGGCCTCCTTCTTCGGCGCCACCGTACCCAAGACTTGCCAATGCAGATACACATTCGTCAATTCTCTGTTGCCTGTGAGCAGACGGTCTAGAAACACCCCCAGATGTATGAAAAGGTCGCGCTTGACTACAGAAGCTCAGAGGACGAAAGCCATCCATCGGCCGGCCGGGGCGATCCCGGTGCCCATGCCTCAAGGATCTGGCAGGGTGGACGGGATTGCCTCTCCGAGGGCGTGAAGAGACCGACTGGCTGCGTAAGGGGTTCGATGGACCGTTGTTTTGGGGCATTTCGAGGTCGTCACGGACATCCTGGGGAAATGAACCGGGGAGATTTTGTGTAGATGTTTCATTTCTTCTGGAGTCTTCAGGTGTCCTTTGCCGATGCACTTGATCATCAGACACGGATGATCCAGCACGCTGGTACAGAGCATCTTGCTGAGAGAAAGGCGGAAACTGGAGCATTTGATCTGGAATGCGCGCAGGCGGGTCGGAGACAATGGGCTGCGGGCGGGTGTTCTCAGGTGTCAAGGAGGGGTAAAGCGCATTCAATCGCTGGGCGTTCGTTTGCCAGGAGCCCTCTAGATTGCTATCGGTAGTCGCCTCATCCACGTGCCGATGGTCGTTCGAACATAGGTCTGCAACCGACAACGGAGCCGTCCTGCGGCTACTGGTAGTTTCATGATGACCTTCTCCCGTGAAACCATGCGGGTCGTTTCCTCGCCTCATGCTAGGTAGTCTAGGCGGTGGACAATTGAAGGTTGGAAATGCTCGGGCTGGACGACTGTCGCTGAATTCGAGATTGATCGAATGCCCGTCAATGTGGGTGCCTTGCAGGGCTTCCAAAGCGTCTCGTGCATGGTTGTCCGAAGGGAAGTATAGATAACCAAAGCCAGCATGTTGCCCTGCGCCTGGATATCGCAGAAGGTTGACATTAGGTGTGAAACCCTTTGAGGCGAAAACATCGTGGATCATTTTTTCGTTAACGTTAAACCCGACGTTTCCAATGAACAGCGCGCTGCTTGTGGGTGCACGTTGTAATGGTGGGCCGTTAACAACCCTCGGCTGGGCGGGCCAAGATACGCACGACGGACCAGAAGAACAGGGATTTTGGACTGGATCGTGACTCAAGCCAGGTCCTTCAGTACGAGGCCTATAAGGCAAGGTAAAAGGGTTTGAAGGCTGCGCTTGCCTATCCTGCGTGGATTGGGGATGAGGAACGGCGTGATGAGTCTGGACATCTTGATCTCGGTTAGATAGGGTGGCTCCGGATTCTGTACGTATCGCTGGGGTTTCGTGGCTTGGGTCTGGTGCCTGTTCTGTATTCTCTGGAAGCGGAGGGACAGAGTTATCCCTCGGCGAGTCTTGGCCTTGGAACCTCGAACCGCCCCTGAGCTCGGAGTCCAAGGCTCCAAACAAAGTGTATCCCATATGACCGATCTCGGATGCAAGATTGCGCAAACCAGAAACAGCTTCATTCGCTGTGGGTAGTTCTCCTTGGAAGATGTTGCCGCTGCCCTGGCCTCTTGCGGCAGCTGCATTATTGAGAGCATTTGCTAGATTCCTAGCCTGATCCTCCAACGTTACAAGGGCCGATTGCACCGAAGATCCAACAGGCTCAGGGAGAGCCCGTTGGGCATTCTGGAGCTGGCGTTCGAACTCAGGAAGCCTGGACACGACCCCAGACCTAATCCTCTCTGCTCCGTCGATGAGATTGTTTATCGCACAAGTAAATGCATCATTGGGGCTTTGAGTGCTGTTTGAGCGAGGAGTTTCTTGCGTCTGCGGGGGGTTTGCGGTGGTTTGCTGCTCGCTGGCCCTATTGAGATTCTCCGAGGCACGTAATATGGAGGCCATCTGGGCTTCGAATGCAGCCAGGAGGGGCTCCATCTCGCTGTTCTCCGTAACAGAGGTAGGATTCGCCGCATTGTCATGGTTTGGGCGAGCTTCTGCTTGGGCGAGAGGGCGAGTATCGTGAGTCTGGGTTTCCGTATTGGCATCGGACGTTGCTTGGTCGACCCGTAGATGCTGCCTATATTCATATTTCTTCCAGAGGTCCGTTACAGATTTTGACCGTCTGATGTCGAAGATGTGCATAGGGTAGGAAGTCGAAACGGGACCGGAGAAGGTTGGGATGGAAAAGTATCCAAGAGGGATGGGGTCCTCTAGACGCTGAGAAAGCTCGAACGACGACCCAACCTGTTGTCGAGCGTTAGACGCACACATGACCAGAAGGAGAGGTTGAGGGACAGACTCACCGTGATGGTTTCTCCGTCATCATCATCGACATATGTCAGTCGAGCGCGGGGATGGGTCGTTGCGATCTGGTCATAGTCTGAGGATGAGATCTGGATGATTCCGCGGTTCTGGGGATCGGAGGTTGTATTTGGCAGAGGAGTCGAAGAATCTGTATCGTCTGTAGCAGTCGGAGATGGAGACCCGTGCAGATCTCTTATCTGGAATAGTTCCAACATGGTGAAATGAGTGAGATTGTGAAGGCGAGAGCGAGGATGAGGGGAAGATGGAGAGGGAAGCGGGAGGGACGAGAAGGAGAAGGAGACGAGAGAAAATCGGAGAGAGTGAGATGAAGGATATAACTCGAGTATATTATGGGTTTAGGTCGTTCACAAGGTCATCAAGAGCAGATGGAGATGATAAAGGAGGTTGATTGTTCAGTGGCGGTTGGGGTAACGGAGTATGCTGTTGCCTATGGATGAGCGAACAGCGGTAGACCAGAACACATGATCTTCCTGATCTTTCATGGGGAGGCGAGAAGAATACGAACGCTGCAGACGGTGTAACCAGAGAGAGAGTAGGAGGAGGAGGAAGCAGAACAGGCAACAGAATACCTGAATAATAGTAACTTGCAGTGTATGAGCTCGGATGGACGATCCAGTGGGATTGATATTATTGGAGTGATGGCGTGCATCCAATGACCCACCCCCGATTGATTGATTGTTGCTCTCCGAGGTACTTTTAATACCTACGTACAACACCTCCCACGACGACCCAGCATAACTACAGGTTCTTGACTTCATTCTCCTTGCATCATGCACCCATAGTCAATCACAGTCAAGATTTTCTCCCTTGCACCGGGCCCCTCCATGCCAATGGCCAGTCCGCCGCCAAAACACGTCAACACCCACGATTCCCCCATTCTCTGGCCGGTCCTTTGAACTCCCCACCTCGTCTCACACAGACGTCTGGTGTATACATAACCCAAATGGCCTCCTCCGAGCCTTCGTCCCACGCGAACCCGCCCGCTGTACGCAACGTGAAACATGTCGTGCTAGGAGACCTCCTGTTCCAGACCTGGTACCAATCCATTTACCCTGAGGACCTCGTGAGCAAGGATACGGACCGCCTATATGTTTGTCGCTGGTGTTTCCGGTACTCGTGCGACGCCGACGCCTACACGAAGCACACCCGCCTCTGTCTACACCGCACCGCACCCCCGGGCACCAAGGTCTACGACCATGGCGGATACGCGGTGTGGGAGCTCGACGGCGAAGACCATAAGCTCTACGCGCAGAACCTCTCCCTCTTTGCGAAATTGTTTCTCGACCATAAATCTGTCTTCTTCGACGTCGCGTCATTCCTCTACTACCTCCTCACCTTTACCGACCCTACCGATCCGGACAATTACTACATCCTGGGGTTCTTCTCGAAAGAGAAGCTCTCGTGGGACGCAAATAATCTGGCCTGCATCTTGGTGTTCCCTCCATACCAGCACAAGCAACTGGGAAAACTGTTGATGGGGGTCAGCTACAAGCTGAGTTCGTGGGAGAAGGATGGCGGCTTGATAGGCGGTCCCGAGAAGCCCCTGAGCGAAATGGGTCGCAAGAGCTATACTCGCTTCTGGAAAGAACGAATCGCTCGGTATATCTTGCTGCGGGGCTCGGATGTCGAACACACAAGGGAGTCCGCTTCACAAGAGAAGCAGAAGCCAACAAAGTCGTCTCACAAACGAAGTTCTTACGAGATCATGACCGTCCAGGATATCGGAATGGCGACGGGGATGCTGACCGAGGATGTCATCACGGCGCTGAAGGATATGAAAGCGGTGGAACCTGCGAGCCCCTCCAAAAAGCGCAAGTCAACGCAGGATCCTGCAAGCGATGGAGAGACCGTGATAATTCGAAAATCGAAAGTATTAGAATGGGCCAAGACTCATCGCGTGGCTTTGCAAGATCCCGTCAGGGATGACGGTTTCCTTGGGCAATGGGCCCCGAGATCGGACTCTGAAAGTAGTTCGAGTGGTGAAGACAGCGAGTAATTGGCGATGGTCCCGCTATCTGCTGTGCACTTGAAGTGCAAGATATACCCCTGTTATTCCTTTTATAGGTGTATTAATGTATATAGCTTATGTTGGATGCTCACAATGTATGACTAGAAATGTATAATGAATAGATACCATACTCGACAAAGATGGCACTTCTTGTATACCGTCTCTTGCTAAACGGACCTACGGACTCCGAAAATCACCCGTACAACAAATCGATTATGATTGCTCAAGTCCATTATCATGGCTTTCTGCATATATTGGATACATTGAAAACGTAAATTTGATTTTTGACCCTGCATCCCGAATATCAACGTCCCCCAGTCTTTACATAACGGTGTCTATACGTAGCAACAGCATCATTACTCGTCCATGCCACCAGGTCCACCCTGCCGACCCATCTGCCGAGCCTTCAGGAGCTCGTCACAGAGGAGGAGGTTAGAGGCGATACCCGTGCTGGAAGCGATGCAGTTCCGCAGGACACGGTAGGAGTCGAAAACGCCTTCCTGTACGGGGTCCATCGGTTCACCCGTGGTGAGGTCCAGGCCCGCATTGTTACCTTCTTTCAGCTCATCCTGCAGAGCCGCCAGGGAATCCTGAACATCATGGCCAGAGTTGGCGGCAAGGGTCTTGGGGATGATCAGAAGGGCATCCGCAAAGGCTTCCAGACCGTACCGGGCTTTGCCCTTGACCGTCTTGGTGACCTTGTCGGATTTCAGGTGCTCCGCGCAGGCGACCTGGAACGCGCCAGCTCCAGGAACGACGCTCTGGTCCACGATGGTGTTGTATACCGAGCGCAATCCGTCGCGGACGGCATCCTTGACTTGAGCGATGGTGTGCTGGTTGGGTCCCTTGATCAGGATGGTAACCGATTTGGGGTCCTTGACCTCCTCGACGAAGGTGTACTTCTCTTCGCCGAGCTGGTGCTCGTAAACCAGACCAGCCCATCCGAGAACATCGGGCGTCATATCTTCCACGCTGTTCTGAGCAACACCACCACAAATAAGCTGGAGACGCTCCATGTTTCTCCGCTTAGCTCTGCGCAGGGCCAGAATTCCGTTCTTGGTCAGGACGTCCAAGCTCAGAGGGTCAATACCCTTCTGGTTAATGACAACGAATCCCTTCTTCGGGTCATTGCCACAGACCTGCTTCTTCAGCTCCACAATCTTCTGCAGCTTCGAATCCACGAACTTGCGCTCACTCTCCACCAACTTATCTCTCTGCTCGGCGGACGAATAGTAGAAACCGGAGTTAATCTCAGACTTTTCGTATTCCAAACTGACATTCAGGGTCAGGATGAAGGCATTCTCGACCCGTTTGGGCATGTCAGGGTGTCTGGCGCCATGGTCCAGGGCGAGACCGCGGATGAGTTTGGTGTCAGAGGACGTCCGATGTTGCATAGTCATAATTTCAACCATGTGAAGGTCTGGCTTGGCAGGGGCTCTGTGGATGGCGAGAACGGCATCGACAATATCGGGCGTGAGTTTCTCGGCGAGGGCACTGTTGAGTTTCGTGCTGAGCGACGTCCGGGCAACAGACAAGAGGAGTTCTCGGTCGATCGTGCGCTCGAGCTTGAACTGGTCGAGGAACTAGAGAGGGTAAAAATCAGCCTTGTTTCTGTCACGCTATAACAATAATCCCGCGTGCCTACCTTGAGAGTCTCGTTCTTCGCGATCTCGTAGCCATCTGTCACCACTCGAGGGTGCAGACCCTCGCTGATGTGACGGTCCGCCTGCTTCAACAGTTCTCCCACCAACAAGACAACAGAGGTCGTTCCATCGCCAGTGATATCATCCTGCGCCGTAGCAGCGCGAGCAATCATGACCTTTGCAGAAATCGTTAGGGGATGTATCCGGTCGGCTCGAAGTAAAGTAGCTTACGGCTGTGGGGTTTTGAATTTGCTATAGATGCTGTTAGAAATGCACCAAAAAAGTCGGGGTTTCTCTCCACGAACCATTTCCCGCAGGAGAACATTTCCATCTTTGGTCAACTTAATCTGTATTGGGAGTCGGTTAGATGCCATGTTCTGTATTTCGAGGGGTCGATATCATACTCCGCCAGCACCGTCCACCAACCTGAGATGTGTCAGCTCCACGAAAGGGTTCGTTGTCAGGTAAATATCACGCACATCTTCAATGTCCCCGAGGGACCCAGGTTAGACTTCAACACATCCTGAAGACCTTCACCGGCACTGATGTTCACCCTGAGGGCTTCCGCTCTCCGCTGCGTGATTGTTAGCAATGAGGGGCTTTCATTCTTTTCTGAGGGGAAATTTCATACCCTCGATTCCGCCTTGGGATTGAGTAACTGCGTAGCCGACATTTCTGCAGTTCCAATCGACGACGAAAAGGAAAAGGGGCTAATATGGGAGAAGAGTTCTGGGGAAAAAGACGGACGTGCTGGAGCGCAGCGCAGAGGAGACGCAAACCTGGTGGTGTTTCCCGTCGAATGCGGTGAGCTCTAGTTTTGGCAAAAAGCCCACATTCGGGGGTTCGCACTAGCGCCGCCGCGAAAAAAAAGAGCTTCAGCGGCTCGACTCTTCAATTCTGCCTTCCAGCGCTTTTTTCCACTCCCCCGTCGGTCCACGCCAAACCCACCGTCGCAATCGTGTGAAAATTGGGTAGAAGGCTCAGTTGTTTGCATATAGAATATTTATATTCTGGAATTTTTTTCAGGGGACTGTCGCCAACTCGATCGCACCATGGCCGACTTTCTTCTCTTTGAAGGGCCTGTGGGCTACGCTCTTTTCAAGGTCGCTCTCCAGGGCGACAGCGTTGGAAATCGTCTTAAGGAGGTTCAGGAGGGTGTGAATGATCTCGCCAAGTTCGGGAAGATGGTTGATCTGGCCAGTTTCATGCCTTTTGAGTATGTACTCGCATTTTTTTCCATTTTTAACATTTTTTCCGACTCCCGGGTCCGACTCTACAGACTCTGACAAAAAAAATCTAGGAACAACAAGCAGGCCTTGAGCGAAATCAACGACGTTTCGGAAGGTGTCGCTTCGGATACCCTGGTTTCTTTCCTCGAATTGAATCTGCCGAAACCCAACAAGAAGAAGAAGGTGGTTCTGGGACTCTCGGATAAGGCCTTGGCTGGTAGCATCAAGTCTGCCTTCGACTTTGTCGATTGCGAAACCGGAGACACCAGCGAGGTTGTCCAGGATATGCTCCGAGGTATCCGTCTGCACGCCACCAAGTTGTTGAAGCAGCTTCGCGAAGGTGACCTGGATACTGCGCAGCTGGGTCTGGGTCACGCCTACTCCCGTGCCAAGGTCAAGTTCTCCGTCCAGCGCGATGACAACCACATCATCCAGGCTATTGCCATTCTCGACCAGCTTGACAAGGCCATCAACACGTTCTCCATGAGAGTCCGCGAGTGGTACTCGTGGCACTTCCCCGAACTGATCAAGATTGTCTCCGACAACCAACGCTACGCGCAGATCGCTCTGTTCGTCAAGGACAAGGCCGAACTCACCGATGACAAGCTCCACGATCTTGCTGCCCTCGTGGAGGATGATGAGGGTGTTGCCCAGAGCATTATTGATGCCGCCAAGCACAGCATGGGTCAGGAAATCTCCGAGACCGACATGGAGAACGTGATCGCCTTTGCTCAGCGCGTCGTGAGCCTGTCCAAGTACCGCAAGAACCTGCACACCTATCTGGTTTCTAAGATGAGCGTGGTTGCCCCTAACCTTGCGGCGCTGATCGGAGAGATTGTCGGTGCCCGTCTGATCTCGCACGCTGGTAGCTTGACCAATCTGTCCAAGTATCCTGCTTCGACGGTGCAGATTCTGGGTGCCGAGAAGGCTCTTTTCCGTGCCCTGAAAACCAAGGGCAACACCCCGAAGTACGGTCTTCTGTATCACTCCTCTTTCATCGGCCGCGCGGGCCCCAAGAACAAGGGCCGTATCTCGCGCTTCCTCGCCAACAAGTGCTCTATCGCGTCCAGAATCGACAACTTCTCCGAGGAGCCCTCGACCAAGTTCGGTGAGGTCCTGAAGAAGCAGGTTGAGGAGCGTCTGGAGTTCTACGCTACCGGCGTCGCCCCTACCAAGAACGAAGTCGCCATGGTAAGTTATCTCACATTGAGTGCTTTTGTGGTCTATAGTCAATGCTAACGATATGGATAGAAAAACGCCATGGACGCCGTCCTGGCTGACATGGACATCGACGGAGAAGAGAGCGACGAGGAGATGCAGGACGCCCCCGCGGCGGAGAGCAAGAAGGAGAAGAAGGACAAGAAAGAAAAGAAGGAGAAGAAGGAAAAGAAGGAGAAGAAAGACAAGAGTGAGAAGAAGGAGAAGAAGGAAGAGAAGGAGGAGAAAAAGAAGAAGCGGAAGCACGACAGCGACGCTGAGCCGTCCAAGAAGAAGAAGAAGGTTTAAAAGCACCGTGTCTTTTGGGACGAAAGGGCGTCAATAGTCGCGGCGTTGTTGGGTTTGATTTGCGTGCTGTTCGTTTTGATATATTTCCATTTCCATGCTTTCTACCGATATGTTCATTTTTGTTCACGACTTTGATGGGCCAGGGTATTCTTTTTGTGTAAATTACTGATTCGATTGATGGCCACTTGTGTCTGACATTTACCTGTAGTTCGTGAAAAATGAGACTCTTCGGCTTATTATGTATCTAGGGACTCGCCTGGAAGTTACCTTGCAGAGAGTTTGAAATTCACCGCCGAGCAAGCAAGAGGGGAAATCCTTCGGAGACAATGAACTCCCGACATCCCTCGAGCACCAACCAACTCAACCACCAACCCTTAAGGCCATGGCCCGGATCGCTCTGTTCCCCGCAGTCGCTCTATCATGATGGCCTCAGTATGTGACTTTCCGGACTGACAGCCTGTGGAAAAGGTTCTCTGAAAGCTTCGCCCTTACATGTTCTTCCTGAGATGCCCCCACCCCTGGTTGTAACCCCGCGATGATGCCTACCAGTTTCCCACAAATGACTTCCAACTCACCCAAGCGGAAACGATACCCGTCGGAAGACTCAGATCGCCTCAGTCCATTTCCTACTTCACCATCGACGAGCTCATTGCCGAGTTTACCAGAATTGAAACTCCGAGAGGAAGCAGAGTTGGGCCGGTATAGTCCTCGGGCCGTGGTCGCTGGTCGCCTGGGGGAGCTAGCCATCCGTGGAGATCATTTACCGACACCGCCAGTGTCTAATGAGACCGCCGCATACACACCGTCTGCGCAGACGAGATGCTGGCCTCCTTCTCATGCCCGATTTTCCTCCATGCCTGAAAGGGATTGTTCGACGAAACAGACCAGTCCTCTCGCGACAGGGCCGTGTGAGCCTGCGTCTGATGAAGCAGTGCAGCGCCAATCTACACCCTCTACTTCGACCGCTGCACCCTCTCCCCGAAAAGGACCAACACCAAGTCCTCGCAAGAAAAGGAACTTGCAGTCCGCATCGAAATCACGCACCGGAAGGAAATCTCCACCCCTTGCCGGCAACGAGGTCGAAGATCCGCTTACATGGCATGACTCCGAAATCACCGGTTACAACCCAACCGATCCGAATGACGATGGATATGGGATAAATGGCATTGGTTTCAAACCTACAGCAGCAATCGCTTGGGCGAGATCACAGAAACGGCAGAGGCAGGTTGCCGAATGGAGGAGTCGCGAGGCCCGCGAGGCTCGGGAGAGACGCAGGGAGAGGCGGGATGGCATGGATCTTGACATAATACACTCGGTCCAAAAAGGTGCTATCCAGAAGAAGGTCAAGTTTGACGTTTAAATAACCATCCAGTAGGGGTGGGGTGTGTCGGTTGGCCGGCGTTGTGGTTTTTTTCCCCCCCTTGGGATATCCTTAGTCTTACCTCCTTTTGGTCACTTTACTGGCGTAACTGGAACTGAGCGATATATGATGCCGCACGATAGGGCGTTGATATGCGACCACGAATGATACAACTTGGATCAAACTGGAGACAGAAATATGTACTATACATCCCACTCTGTGACATATACAAATGCTCAACCAACTCCATGACTCCAAGCAATGTGCAGAAGACCGACCATGATTACCAGAACTTATAGTTCGCCAAGTTCGTCCAACTCTTCCGTTTCTTTTCCTCCTCGGCCAGACGAGCAGCCTCCTCAGCCTTTTGTTCCTTCTCACGTTGCTTCTTCACTTTCAACTCTTTCATCATTTCCACCGCCTGCTTCATGCCATCCAGTTCTTGTACCCGACGTCGTTGGCAGAATTCATGTGCTGCCAAGGAGGTGAGGGCGAATGCGCCGACGGCCCAATTGCAGGCTGTCCACATCGAACGTAGTCCTGGAAAGAAACGCATCCGTTAGAATCCACACTCAGAGGAGCATCATATACATTGGCCATTACCTCCTAGGACCCCTCTCACTCCACCGATACCGAAACCAGCTCCAATTCCGAGTAGTAGAGAGTCCCGCGCGCAAGGTGCTTTGTAGAACGAAGTGACATCCTTGAGGGACATTGACTTCATGGCCTCCGTGACCGTCACATCCTTCGATCCCTTTCCAGATGCTCCCGCTGGTGATAGTATGTTTACCGGCTCCTCAGGATTCCCGAACGCATCCCAGAGCTTGCCGACTTGCGTTTTGCCGAAGTCATGTTTCGGCGTTGGTTTCGAAGGATCTTGGGCGTTATCTCTCGTCTCAGTTGTGGAGGCAGTCGTGCCTCGCGAATCATCTGCCATCGTGTATCGCAAGCTGTAGTTTGGAACAGGCCTCGTATCGGAATCGCTATACTACCTCTATATTGAAACAGACTCTTGCGGGAAACATTCGGATCCGCCGGATGAATGTTTAATCCGAACATAGTTGTGACCTGACCGAAGCGGATAGTTCTTCCGGGCCCGCGGGAACGCGTATAGTGGAAAACGCGAAACGCGTCGGGGTCTCCCGCAATGCCAAATTTGGGCAGGGACATCGGGTGGCCTGGAATCCATTGGATTGCCAACCTTTCTTTCTTATACCATCTCAAGTGTTCGACTAGCGCATATCAGCAATGCTCAGCCCCGTCCTCTACTAAACCGAGACAACCTCCCGTTCCATGTTCAACCTATTTCTCTTTTGCCTCGAGTGATCTCTCCTAGCCCCGGCCTGTGGGCGCGTCGTCGCAATGCCTGTGCGAAAGCCATCCAAGTACGGGAACAAGTTCCGATCTGGCGCAGCATCCTTCAAGCCGAAGCGGACAAAGACCATTGAGTTTTCCTCTCTGAGATCAACCGAAACGACATCCCAAGATGAGAAATTCGAAGCGATTCGGCTGGCCAACAGCATCGACGAAGCCTTGGGATTCCCTCGCTTCGAATCGGGCGAAAAGAGGGTTGGTTGGCTGATCAATATGCACAGCACTTCCATAGAAGACCCCAACGTCCCTGGAGGCCGCGCAGGAGTCGATTACTACTTTCTGGACGACGATGGCGGAAGTTTCAAGGCGACTGTCGAATACGACCCATACTTCCTCATTGCCGTAAAGAAAGGCTATGAAATGGAGGTTGAGGAATGGTGCCGCAGGATGTACGAGGGTCTTATCAAGAAGATCTCGCGGGTTGAAAGGGAGGATCTCAAAATGCCAAACCATTTACTGGGGCACCGACGAACTTTTCTCCAACTCAATTTTGCGAACGTGGGCCACCTACTGGAAGTCCGGAAGTCGCTACTTCCTCTGGCAGAGAAGAACAAGAAGAACGTGAATGTGATGGATACATATGTTGAGATCTCGAGGTTCGTCCAACCCTATTCCAGCATGTCGTCCGCGGGACTAACAATGCGCTAAGCGCGAATGCCGGCTTTGATCTCTTTGATGATGAATTAATTAATGAGTCACGATCTAATGGGAACATGCAAGCGAGTGATTTTATAATCGATATTCGAGAATACGACGTGCCTTATCATGTTAGAGTTGCGATTGACAAAGGTACATCTTACATTCCTTTCACATGGAGCTCGACTGACATAGTACCCAGACATTCGCATAGGAAAATGGTACACAGTGGAGGCAAAACATGGCGTTATTTCATTGACGTGCCTAGAAGAACGAGTCCAGCGACCTGATCCCGTCGTCCTTGCATTTGATATTGAGACGACCAAACTCCCGCTAAAATTCCCGGACTCCGTGATTGATCAAATTATGATGATTTCGTATATGATCGATGGGCAAGGATTTTTGATCACAAACCGAGAGATCGTATCCGAAGACATCAACGATTTCGAATACACGCCAAAGCCCGAATACAGCGGACCGTTTATGATTTTCAACGAGCCCGATGAAAGGAGTGTTATCGAACGGTTTTTCCAACACATCAAGGAAGCAAAGCCGACTGTCATTGCCACATACAACGGTGACTTCTTCGATTGGCCGTTTGTCGAAGCTAGGGCAAGTGTCCTGGGAATTGACATGTACACCGAGATCGGCTTTCGAAAGAATAGCGAGGATATCTACCAGAGCGATCACTGCGTGCACATGGACTGTTTTGCCTGGGTCAACCGAGACAGTTACCTTCCGCAAGGAAGTCGTGGTTTGAAGGCTGTCACAGTAGCCAAACTTGGGTACGATCCTGACGAACTCGATCCCGAATTAATGACGCCGTATGCAAGTGAACGCCCCCAGACATTGGCCGAGTATTCCGTTTCCGATGCCGTTGCCACGTACTATCTATACATGAAATACGTGCATCCTTTCATTTTCTCCCTCTGTACAATTGTGCCCTTGAACCCGGACGACACCTTACGGAAGGGAACTGGTACGCTTTGTGAGATGCTTCTCATGGTGCAAGCCTACAAGGGTGAAATCATTTTGCCGAACAAGCACAAGGATCCTCCGGAGGCCTTCTACGAAGGCCATCTGCTGGAGTCGGAGACCTATGTCGGTGGTCACGTCGAAAGTATCGAGGCTGGTGTTTTTCGAAGCGACATTCCCGTCACTTTCAAGATTGATCCCACCGCTATAGACGAACTTCTCCGAGACCTGGATGCTGCATTGACATTCAGTATCACGGTTGAAGAGAAAAAGTCTATGGACGATGTTGTCAACTACGATGAGGTCAAAGCACAGATCGCAAAACTTCTGATCGACTTGCGAGATAATCCGAACAGAGATGAAAACCCTTTCATTTACCATTTGGACGTCGCTTCGATGTATCCGAACATTATGGTCACCAACCGTTTACAGCCAGATTCGATGATTGAGGAGTCAAACTGTGCGGCCTGTGACTTCAACCGGCCCGGGAAGAACTGTGATCGACGAATGCCGTGGGCCTGGAGAGGTGAATTCCTTCCTGCTAAGCGTGATGAGTATAACATGATCCGACAAGCTGTGGCGAATGAACGATTTCCCGGGAAAACAAAAAACAGCCCGATGCGCTCCTTTAGCGACATGAGCATTGAAGAACAGGCTGGTATTATCAAGAAACGCCTGCAGGATTACAGCAAGAAGATCTATCACAAAATTCACGACAGCAAAACCATAGTGCGTGAAGCCATCATTTGCCAGCGTGAGAACCCATTCTATGTCAACACAGTGAGAAGCTTCCGAGACCGACGTTATGATTTCAAGGGCCAGCAAAAAGTCTGGAAAGGCAAGACTGAGTCGCTCAAGGCCTCGGGCGCCTCCGCCGCGGAGATTGAGGAGGCGAAGAAGATGATCATTCTGTTCGACTCTTTGCAGCTTGCCCACAAGGTCATTCTGAACAGTTTCTACGGTTATGTCATGAGAAAGGGTTCCCGATGGTACTCCCTGGAGATGGCTGGCGTGACTTGTCTTACAGGTGCCCGGATCATCCAGATGGCTCGTGAACTCGTTGAACGGATAGGACGGCCGCTGGAGCTCGACACTGATGGTATTTGGTGTATGCTTCCTGGAACTTTCCCAGAGAACTTTTCCTTCACCTTGAAAAACGGAAAGAAACTCGGCATTTCGTATCCTTGTGTCATGTTGAACCACCTTGTCCATGGAAGTTACACCAACCACCAGTATCAGACCCTTGTCGACCCTCAAACCTTCAGATATCAGACGGACAGCGAAAACTCTATCTTCTTCGAAGTTGACGGACCGTACAAAGCGATGATTCTGCCCACGTCAAAGGAAGAGGACAAAAACTTGAAGAAACGTTACGCTGTCTTCAACCATGATGGATCTTTGGCAGAGCTGAAAGGATTCGAGGTCAAGCGCCGAGGTGAACTGAAACTGATCAAAATCTTCCAAACCCAGATCTTCAAGTTCTTCTTGGAAGGAAAGACACTCGCAGAAACCTATGCTGCAGTAGCTAGAGTTGCAGACCGCTGGCTGGACGTCCTCTATGAGCATGGATCTACCCTGGCTGACGAGGAGCTCATTGAGCTTATCTCAGAGAACCGGAGTATGACGAAGACTCTCGAGGAATACGGAAATCAAAAATCCACATCCATTACTACAGCACGTCGCTTGGCAGAGTTTTTGGGAGAGCAGATGGTCAAAGACAAAGGCTTGAACTGCAAGTACATTATATCTGCAAGACCCAGAAACACTCCCGTCACGGAGCGAGCTATTCCCGTCGCCATTTTTTCGGCAGAAGAAAACGTCAAACGTTTCTTCCTGCGCAAGTGGCTCAAGGACGACCCTGGTGATATGGATCCTCGAACTGTGATTGACTGGGACTATTACATGGAGCGATTGGGATCTGTGGTGCAGAAACTTATCACGATCCCGGCAGCCCTTCAGAAGATCAGAAACCCCGTTCCTAGAGTCGCTCACCCAGATTGGTTGCAACGACGCATCAACATGAAGGATGACAGATTCAAGCAGATCAAGATGACCGACGTGTTCACGAAAGCTGACAAGAACCCTCTGTCCGACATATCAACGAACATTCTCGACCACCGGGTTCAGCACCCAGGTGATCTGGACGAGGCACTTGCGAACTCGACAGCACCTGAGAAGCTGAAGCCATCACCCAATAGCAAAGCGTCACAGAAAAGAAAACTCCCCGAGGGCCACACAAAGACATCGCTGGATCCTTTCGCTAGCCTTCCATCGAAGATGCCGTCAATGGCCGAGGACTACGTGGGATTTTTGAAGTATCAGAAGCAAAAATGGAAGATTCAGAAGCAAGCACGTACCCGCCGTCGACAGCTCTTTGGAGAACGGGCCAACGCTTCTGGCGATTCGCTGAGCCACCTCTTCCGAAACCAAGCGGAACTGCTGTACATTAGCACTTGGCAGGTCTTGCAGCTCGCCGAAACCTCCAGGCCAGGTGTTGTCCGAGCCTTTGTCTTGATTGATCGCAAAGTTCATACTCTTACTGTGAGAGTGCCGCGGCAAATCTATGTCAACCTTAAACAGGATTCTCTTCCTGATGTCGACATTCCGGACTGTGAGGTCGAAAAGGTCAATCATACTCTGCCCAACGGACACCCATCGGTGCACTTGTTCAAGTTGACTCTGTCCGAGGACACCTACCTGCGTGAATTGGAGAAAATTGATATCCTTTTCCAGCATCCGAGCGTTGAGGGAGTGTACGAGAAAAGCATCCCTCTGAACGTGCGGGCCATTCTGAAACTTGGAAGTATATGCACGTTCGATGAAGAGCAACGTGGAGTACTAGGTGAGGGTCTGGAACGTGGATTCGATCTCTCCACACTATGCCGGACCACCTCGGAGCAGCCATACCTTCTGGATGCCCCTCTGGCTTATCACTACTTGTATCACGTCACCTCGGGTGACCGGCAGATCTTTGCGCTTTTTTCGACTACCAAAAGCGAGGCTCATATCGTCATTCTGAACCGCACTCGAGACGTGCAGGGGCTTCCCAATGTCGATAAGATCTACTCGGAACTCCTTATGCGCAAGAATCAGAACACAGCTGAGGATCAAACTCAAAATGCATTTGAGTACCAAGAGAAGATTCATTTCAGGACGACGCAAGTGACGACGAGACGAAAGGCGTACCTGGAAGTTGGAGACCTGATCAAAAAATTCAGAAGCGATGAGAATCAGCCCACGGTCATGGTCATCCAATCTCAACAAAGAAGCCGGTTGTGCCACGATATCCCTATCCTGAGGGAGTACCCAGTCCTGCCGGTAAAGCCGGAGGTTTCTGATATGGATCTCCCCCCTCTGGGCTGGCAATCCTTCATCGCCCGGCGACTTATCACGCATTATCTGTACCTTTCCTCTTGGATCCAACATTTGACCTTGCTTGCGAGATACGGAGATGTCCCGCTTTGCAATCTCGAGAGCGACGACCCCCGGTACCTCATCGATATCTCGTATGCCAGACGACTTCAGCAGAACAATGTTGTACTTTGGTGGTCTTCCGGTCCCAGACCCGATCATGCCGGATATGAAAAGGATGACATTACGGGTCCTTTAGAGAAAGTGGCAATGCCTTCTGTGAACGTACCCAGTGCTTACACCACCGTCTGCCTCGAGATCGAGGTTCGCAATCTTGCGATCAACACAATCTTGACGTCTTCTATCATTAGCGAGATGGAAGGAACTGACAGTCTTCTGGCTTCATCTGGATCATCGGCCGATCCAAGTGGATCAGGTGTTCTTTACTCGGAGAAGGCATTTGCCTCTGCGAGTGCAGTGGTGCTACGTGAAATGGTGAAGCATTGGTGGACGGAGGCGTGCGAAGGGAACAGCATGGCTGACATCATGGTGCAACATTTGATCCGATGGGTTGAAAGTTCATCTTCTTGCCTCTACGATCGCTCGTTGCACCATTATGTCCGGATGCTGTCTAGGAAATCGTTTCAGCGTCTGATGGCCGAGTTCCGACGTGTTGGCTCGAACGTTGTCTTTGCCAGTTCGACACGGCTTTTGCTCCAGACGACGAAGTCTGAGGTGGGCAATGCCTATGCGTACAGCCAATACGTCCTGAAATCGCTTCGGGCCAACCCCTCCTTCCATTTCATCGACCTTGAAATCAAAGAATACTGGGATTACCTAGTCTGGTATGACGAGTACAATTACGGCGGCAAAGGATGTCGAGAGGTGGTTGGATCTGATGACCAAGAACTCGAGACGGTCATGCATTGGCAGCTCAACCGCTTTCTTCCGACCCCAATGCAGACGATCTTCAACGATTGGGTGGTGGAGTATATTGAATTGATGCACAGCCTGAAACACCCGGAGACGGATGATTCGTCTACGCCTCGAATGACCCAGATCCCCATTGGCCGTCCAAACGATGAGGATAGTGAAGAGATCTCGGCTGTTTTGGCGGAGAAGTTTTCGAAGCCCCTCAAGAAGCAGATCTCCGGCCTCATTCGTCGCCAACGCGAAGAAATGCTTCATCCCGAACTTGCGTCAGACTATGCGTTCCCCGTTCTCCCAGGCGTCCTAGCGGATCCTAATAGTGACAAGCGCAACCCCGTCTTGGAGCTTGTCAAGCTGTTGATGCAAGTTCTAAGCCTGTCTAAGACGACCACCCTCGAGAGCAGGCTCCTGCGTCGTGAGTTGCTGGCCATGTTTGAAGTGCGAGAGTTCAGCAAGGAAGGTCGGTTCGAAAACCCGGCAGCTAGCTTGAAGCTGCCCGAAGTTACGTGCGGTGCTTGTTGCTTGATCCGCGACCTGGATTTGTGCCGAGACGAAGACGTCCTGCCAGACGTAGGGTCGGACACAAGCAAAGCCGTCACCAAGCCATGGCGCTGTCCTTTCTGTCAAACAGAATATGACCGGCTAGCGCAAGAAGAGCTCCTTATTGGACAGGTGCAAGGTCTTGTTGTTGGATGGCAGACACAAGATCTCAAATGCTCGAAATGTGGAGGACTGAAGATCAGCGACTTCATGGAACACTGCTCGTGTAGTGGCACGTGGGTTGAGACGACGAACCGCGCGGACATTGAGAAGCGACTGCGAGTGCTCGAGAGCGTGGCCAAGTTCCATAACCTGAAGCTGTTGGAGAGTGTAGTCGAGGGGGTCCTGCAGCAAGTGTGATGGGATGGATGTGTTTTGTATATGGTCGAGGATCATGGGCGTTGGGGGAAAGGAGTTGTTCTATACCGTATATATATCCAGGGCTGTACAATTGAATGAAGTTGACTCTCTATGGTATTCATACCTATTTATTTTATTTTACTTTATTTTATTTTATTTTTATTTTTATTTTTTCTTCTGCTCAAAAATGGGTCAACTCCCGACTATTGACTTGATATACGAAGATCCGCCGATGGAGTATCCACCAAGCCGTCCATGGATTAATCCGAGCGCCTCCCCGCCAACGAAGACAGACTCAGCTGGGTGCCTGGCCCTCTTCACTCAGCTCCCCTTTCCTTTCTCCTCCCCCATCCCACCCATCCTCTTCTCTTCTTCTTGATCCTTTGTTCTCGTCTGCATTATATACGTCCATAGATCCATAGCGCCGTTCCAACGGGGTTTCGCACGCTTAGGGACTGCTACCAACAACCCCGCAGTCCACGGTCAATCCCACCACTTCCGCTAACCTCAAAGGCTTATCAGACGTGATACGCACCCTTGTGATCTATCCTGATCGTTTGGTACGTTCCCTACTCCTTAGAGCTTACCGCGGGAGAATATTCTCTTGCCAGAACGCCTTACGCTGTTGCCTGGATCTGTATTTCCTGGCTAACCGATCGCGAAGAAGATAGCCTGTCGCGATAAGCCACACATACCTTTATCGCTCCTTGATTGTGCGCAACTCGAATACTATATCCTCGTTGAGACCCAGTATACATACGCAGTCGATTCGTCCTGGTTCCTCCCGTGATGGCGTCGCCGGCGCAAGCTCAGCAGCGACCGAAGGTCCAACCTTGCCGATACAAAACTGGAAAGACACTAGGAGCGGGCTCCTACTCGGTCGTGAAGGAATGTGTACATATCGACACGGGCCAGTATTATGCGGCGAAGGTGATCAACAAGCGCTTGATGGCAGGACGTGAGCACATGGTATTTCCTCGACTCCTAGTGTCTGACGGCGCTGGGCTGACACGGGGGATTGGTTGATTCTAGGTTCGCAACGAAATCGCAGTGCTGAAGCGAGTGTCGATGGGCCATCAGAACATCCTGACTTTGGTTGACTATTTCGAAACCATGAACAACTGTGCGATCGCCCCCCACCCATGTGGTCGTTGAATATGCGAGCTGCGGCTAATGTCGATACAGTGTACCTAGTGACCGATCTGGCGTTGGGGGGCGAGTTATTCGACCGCATCTGCCGCAAAGGAAGCTATTTCGAAACCGACGCGGCGGACCTCATTCGCGCCATTCTGTCCGCCGTCGCCTACCTGCATGACCACGGCATCGTGCACCGGGACCTCAAACCGGAGAATCTGCTCTTTCGCACTCCGGAGGACAACGCTGACCTTTTGATTGCGGACTTTGGCCTTTCCCGTATCATGGACGAGGAACAGTTTCACGTCCTGACAACGACCTGTGGTACGCCGGGGTACATGGCCCCGGAGATTTTCAAGAAGAGCGGCCACGGCAAGCCGGTGTAAGTTCAACCTCAATCCTCTGTTTCCGTCTTGCGAACAGGGAACGGAAACTCATGCACACCACAGGGATATTTGGGCCATCGGAGTGATTACATACTTCCTGCTGTGCGGATACACCCCTTTTGACCGCGACTCCAACCTGGAAGAGATGCAGGCCATCCTTGCCGCGGACTATTCCTTCACGCCGCTCGAGTACTGGCGCGGGGTGTCGCAGAGCGCCCGCGATTTCATCAAGCGCTGTCTTACCGTCGAACCGGACAAGCGCATGACCGCGCACGAAGCTCTCCAGCACGTCTGGGTCAACCCGCCGTACGACCAGTCGGCCGATCTGACCGGCTCGGGCCAGGACCTCCTCCCCACCGTGAAGAAGAACTTCAACGCCCGCCGTACCCTCCACAAAGCTATCGATACCGTACGGGCCATCAATAAACTTCGCGAGGGCGGCGGCCTCATGATGGACGGGGTGATGAGCATCGATCCGAAACCTGAACGAGTCAACGGGAGCGAGATCACCGAGGAATATTCCCATGATGGCCAGATGGAGATCGATAGTCGGAGCAATGCACGGGGCCAAACGGAGGAGCAGATTCGCGAACAGGAGCGTCGGGTCAAGCAGGTGGTCACAGGCTTGTGGAGTAGGACGGTGAAGAAGTGAGGGAAGATACCAGATTACAATATTGTTTTGGGATCTTTTGGTATGCTTGATTAAATCCGGATATTTCTGATGATTCGACATGACCAGTAATGCGTTCTATTGGACTTCTGACTCTTGCCGTGGCGGATGTGGCTGTCCAATCCTCCCTCAGCCTTGGACACGCAACGCTGGATACCACCCTGCGCATACTCTTTAGAAGACCAAGACTAGGATCCTCGAAAAACCATTCCTAGTTATAAACAATGAAGTATGTAGCTAAGGGTTGTGTAATTCTCACATACACACTCCTTAGATGTAACCCCGAAATAGACAAAACGCCTTGCCTCTCGTAGACACCATTATCATGAGACGTGACTAGCAACTTTGAAGTGGTATCAAACCGGTGTTACGCCGACGGGCTCAAGTGCTTATCACTGCCATCGTCCAGCGACAGAACCCACTGGCGCCATTCCTGCCACTCCGCATAAGAGGCAGAAGCCTTCAAGCCCTGGTATCTCACGGCACGGAAGTCAGACACCTGCTCCCATGGCTTGGACGAGCTCGACGTATGACTTGGGTTAGAACTTCCTCTGAGGAATCTTCTTGAGATGCTCTCATTTGATCCGTCCCAGCCGGCTTTGTTCATCAGGCTTTTCACGGTCTCTTCTTTGGTCCAGCCTTGCTCCACGGCCACATCCGGCAAGTAGGTCGCTCCATAGCGTCTTCCGCGGTGAATGAACGAGATACGGAGGCCATGCACTCCCAAGATCCAGTCCATGGCGTTAGTGCAGGGTTCGAACGATCCGAGAAGAGTTAGTGAGCATGAGAGGGAGGGCAAGAGCGAGGCCGGGATCGGCGAGAAACGGGTATCGTCAAATGCGCTAGAAGCTTGTCAGCCGGTCGGTTGGAGTATGGAGGGACGGACCCAGTGGTGGCAGGTATCTGTGAAGTCCTGAATTTGGGTGAATACGTACGAAGTAAGAGCATAGGACTTCAAACCCTCAGAAAGCTCGCGTGCCTCAAATGTACCGATACATCCACGAAGCGATTTGTGACCGTTCTTGGACACAGTATTCCATGTCACGAAGAGCGGATACTGGCGGTCCCTTTGCGCAGTCTGCGTGGCCTGCGAGCTGGGTGTAGTGATGGAAGTCGAGCTGGACAGCTGAGAGTGCGACGAGTTGTTGGATGCAATGGATGGAGTGGTAGACGAGCTGGAATCCGGGGAAGACTGGCTTTGAAGACGACTGACGCTGGGGAGTTTGAGCGCCTGCGGGCGAGTTTTCGTATCTAGTTCGCCATCGTCTTCGTCTACAATCTGCTGGCTTTGACTATCGATATCCCCCAGAGAAACTGACTCATCGCTGTCCTGAAGGGCGGCAACTTTCTTGAACTGCTCATGTCTCTCCCAGAGCTCTTCTAAAACGGCAAGGCTCGGAGGCTCCTGACCCTTGTACGATGCCGCGAGGCTCTCGAAACAGTAATAGCAATGTGCCGGACTTGCCATACTATTTTGGATCTTTTCAAAAGATCCAGCTCTGATGACCTTCAGGGAAGCAGTAAAACACCAGGTGCTGTAGGAATTGCCGTATACTAGCCCGGTGAGAGGTCCCCCCGAGTAGTTGCCACTGTCAATTCGGTTGAACTGATGAGAACGCGGGGGCCTCTTTTCGAGTCAGTCCTGTCCGAGGGAAATGAGCGAGACCAGCAGCGTTGTAGATACTCTGCCTGCCTGGAATCCGCTCGGAAGAGGAGGAGGGGAGAAAGAGGGGGAACAGAAGTTGGGCGAAGGCGATGCAGGAGGGCGTGCGGAGATCTTGATAAGATAAGCAGATCACGTGGAATCCCTTATCGGGGTCTGTCTCCCGTGACAAGTCGGGAATTCTCGTAGAGCAACAGAATGTTCTCGTCTACAGCCACGCATCGTGCTCACTTTCTTATTGGGTTCAGGTTGAGTTTTGTGACTTTATTGGATTCGATCTGCTGACTTGGAATGGGCTGACTGCCCTTCGTGCATCGGCTACTGTCCCGGTTTCCGCAATAGCGTCCCAGCCAGTCTCCCACATCGACGAAGGCCGATAGTAAGGTAGACTCTCATAAGCCCTAGTACGGATTACGTTGGTTCAAGATGATCTGCCAAACAGGAGATACTCGTCGCCTAGGTAGTGATCACGTCAGTCCTTGGCATGAGCAACGAATGTGGCTACCCCCCGACGCAGCCATAACTGTCGCGTTTGGCGTCATCAAGATGGAGGCGATCAATCATGGGTTTCTTCGCTTCCGTGTCCTGTCGTGGTGCTCCTAACCGGACCACTACTTCCTCACCGGCCGCGGTCATCTTTAGGCATGCGCAGATTCATCATGGAAAGCATATTACCCGCAGGGCCTGCTGCGCCTGCTTGGCTCTGAAGGCTTTCCAACAAATTCTTTGCAAGATTGATGTCGATGTCTTCACCTTCAAGATCGGGTACGTCGTCATTGTCTTCGTGGCTTTCTCCAGACTTTCCATCGGACAAAGTTTGTTTGCCTTTGGACTTGCTTCGAGCCTGATTTAGGTCGAGGGCTCCTGTCCCTCTAAGCTCTGCCTCCATCTCCTTTGACAGTTTTTGGATTTGCTCGAGTTCGTCATCGGAATCATTATCCAGCTCTTGGATTCGGCTGCGCGACATTGATGGCTGCGACGAGCCTTGCAACCCAGGCATTGATGGCATACCCATCATCTCTTTCATCATCTTTGATAGTTCCTCGTCATCGAAAGAGGCCTCTTTATCTTCGCCATCGTCGCTGCTCAGCTCCTCCTCATCCGAGTCTGACCCATAATCATCAATGAAGTCAGCCCCTTCAAACCCGGCTGATTCATCGTTGAGGAACTTCTCAAAATGTGCCACAATGCGTTGCAGGTTTTCTTGGGCATTGGCGTCACCAAAGGCACCCGTTGCTTGCCCTGCTTCATTGCCCTTACCCTTACCCTTCAACTCCCGATCGAGGTCTTCAAAGCTGATATCAAGCCACTTTTCATCGTCTTCCCGCTTGTCCCATGAGTCGATCTCTGCATCAGTAGGGAGGGACTCATCCCCGGTATCGACGTCTTCCAGAAGGAGTTTCATCTCTCTCACCAGAACCTTGTCTTGATTCTGAGGGTCAGTAAGGAGCATTTCAAAACCACATGACAGTTTCATCCCCATCTCCGCTCTTTCATATGCCTTATTGTCATCCTTGGAAGGTAGGTGTCCAATCCAGGATTTGGGTGCTGGAAAATCTTGGCTTTTGAGCTGAGCGTAGCCGACTCTCGTAAATCGCACACTGACTGTAACGAAGTCTTCAGGCTTGAATATGTAGTTTTCGGGGTCTTTGGATCGAAGGGGCCTTAAGGCGATCGGGTCTCTAAGGTAGAATGCCTCCACCGCGGGGGAGATGTAGGCCGGTTTCTGATGCAGCAGGAACGCGATTTTTCGAGGGATGGTGATCATGGCGGAATGGAGATTCTCGCTGATTTGCTTCGGGTAGTTCCGTAGACGGTAGAAAGCCTCCTCCTGGATCATGGTAGATCGCATCAGACGTCCTGGTTCCTCCATGATGATTTTCTGGGCTTCAGCAAGCGATATCTTCTCGGTGACGTTGGATTTCTTCTCGTTCTTCGGTTTGATGATGACGAGTTTACCCTGGTTTATCCATACCTAAACCCGTCGTTAGCATATACAAAGTCATGCTGATAGATCGAAGTCGTAACGTACGCGGTTATCGGCAATGTCGGGTTCCAGCCAAGCAGGGAGGGCTCCTGCAGCCTCGACGAGCAGAAATTGACCATCGCTGTCTACAACCTTGACCCATATGTCCTTGTGTTTCGTCGTCAACTCACGAAGCAAGTATACAATGACCCATTCATCCTCAATCGAGTCGCCAAAGTTCGTACGCCCGCGCAATGAAGTGATCCCTGGTCATCGGTACTCAGTATGCGACTTGCACAGGGTCGAATGCAGATGGGCAGACGTACCGTCATCTTTCGTAATCTCGAGCTTGAAGCCTTCCCGCTGCCAAATGTAATCCTTAAGATACTCCTTAGTCAATTCTGCCGCCGTCTTTTGCACGTCTACCAATCGCGCTCGCGTTTCGGCGACCTCATCGATCACGGCGGGGGCGGGGTCGGTAGGGATATAGTAGATCGAGTAGTCGACAGAATCATCTGGCAGTTCGGGTTTCGGTATGGGACGGAAAGTGGACTTGAACCACTCAAGGTCCTCTTGCGACATAGGCGCCATGTCTGCTGGATGACGAATCCTCAAGAAAATCGGATGGATCGTGCCCTTGAGAAGGAGCTCGATTCCGCTTGTGCAATAAATTTAATGACTTCATCCGCGGCGAATCTGCCGGCCCGAACGCTCGTGACTGCGGCGCTAGACCGTTCTGGGCTAGATGTCAACAAGAACGAGGACGGGATTCTCACCGCCCAAAACACGTCCTCCGCATACTTACTTCTTCCCCCCATTCCCTCTGCCACACGCGCCGGAAAACACAGGCGAGACCGATATGAATGCATGGTGATGGCCTTGGGATCCCCCCGATAAATCACGACCGCATCTACCTGTATTCCCATCGCGTCACGCGCGACAATGGCGTATCCCTACATCGACACACCGCGCACCGAAGTCGATGGCAACGCGACGTACCTGACCAACGGCTTCCGCAGCGTCGGACGACACAACCTGTCCGCTCTTGATTCGGTGGAAAACTCATTCCAAACGCCTTCTAAAGATGAAGATATCCTGAAAACGCTCGGCGATGACCGCAGACGCAGTTCCGGCGGGTTCAAGCTCAACACACCGCGTGCCGGCTCCGGTCCCAAATCCACGAAAAGCGCGTTTAACAGTCGACAAACGCTCCCGACGACCGCGCCTCCCAAAGGCGAATTTACGCCGCTAATGAAGAGCGCAACAAAGAACAATTTCCTCCGAAACATGTCGACGGCGCGGACCGGCGCTCCGAAAACCCCAGCGTACCTCAGATCCGGCTACCGGAGTAATGGCAACACCTCTGTACTGCCAGGCATGGATATGACCGATATTGATGAGGAGGACGCGACCGACGACCAGCCGACACCCTTGCCGCAGGTGGCCAGCAGTAGCGTGCAGAGTACTCCTCTGCCGGGACTGCCCGGGCGCGACGGGGGTGGAGTGCTCAACGATGGTCAAAATATGATGACCTTGAAGGAACAAGAAAAGGTGTTCTCTTCCAATACATCTATTGCGTGATGAAAGACGGTTTGCTGACTTTACATAGATAATCGACAAACTCGACAAGGACAATTTTGGGTTGAAACTCAAGATTCACTATCTTCAGGAGCAGTTGGAGAGGGCTGGTCCTGCGTACAACCAAGCAGCGCTGAAAGAGAATACCGAGCTCAAAGTCACGAAATTGACCCTGCAACGCGACATCTCTCGGTACAAGAAGAGTCTACAGCAGGCGGAACGCGACCTAGAAGCATATCGCATACAGTTCCAAGAACTCCGCGAGAAATCACGAAGGAGACAAACCGACGACACGATCCAACGAGAGATGGACTTGATGCGGGAAGAAATCGAGTCGCGGGATCGCCAAGTGAAGGAATTACAGGAGGCCCTACGCAATTCCAGGGACAACCAGTCGCAGGAGGTGGAGAAGCTCCGAGACGAAGTCGAAGATTTGGAAGCGTCGCTGCGAGAAAAGGAGCGGATCATCGACGAGCGTGACGAGGAAATCGAAGAATTGAAGGACCGAGATGGAAAGGAGAATGATGCGCTTTCGGAGCTTGAAAGTGAGCTTCAGCGCGCGAAGGAGCAGATGGAGGAGCTACAAGAATCGCTGGATCAAGCCAAGTCGGAAGCTCGCGAGGCGAGGGAGTCTGAAAGCAAGGCTTTACAGGCCAAGGAAGAAGCCGAACAGAACCTGCAGGAGCTCCACGATGAAATGGCGAATAAATCGTTTAGCACCAAAGGCCTTACGCGTCAGCTCGAGGAGAAAGCGGCGAAGCTGGAGGAAGAGCTCAGAGAACTGCATCAACAGAATGATACGCTTAAGCACGAGCTCGAGTCAAAGTCCTACAATGAAGCTCGTCTCGAAGAGCAGTACCGCAGTGTTCGGGAAAGCCTGGACAGCGAAGGGCACAAACAACACGAGGAAGCGGAAGCGGCGAAACGCGAATTGGAGATGGTGCGACAAGAGCGTGAAGAAATCCATGCTCAGCTACAGCAGGCTCTTGATGAGATTCAACGCCGGACGGAAGAAAAGGAGCTTCTTCAGACACGGCACTACGCCTTGACGGATGAGTCCGGTGGCCTCCAGCAAGATCTCGTGAAAGCCCAAGCCAGAGCCCGAGAGCTTCAGCTGGCGCTTGAGGACGAAAGGCAGCGAGCGTTGGATGATGCAGATAGCATCAGAACTCAGTACAGGGAGGAGATCGAGAGGCTGCAAGAGGAAATCGAATCTCTGCAGCATGAGATTGAGGACAAAGAAGGCCAGTTTGCACTCGAGCAAGACCGATGGGAGAGTGCAAAGCGCACCTTGCAGCATCAGAAGGATCGAGCCGAAGACCAAGCCGCTGGCTTCAAGCGCACGATTGAGAAGCTCGAACAAGTCGAACACACGCTTACTGGCAAAGAGTCCAAACTCCAAGAGGTCATTGACAGTGAAAAGGCTCGCCACTTTAACTCCGAGGCGGTTTTGAGCCGTCAGGTGAAGGAGCTGAATGATGAGCTTGCTTCAAAACGACAAATCATTGATGACCAACGAACAGAGCTGCTGTCCATTAAAGAAGAACTCCGCTCTGCCAGACGGACAGAGACGTCTCTGAAGGAAAGGATACAGGGTCTGGAAGATGAAATCGTGGTCTTGCAGGCAAGCCTCGACGAGGAGAAGGAAATTGCTCGAGGGAGGGTGCAGAGGGGCTCTGATCATGATAACCAGGTCCAGAAGCTGCTCACCGAGAAGCAAAAACTTCGAGACCAGCTGGCCAATGCTCATGTTGAACTGCATGACCTCCGCACCTCGGCAGCCGAGTTAGAAGCCGAGCGTGATGAACTCCAAAGCCAACTTGAACAAGTTCAAAACCAGGTCGACGACACCTCCCGATTTGATCGCGAAAAGGTCGAGCTCCGCAAAACGACATTACGGCTCGAAGGGGAGCTGAAGCGGTTGAAGGACGAGAAATCGACCCTGCTAGAAGCAAAGGAAAGCCTCGAAAACCAACTGAACTCGGAGATTGAGCGAGCTACTGCTGAGGAGAATCGCCTATCCGCAGAGGTTGACCAACTACAAGACAAACTCCAGGCCTCGGCGGGCGGCAGAGACCGGGAGCTTACCCTGTCAAAAAGCAAGCTCCAGCGTTATGAGAGGCGTATACAGGAACTCGAGGCTCTTCTTGAACAGCAGCCTCTCGCTGATACTGATCATGTATCGACCAATGCAGATCTCTCGCTGCTGCGGCACAACCTAGATGAAGCCAAGAAGCGAGAGAAGGTGCTTCTACAGCGCGAAGCGGAGCAGAAGTCGTCCGTGCGTAATTACAAGTCACGGATTGCTGAGTTGGAAAGAGAGTTGCATGACGCTTTGATGAAGAAGTTCGAGACGCGATCACCCCAGTCGTCGCCTTCTGATAAGCTTCATGAAGAGCTGCGAAGCTTGCGCAAGCAGCTCTCGGAGGCGCATCGGGCTCTACGGGACCTGAAAACCAAGAATCGTGACCTCGAACGGGCTGCGATGAGGGAAGAGGACCAGCGCGACCTCCACGAACTTCTCAAATCGTCTACACTTGAAGCTGAGTCGCTCGCACTGAAGGTGTCGGAGCGAGATGCCCGTCTGAACGAGTTCAAGGCCCAAGTCCGCCGGATCCGCGAGGAACGTGCGTTCTGCGCAAGAAAGGCAGAGAGGGCAATGAAAGAGCTTGAGGCGCTTCAGGAGCGCTACAACCAGGTGGTGGAAAAGGCCGGGGCCAGGTCTGACACGCAAACGCGGCATGACAAGGAGATCTTGGGCCTGGGCAAGGAAATCATCTGGCTGCGGGCTCGGTTGAAGCGCGAGGAGAAGTTCCGCCGCGATTTGGCTTGGAGCAAGGGTTTGATGGAACTTGGCGAGCGAGTTCGGGTGGTTTGGTTAGTGCCCCCCCTTTTCTACTTGATTATAGAAGTCAGGCTGACTCGTTTTCTACAGCAACGAAGCGGATCTACGAATGATCTCGGAGATGGGCGTCAAACCACGGGACCGCCACAACATTCGGGAGCCTCGGCAGAAGCTGAAGACGGCCGTTTCTATGGTTCGGGCCATCGTCCGGATGCAGCGGATGGGCCAGGAGTGGAAGAAGACGCGGAAGCTGGGCGAGGGCCTGAAACGGGCCAAGAGCGAGGTGTTGAAGAGACGCGATGGGTCGAGCAAGGTGTCGGTATGAGCTGTACTGTGCAATGTTTGATCGTTTGTTTCCGGCTTCCCGTTGCGTGGAATGCCCCGAGATTCCCCCGTGCATGTATGTACATTCTGGTGTGGTTTGTGATTCCGTCCGGCGTTTGTTTTGGCTGGTGATTTGTACTGGGCTGCAGCCCGTTGCATATATGTTATTGGATGATTAGTTGATCGTATGATCCCAAGAACCACGAGAGATGTCAAATTGCCATATATGATTGCTATCTGGGCAGGGAGTAGACGCAAAGTAGCATCTGGATCCCAAATGTACTTGGGTACGATGTTATATTTAGATCAACAAACATTATGTGTTGTGCTAGTGAACTAGCGCAGAGACCATGCAATGAAGATTAATGCAAGTATATACATAAGCAGCCACAGAGTCGTAATATCATAATCCCGTGAGTTCGTCCACCCATTCAGGGTAGTATGCGCCAACGTACACCGGGTCATGCACCGTGCCATTGGCCAGGGGACTGCAAGTCGGCGTAATCTTGCGAGTCGACAGGGGACGCTCTTCTGAGGTGGATGCCGCATGCCAGCAATCAACCATCAAGGTGATGGGGCACCGGCTATTGACGGGTGTGCAGTGGTTATGTCCGATCGGACGTAGTATTCACCCTTCAAGACGCTACGTTAGTACCAACCCCCCGAACCCAAGATCGACGCATCGACCTACCCCAATCTCAGACCCGACGACCCTGCGCCGGGACGTTCATAGTCGGCGGCGCGGGCGTCCATTTCCTGCCGGCGCCGGCGCGCAGGATAATCTCGGGGGTCAGGCCACACTGCGACTCGGTGGCGTAGGACGGGGTGTATTTGAGGAAACAGGCCAGGACGTCGCGGGAGTGATGCTGGTAGGCGTAGAAGAGGGGCGTCTTTCCGTCGTGGTCGCGGATGGACGAATTGGCGCCGCGTTGGAGCAGGATTTCGACCGTCGCGGCGTCGGACAGCTGCGCGGCGATGTGCAGGGCGGTCTGGCCGCGGGCGTCTGTGAGGGAGGAGTCGAGGCCGTAGGTCAGCAGGCGCTCGAGGACGGCGGCGTGGCGATGGAGGGCCGCGAGGTGGAGGGCTGTCCGGCCGGCGGCGTCGGTGGCTGTGAGGAGGGATGGGTTGCTGCGGTATTCGGTGTCGAGGGTGGCCAGGTCGCCGGTGGTGGCGGCGTGGAGGAAGAGCATGTTAGCGGTGATGGTGGTGGTGTTGTTGATGTCTGGAGGGAGGGGAGGAAGTGCGTAGGAGAAAGTCTGGTCGACCTTCTTGGCCCTGGCGATCTTGGGGCTTTATTAAGGCTGGAAGAAAGCTTGGGAAGCTTGGGTCAGCGTGGACTAGTCGGGATTACGACTGCGAGGATAGTTAGGTTGTTTGGCCAATTGTCGCTGGCTTCACTAACGTCGGCGGAAATATCCCACGTGAGGTTGTCTCCGTCCTGGTCATTTAACCATGCCATTGTTTATCCGGAGTATGATGTTGAATGGTACTCTTCCATACGCGGGATATTGTTCCAGTTTGCTCCATTATTCGTGAGCACAGCAGCGCAGTGCAGTGCCGAGCAAAGCAGGATGAACCCTCCCGGATGGAAACGCACTGTACAAACACCGTCACGCAAGGACAGCACCACAAGCACATGCACACTTGCCCAGTCTGGACAGAAGTCACTCGTGCGAGGATAAATGACCCGCACTAACGTCCGACACAGACATGATATCAGCATGTCAGTGGGACCTGGCCCGAGTTCCGCGGGCCTCGACGGCGTACCCACAGACAGAGAATGGATTGCGCAGACGATTGGAGGGGGAAGGTCTTCGGATGTGCCTGTGGTAGCCCCTGTCTACCCATACGTGGACCGCCCAGGAGGGAGCCGGATGGCCAGGCATGGCATAAGTGAGCTGCGCTACAACGCGATGCTCGCAGGGGAGGGCGCACGTGGCGAAGTGATTCGTCCTGCGGCGTCTGTCAGACTCTCGTGTCGAGGCGGACTAGTTGTCTGGCTGCTTTCCATGGACCAGATAGGCCTAGTTTCAGACGCGATGGCGGCGAACGAAGGGTCTAGCACGGACGAGGCCTTGTTCGGGGTAAACACCGGAGATCACGGCTGGTGCGTGCTGAAGCTATTCCCGTTCAAGCTTAATATCAACCCTAAACGGTCTTGGCAGATGGCAGGTGGGCCCCGCAGCCAGTCAGCGCAGTGATGGCGGGCACATGGGCGGCGGCCGCCATTCTGACTGGTGCTCGCGTCGATTGCCTCGGAGTATATCGTGCACATAAGGTACGGAGTATGGTAGGTATACAGCAATTATACATAGCATAGCCATGAAGAGTAGTGTCGAGTATGGCCATCTTGGATCTTTCACTCCTCTTTCTGTACTCCTGATGAGCAACTGGCTGCTTGGTGTCCCGCGGTTGAGCGGCCCGATTCACCAATGCACCCCCAAAGCTTATCTGGTGCTTGGCCTGGCTCTTGTCCAGATCCCGCAGGCCATAGCGGTACCGCTCAACTACAAAAAGGCCGCACACGTACATCTCCCCCACGCGCGTCACCGACTCTCCCCCTACGACAAGTGCACCCTGGTGTTGTGCGGTACAGTCCTACTCACCTGTGCCCTAGCCCTGATAGCCCAGGTACGCGCTCCCACATCTATATCTCGTCTATATCTCTCTCACTAGATCCGCTACTAAACCTATCTAGTCCTGCCGAATATCAGCCCTCATCGTTCGAAGAACCCAACAATGGAAGCACGAAGAATACCACGCGGACGGCACGCACGCCATGGCTGACCGTGGCAACGCCAAACGCGGCATAATTAGCCGACACGCAACCCGGTATGGCGGCATCGTCGAACAGGTCACGGAGGTCGATGGGATCCGCAAGGTCGTGCTGGTCGTCAACGCCCGGCTCCCCACGAGCGAGGATCAAGATGCGTACGCGGATTGGTTCCGGCGCTGGTGTCAGCGCCAGGAGATGGTCTCCAGCGATGTCGGCGAGGGTGCCGCGGATGAAATGACGCCTCTTATGGGGGTGCAGCAGCCGGAAACGCCACGGTATTGTGAAGAGAGGGAGATTTCACAGAGGGAGCTGCGCAGCCGAGATGGATCAGCTGGCTGGGCGATTGGTAGCCGAATTCATGACTGGCTGTGTCGCGAACCAAAGACCGTCAAGCGACTGTTGACATGGCTGATGAGGGTCCCAGGTCTCTCTTCCGGAAATCAGAGCCTGTCCTCCTCACCTCCTAATCACGCAGTCACGGCATCTATATGAACTCGCGTGGCTCGACGCAACTCTACGATGACTATGATTTACGAAATGAATCCCATGCAATAGACTAGCGCACGTCCATATATGAAATTCCAATTGATCCATTGTCCCATACTGGCAGTCACTTCACTTCAAATGAGATTTGTGTGAATCTAGAATTAATTAATAAAAGTCTATATCTATAGTCTATCTAAGCAGACTTCTTCTTTCCAAAACTAAAGTTCCACTTCTTCACCCGGAAGCAATAGTACAACGCCACCGCTGCTGCAATATCAAACACGATGTATGCCCAGAAGATGCCAAAATTGCGCCACCGCTGGTCCCACGGCATATGCACGCTCTCCAGATACTGGTCCGCTGTGTTCAGCGAACAGTATGAGCAGTCCTGCGTCGCGTTGGGGTTCTGCAGGTACCCCGGCGCCACGGACATGTACTTGGCCATGTAGTCCCCGCACGTCAGACCGCTGGGCGGGTTGAAGATCGACAGCTCCACATCGCTGCATTGGATAGGCCGGCCGTGCATCTGCGTCGCGGCGACACCGCCAACCCAGTAGGTGAACGGCGACACGCGGTACATGAAAATCCAGAAGCCGGGGAGGGCTTCGGGGGTCTGCATGACACCGTTGAAGGTCAGAGCCATGGAGAACAGAAGGGTCACGATGGCACCGGCGGTTTCCGCGTCCGGGAGAGCGGCAATGACCAGGTCGGCGAAGGTGCTGGCATACACGAAGAACTGAATGAAGTAGAGCAGAGCGAGACCCTGTCGGGAGGAGCTCTGCACGCCGGAAACCGGGTAGTAGTAGCAGGCAAAGACGATGACCGCCATGACGATCTGGTACGGGATCTCAACCAGAATGGAAGACATCATGAAGGCGGACCAGGAGTAAGTCTTGGACGGGCGTTCGCGCACCTCGTACAGCGCTCGCTGGGTCAGGAACAGGGGGATGATCTGTTGCACGAGCGAAGAGAAGATAGCACAGACCATGAACAGCGAGAAGATCTGATTCTGCATGCCCTGCTGGGAATGGTCCGGGAGGAAGAACGAGAAACCAATGAACAGACCGGAACACAGGCCCAGCATCATCTTGGCCACCACGTAGTTCGGCGTCCGCCAATAGTGCTGGAAAACCCGGCGGAAGACAGTGGGAAGCTGCTTCATGATGGGCATGGCAAATTCGGCGTGCTCACGGGGATCGGGGATCTCATTGGGATCATGCTCTGGCTGGCCTTTCTTGCTCTCGTGGATACGGTTGATTTCATGCTGTACTTCGGCGGCTTCGGGACTGGCATTCCACAGGTCAGACCAGGTCTTGCCCTCCGGATTAGTGCCTGCGTTGACGACCTCCAGCATGTATTCAGCCGGGTTCTCATCATCCGCACAGGAACGTGCGCCGTAGCCCTCGAAGTAGTCGAGGAGGGTACGCGAGTTTTTGCCAATAGGACCAAAGTAGACGGTTTTACCACCGCGAGCCAGGAAGAGCAGTTGGTCGAACTGTTCAAAGAGAATCGCGCTCGGCTGATGAATGGTGCACAGGATGGCTTGGCCTGAATCAGCGAGTTTGCGCAGGAAGTTGCAGATAGCCCAGGAGCTCTGCGAGTCAAGACCACTAGTCGGCTCGTCAAGGAATAGCAAAAGCTTTGGCTTCGCCGCTAATTCCACTCCGATCGTCAACAGCTTTCGCTGCTCGACATTCAGTCCCTCGCCCGGAACACCGACGACGGCCTCGGCGAAGTCCTCCATGTTCAACATGCGGATCACTTCCTCAACGTAGGCGTACTTTTCTTCCTTCGACACGGCATCCGACTGACGCAACATTGCGCTGAACCGCAGACTTTCGCGTACAGTGGATGTTTCCAGATGTAGATCTTGCTGTTGCACATAGCCGGTTTTGCGTTGGAAGCTCGAATCAAGAGGCTTGCCGTTGACGAACATGTCACCAGTGATGACGCCCATGGTCGTCCGGTGTGCCAATACATCCAGCAGGGTGGTCTTACCGGCACCACTGACGCCCATCAGCGCGGTCAGTGTACCCGGTTTCACCCACCCAGAAACATTATCCAATAGACGCCGGGGTTCGCCCTTGATCTCAATATCGTAGCTCACATCACGCCAGGTGAAGATGTCCCGCTGCGGAGGCAGAGGAGGCAGCTCAGATTGAGCCTTCTCGTCACTGGATGCGGGAACCGGTGCATCAGTCGAGGAAGATTCTTCGTCGTCGGCACCGCCGTTCTTCAAAGCCGGGGGCTCATGACCGCGACGGAAAACCAGCACCTCGGCGGTACTCGTCGTCGACGAGTTGAGTTCGGTAGCGACAAAGTAGATCGCCAAGAAGCCAATCAGAAAAGCAATGAGAATTCCAAAATTGCGCCAGACGTGGTCGTATGTGTATTCATACGAGGCCCAGATATAGGCATCGCCACTAACTTTGTCACGACCGGCCACCGCACCCTTGGACGAACAGACAAAGGTATCGCCCTGCAAGTTGGGGTAGGCTGGGATGATCTGTGAACAGTCGAAGTCGCGACCGTGGAACTCGTTGGCCACCAGAATCTCAAAAGCGTAGTAGATGGGGTTGATGTAATGAATCCAGCCGAACCATGGGTGCATGTTGGGCACAGGCACAACAAAACCCGTGTAGATGACCAGCGCCAGAATGAGAATTCCAGCAAGAGTCATGGCCTGTGACACAGTTTTGGTGATGGCAGCCATGGTACGGAAGACGGCACTCATAACAAACATGATGACGAAGTTGATGAGGAAGTAGATGAAGAACTGAGAAGGCTCACGCCGTAGGTTACTGAGGAAATATAGGATGAGGTTGAAGGCGACAGCGAGCAAGAACTTGACGGGAATATCACTGAGGATACCAGCGATGGCTTCCGTGGAGGGATGATAGAAGGCGTATGAGTTGTGTTTCTCGACGATAGGCCGTTGTGAGTATAGACTGTTGATCTCGGTCATAGCAGTCAGAGCATTCAGCAGCACGGCGTAGAACAGCACACCGCCCTTCTGATAGAAACCACTTGTAGCAGCAGGCGTCCCGTAGAAGACAGAACCGACAATGAGCGCGGTAATACAGTTTCCGACGAAAGAGGTGATGGTCGATGTACGTTCGTTCCAAACCCGCTGGTACGCGCGTTTGGTGTTCAGCTTGATCTGCATCGGCACACTCAAGAGATATGGCGAGGCGGGTCGCGTGTGATCGGCCTGAGCCTGGCGCTTCTGCTGCTGGAACTCGCGCAACTTCTCCTCCGACTGTGCAATCGTCTCATCATGATGCTTCGCCATTGCCTGTTGCAGCTCCCGATACTCGGGCGAGTTGTGCCAGTAGGCCTCGAATTCGTCCGGGGTGCGGGGCACCTGGTTCTCCATGCCGGCACGGGGTTGTCGCTCAATGGGGTTCGTGACAGACGTGAGGAAGTCACCGGTTGTCTGGCGGGGTGGACAATACCAGCCCTGGCGTTCAAAGAAGGCCTTGGCGGCCGACGCAGGTCCGTAATAGATCTGGCGGCCTTCGTAGAGGACAACTGCTTTGTCAAACAAGTCGTAGATTGCCTGACTGGCCTGGTAGATGGCGACCGCATGGGCGGAGTTGTCCAGATCGGCGGCCAGCCGCAGCGATTGGACAAACTTCAGAGCTGTTGCGGAATCCAGACCACGAGTCGAGTTGTCCCAGGCAGCCAGCGGTGCGTTCGCCAGTGCCATTTCAGCGATACTCACGCGCTTCCCGCTCACCACCGGAGACACCACGCACGGTGTCACTGCCCACTTTGGTGTTGTAGGTATGGGTCAGTCCGAAGACGGCCATGACCACCTTGGTCATCAGCTTGGAATACTCCTCTCGAGAGAGGCCTTGTGTACGGGCAGAGGGAGTCCGAACTGAGGCGGCGAATTCCAGGGTCTGACCGACGGTCAAATGAGGGAAGTGCTTGTCAACCTCCTGATTGTAGACCATCTCTCCCTTGAACTGCTTCTGCATGGTCCGCTGTGGAATACCACTGTAGTGAATATCGGACTTGGAGTCCACCTGTAGACCGTGCAGTTCGCCGCACAAAGTCTTGAGGAATGTGCTGCAGCCGGATCCTGGCCGTCCCAGAACGATCAGCAGTTCTCCACTGTCGAGGACACCATCAAACTGCTTGAGGATCTGCTTGGGCGTCTTGGGACCCAGATTGAAGGTCTCCCGGGGACGCAACAGGGAGGTGAACAGGCCACCCACTGTCTGCTGGAGCTGCAGGGCGGCACCGGTACCAGTGACACGGAGGTCGCGAAAGTAGATGCTGGCTTTGGACCGAGGGATACCCTCATCCTTCAGCTGGTGAACCACTCGTCGGAGCCACTGATACAGATCGAACTCCTTGCTGTCCGGGTCCAAGGCTGGGTCCCCTGGGGCAATGGCCCGGGAGGCAATGCGGGAGAGCTGTTGGTCACAGCTTGCCAGCTGGGTCAGATATTCGGCTTCGGCGGGGTCGAAAGGCGCATGAGGGTGGGCAGGTTGCATCAAAGTGTCATCGGATGAGGAGGTTCGTGTGATGGATGTGGAGGTGGAGTGGTCTTGATGGGAGTATTGGGAGTTCTGGGAGTCCTGGGGCAGGTGATCTCCCTGTAAGCCCTTCTCGTTTGGTGTGCTGGCCATGATGGCCGACTATGGTGTTTCAGGGAGGCTCAGTGGGGGTAAGAATGGAATCGATTGACGGGAAAGTCCTTATATGAAGTATAGAATCACAGTCAGATAAGATCAGGCTGACCAGGCCGGATAGCGATGATTTCAGATGTTGTGAGATCCACATGGCGACAATCTGAGGTGATCCGGGCGATATAAATAAGACTCATACCTATGAAGTATGCCTGGATCGGATGCAAGGAAACGAGCGCTCCGACAAAGCGAAGACGATAAGGGTCCACCCGGAAAGGAAGTCCTCCAGGATCCGATCCACGGCTGTGGCTCATAGTCGCCCTCCGCAGCCAATCGGAGGGCCGGAATCGCGGGGTCCCGAGATGTCAGCCCCGGAACGGCGTTAGTCATCGGCCTTCGGCAGGCTTGGCTCCGATCCGCCTCAAAGAGTTTTCTGTGGTTCCCCCATTATTATTAATAGTTACCTGGCGGCGGCATAACTCATTGTCCGCAGGCCCGCCTCTGAGACTTTGGGCGCGCGGTCAGCTTATCCACCACCTCATCAACATGCATGTGATTGTTCTGGGCATAAGATATTCAAAACTCAGATCACTGTGGTTCATGGATTGCTGAATCAACGATGCAGATTTCGTCATAGGGAAGATAACTCATACAGAAAACGTCCTCGCACCAGTCTTTCCAACGTTGACAAGTCATAAACGCCACCCGGTCAAATCAACAAAGAAAACGCTTCGAACACCAAGCTCATGGAAAACACAGAAAATGAGGTGGACGTATCACCGAACATGAAGTGTATATGAACGTGAATCATACCCAGGCATCACCATCACCACTAAAAGAGGAGAACAGCCGAAAGGCCCGATCGGCCTGCCGACCATGCAGGATCTATCTGTACGGGTTATGGTCAGGAGAACCGAGGTATAGATAACGGTGCTTAAGCTCCTTCACTGCCAAATTCTTTGGTCCACTCTTCGTTCCTCTTCAGGTCGTCTTGGCTGACGGTGGGTCGCGAATTCCGTACGGCCTTGATGAAATCCTTAAGGACAAGCGGTGGTTCTAGAAGCTGCTCTGCTTCGATGCTCATCCACGTCATTTCCGTGGCCCCCTGGTCTCCTGGGGAGCAAGGGGTTAGTTTCTCGGCGCCGTCAACCACGACCTAGGATCACATGTCAGATGGAAAACCCGTTATGTAAGAAAGCCATGCAAGTAAGACAATAAGACAAACGCGTGGAGTAGACGGAGAAAAAATACCTTTTTGTAGTGGGTTGCGGTCTGAATCTTCCGGATTGGCTGCATCAGGGCGTCCTGGACAGCGATGCTGATATCACTGCCGGAGTAGCCCTCGCTCATCTCCGCCAGCGTGCGGTAATCAGCTTGGGTCATCTCACATGGCGTTTGGCCCACAGCCAGCATGAACATCTTCATCCGAGCATTCATGTCAGGCAGACTGATGTGGACTCTCCGTTGGAATCGTCGCCGAATAGCCGCATCCAATTGCCAGGGGATGTTCGTTGCGCCGAGAATCAAGACCCCCTTGGAGTCCTTTCCTACTCCGTCCATCTGTACCAGCAATTCAGTCTTGATGCGGCGAGATGCTTCGGACTCTCCTTCGCCACGTGGCCCGCACAGGGCATCGACCTCGTCGATGAAGATAATCGCCGGCTTGTTTTCGCGAGCCATGTTAAATAGCTGCTTTACCAGTCTGCAGCGCAAACAGTCAGCAACGGCACCCAGACCCAAACAGTGCAAATCAGTAGAACACAATACCTTTCACTCTCACCCATCCATTTCGACACCAGGTCACTACTACTAACGCTGAAGAACGTACTGTTGGCTTCGGTGGCCACCGCCTTGGCGAGGTATGACTTTCCTGTACCGGGGGGACCGTAGAGCAAGATGCCCTTCCACGGCTGTCGCTTGCCAGTGAACAGATGCGGGAATTTGATGGGCAGGATGACCGCCTCCTTCAGCGCCTCCTTCGCATTCTCGAGACCAGCCACGTCCTCCCATTGCACGTTCGGTTTATCCGACAAGATAGCGCCCTGCAAGGCCGACCGTAACTTCTTCGCGTCGGCGTCTTCGTTTTCGTCATCTTCTTTCCTGCACCCGTCACCACATCCATCAGTACGCAGTCCTCGACATGTAAATCTATAGCCTCTCCACACAAGAAACCAAGCAAGGGGGAAAGATGCCAACGTACCCTCCCTTCCCAGTCCCATGGGCAACCTTGTTCCCGTTGGCGCCAACAGCGCTGGGTTTCTTCCGATCTAGTTGGGCTAGATGATTCTTGAGTTTCTCCGCACGGTCCATGTACTCGCCGGTCTTTGCGCGGATCATCTCCTTGGACCGGGGGTTCTTCTCCCATTTGAGAGCGAGCATGAACAGCTCCAGCGCGGAGTAGTACATCTGGTATGCCTTCTCGTACTCGCCCTCATTGTCGTGCTCGATGGCTTTCTTGACCGTGTCAATCGCCCGTCCCAGAAAATCGGTGTTACTCATGATGGACGGGATGGCCTCTAGGAGTCACCGATGGCTGTCAATGTGGGTTGCGGAAGGACTCTGGGGGGTGAAAGGTGGTGAAGAAAGGCGTATCGGAGGGATTCACCAAAGGCGGGGAGTGGCTCGTTGCTATGGTATTCGCGGACAAGGCAGAAGGCAGTGGAACTAACGAGCTGACGGGATGTGGATGTACATGCGCGACAGGCAGCAACAAAGCACACGTAAAAAGATTCGAAATAGGGGTATACAGCTGTATTGAGTTCTCTGGGTGAAGGAGCGAAGTTGAGGAGAGGGCGGGATGAGTGAGGGGAGGAGAGCGAAAGGCGGAGGAGGTTCCTGTTTACCGTCTTGAGCGGCTTTTCTGCCGCTCTGGATTTCCCCCGCCAATTCCTCCAGCCCACCTCATCGATTAGCCTGATTATCAACCACATAGGACATCATTACCATGGCTGACGCACAGAAGCAGCTTCAGGCCCTATCCGACGAGTTCCAGACACTCCAGTCCGGTACGTACAGCCGTTGTCCTAGCTGACCACTACCTAAGCTAATCAGTGGGGTGTCGCAGAACTGGAAGGTCTGGTCGACGCACGTCAGAAGCTCGAATCACAGCAACAGGAGAATGAGAGTGTCCAGAAGGAATTCAACTCCCTGGATGACGACTCCAACATTTACAAGCTCGTCGGCCCGGTGCTGTTGAAGCAAGAGAAAAATGAGGCATTGATGGCTGTGAACGGTCGTCTGGAGTTCATCGAGAAGGAGATGTATGCTTTCCATTTACAGTCAACTACATGAAAACTAACTGTGGCTAATTACTGCAATAGTAAGCGGATCGAAGGCCAGATCAAAGAGAACGAGGAGAAGAGCGACAAGAAGCGAGCCGAAGTGAGTGACTATGACACGAAACGCTTCCTTCTGGACAGACAGACAGTATCTAACGACGTTGCAGATTCTCCAACTCCAAAGTCAAGTTCAGCAACAGGCTGCCGCAGCCTCTGCTTGAGTACCGAAATGCGTTCCAATATCGCGGGTGGCCGAACGACCCTGATTAGCCGTCGACGACAACTCTCGCGCATTCGAGAACCCGACAGGGGCCAACAGCATGGTCTACATGTAGGGTGGCAGGCCGTCTGTGCTTTGTCGGTGTGAACAATAGCTGTCCATCTATATCGAACAGCTAGGCGTCACAAAGGGAGCTCCGGACAGTCCCTCGGGCCGCTCAAATCGTCCCGATGACTCTGACGGAGCTCAAAACGGTTGTATTGGGAGAGTGACTGGACTACATCCCTTTTGTTGATGTGAATAGTTAATGTTGTACGAAGTGGCTGGGCCAACAGAACATCTGTCACAATCTGCAGCGACTTGGCAGAATACTGTACATAGCATGAACATGCCGTCATTTATTACCAAGCGATGATAGTCTACGTTCATAAAATCTTGGAAACTCTCAAGTCTTATGCTGTATTTTATGCTCCGTTCCGTCGTAGTCCAATTAACTATTCATGTCTTCATAAACCCACCCGTCATCTACAATCACCTTCACATCTATATATAAATCTATGCCTTCACCAACAGACTCTTTCCAGACATCTCCTCGGGCTGCTCAATACCCATGGCAGCCAGGACGGTAGGCGCGACATCACCGAGCACACCCTCGTCACCCTTCTTGAGACTCCAGCCCTTGGGGGCGTTGGCCATGATGAAGGGAACCTTGTTCGTCGTGTGAGAGGTCTTGGGGGTACCCTTCTCGTTGAGCATCTCCTCGGCGTTACTAAGGGTTGATTAGTAAACATGCCGCAACAATGACATTGGACTACTGAATACGTACCCATGATCGGCAGTGATGAAGAGAGTGTAGCCATGCTTCTTGCAAGCCTCGTAGACCTCCCCGATGGCCTTATCGGTCGCGGTCACACCCTCAATGGCAGCCTTGTAGACACCAGTGTGACCCACCATATCGGGAGGAGCAAAGTTGTTCATGACGAACTCGAACTTGCCCTCAGCAATGCGCTCGGCCATCTTCTGACCAACACCAGCGGCGCTCATCTTGGGGTCCAAATCGTAGGTCGCCACCTTGGGCGAAGGGATCATGTCGCGGACCTCACCGGGGAACTGCTTCTCAACACCACCGTTGAAGAAAAAATAACGTGGGCGTACTTCTCGGTCTCGGCGACGTGGCACTGCTGGATATCCTTCTTGCTGAGCCACTCCGCCAGCACGTTACCCATGTGCTGAGGAGGGAAGGCAACGGGGAAGGTGTAGTCGGTCTTGTACTGAGTCATGGTGGTGATGTGGATGTTCTTGGGGTAGGGGAAGTCGGGCTTGGGAGAGCGGTCGTAGTCGCCCAGCAGCTGGGTGATTTCACGGACACGGTCGGAGCGATAGTTGAAGAAGAAGAGGGTATCGTCATCTACAACGAGTGTCAGCAACTGCGAAGTATCCGGCATTCAAAAGAAGAAGACTCACCCTGCACGCGACGGTCCTTGCCGCCCACAATGATGGGCTTCAGGAACTCGTCGGTCTCGCCCTTCTCGTAACGCTCCTTGATCGTCTTCACGGGATCGGAGCTCTCTTCGCCCTCTCCGACGACGACACCCTTCATGCCGATCTCAACTCGGTCCCAACGCTTATCACGGTCCATAGCAAAGTAGCGTCCCACGACGGTAGCGATCTCACCAGTGCCGATCTCCTTGGTGGCATCGAGAAGGTCCTGCATGTACTTGGCGGCGCTCTTGGGGTCGGTGTCACGGCCGTCACCGAAGAAGTGGATGAAGACGTGGGGGATCTCCATCTCCTTGGCGACCTTGAGCAGACCGATGAGGTGGGTGATGTTGGAGTGGACACCACCGTCCGAGACCAGACCCAGCAGGTGCAGGCGGCCATTGCCCTCCTTGGCGCGCTTGAACGAAGCGACGACATTGTCGACCTTGTTCAGCTCACCCTTCTTGAGAGTCTGGTCAATGCGGACGCTGTCTTGCCAGACCACACGGCCGGCACCAATGTTCAGATGACCGACCTCACTGTTACCCATGAGACCCTCGGGCAGACCGACGGCGAGCGACGAGGCATCCAGCTCGGTGTAACCCTGGGCAGTCTCGGACTTGGGATCGGCAAAGCCGGACATATAGGGGGTTTCGGCGGCCGCAATGGCATCTCCTTCCTTGGGGGAGTTAGGACCGGCGACACCCCAACCGTCGATGACGACTATATGGAGGTTAGGGTGTGGTGCGACACAGGTTGTAGGGAGAATGGAGTGGCAGCTTACTCAGAGCGACTTTCTGGTCGACCTTGGTCATGATGAGGGAGCTGTTGATATGGTCAGTCGAGTGCGACCAACCCCGGACAGGAGGATGAGAGTGGATTAAGGTTGTATATAGTTGAGGTGAAAGAGAACTTACCGGATGAATACAACAAAAGACAATTGAACGAAGAAGTAACTAGAGGAAGAAGGGGAGAAAGTAGGAAGAAGAGGGAGGAATCGTCGCAAATAAAAAAGTCCTTGACCGGTGGAGGAAGAAAGATCAGGAGAGGAGGGGGAGGGGCGGATTTCCGGTGACGCTTTTGGATGGTTGTACCGGTCTGGTTAGGTAAGGCAACCGACGTCACGCTTTTCGGTTTTCTCCGACTCTTCCCTAAACAATTACCCCCCTACCTGCTCCGATTATCTCCTCTTCGCTCTGCCAATCCCCACACTTCCAATCCTAATCACTTGGTCAATTCATCGTCACCCCGATCATCATGGCCTCTAGATCGCCTACCGTTCTCACGCCGCTTGCCAAATCCTCGCCGGCTCCGAATACCCCCGGAGTAAAAGAAGCTGCTCCGTTGACCACCACAACAGCGGACACTCCCCAACCCGTGCCATTCCCTCCACCCCAGACGTTTGATATCCTTCCTCCGTTGCATAGTCTTCTTTTGCGGTTGCTTTCCCCGCAGACAAACAACGACAGACCTGGAGACGACACCACAGGGACAGCCGGTCCTTCGGGACCACCCGGTCAACAATCCCAGTCCTCAACACAACCACAATCTTCATCCACGGGGAATGAGCATGGTGGGGGAACGTTACCGACCGTTTCATTGACCGGTCCCGGGAGTGCTTCTGCATCCGCCGAAATAGCAGCTCTGAGCTCCAGTGCGCCTCCGCCCTTGGACATCAAACATCTTCCTACAGAAGCCAGTTCGATCAAGATCCGCATACAAAAGGCTCAGGCAGTGGTGGAAAGCCTACCAGATGTCGATCGGTCGGTGGCGGATCAAGAGAAAGAAATTGCACAGCTGGAGGAGCGCATTGCACGACTCACTTCGGTCTTGTCCGATTTCGGGAAGAGAGCAAACATGGGAAGTTCAGGCATGCAAGCGACCCAGGCACCTTGAATGTCTAGAACCAGGGGAAGATAGACATTTTCCGGTACTGATGCTCCTGACGACGCTTCTATCCAGGATCTTGAGGGCCTCTCGTCACGTCCCCCACGAAAAAGTGAGGGTGCGATCGCTCTATGCGTGTTATGCGACAGAACACCAGCCACCGCTGTATGGCGGTCTGTATAGATACATCCACGTATCATACATCCTCATGATGGATGGACAGGCACGAGCCCTGATCATATCGAGGACTACTCGCAACACATCGCATCATATAGATGGTTGAGAGCTTGCAGATATAACGACTGGATCTTGGAGGGATGCTTGCTAAACCCCTCTGGCTACCACGGTCCTCAGAAACCTGTGGGGACTCAATGCTACGATGAATGGGGAGGAAGTTCAGAGTTGAGCATGAACCATTATTCCTTAATAAGTTACTGTAGAAGTAACTACATACCTTAGTTAGTTGCCAGTTCCAATGGAAGAATCGGCCGACGGGTCTCCGATGTCATAACGAACAGTCATAGCTTCACCGGAGTCCGCGCTAGTTGCTCCGATCTCGTCCCCCAGCGGCAAAAATTTGGGTGGGTCGCTGCCTCAGGCTGCAATAACCCCACCATTTTCTTTTTTTCCTTTTTCTCCATCACCTCATCCATCTTTCTTCCTCTTCCTCCTCTTCCTCTCTTTCTCTTTCTCTTCTTCATCATCCTCCTCTTCTCTCATCTCAATATCGATCTTTCTTCCTCACACCTCTCACTCCGTCACAATGGCCTCCTACGCTCTCTCCCCGGCCCACCGGGATGTAAGTCGCTCCTCGACAGTTTTTTGCCCCTCACATCAGCATACTGACTCACATGTTTGCTAGCAAATGGAGAAGTCTCTCGTTGAGACTGACCCTGAGATCGCTCAGATCATGGTACGAGCTCGATCATAATCCTCATAATCTCCCACATTGCCCCCTTCTAACCCTCCCCAGGAAAAAGAAATCCAGCGTCAGCGCGAGTCCATTGTCCTGATCGCTTCGGAGAACTTCACCTCCCACGCCGTCTTCGACGCTCTGGGATCTCCCATGTCCAACAAGTACTCCGAGGGTTACCCCGGTGCTCGTTACTATGGTGGCAACCAGCACATCGATGCCATTGAGCTCACTTGCCAGGCTCGTGCCCTCAAGGCCTTCAACCTGGACCCCGCCAAGTGGGGTGTCAACGTCCAGTGTCTCTCTGGAAGCCCGGCCAACTTGCAGGTCTACCAGGCGCTCATGCGCCCCCATGACCGCCTCATGGGTCTGGATCTCCCCCACGGTGGCCATCTGTCCCACGGCTACCAGACCCCCGCCCGCAAGATCTCTGCTGTCTCTACCTACTTCGAGACCTTCCCCTACCGTGTCAACCTCGAGACCGGTATCATCGACTACGATACCCTGGAGGCCAACGCTGAGCTCTACCGCCCCAAGTGCCTGGTCGCCGGTACCTCCGCCTACTGCCGTCTAATTGACTATGCCCGCATGCGCAAGATCGCCGACAAGGTCGGTGCCTACCTCATTGTCGATATGGCTCACATCTCCGGTCTGATCGCCGCCGGTGTCATCCCCTCTCCCTTCGAGTACGCCGATGTGGTCACTACCACCACCCACAAGTCTCTCCGTGGTCCCCGTGGTGCCATGATCTTCTTCCGCAAGGGTGTCCGTAGCACCGACCCCAAGACCGGCAAGGACATCATGTACGACCTGGAGGGTCCTATCAACTTCTCCGTCTTCCCTGGTCACCAGGGTGGTCCCCACAACCACACCATCACCGCTCTGGCTGTCGCCCTCAAGCAGGCCGCCACCCCTGAGTTCAAGCAGTACCAGGAGCAGGTCATCAAGAACGCCAAGGCTCTTGAGACTGAGTTCAAGGCCATGGGCCACAAGCTCGTCTCTGACGGTACCGACAGCCACATGGTCCTCCTGGACCTCCGGCCCAAGTCCCTCGATGGTGCCCGTGTTGAGGCTGTCCTCGAGCAGATCAACATTGCCTGCAACAAGAACTCCATCCCTGGCGACAAGTCTGCCCTCACCCCCTGCGGTATCCGTATCGGTGCCCCCGCCATGACCACCCGTGGCATGGGCGAGGAGGACTTTAAGCGCATCGCCCACTACATCGACCAGGCCATCAACATCTGCAAGCAGGTCCAGGGTGAGCTGCCCAAGGAGGCCAACAAGCTCAAGGACTTCAAGGCCAAGGTTGCCTCTGAGACCGTGCCGGAGATCCTCAACCTCCGCAAGGAGGTTGCCGCCTGGGCCAGCACCTTCCCTCTCCCCGTCTAAATGGGCTTAATCAGGGGTGACCTATGATACCATTTTCTTGTTGCCGTTTCTTCTGTTTCCTGGTTTTGGTTTTCAGGTTTGTTTGCGTTCGGCGAGTTCAACATCATTGAGTACGAAAAAATCGGGTATGCGTTACTAGGGGTTTATACAGGTCTGCTTTTTCAACCTTACGCGGGTCATGGGATATCAGGATATGCATGAGCATGTATGTGTGAATGACACAAAAGCACTGGGATGGCTTCTTCAACACCACTTCTTCAACAGGACGAACGTTCCCATTACTGTTTGAGTCCAGGTACATTACCACTTATCTATTATTGCCATCTATGAACGAACTAGAAATAATGTGTTCATGAAGCGTCTGTTCCTCGTAGTCATCTCATTAGTGGTCTCAGTCTAGTTTCCGTAACACCAATTTGAATGCAGCAAAACCATGATCATTCATAACTCCGTGCGGTCGACAGGGTCATCCCCAAGATTAACCTCGTCCTGGCCCAGCCATGACTGCGCCATCAGCGCCGCGACATTCTTCCCCATGAGCGCACTGGTCTCCATCGTCGAGATGAAGCTTTCAATTCCCCCCGTATACCAGAGCCCCGGCGCCAGCACCGGCTCCTCGAAGGTTACCCGCGGATAGAGGAACGGATACGGGTGCCAGACCTTTTCATGCGACCAGCTAATATCCTGCGCTGGTAGATCACCGATCGTTGCGTCGTCTTCTGTTGTTGTTGTTGAGTTGAGCGCCAGAATGTCGCGCACAAACTTAGCTGTCACCCGCTCGGGAGTGAAGATCTTATACACGTACTGTTGCTCGACGCGACCATCCTCGGTGGCAACGTCCACCGTGCGCAGGGTACTGATGCTCCAGAACCCGGCGGGACCAACACCCTTTTCGCTCGATCCCAAATCCGTGCCCCGCGGAAGCGTGGTGAGAACCGTCTCCGGGACGGGTTCGCTAGTGTGGAAGTACTGGGGCGAGAGACGATGGGGCGACGCGAAGAGCGTCACATGCAGTGTCACGAAGGGAATTTCATCCGGCGGGTGCGCCGGGGCGGGCTCGATCTGGATACCCGAATACTGGAGCGGACCAGCGATGACGACTTCGTCGAAGACGTAGCTAGCTCGACCGACAGAGGTATCGACGACGACGATCCAGGACCCGTCATCGTCGGCAGAGCGACGGATCGCGGTGACGGTGTGGTTGAGATACACCTCTGCGCCGGAAGCGCGCAGCATGCGGTCGAAGATCTGCCAGTTGCCGCCGGCGACGGCCATGGCGCCGTCGGTGGCCATGCAGACCATGGCTTCGAGGCCGTGGATCAAGGGAAGGTTCTGGCCGTAGTTGACGCGGGTGCTTGCCTGGATGATGTCGCGGGCGAAGTCTTCGGCAACGCTGTTGTTGGACAGGAAGGTCTGGCCGGGTGAGGTGGTTGCGTCGAGGAGGCCGACGGCCTCGGCGGCGGCGGAGAGCGAGGGGAAGGGGAAGAGCGGTGCGTCGTACAGACGGAGGAAGCTCTGCACGGTGCGCTTCATTAGGGACTGGGTACGGATAGGTGCCCAGCCGTACCGCCAGATCAGTTTGGCAGCGTTCCACCAGCTATATGTGTCCTGGAGGACGAACACGAACTGTTCTCCGTCCCAGATTCCGATGGAGTCGGGCGACTCCTTTGGCCGCTGCTGGCTGGCGCTCTCGATCGAGAGACCTAGATCCCTGGTGGCGTTGACGAGATTGTAGTTCACGTCGACGAAGATGGACGCTCCCAGCTCGACAGGATAGGAGGGGTTGTCGAATACGTTGACGGTGGTGGAGCGGCCGCCGACATAGTGAGCGCGTTCGAAGACGGTGATCTCTAGGGGCGTCGTCTCGTTCACAGAGTTGCGTAAGGAGTAGGCTGTGGAGGATCCTGCGGCACCGGCGCCTGTAGAGTGTGAGCTATATTGCCTCCATGGCGCTTTGTTAGTAGGAGGTGAAGTGTACCGATAATTGCAACCCGTTTAGCAGGCTGTTGACTCTGGTCGGCGTGGGCCAGAGAGACGCACAGGGCTAGAACGGAGAGAAGCCATTGAGTCATGTGGACGACTGATAGAGTATACCTTAAAGCTCTAGAAGACTGATAAGTGGTGTGGTGTATAAGAGATGAAGAGGGATGGAAGGAATGAGATGAAGACGAGATGATGAGATGATGTAGTGAGACGGAGATAGCAGCTTAACCCCGGAAAGTAGAGTCTGAGCTCCCTTTGCACCTGTTTGAGAACGAGTCGTTCTGCACCAACAGATTGAAGAATAGAAGACAATCAATAGAGCAGGATAATATTCAAGATATAATTATCTCCTTTTTCTTCGTCTTCTACAGCATATAGATCCAGATATAAGGATGGTGGTTAGGGCTGCGGTAATATATGTAATATTACCGTACTAATTTTTTTATCGACTGAAAAGATTCATTTTCCCCTCCATCGTCTCTCTCTCTCCCCACTACAGCCTTTATTCTCCCTCTTCTTCCCTTCTTCTCTCCGACTCCTGTATAACCCTATATTGTCTTACTTACAATGGACCCCTACGATAGTGATTCCTCTGGCTTCGACGATGACGGCGACTACACCGAGACCGGCGTGCTGTTGGGATATGCCTCCGAAGAACTCATTGAGGACTCGATCAGTCACTTGGGCGGCTGGCCGGTATGTTCTACGCCCCTACACTTTTCAATCCCTTTCCACCTAATTCCCACTGACAATACCCCATCAGACCTGGATTGACGATGCCGCTCCGCCCCCGGGCGACTTTGCAAACTGCAAAGTCTGCAACAGCCCCATGACACTTCTGCTGCAGTTGCACGGCGACCTTCCCGAGCACTTCCCCGATGACGAGCGTCGCCTTTACGTCTTTGCCTGTCCGCGAAAGCCCTGCAACCGGAAACCAGGCAGTGTGCGCGCGCTACGAGCCACGCGCAGGGTGAAGAGCCAACCCGCGCCGAAGAAAGAAGAGCCGCAACCCACAAACAACCCCCCACAGCCACAAGAACAGACCCCCAAACCAGACCTGGGCGCGAGCCTGTTCGGCGCAAACACCTTGACCGGCAGTGTCTCGGCCAACTCCAACCCCTTCTCGTCCTCCAGCTCCCCCGCGGCCGCCAACAGCAACCCGTTCGCCGCGCCAGCCCCCGCCCCGCAAACCACCACACCCGCCGCATCGTCGACCACGTCCGCCAACGGCCTCGCCGAGTCCTTTGCGGATAAAGTGCGCGTGTCGGCGCCCCCATCTACCCCGTCTTCGGGCGCCGTCCCGCCCCCGGAGTCGTCGGGCCCTCACAAACCCTGGCCCGCGCAGTCCGCCTTTCCCGATGCGTATAAGCAGTTCTACCTGGACGCCGAGTACGAGACCCTCTCGCGGCCGTCGACGCCGACGATTCCGGAGAACGTGACGATCGATAACTCCGAAGAAGACGGCGGTGCGAGCGGCGGTGCCGAGCTGAAGGACGCGCTCGAGTCGCAGCTCGACAAGGCGTTCATCAAGTTCTCGACGCGGCTGGCGCACAACCCTGAGCAGATTCTGCGGTACGAGTTCCGCGGCACCCCGCTGCTGTATTCGCACAATGATGTTGTTGGCAAGCGGTTCCACGATGCGAGTAAGGCGCCCGCTGCGGCCCGGGTGACGACCGTCAAGAACGCTGCGGCGGGTAACATGCCCCGCTGTGAGTACTGCGGGAGCGAGCGTGTGTTTGAGCTGCAGCTCGTGCCGCATGCGATCAGTGTGCTGGAGGAGGGCCGCGAGGGCATGGACGCGGGCATGGAATGGGGCACGATTATCCTCGGGGTGTGCAACAAGGACTGTGCGCCGCAGGAGGTCGGAGTCACCGGGTGGCGGGAGGAATGGGCCGGTGTGCAGTGGGAGGAAGCGCAATAGAGGACCGGAGTGCTACATGATGTTGATGACCTATAGACGCTGATATGTTCGTTGAAAATATGACACTATACCCTTCCTAAAGCCTGTACACACTAGTGGATTGCATGGAAGTGCTACGAATGCATCTACATTCCGAGTCGGTGGCTGTTTGCTTCTTGTATTCTATTGGATATCTTCTCGAATCAGAAGTGGAACGCAGGTTCTTTTTTCAGACCATGACAATGACGGGACAACACAAGTGATGCGAAGCAAACTCAGAACGCCGAATGCGCCGGCCCAAACTTCCCAACCCTCCTCATGCGGACTCTATCCCGTCATCATCTGGGGCTCCAAGCTTCGTGTCGTGGGGAGGACCTGGGTCCTCGGGTGGTGACAGATGGGGATCCGTCCGGAATCAAATATTATCAACAAAGAGAAAGATAGAAAGCATGATAACATGGGGCGATCGCCCTCTCAAGCAGCCTGCTCAAAACCCCTACGGAGAACACGGCCGAACTGCTCGATACCCACACGCTCGCTCTTGACCTCGCTGCGCGCCTCGTTCTCTTTGTTGGTGGGCACCTTGACGACGGTACCGGCGGGGGCGGACTTGTCCAGCTCCCAGCTGCAGACCTCGACGACGAACTTCTCGAGGGCCTCACGGCTGCGCAGATCCAGCCACTGCTCCAGCACGTCGGCGGTGATCTCCCGGAAGGTCTTGCCGACCTCGACGGCAATGCGGATGCGGACCAGCTCCTCGAAGCCGGCGACGTCGGCGACCAGATCGGCGTACAGGTCGTCGGAGTTCAGGGTCGACCAGAACTGGGCGTACTGGGCGGACTCGAGCAGCGTGGAGAGCCGGGCGAGCTTCTGCACCGACTCGACGAAGTCGGAGGTCTGGGAGGCGGCTTGGGCTTCGTCGTTGGTGGCGGGGAAGGGCTGGGTGTGCGCGGGGAGGAGCGCCAGGCAGAGCGAGAAGGCGGGGGAGGGGAAGACGGTGAGTGCCTTAGCGAGGATGTTGGTGACGGTCTCGGGTTGGAGGAGGTGAGGGTTGAATTGGTAGCTGTTGCATTTCGTGAAATGTTAGTTGACTGAATGTTGTGATTGGTGTGACATTGATCAAGATCAGAGAGTTTTGAGGCGTTCAGGAGAAACAAAGCTCGACATCCCCCGAGGGGGTATCAGTTAATAGGAAACGTGATTTAGAGAAGAGTTTCTTCATCATGTAGCCCAGTGTTTGATTTCTTGTCGTGATGTTGTTGTAGAAAAAGCTTCGAACTAGACAGGCGCATCACTCACAGCTTCAGCAAGGCCAGGTTGGCGTAGCAATCGAACGTCCGGTCTTCACACTGCTGCACCACATAGTCCTGGAATACCGTGGTGGTCTCGGGGTTGTATCGGTCGAGGCCGTTAAGGATGGCATCGATGTTGGCCGGACGGGTCTCGCACTTGTCGAAAGCAACACCCATATTGACGGTCGGAAGAAGGAGTAAGTGGCGAGTCGACTGGGGGTATCGGACAGAGAGAAGGGAGGGGCGTTGGCGGGGGAGGGGACGAGCGGGATAATGAAGCTGATGAAGTGTGGGAAATTTCGAATTGAATTGGCTGTGCGGAGCCAGCCCGGAGGAGCGGAATAACGCGCTGCATTCGGAGAGTTTCTCCGAGGGAACTGTAGATCACGTGGTCGCTATTGTTCCTATGAAGAGGAGAATCTGCGTGAGTAAAAACCGTTCAGACATATTTATTATCGAGTATCAAGATTGGGGGGATATGAGGCTCCATGTTGTGAAATCGGAGTCAGGTGGACTTTGCATGCGTGGATGCTCCATGGTCCAGGGTACTTGTATAGAGTCGTCGTCTCACAGACTCATTGAAAGGGACGATGGTTGACTTGTATATACCTAAGTATTTAAATGGGATCATCATGTCAGACTCATGATACTACCTTGTCCAGCCAATATCGGATGTTACCTACCGTCTTTGGCATGTACATTGCAGGAGCTATGGACTAGAAGAACCCCGCAAGGGATCAACAGATACTACCTAGTAGTAATTCTCCGGCCAGTATATAAACACACTCCTCATTTCTCCTCTTTCCCCTCTTTTACTCTGTTTGCCATTTATTCCCTGCGGTGAGGAGCTCATCTTCATCATGCGTCTTTCCCTTGCGTGCCCTATTCCAGGCCCCTTGTTTCTCCTAGCCATAGGGACACTGGGAGCCGTGGCACACGAACCGGACTACTCCCAATATGTAAACGTCTTCATCGGCTCAGAAGGTCCCTTTGAGGGAAAAGCCTTTGGGGGAGGCGACATCTTTGTCGGCGGTGCTCGACCCTTTGGAGTGGCCAAGGTCGGAGTGGACACGACTGCAGCGAATTGGAGTATGGCCGTGTTGAACGGCGGATGGACACCAGATGGGAACGTCACCGCGATCAGTATGTTACGGTTGTCTCCCATTGAGATCCTATCTAAGTCCTGTCAGCTATGATGCACGAGAGTGGCACCGGGGGTGCACCCAAATATGGGATCATTCCGCAAATGCCTCTCACATCGGTGGCTCCGCCGGTGAATATCCTCGACAATCTCACATACAGCCAGCCTAGGGTACACTGTCTCAGGCGACCTCATCTAGGCGGTTGGCCTTTGCTTACATCTACTAGGTTGGCAAAGACAAAGGAAGCGTGGGATACTACCAGACCCAGCTGCAAAATGGCGTCCAGGTGGAGCTGTCGGCCTCTCGCCACGCCGGAATCATGCAATATTCGTTCCCTCCAGGTGAAAAGCATATATTAGTGGACGTGTCTCATGTATGAAGCCATGCACCCTGTCCCTCCGTACCTGATATTAACCTGCGGAAGTATCTCCCCGGATCCCCCACGGATCCAAATAGCCAGTTCTATATCGGGGGCGAGATTCAAGTGGAAGATGATGGTCAAGCGTACAGTGGGTATGGAACATACATTGGTGGTTGGAACAATGGTACATCCCCTACGCACTTCTCTTACCTCTTGGTCTAATCTATCACAGGCGCTCCATTTACCGTATACTTCTACGGGGAGTTCTCAGAAAAACCTAATAGCTCGCGTACTTTCCGAGGGAAGAACACGGATCCCATGAGGCAATATCAGACACTTGCGAATGGAGGTGTCAGTCAGCCAGTATATGGCAATTCCTCCGAGAAAGTCAGCTCAGGGCCCATGAATGACAGGGTGGGCGCACTTTTCAGCTGGGGTTTTGAGCCAGAGACGCAGGTGCGCTCCAGAGTGGGCATATCGTTCATCTCGCCTGACAAGGCACGGTCCTACATTCGGTCTGAAATTCCTTCCTGGGACCTCAATGAGACAGTCCAGTCGGCAATCGAGGAGTGGAATAACGATGTATTCAGGAAGATCCAGGTGGCTCTGGATGATACTGCTAACCTCACAAACGTACGGTTATTATATAGTTCTCTCTACTTCATCCACCTGATGCCTTCGGACCGTACGGGCGAAAACCCGCTCTGGGAGTCAGATGAGCCATCCTGGGATGACTTCTACACGCTTTGTGAGTATATCCACTCTCTTATTCTTGATTTAGACTGACATGTGTACTAGGGGACATATTTCGCTGCACGGTCAGCTTTTACCATATCTTTCAGCCCACCTATTATGAATCAATGATTCGCGGGCTGATAGATATATGGAGGTTAGTACAAAATCCAGACAACACTCCAAGTGATAGGTCTTAATTAGTACAGACACCAAGGCTTCCTCCCGGACGGTCGGTCAGGAAACTGGAATGGGTTGGTTCAGGGAGGATCAGATGCGGACAACATGCTCGCCGACGCATATGTCAAAGGCATGCGCGGCGCAATCAACTGGACCGACGGCTATGCAGCGATGAAGACGGACGCCGAGGTCATTCCCTACAACACCTACGACCCAACGGACTTCTCCGCCAGCACCAAGGAGGGCCGTGGGGCGCTTGGGGACTGGCTGGAGCTGGGATATGTCTCCCAAGACAGAAACACGCGGTGCATTTCACGGACAGTAGAGTACAGTCTTAATGATTTTGCCCTGAGCCAGGTGGCGGCCGGGGAAATGCCAGGCGATCGAGAAAAGTATCTGAATCGCTCTGCAGGTTGGCAGAAGATCTGGGATGCCCAGGTCGAGAGCTTGAACTTCACTGGGTTCTTGGCCCCCAGGCTTTCCAACGGGACTTTTAACAGCAGTGGATACGATCCGCGCTATTGCTATGACTGCGAGTGGCATTCGTATACGTATGAGGGCGTGCCTTGGGGTGAGTAAGTATGTTCTCGCAGCGGAAGTACATTGCTAACTGAGACAGAGTATTCGTTTGTGATTCCCCATGATATGGAATCGTTGATTGAATTCATGGGCGGGTCCGCTACTTTTGAATCCCGTCTTGATCTGATGGTGAGAACTCGACAGAAGTCGGTATCGTCGGATATACTACTAACTGTGCAATAGTTCAAACCCAACATGTCTGTTCAAGGTCTCGACGCAAATGGTGCCGGTATTACGACTCTCATGAATATCGGGTATGTCCTGTCGCATCATCTACATGCTTGTCTAACTATCATCAAAGAAACGAGCCCGATTTTGCTACTCCGTATCTGTACAACTACATCAATAAACAAGCAAAAAGCGTGCAGATGTCCCGGGGCCTTGGCTATCAATAGTACGTCCCGTAGCTTCTGAACCCGGAACGAATGGACTGACTTGAACCAATAGTTTCAAAGATGCTCCGTACGGAATCCCAGGCAACAGCGATGCAGGGGCAATGAACACATGGCTCCTCTGGCAGATGCTCGGAATCTACCCTGTTGTTACTCAGCCGGTGTACCTTATTTCGTCCCCATGGTTCCCAGACCTCAACATGACGATCAACGGGAACAAGACGCTGCGAATCACCGCACAGGGTCTCGACCAGGGCTATTACGTTCAAAGTATCAAGATCAACGGACAGCCTTGGTCGAAGAACTGGTTCGAACATGAGGACATTATGGTGCAGGGGGGGCTGATTGAGTTTGAACTGGGGCCAGACATGAAGGCGTGGGAGACGGGCAGCGTACCGCCGTCGCCGGGGCATGTGAAACTGTAGTCCGAATATCTGCAGCAGGTGGGACATATGAGTCTACCTTGTCTAGACGATACGTACCCACCTTGCAGAGATCCGAAGAACCGGCTGAGTTGGAGTCTCTAGGAAAACCCCGCTGGGATGGAAGTTTATCAAATGTCCATGAGATAATGAAGAGGCAGTGTTAGATCCGGTCTCACGAATCAGACATCAAGTCATGAGAGCCGTGCATATGTCTTAACCTTAAAGGGTCTCGACGTAGTCATCGCGGTGGTGATCTTCATGGCTAGAGCCTCGGGTGAGATTGCGTCACTACGGCCTCGACCATCCGCGATATACCGGAGATAGCCCATTGGGAACAACCTACATGTAGTCTGAGATTTCTGACGCTTTGATAGTTGAAGTCAAGAAAAGAAAAGTAAGTGAAACACAAAGAATATGCATACCAAGGGATAGATGAACGTGCAATGGGAATTGTATACGAACCCTAAGCCAACCCCTCCCACATGGTCCATCACTTCGGCATACAGAGTCTAGCATCGGCGTAATACTACTTTCTGGGTATATATCTCATCATTGACCTCTCTCGTCATTGGAGAATCATTCTCCGAATTTCAAGTTTTAGCGATAGAGATGGTGAGGAGATCGCTTCTCCATCCGAGGAAAACGACGTGCAATTGACGTCAGTCTCGGAACGAGACAAGCCACCTACCTTAGACACGGGCCAGTATATCATCGTTCTCCTCGCATCTTGTCGATTTTCTTCTACTGATGCTGCAGTGTACCCCTTTCAATCCATCCATCAAGTCTAATTAGAAAGGGCCTCCCTCCCTCTACCATGGTAAGCTGACCCCTCGCTATTCCATGGGGTCATTGCACGGGCCGAACGCCGAACCGTGGGTGTTGCTCTTATATACACACAATTGCCCTCCCTCCACTATATATATCCAACCCATGCAAATACACATACAGTACACACACTAACAGCTTCTTGTCAAGGCGCCCATCACAAATCTATTACAACCCCGCCAGGACACTCCTCAGACTGTCCCTCCACCATCTCGGGCGGCGGCATCGCCGGAATCGTCCTGGGAAGCATCGCCGGAACCCTCCTCATCATATGGCTGTGGCGAGTGTGCTCACTGCCTGGGGCGGTTAACGGCGAAGTACCCGAGAGGGAATATAGCACCACGGGAGGGATGGAGACGCGGCGCCGGCGTCGGCGGCGACGGAGTCCTACCTACTTTGAATATGTCGAAAAGCCGGCTCGGTCGGTGCGGCGGCCAGCTAAGGTGTATTTGAGCTGAGGGAGGACGGGAACTAGGGGTTACTTTTCCTGGTGCTGGAAATTCTGGGGTTGGTGTTTATTGGCGAAGGATTCATGATTATACGGAGTAATGCCAAGTACATAATGACATGATGAAGCAACGATTCGGAAAGTTCATTATTGTGAGACGAACGGTCGTAGTGGATCCTTGGCTACACATTTCGCACCGGATCTCACATGGTTTATTTTCTCCTTACTCCTGAGTTTTGGCGCTGTACTCCGTAGAGCGTCATAAGATGATGGTTTTGATCCCCGATGCTAAAGTCCTGGGCGATGGGACTTCTAAATATATACGCGGACATCCACGGTCTGCGGACTATTGAAGTCTATCGACGCTTAGGGCTAGGCCTATCCACCCGATGACAGTCCCATAAAAAGACCATCCAACAGGTGCCGGAAATACCACTGACCACTAGACATAAAGACAGCTTCTTCTTGCTTATCCCCAAAGCCATGGCAGCCTGCTTGGCGGGAACTCCGAGACCACAAGGGATGGATCCGGTGCGGCTGCAACAGTCTAGTTTCACCAAGACCCAAGACATCCCGAAGTCAGGAGAGCGTTGTGTGGTTGAAATAGACATACTCCATTACCTTTTAAAGTCCCTGCAGTGCATCCATACAACCGTTCGTTGCAATTCTTGCGGCGAGAGATCTGACACTTCGTATTAATTTAATTTGTGTATTCTAGGACAGCCACGGATAAGCAATAACTCCCGGCATTGGTCGTTCCTTTCTTCACGAAACACGGTGGAGTGAGGTGGCGGGTGGAGCTGCCCACCGCCACCTGCAAGTCGCCCTGAGCGTCTTTTCCGGGATGTAGTTACTCTGTAACTATTTGGTACTGGCAGTTTATTACGGATCATATCGCGCATGCACGATTCCGATGGGGTTGACGCTGGGCAATGGTCGTGCACGCAAGGCCCCGAGGGTGAGACAAGGTGGGACAGCTGGGAGCTGACCGGTGTCAGTGTTTGCGTGGTGAATTTCCCGACCTCGCGAGTGGATGAGCCGTTGAATCCTGGGAAGGATTCAGGCACCGTTCTTCTCTGCTCTCTGGAAGAGCCTTGGCGAACGGCGATCTCATCTCCCGGACCTCACAATGGCCATTATCGTCGACTTCAACCCCACAGCGTCGCGGGGGCCATACGGCGTACTGCGTATATTCGTCTGGAAGTCAGACTTGAAGGACAAGGGGCGGAGAGAACCATGCGGGTATTCCTCGGCTCTTCCTTGAGAAACCATGCCGGTAAGGAGGGCAGGTATGTGGAAATCAACCAGGCCTCGCTTCGAGGTCCATATGTGCAGAGTCCCAGGCGGAGTTTGACCGCTGAAGACCGAGCAGCTGGCCGATCATTGGCTAGCGTCGGAGGTAGGGTCTGAGATTGTTCCAATTGTACGATGTGACTGTTGATGTGATTGATCACGACTACTAGAAGTATACTCTGTACAGACAACAGACAACTAGTTAGAACATGACAGGATCTAGCTCCCCCCTGGCGAGCCCTGGATAAGAACTTAAATCCTCCTTTAATCATAGAGAAAATAAAGAAAAGAAAAATAGAGTAAAAACCAAAGCAAGGCGCGACCCCTGCCGAGATGGACTGATTGGTGGCGTTTTGCTATCGAAGGAGCCTATCACCCAATCAACGTCGCCTACCCTGGTCCGCCCAGCCGGGTGGAGCTGCCCCACTCTGCCCAAACCAGCTAGCGCAGACCCTAAAATGGATATAGGCTCCAACCATGGAACCCCTAAGCCCGAACTGGTCTAGATCGGGAGTACCCGAGCGGGGGACTTCCTGATTGGGAGGCGCCCCTGATACTGCAAACAATCGAACTCCTCCAGACGCAGGCTAGGCGGCCAATAATCATGCGCTGTGCCGGATTAAAATCATTTAACTAGCATGAAATTAATTACCGGCCATGGAGCAAATCGATCCGATTCTTCTTCTGTTTGTCTCGTTCTTTCACTTCTCTCCATCGTCATTCTTCTTCTTCCTTTCTCCTCTTCCACTCTCGGTCACTCTTTCGCCCCCTCGAGTTGCTGCTCGACTCGTGCGATTCAGTCGCACATCCACTCTTTTCATCCGATCGACTCCATTAGATCCATCGGGTCCTTCTGTTCTCTGTCGTGTATCACTCTCTTCTCGACAGACCCCTTTCTTGTCTCACCGGGGCTTCATATTGATAGCTCCAGTCCCAGGCCCCCTCAGTCCATCGTTCAGCTTCCCAGACTCCGTCATCTTCAGTAAACCCTACCCAACTGGGTAGGCAGCTTCACCATGTCCCTCCTTTATCTTGCGGCCCTTCTGGTGGCCCTTATCAGCTCGGTCACAGCCCAAACCTTCACGAATTGTAACCCGATAAACTCGACTTGTCCGGCCGACCCAGCTCTGGGCACCAACCATACCTGGGTCTTCAACTCCACCCAGGACGACACCATCTGGAACATCACCAACGGCGAGATCACCTACGATGGCGACGACGGCGCCCAGTTCGTTATCGCCGAGAAGCTGCAGTCTCCCACCATGCAGTCCAACTTTTACATCTTCTTCGGCGTCGTCGAGACCCACCTCAAGATGGCCAAGGGCAACGGAATCGTCAGCAGTGTGGTCTTGCAGTCGGACGACCTGGACGAGATCGATTGGGAGTGGATTGGCGGTAACGTCAGCGAGGTCCAGTCCAACTACTTCGGCAAGGGTGACGATTATTACAAGCCCGCCGGCTTTCACTATGTCGCCAACGCGGACACGGAATTCCACAACTACACCACCAACTGGACCCCCGAGAAGCTTGAATGGATCATCGACGGCACCGTGGTGCGCACCCTGACGTACGACGAGGCAAAGAACGGCACCCGGTTTCCCCAGACCCCCAGCAACGTGCGACTGGGCATCTGGCCCGCTGGTGACCCGAGTAACAGTATCGGCACCATTGAATGGGCGGATGGCGAAGTCGACTACGATGCGGGTCCGTACACCATGGCCATCCAGAAAATCCGCGTGCAGGATTACCACTCCGGCAAGGAGTATGAGTACAGCGACCATTCGGGCTCATTCGAGAGCATCAAGGTTGTCGAGTAGGTCTTCTCCATAGCACAAACTGATTTATATGCAATGAAGCTAACGATTCAGGGGTAATTCTACTGCCGTCGAGGAGCTGAACAAGGCCCCTGCCAAGTCCCTCGCGGAGAAATGGGCTGAGGTCCCCACGGGAGGCAAGATCGGTGTCTATGTCGGCGCCGCCGTCGTTGGCGCAATGCTGATCGCCGGGTTCATCTTCTTCTGCTTGAAACAACGGAGAAAGGGCCGACTCGAGCACGCCCTGGACGACTCTAAGTGGACCGCCGAGCGCACCGAAATGAACAATTTCCAATCCGACTGGAAGCAAAGCGACTGGAGTCACCGCGGCTACAAACAGGTCTCCTCTTAGCCACGCCGGCCCTCCACCAACCTCCCTCCACGACCTTTTCCTGCACCCGATGATGACACGAAAACAAGCCCGCTCTCCTTGTGTGGCCATTCGCCCCGTATGTAGCGCTGCAGAGACCGGGCGACTAGTCTTGCGCGGGCGTTGCTGGCCAAGTCCGCGCGTGGGTTGATTTTCGGTTTGGCGTCGCGTGGTAGAGCCGGACTTATGATTCGCACCGTCTTTGTTGTCTTACTAGCTCTGTTTATATTATACCTGCGTTTGGTGGTCCATTAGGCTTTCGTTGATTGTATATACTGAAATTTCGACTTATTTTGGTTTCTTTGGATGCGATGCTTTGCAACCGATAAGTGAAGATGTATATCACTGCAGAATCTGCTCCCTCGGTTCTGCTACTACAGCCATCTCTTCTCGTCCGATCCCAACGGCTTCGGCATGACATCCCATCCCACGCAGACGCCTTCAATCGACGCCGAATGCCGCACAGCTGTCATCTCGCCAAACCCAGTCTCGCGGGTCTCCAGATACTCGGCCGGCACGTCCGCCGTACATGTGTAGTCGCCGCTGTCAAAGCCCGACCGCCCCTCATACTGCCCCAACGACCGCAGATACTTCATAACGGCCGCCAGCGACACATCCACCTCCCACGACCCACCCTCGGTCGCCTGCTTATACAGCGCGGCCTGGATCCCCGCTGCCAGAAAGTACCCAGCGCCATGGTCCAGCGCCTGGCAAGGCATCGGACGCGCCGGCTCACCAGCCCCATAATGCTCCGCCTCAGACACATTCATGCCCGAACACGTCTGCACAAGCGAGTCGAACCCGCGCCGGTCAGCCCACGGCCCGAACGGCCCATACGCCGACAGATTGGCGCAGATAATCCCGCGGCCGGCATACCGACGCGCCAGCTCGTCCGGCGCGAATCCGCGCGCAGCCAGACTGCCGGGCCGGTAGCCCTGCAGGAACACGTGCGCGTCGTCCAGCAGACCGCGCAGCTCGCGCACGCCGTCCTCCGTGCGCAGGTCCACATGCACGGAGCGCTTTCCGCGCGCGGTGTCGCGGTCGATGGCCGGGAGGTCCGGCAGGTTGGGGCTGGTCACCCAGAGGACGTCGGCGCCGTGGGCGGCGAGGGTGCGGCCGGCGACGGGGGCGGCGATGACGCGCGAGAGCTCGAGCACGCGCAGGCCGCGGAGGGCCTTATCGGCTGCGCCGCGCACCGGCAGGCCGATCGGGGCGTCGCCGATGCGGCGCAGGACGATGGGGAAGTCCGGGACGGCACGGGCCTGGGGCGTGGGGTCCCATTCTGCGGGCAAGCGCAGGGCGGCAAGGACGGCGCCGTGGGCGACGGCGGCGGCTTCGAGGTCGTGGGCGCGCCAGGCGGCGATGTGCGCGGCGACGGTGGCGCGGTCGGCGTTGGCGGCGCAGCCGAGCAGGGTCGTGGCGGCGGCGCGGTGGTGCGGGAAGTTATCGTGGAGGCGGATGTAGCCGTCGGCGCAGCGGTGCAGGCCGCCGATGGGGCCCCAGGCGTCGGGGATGGGGTGCGGGAGGGTGTAGAGGCGCTCGGATTTGAACTCGATGGCGGCGTGGAGGCGCGGGACAGTGACGGGTGGTGGGGTGGGGAGGGCGTTGCGCAGAGCGTAGATCTGCGCGGCGAGCAGGGCGGAGAGCCCGATGGAGGCTTGGGCAAGGTCGGCGATTTTGAAGGAGGATGGGAGACAGAGGTCAGAGCCGTGGAGGTGCAGTGACGCCAGGGCGGAGTCCGGGAGACCGAGGCCTTTCCAGAGATGTTCGACGCTGGCTTTGGCTGTGAGGGAGCGGGTGGATGCCATGTTGGGGGTGGATGACATGATGTTGTCTGGAAGTAAGCATGAAGCTATTCGGGTGAGTCACGATACATAGTCCGCACATCCGCATTCCGCAATCCGCTCCGTATCCGCTCCGCTCCGCTCGGAGCGGATGCCTATGAGGTAGATCTAAATCGGCAATTTATTAGTGAGTCCGGTACTTTTGGCCATATACGGAGTGTGTTCAAGATGTGTACCAGCAAATGATGTAATGCATCAAGGCCTTAGCTCGTTTCCAGCAGATATGAGAGAAATGGCGCAAATGGCGCTTAGTACGATGCGGGAGGTGGAGGAATCCGGTGGACGTGAGGTATAGCGGTATAGAGTCATGGCTGTGATTGTGCTATATACTGAGACCATTGTCCAACGGAGTATCTCGACCCCGGCGCAACATGTAGATTCTGGTCGTTCTGGATGTACTACGTTGGGTGGCTGGAAGGCACGTTGGTGTGTCAATAAGTAATGATAGTGAAGTGCAGTCTGGCTGAGCAGATATTGGTCCAAACATATACTCTACATGGTCGATGGTAATGTCTCTATATACCAACAGAGTCGTCGGGAGCATACAAAACGCCTGGGATGGTGGATTTAAAATCAAACTGCTGGTACTACAAACAATACCACCGCTCCTGCGTATATAGGACAGACCCGTCTACTTCTTCAATTCCCAATCATCACATGTTCATTGTCTCCATCCTTCACTTCCTCTCTATGATGAGCGCCCGAATTCCCATTCCAACCCCCAAAGGAATCCCCATTTTGGGCAATATCACAGAGCTGGCTCAGGATGTCCCCGAGTACAGTCTCTACCGGCTGGCCGATCAACACGGTATGCTACTCTGTCCCCTGTTCGATTCTATAGTAACAACTTTACAGGCCCCATCTTCCGCCTCACCTTCCTCAACCAAAGCATCGTCTTCGTCAATTCGTACGAGCTCGCTAACGAGGTCTGCGACGAGGACCGCTTCACCAAGACGGCCTGAAGGAAATCCGCAACTGCGTCCACGATGGCCTGTTCACGGCCAATTACCCCGGCGAGGAGAACCGGGAGATCGCCCACCGCGTCCTGGTCCCGGCGTTTGGGCCGCTGATGATCCGAGGGATGTTCGATGGTCAGTCATCTCTTCCCAGGCAGTTACATCCGACCTAGCTGACAGCATAGACATGTACGATATTGCGAGCCAGTTGGCCCTCAAATGGGCCCGTCAAGGCCCCAACACCGCCATCACGGTGAATGAAGACTTCACGCGCGTCAGCATGGACACGATCGCTCTCTGCGCACTAGGCACTCGGTTCAACTCCTTCTATCGAGACGAGATGCCGCATTTTATCGCCACCATGCGGAATCTCCTGCAGGCCTCGTCAGCGAGAGCATTGCGTCCGGCTGTCATGAACAAGCTGTCGACTAGCGACAACAACAAATACTGGAAGGACATTGCCGTGCTGCCAACTGGCACAGGACCTGGTCGACGCCCGGCTGCAAGACCCCGTCGACAAGAAAGACCTCCTCAACGCCCTGATCCTGGGCCGCGACCCGCAGACAGGCCAGAAGCTAACCACCGACTCGATCGTGAACAACATGATTACTTTTCTAATAGCCGGTATGCACCGAGACCCCTATCGACATGGCCATTTTCACGAACAACGCTACAGGCCACGAGACAACATCCGGCATGCTCTCCTTTCTCTTCTACGACCTCCTCAAACACCCACACGCGTATCGCAAGGCCCAAGACGAGGTCGACCGGGTGATCGGCCGACGCAAGATCACGGTCGAGGACTTGACCAAGCTCCCGTACATCACGGCCGTGATGCGTGAGACGCTCCGGCTGCATTGTCCCGTCACCATGCTGGTGGTCCATGCCCATCCTATCAGGAACAACGAGGACCCTGTCACCCTGGGAAACGGTCGGTACGAGCTCTACAAGGACGAACCCGTGGCCATCCACATCGGCAAGATCCACCGCGACCCGGCCGTGTACGGCGACGATGCCGACGAGTTCAAGCCAGAGCGGATGCTCGACGGTAAGTTTGAAAAGCTGCCGAAGAACGCGTGGAAGCCATTTGGAAACGGGATGCGCGCGTGTATCGGCCGTCCGTTCGCCTGGCAGGAGGTGCTGGTCGTCGTGGCGATGCTCTTGCAGAAAATTAACTTCCAGATGGTAAATCCCAGCTATGATCTGCGGTTGAAACAGGCCATGACGCTAAAGCCTGACGGGTTCACCTTTCGGGCGGCGATCAGACATGGCCTGGATGCTACCAGGCTGAGTGCTTTCTTGAATAGGGGCAGTGACCTTACTGAATATGCTGGCGCGCTGGGTCGAGAGTGCAATATGGAGATGGTCTTGGGCAATCATTTGAAACCGATGCGCATCTTCTTTGGCAGCAATATGGGAACATGCGAGGCGTTTGCATGGCGACTGGCTCACGACGCGCTCCAATATGGATTCCGAGCTGAGGTCAAGGCGCTGGATGCAGCTCGGGAGAACCTCTCTCGCGGTGATCCAGTTGCGTTCATGACCGCGTCGTATGAAGGGCAGCCCCCGGACAATGCCACGCACTTTTTCGAATGGCTCAAGGGTCTAGAAGGAGACAAGCTCGAGGGAGTCAACTATGCGGTGTCTGGCTGTGGTCATCGTGAGTGTCCAGTCTATTGACCGTCTGTCCGCTGTGCTGATACCAACGCAACCAGATGACTGGCAAGCTACCTTCCACTCCATCCCTAAGGCGATCGACCGTCTTGTACACCAGCGTGCCGGCACACGTCTTTGTGAGATTGGAACGGCCGACGCAGCCAACTCGGACATGTTCACTGATTTCGACAGCTGGGGCGAGTCAGTCTTCTGGCCGGCGGTCATGTCAAAATTCGGAGTCCAGGTGAATGGCACCGCGAAAGAAGCATCGAACCTTGAGATTCAAATCCGTCCCGGGAGGCGCGTCTCTGCATTAGGCCTACAGCTGCAAGAAGGTCAGGTTTTAGAGAACAGGCTTCTCACAGCGCCCTCCGTGCCGGAAAAGCGGATGCTGCGATTCAAGCTACCACCAGACATGACCTACCAATGTGGTGATTACCTGGCTATCCTGCCTGTCAACCCGCCAAATGTCGTTCGCTGGGCGATTCGTCGCTTCAACCTCTCCTGGGACTCCATGTTGACCGTCTGGAAACCTACTGATGCCAGCGGGTTGATCGCTGTACCTTTGGAGACTCCCATTTCTGCGTTGGAGCTCTTTTCCACCTACGTTGAGTTGTCGCAGCCCGCATCCAAGCGGGACCTGAAGTACCTGGCAGATGCGGCAAATGGGGATACAGCTGTCCAGAACGAACTGCGCTCCCTGGCTTCCGACGCCACACGGTTTGTGGATGAAATCGTCCAGAAACGAGTGAGTCCGCTCGACATATTGCTACGCCATCCCGTCATCGACCTCCCTCTGAATACGTTCCTTACGATGCTCCTCCTCATGCGCGTGCGTCAGTACTCATATCGTCTTCTCCACTGGTGGATCCATCGGAATGCTCTATTACATTTTCGGTGCTCAAATCCCCATCTCCGTCGACAAGCTCACGAGACCCTGGCTTTGAGGGCGTCGCATCCACTTACCTGGCCGGTCTCCAGCCCGGCGAAAAGGCCCATATGACCGTACGTCGGTCGACCTTTGGCTTCAAGCCACCCCTCGACCTTCAAACCCCCATGATCATGGCTTGTGCGGGGAGTGGGCTGGCCCCATTCCGGGGATTCATCATGGACCGCGCGGAGAAGATTCGCGGCCGGCAGTTGACAGGTGCGCCGCATCCCGACATCCGCGGCCTAGCCAAGGCCATCTTGTACGTCGGCTGTCGCACCAAGGGCGTGGATGACATCCACGCAGAGGAGCTGGCGGAGTGGGAGCGTCTGGGCGCGGTCGATGTGCGGTGGGTGTATAGTCGTCCGGCTGGCGATTCGCTGTCTGGCAGCTCCCCACATGAGGGGTCTGATGGGGCCGACAGAAGCAGGTGGCGACGACACGTTCAGGATCAGATCGTCCACGACCGAGAGGAGCTTGTTGCGCTGCTCGAACGGGGGGCGCGCATTTTCGTCTGCGGTGGCACAGGGGTCGGCCAGGGGGTGCGCCAGGCTCTCAAGCGCATCTACCTGCGGCAACGGTGGGACGGGTGTCGTCTGCGCATTGATACCGACGAGGGTGATCCAAGCAGGACGGCAGATGATGAGGACGCCGCAGCCGAGAGGTTTCTGGAGATGTTGAAGACGAAGGAGCGGTACGCGACAGACGTGTTCACTTAGAGGCAGCTAGAGCCAGCCACGCATTATCTACACCCCTACTAGCCATCCTTGTCGACAGATGAACGGAGTACTCTTTCCCCGACATCGCCAGCCCCATTTAGCCTGTCTTACATCCTCCACCCAGAGCGTTACTTCTCCACATCTTTCCCCCGGATCTTCATCGCTCCACCCACCCCAGAGAACGGGGAAGAGCAGTGATGCAGCGCCCTCAGATGGCACGCTGACACAAATACCCAGCTTCTCGCTGCATTTCATTGCCCTTCCATCTTCTATCGGGCTTTCCTCGGCTGATCCTGCCCTAGACCTGAACAATCAAACGGGCCGCCACGCCCCGCAAGCCGGACTACGGCCAAGACGTTAGGCTGGTTGGGGTCCGGGATAAATTGGCTAAAGGCAAAGCTTTCCTCGAGACTTAAGCAGTCTTGTCGCCCGTGGTGTTGTCGGGTGGTGATTTCTGTTCCGTAACGCACGATGGCAGCGCAGACGCAGAGCGGTCCCCGGCTGGCACACAGGTAAGACTTTCTCCAGATTGACCAGCATGAACAATTGCTTATCGTGTTGGAGCCACGCCCACGAGGGAGACATCCCCGGGACGGTGGATTTGACAGCTGCAGAGGGAGACGACACGGCGTACGGCCAGGCATTGTATCCTGTGCCATCGGAGGATCCCAACGATCCTCTCCAGGTAATCTTCCAATGCCATTTGAGGGAGTGAGCTGACAGAAGCAGTGGCCCGAGTGGAAGAAACATGTTATTCTCGTGATTATTTCCTTCTTTTCGTTTCTGGGAAATTGCTCCCTCGTCGGGCCCTCTGTCTATATCGCGATCTACAGCGAGGAATTCGGCGTCTCTCATGCGGCCGCCTCGGGTCTGATATCATACCCTAACCTGGCCTTTGGATTTGGTATGCTTTCATGCAGAGTTCCTAGGTAGTTCTATCGGCTGACCTCTAGGCTCCCTGATCCTCGTCCCGATGTATCTCAAGTTCGGCCGTCGGCCAGTCACGCTCTTCTCGATGTTGACGGTACCTCTTCGACCCTATACATCCATCATGGCCTGCTTGTGCTGACCGTGAGACAGTTCGTTGTCGGCCTCATCGGCGCATCCAGAGCCACCAGTTTCTCGGGGCTCATGGTGGCCCGCGTGTTCCACGGCTTTGGAAGCGGTGTCTGCGAGTCGCTTCCTGTGCAGATCGTCAACGACATTTTCTACCTGCACGAGAGGGGGAAGAGAATCGGATACTACACGAGTATGTCGGAGGTCCGTATCTAACATGATAGTCCACTGACCACTGCAGTCTGTCTGTGCATCGGGTCCACCGGGCCCCTCTACGCCAGCTACATGCTGTCAGGGGGATATTCCTGGCGACTGTTCTTCTACGTACTTGCCGCGTTTGCCGGCGCCCTGCTTATTCTGTCATTCATCTTTGTGGAAGAATCAGCCTACAAACGCGAGACCAAAGACGTCTCGCCGTCGCCATCCATTAACGCGGATGCGAAGCCCGGTGTGCTCCAGGTAGACCATGCCGACGTCTCTCCCAGCGCAATCCCCAAGCGCAAGACCTTTGTGGAAACGCTCAAGCCGTGGTCCGGCATCGACCACGACGCGGCCTTCTTCATGACGATGATCCGGTCGTTCACATATTTCTTCGTCCCGGCTGTGTTCTGGGTGATTACAACCTACGGTATGGGTATCCACTGCCACACGCGGCATTATACTAATGCCAGAACGACAGGCATCTACATCGGCCTGGGTGCGCTCACCTACAACTACACATTCCCGATCAAAATCACCGCTCCCCCCTACAACTGGAGCCAGGTACCCCTCCCCCCTCTCCCTCTAAGAAACCAAACTAACCCCCCAGACCAACTCCGGCCTCATCGCCATCGCCACAGCCGTCGGCTTCATCCTCGCGATCCCCTTCACCTCCCTATCCGACCGGCTCGCCGCCCGCCTAACCCGGCGCAACAACCACATCCGCGAGGCAGAGATGCGCCTCCCAGCCCTCCTGCCGGTGATGCTAATCTCTCCCGCAGGGCTCGTCCTGTACGGCCTCACGGCCCAGCGCAACCTGCACTGGATCGGGTACTTTTTCGGCGTGGGCATGTCGCAGTTCGGGTCGTACTTCTACTTCACGCTGACGCTGGCGTACGCGGTCGACTCGTACTACGCCAACACGTCCGAGATGCTCATCGCCATGAACCTGGGCAAGCAGGCCATCTCGTTCGGCATGGGCTCGTACCTGCTCGACTGGATCCTGAGCAACGGGTATGCGGTGGTGATCTCGGGGATCTTCTGCGCCGTGGCGCTGGCGAATAATCTGGCGTTGATTGTGTTTATGCTGTGGGGGAAGAAGATTCGGCGCGCGACGAATCGGTCGTGGTTGGGGAGGTTGCATGCGCGGTCGGCGACGAGGGATATGACGCATTAAATGGGGTGTCTGTGTGTCTGTGTGTGTGGTACTGAGTTGGGGCATATAGGGTTGATAGGACTTATCTACGTAACGGATAGACGATGTACCTCCACTTTTCTATTCATTCATTGACTTTCACTGACTACAAGTGGAGCTTGTTCCTGGCTGTTCTTGACATGACAGTAGTTCAGTGCCCCTCATCCCCACCATACATCATCACACCGCAACACTCAACACCAACAACACTCACAACCTCATCCCCATCCACATTCCGCTACTTAGGCAGCAAAAGGGACCGCCGAGCTAGTCGGCTTCGGGGTAGGCGTGCTGCTCGGGACCGCAGAGGAAGAGGGAGACGGGGTCGGAGTCGGGGACGCGGACGCGGACGGGGACCCAGGGAACGGAGGCAGACCAGTCGGCAGGCCCGTAGGAAGCCCGGTAAGCAGGCCCGACGGCAACGGGAACGGCAGATCAGTCGGGATACCCGTCGGCAGCGAGAAGGGCAGGTCGGTAGGGATCGAGAAAGGCAGGTCACCCAGGCCCTGGCGCTTCTCGAGAGGGAGGCCAGAGGGAATGAGGCCGGTGGGGATAGACAATGGCAGGTCAGTCGGGAAGCCCGAGGGGAGCAGGCCAGACAAGCCGGAAGGAATGGGCAGGTCGGTTGGCAAGCCGGTGGGCAGAGGGAAGGGCAGAGAGAAGGGCAGGTCGAGGCCCTGGCTCTCTTCGGCCGGAGTGGGCAGGGCGAGGGCACAGCCTGCGAAGCCCAGAGCGGCGATGTTGGAGAACTTCATGTTGGAAAGAATGATAGTGGTTTAATAAGATTGGTTTAGAAGGACAGTGGTAGAAGAAAGTGATTGAAGGCACAGCCTGGATGCGAGGATGGTGGTGAGCACGACGGGTGTTTATATACCTTCGACTCCGCGATCTGGGCCCCAGATCAAGGGTTCGTCTCGAGTCGACGAGGATTAGAATATGGGCCATTCGGTCCAGCCCTGGAGAGCACGTTTTGTCTCATCCTGGAAAGTTGATAGGTAGATCATTGAGCTCCGGGCACATGGTGTTCGATATCTCCAGTATGCGGTGGGTCGGCAAGAAGACGACCATCTTCCTAGCCGAACGGTATTTGACCAAAAGCCTAGGTCAAAGCCTAGATCGACGAGGCCCTGGCGAAGAAATGCCGGTCTGGCCTGCTCTGTAGTGACATAAAACGCAATGATCTGCCCTTGCGAAACGTTGGAGGTTCCAATTCCCGGTCGATTGCGAACCAGTTTCCCATGAGCGTCTCAAAATCTAGTCCCGGTTCTGGGGCTGATAGCGAAATGGCTCATCAACCGAATGCCGACCTGTATATGACCTCATCACTGTTCGCCATCTTGGAGTCATCTTCCGACGGCCGAGCGAGGTACATGGTCTGGTCTGTCTCAAACTTCGGGTCCCTAACTGGGATTTGGATCGTTGGTCGTTGAATTGTGGAGAATCGACCACCTCTGATGGTCAGAGCCCGATAAGGGGACTTATTTGCATGGCGTTTGGTGATCGACACTCTTCAAGTCGACTGAATTGCTGTTCGGTTCCAGGCCTCTGCGTACTCCATATCTCCGGAGAATGGAGTCAATGGATCTGATCAAAACAGGGCACAGCCTACGTGGCGGTGGACCCATTGCCGGCGAACCTTGGGCGCAGTCAGGCCAATTCTTGCAACTTGATCGAACCGTTGTCCGTCAGATCGTGACTCCAAAGCGAAGTGGAGGAGCGTTGTCGATCGCGGTCATCCTGCCCGGATGGGGTGATGAGCCGAGGAACGGCCGTTCCATGGAACCGCCGTCTCAAAAAAGGGGATCCAGCAAAGCACGAACCGGGGACTCGCTGGGGACTTATCAGGAACTCATCATTCGAGAAGTAGAAGAGTTGGTACTCCGTACGGAGTAGATTGCGTGTCGTCGGCTCTCTTAGGGTTCATCCCGTCACGCTTGCTGCCTGAGGTCACCCATCCCAATCTTGAACCACTTTGTGTCGACGACCAAATTGATGCCTATAGAATGCGTCTAAGCTGTATATACGTATTAACATGTGCACATGACTCGCGGCAATGCGCATAATATATTTCTATCATCCTATACTAGCTTTTCATCGAACCTATGCACCAATGCTTTCTCTCTTCTGTGAGCATTGCGACACCAGCGGATGATCATCCCGCTGAGCATAACGCCAGCTACAACCATAAGCGCGATAAAAGCTATGTCTTTCTCTTTGAGCCTCCTGACAAAAGCTCCCGCCCATCCATACCATGATGACCCGAGACGACGAAACAGTGGGGTGGTCACTCTTCCGTCCAGCATATGCATGGACGGAATCTGCGGTGGTCATGACAGGATGCGCAGCGAACTTCTGTCGTTTTGCGTCGTAAAAATAGTCCTAGACATCCGATCAGTACCTAACTCTGTAATACCAAACTTGAACATACGAAGCATAATGACGCCCGGTACTGAACATGGCCGTTGCATCCGGAGACAGCAGCCATTGTCGATTAAAAGCGGGCAAATTCCAAATCAGCTCCTTGACAAAGGCGTTCCGCGGGGATGCCATCATCATGTCAACGGAGAACCCAAATGGATGAGCGGCTGGTGCGACGAACTCGAACCGGCGTAACGGTTCCAACGAGCGTTTGCATTCGAGGTCTAGATCCAGGACCGCACCTGGGCAATAAACCATGAGTATTATCCCCTCTATTATTTCCGTAGGCCGTCACTCACCCCCATCCGTATACAACACGTATCGAAGCGCATCAACCTTTTGCTCCCAGTACGGGTAATTCCGCCACATCTCCCAGTATTTTGGGAAATGCTGTTGCACAAACTCGTCTGCGCTGACGTCGTCCCAGAAGAACGGCTGCCATCCTGGATGGAGCTTCAAGCATGCGGCTCTTGCGATAGACTGTTCCACATGCGGCTGTGATGGGCCCAAGAGGATGTGGTGTAGTCGTGGAGGAACTACGGTGGGGTCGTGTCTGGGGGGAACTGAAGTGTTTGTGTTGTCGTAAGCGCGGAAGGTGACATCGAAGCCATCAAAATGCTGTGAAATAACTGAATGTGCTGCCGACGTGTGCCAGGTTAGAGGAAGTCTGATCAAGAGGAATAGCTGTGCGCCTCCAGGTATAGACACTAGTAAGGTTGTGATGATTAGAAGAATGGCAACCAGCCCAATGAGAAGGGAACTCATGGTGCCGTCAATTGTCAATGTCATGAGGATCAGTGTCTGCTTTCAATAATGGCATCCGAAGTATATATGTTTCGGTGTACGATGAACCAAAGACTACCCATTGTTCTGAATATATTCTGCGGTAATACAGGCTACGTGATTCTTTTATGAGCCAGGGACTAGGATCATCTTTATAAGCCAACCGCAATATTAATAGCTGTGTCTTTGTCCTATGGACAAAGGTCGTGGCGAAGCTTCGAGACATAACACGCACAACCAGATTGCACATTACCGCATGACTGGAGCTCTGCAGCTTTTATACCGCTGGTTTGAAAGGTCTCATAGATTGCTTAGACGAAGACTGTTGAGGTGACATGACAGGACACAACAATATCAGATCCTTTAGGGTTTAGCCTTCCCCACAACTTAATCTCCAACACCAATCAACATGCATTCTAGAAGAGTCTGACCAATCACCATGCATACCTTATTCAAGACCACACCAATCATCGTGCAAAACCCAAACCTTCCGCTCCATCTCGATAAGGCAAAGTAAAAATTCTTATCAATGGCTGCTGGTGATGCAATTCAGCTCGGTATTTGCATCACGAGCAGCCTGCGATAAGCCTTGATATCCTCCTAATCAGGGGAATATACACCCCGCGGTCTCTCACTCGACACGGGCGTCCACTTTCACCAGCCCAATTGACCACAAGCGCAGCGCATCTGTCAACATGCCCATAAAGAGCGTCGCAGTTATCGGCACGGGCCCATCCGGGGCCATTGCAGTCGATGCGCTGGTCCAGGAACAGGCCTTTGATGTGATCCGCGTGTTTGAACGGCAGGAAAAGGCCGGTGGATGTTGGTACGTCAATCACCCGCTGCGACATCAGGAAAGGAACCGTATTGACGTATAGCCGGAAGGATCTCACGAGAAAACGAAACCCCCGAACCGCTCGACATCGACCGTCTCTCGACGCGCACAGCAGACGCCCCCATCCCGCTGCCCTCGACGCTCCCGGCGCATCTGCCCGCCGTGACGCAGCATCGCTACGCCGACGCCCACATCTACCCCACGCTGCACACCAACGTCGACGCCTCTGTCATGGAATACTCCCAGGAACCCATTCCCGCCGTCCGCTCCGACGCCTCCATCGCCCTGCACGGCCCGGACACCCCCTTCCGCCACCATACCGTCATCTGCCAGTACATCGAGGACCTGCTCAACCGCAACGGCTACCAGGACCTGGTCGAGTACAACACCACCGTCGAGCGCGCCATCAAGGACCCCGTCTCGGGGCGGTGGGTGCTCACCCTGCGCCGCGCGGGCGCCCGCCCAGGATACGACTACTGGTGGTCCGAGACCGTCGATGCGCTGGTCGTCGCCTCGGGCCATTTTAACGTGCCATATGTGCCGGCCATCCCGGGACTGAAAGAGTTTGCGCAGAAATACCCCGGCAGCGTGGAGCACACCAAGCAGTATCGGGGACCGGAGAAGTATCGGGGAAAGGTGCATCTCCCCCTACCGACATACCTCCTCTTGTCTATAGATAGGTTGATTGCTGACAACAAGCAGAAAGTCATCACAGTCGGCGCCTCGGTCTCCGCCGCCGACACGGCCGTCAGCCTGATCGGCGCCGCGCAGGACCCCATCATCGCCGTCGTCCGCGGCAAGTACAACGTCTACTTTGGTGACGAGGCCTTCAAGCACCCGCAGATCCAGCGGCGGCCGCCCATCGCGCGCGTGTCGTGTGAGGACGGCGCGCGCACCGTACACTTCGAGGACGGGACGTCAGTCTCCGACGTCGACCACATTATCTTCGGCACAGGGTTCACCTGGACGCTGCCGTTCCTCCCGGACATTCCCATCCGGAATAACCGCGTACCGGATCTGTATCTGCATGTGTTCTACCAGCGAGATCCGTCTCTCGTTTTCCTGGGTGCGGTACGTTTCCCCTTCACCCTCTTGTCTTCTGATTAGCACCGATTTGCATACTGACAACGACAGGTCGGCGCCGGTTTAACCTTCAAACTATTTGAATGGCAAGCCGTGGCTGCCGCGCGCGTGCTCGCTGGCAAGGCCCAGCTGCCCCCGCTAACCGAGCAGCAGAAATGGGAAGCCGACCGTATCGCGGTGAAAGGCGACGGCCCGGGGTTCTTGATGGTGAACCCGGACTTTGAGGAATACTTTGAGAAGCTCCGCGCGCTGGCCGGGGAGCCTGCGCCGGGCGCGCCGGGACGGCGGTTGCCGCCGTTCGAGCAGGCGTGGGTGGACGATTTCAACGCAGGCCACGAGCGGCGGCGGCGCATGTGGCAGCGGGCGAACCGGGAGGCTCAGAGTAAACTATAGACGTGATAGAAGTTTTGGATAGACTGGATACCCCGTACAGATGTAACGGTGGAGGCTAGATATGTTCCGGCGGTGCATCTCCGCAGGGTCTAAATAATTAGTCCGCCAATTGATCATTCTGGTTTCATTCTAGTTTGCATTTACCTTTGGACTACTGTCGCGCAGTCCGTCCCAGATCAGCGCACGATCGGGGTATTTATACGGCCGCTGGACCTCGTGAAATGCACTTCACTGTGCTGTCTTGGTGCTCCCAAATGTTGTCAAAACACTCATTATTCTTCCTGATCATCCCTGGGGCCACGGCGAAATCGCTGTGGTCAAACACTCCAGGCGACTATGGCAATTTCATCACCACCGCGTTTCCTCTAGGCAATGGCCGGCTGGGAGGTACGTTCCGACCTGGCCTATCCTCCCATCAATGCTAACGTGGCCTATGCAGCAATGCCGGTCGGTTCATACGGCAAAGAAACAGTCAATCTAAACGTCGACTCGCTCTGGCACGGCGGACCCTTCGAAGACCCGGTAACAGATCATACTCCCTAAACCAGACTCACCCTCTAACAGAAAAGGCATACGCGGGTGGCAACCCGAACAACTGCAGAGCTGAGGCCCTCCCTGGAATACGCGATTTCATCTTCCAAAATGGAACGGGCAACGTCTCGGCCCTCCTGGGCGAATTCCCCTCCTACGGGTCGTACCAGGTCCTAGGAAACCTGACCATCGACCTGGGGGAGCTGGAGAATGTCCGTGGGTACAGACGGAGGCTCGATATGAAATCAGGGGTGTATACGGACGGGTTTGCGGTTGGGAATGCGCTCTATAATAGGTAAGTATTTACTCACTTGCCCGGTGCGGATTGCGCTGACATGCGCAGGACGGCATTCTGCTCGTACCCGGACCAGGTATGCGTGTATCACATCTCGTCCGCCAACGCTTCTCTTCCGTCTGTCGAGATCGGCCTGGAAAACCAGGTGGTCTCGCCCGCGCCCAACGTGACTTGTCATGCAAACAGTATCAGTCTGTACGGACAGACCTTCCCGACCATCGGGATGATTTACAACGCGCGCGCGACGGTGGTTGTACCGGGGAAATCGTCGGGCGATTTCTGCGCAGGAACCGTGGTGCGCGTCCCCAGCGGCCAGAAGGAGGTGTACATCGTGCTGGCGGCAGACACGAACTACGACGCGTCGAAGGGCAACGCCGCAGCCAAGTTCTCCTTCCGCGGAAGCGATCCGTACGAGAAAGTACTGCAGACAGCGTCCAAAGCAGCGAAAAAGTCATACGCCCAGCTCAAATCATCGCACGTCAAGGACTTCCGCGCCATCTCCGACGGGTTCACTCTCACCCTCCCCGATCGCAGGGACTCGGCAGGAAAGCCCACCACGGAGCTCATCGCCGCGTACACCCAGCCCGGGGACCCGTTCATCGAGGGCCTCCTCTTCGACTACGGGCGATACCTGTTCATGTCGTCCTCCCGCGCGGGCAGTCTCCCGCCGAATCTTCAAGGGCTCTGGACGGAGCAGGCGTCCCCCGCCTGGAGCGCGGACTACCACGCCAACATCAATCTGCAAATGAACCACTGGGCGGTTGAGCAGGTCGGCCTGGGCGAGTTGACGGAGCCGCTTTGGAAGTATATGGCCGACACGTGGCTGCCGCGGGGACAGGAGACTGCGCGGCTGTTGTACGGGGGTGAGGGATGGGTGACGCATGATGAGATGAACGTCTTCGGGCATACTGCGTATGTATTTGGAACTCCGTGGTCCTGCTGGGTATGAAGCTAACGCTGGGATAGGATGAAAAACGATGCGCAATGGGCCAACTATCCAGCCGTCAATGCATGGATGTCACAACACGTTTGGGACCATTTCGACTATACCCAGGACGCCGCATGGTATCAGAGCATGGGGTATCCCATCCTCAAGGGGGCCGCGCAGTTCTGGCTGTCCCAGCTAGTCCAGGATGAGCATTTCAACGACGGGACCTGGGTGGTGAACCCCTGCAATTCCCCCGAACATGGACCGACGGTGAGTTGTCACGCAGCACGATACAGCCCATACTAATAGTCGAACAGACATTCGGCTGCACAAACTACCAGCAGCTCATCTGGGAACTCTTCGACCACGTTCTCCGCGGGTGGACAGCCTCAGGCGATAAAGACCGCCTATTCCGCCGCGCCATCGCATCCAAATTCGCAGCATTAGACAATGGCATCCACATCGGCTCCTGGGGCCAGATCCAAGAATGGAAGCTCGACCTCGACACTCCCAACGACACCCACCGGCACCTCTCCAACCTTCATGCCTGGTACCCAGGCTACGCTATGCACGCGCTCAACAACCAGTACACCAACGTGTCGCAGGCGGTAGCCACAACGCTGCGGTCGCGCGGCGACGGGGTAGCAGATCAGAACACCGGGTGGGGTAAGATGTGGCGGAGTGCGTGCTGGGCGCTGCTCAATCACACGGAGACTGCGTATTCCATGTTGACCCTGGCGGTGCAGAACAATTTTGCAGCCAACGGACTTTCCATGTACACTGGGGCTCCGCCGTTCCAGATCGATGCAAATTTTGGGATCATGGGGGCCGTCACTTCGCTTCTCGTCCGGGATCTGGATAGACCAGCGTCGGACCAGACGAAGGTCCAACGAGTGGTACTAGGACCGGCGATCCCTTCGGCCTGGGGCGGTGGCTCGGTCGAAGGACTGCGCCTGCGCGGTGGAGGGTCTGTACGGTTCGGTTGGGATCAGCAGGGGAGAGTGACTTGGTGTGAGGCTGATCTGTCGCGACGGACAGCGCGGGCGCCTGTGTTCATGGTGGGAGAGGAGATTATCAAGTGTTGAGCTCGTTAGTATAGATAGTATACCTTGCACGCACAGAAAGTAAAGAAAGAGGACAGATAGTGCGCCGAGCTTTCAACAGCATCCTAGGCCATAAAGTCAGCCTTATGGATCCACAATACTCCGCCACAGCGGTGTCAGCCTTGTAGAGCAATCGCAGTGAGCGAGATATACCCAGATCAACACATCCTGTTCATCTCCATTCTCACTCCTGTCAGCCGCTCCAATATGGATTCTGCAACAGATCGCATGAGACAGGCCATAATCCGCCAAATCCGCCATCAAATGGCGCAGCAACCCCAGCACAACAATTCTCGCCGAATGCCCTCGATCTGGGACGAGGTTCCTCTGACTGAGGCCGATGCCCCTCTGCTATTCCATCCTCAACCTTCCCATGTCACCGAATTCGAACACGCCTGTCGGGGCAACTCTCTCGCGGCCGTACAGTCCATTGTCACGGCACACAGCCGCACCCCAGCCTTCCTCCACCGTGGTCTCCCCCTCGCCATCAGAGCCGGCCGCGTCGACATAGCCAGCTACCTGCTCGCTGCCGGGGCTCCCATGACCCGCGGCACACCATCCGACGTGCTCCTCGCACCGACGGCGCAGCAGATCCCGCTCTTCGAAGTCCTGAGCCAACACGGCTGGACACCCAATACCCCCGGGTACTACGGACACGTCCTGCTCCCGGAGGTCGTCACCAACCTCCCATTGCTTCGGTGGTTTCTCTCTCATGGGGCGGATCCCAACCGTGGCCCGCAACGCCCGTACGACAGTCCGTACGAGCGCTTCGGCGAGTCGGTGAAGAACTCCGGCTGTGCGCTTGAATTGGCTGCTGCACGTGGGAGCCCGGAGGCAGTGCGGTTGCTCCTGGATGCAGGGGCTGTTATGGACAACGGGTATCCACTGCATGCGGCTGCACGCGCCGTTCTGCGGGGCTCCGCGTCTCAACCTATGAGCAGGGAGTCTGATATCGGCCGCATTCCCGTGATGGAGTTCTTGGTGGAGCGCGGCGCAGACGTCAACCAGAGAATGGAGACGCGGTATGTAGAGCCGCGGTACGCCCTTCTCCTGGCTGCGATGGCCGGCGCCGTGGAGCGCGCGCGATGGTTGATCGAACACGGGGCAGACCCTGGAGTAGAGAAGGGCTGGCATGTTGATGATGACATGCGACTCCGGCGTACGCTGTAGCACCAGTCAAGGTCGAATCACCAGAACTAAATGAAAGCACTCAAGCACTCACCAGAACGAGAATGTACAGTACTTGGTATACTCCGTAGATGAAGAACATGAATTTACCCGATCTGGCAAAACGGAGAAACTGCGGGGACGAAATGCGGAGATTCTCCGATTCCCCTCTTCCCCTCTGTCAATTCCACCTCTTCCCACTTCAACCTCTCTACAGGGACAGCAATGGACTCCGTCAAGAACAAGGTCTATACCGTCACCGGCCTCGCGGGCATCGGCCTGGCCGTCGCCCAACACCTGCATCGCCAGGGCGCCAAACTCTCCCTAGCCGACATCAACGCCGACGTGCTGCAGGCCGCCTTCGTCACGCTCAACTCCGACGCCGACAACATCCTCACGACGGTCGTGGACATCAGCTCCGCCGCTTCAGTCAACGCCTGGATCGACGCCACGGTCCAGAAATTCGGGCATCTCGACGGCGCCGCCAACATGGCCGGCACGATTGGCCGGCACCACGGTATCGGCCGGCTCGCCGACATCGACGACGACGAGTGGGATATGTTGCTGCGTGTCAACCTCACCGGAACCATGTACTGTCTGCGAGCGCAGGTGCGCGCCATCGAGAAGACGGCCCGCGTCGGGAGTATTGTCAATGCGAGCAGTATCCAGGGTCTGCGGGGGTTTGCGCTGCATGCAGCGTATTCGGCGACAAAGCATGGGGTCGTGGGGTTGACGAAGAGTTTGGCGAAGGAGGTTGGGCCGGAGATTCGGGTGAATGCTGTTGCTCCGTGAGTTGGCCCGTTCCGCTTGTCTCCTGTTGGTGATCTTGTGCTGATCAGTCAGTGGCTCCATTCAAACCCCCCTCCTCGACAAGGCAAAGGGCATTCAGGGCGAGCTGGGAGCCAACCCCATCGTCTTTTCGCGTCACGGCACCGCCGACGAGGTCGCCCACTCGGTGGTCTTCCTGCTTAGCGATGCGGCGTCCTACACGACGGGGACAGTGCTGAATGTGGACGGCGGATGGGACCCGTAGAGCAGAGAACAGGGAAATCATCAGTTCTATATTCATCCATGAAACGTATATACCCAAAGATCTATATGCACGATGCAACCCGGCGCCGTTGCTGAAAGAAACCGATAACGCCAGTCCAGTCCAAACCTGCTCTATACCCGACGGCAGGGTGATACGAGGAGCCCAGGTTAGCAGTACAACCATAAGAACCACCCGGAAACTAAGATGGATACAATCAGTTTGAGACCACGCAGATGGGTGGCAACCAGCCAAGCACATACACAATATAGTCGTGATCGTGAGCTGGTAGTTCGGGCGGAGATGCGACCCGGCATTCTTCGAGGCCCTGTGGCAATTCCTTCCATGAGCATGTGTCAATCAAGTCAGTCTGGATATCTGACAAACCTTGCTTCTGGCCACCCGTCCACATAGCCCAGGTAATTCCAGCCGAGATGTGCGTCCTGCATCGGTTAATTCTGCCTGCATCTGGAGCCATTGGGTAGACGTACAGCATCAGTAAAGCCAACCGACGTGTTGACTGCGCACGTTAGTTGGGCCCTTGTCCAGATTCTGGCAGGACTACTCACGGTAGTGATAGTACAAAATATCCGGATCCGTCGCATTGCCCGATAAAACCCCCACGCCCCCTGGGGCATACACCACCCCCCGATTCGAGTCGTAGACGACCGTGCCGCCTCCTTCTAGCAAAGATACGCCGTTTTTATCGACAAACGGCCCGCGCACGTCCTTCGACCGCCCCACGCGAATGCTGTATTCTTTCCCCGCGACCGGGAATCCCTTACCCAGGAACCGACAGCATTTTCCGTGGCTGAACCACAGGTAATAATACGGTTCCCGATAGCTCATGAACGACCCCTCGATGGGCTTCACCTTCTGGTCGGGCACGTAGGCCAGGTTCTTCGCATCGGGGTGGTCCGGGTCCTCCACGGATAGCAGATCGGTCGCGAGAGGCACCTGGTAGATGCCGTGCCAGAAACTGCCGTATAGGAGGTATGGTTTCCCCGATTGCTGGTCGGTGATGAAGCTGGCGTCGATGGCATTGGACTCGGTGTACGGCCAGATCTGCGAATGTGGACCCTTCTCGGTGTTGATCACGGCGCCATGGTCGGTCCACGAGCCTTCGATCGCGTCCGTCGAGGCGACGCCAATGGCACTGTTGCGACTCCCGTGACGACTGACGGTGTAGAAGCAGTAGAAGCGACCGTTGTATTCGACCGTGGTGGGAGCCCACGGCCGCGTGCGATTTTCCTTCTTGATCAGGCTGGGCCCGTCGAGCACGGTTCCGATGCGCTGCCAGGGCCCGTCGAGACTGGTGGCCTTGAGAATGGGGACGTGGACTCCGCCGCGAAACATGTAATATGCGCCGTTGTTATGCACAATATTGGGGTCATGGACGGCGAGATGGCCCTGGTTGGGCAATGGATATAGAGTCGTCTGGGAGAAAATGGATGGCGGGCCCAGCGGCGAATCCGCGGGCGCCGCATGGACGGCGCATCGCCATGAGAGCAGGATCCCGAAGATCCGATCGAAGCGCACCATGGAGGGAGGCTATGGGTTGGAGATCATGGGTGTATGAAGTTGACCGTCGACACAATACGAAGATAAAGATAAAAAGACAAGGATATCCACACAATGGGGGACGAAATGTTGACGTCAAACAGGCATAGGTAGTAAGAATCAAGGAAAGAATCCGCGACAACAAGGAGGCGGTGGAGAATATATGACTTTTCTTAGAGGGAAAAAAATCGGTCTCTTCCGGTGCCTTATCTTAATGTCCAAAAACCCGACCAGCAGATCAACGTCCTATGAAAAGCGCGGGCGCGTCGAGGGAAAAAATTGACGAAGGGAGGCGAAGCAATCATGCTGCGATGGCACCGGTCCAGGGTATTCTGGAGTATGGAGCCTGTACCTGTATGTACTGTACAGCCCCCCCGGGCTTATTTATAGGCCAGCAGCAGTCAACAGCAGCGGGTAAATAAGTAATACGCGGGCGAGACCCTTCCGACAGGGACCAGAGTCAATGCGGATTAACCTTTGTGAGGCTAGGCATCCATCGGCCATCCGCGGATCGACAGCCGATCATCGCATTGCAACGCCAGAAGCCCCTATTTGCAGCGTCATCATCATCATAGCCATCATCGATCATCATACAGCATTGACAGAATGTTATATACAACATGTCCAGCACACCCCCATCATCAGAAGAGAGCGAGAGTACCTTACCGAGATCGCATCGATCAACCTTCAAAGGTGATGCCCGTCAGATCCGCCCAATCGAATGCGTCCAGAAACGGATCCAATTCTCCCTGCTGTGTAAGTGGGTAAGCGGTTAGTTGACTAGCAATGCATATTGTAGAGCAATCAAGCGAGGAACAGAAGCACTTGCCGGCACGCCAAATCCGCCCGGGGGGTGCCACAGACTCAAGTCCGGAGCCATCGGCGTTCCCATAGCCGTGCTAGCAGTCACGCTTGGGACCTGGAGAGGAGAGCTGTTAGAATCCTGGATGCCTCGGTACGCCCGTACTCCGTAGTCCAAAGACTCACTTGATTCGTCTTAAAGTTCCCCATCCCCCACTCCCCGAGATGAGCGCAATTGGCATGACGCGTAAACAGCGTCTGTGCGAAAAAGATCACCCGGTTCACCACCTCCTGCTTATATAGATTGGCCTGTCCCGGCCAGAGCGTCACCTTGGCCAACGCCAGCAGAGTGGACATGAAGAAGTACTCCTTGGCTCCTTTGACGACAAGCAGCCAGCGGGACTCCAGGCAGGTGAGAACCGTCTCCGCCAGCGAGACCAACGACTCCGGCATGCCCGTCAGTGTCCGAGTGAGAGACATCGCCGACGATCCTGGAGATTAGTTAGACAGCGGATCGGTCGTGAGGCAGGGAATTCGAACATACCAGCACCGCCCTCTCCCTCATGGAGTAACTGGCAGATGGAGCAGTAAGCCTGCACGGTCCAATCCCCCAGAATACAGAGCGATAACAGTCGCGAAGTTTCATGAAGCCGCTTTTGAGTCGAGAGAATCATCGTGGCAACCTCCAGACGAGCGCGCGCCGACGGAGCGAAGACGATCTCCCGCGGCGCTTCGATCGCAAATGGCGTATGGATCGACAGAAGACTGTAGCCGATCTTGGCTTCCAACAGCGCTTTGATCAAGATCATCCGGTGCTGGGTCTGGAAATCTTCGACTCCCGATAGAGACCACGATGGGATTTTCGAAAGATGTCGGTTAAGTTCCCAGTCGATGCGTAAGATTTCCTCGTATCGACAGATGATCCGGGGTGAATGCATCAACGCACAGACTTTCAGCCTCACAGGCAGGGATTTGAGTAGCACGGATTGAAAGGAGCAATCCGTGAGCTCCGTGAGGGGTCGCTCCGGTGGAAGTTCTTCGCTCGTTTCCTGGATATCGCTATCGTTAATGTTGAGCGGAGGCGCAGTATCGTAGTCCGACTCGTTTACTGAAGGCGGCATGCCACGCTCCATGGAAATCTGAAGGTCGAGTTCCACGATGGTGGCCCAGATGCGGCGACGCATTTCCTTGTTGAACATAGAAATCTTGGTATACTTGCTGGGGTCACGATGATACCCGCTCAGCATGGCCTGTTTCACGATAGACCCTATGGACAGCCACGCTTTGCTGCGTTTCATCCCGTGGATGTTGTGAGCAATGATTAAAAGCACATACACGCGCAGCGCAGTGATGTCCGGCCGTTTGATGTGGGTATTCTCAATCCACTTTTCGGCATGCAGCACCCACTCGACTGCAGTGTAACAAGTCAGATGGGCCTCGTTTTTCATCTGCAGTGACTCCGCGTCCGCGAGGTTCCATGCACATGCCAAAATCAGCAGTAACTGCACCACAAAGAGACAAGACACTCGATCGGGCTCGTCCGTCTGGGCCCAAAACTCGTCGAGCTCTCGGAGGAACGAGGGGACATGAAGAATCCGGTGGGTGGATTCAATGTAGGTAAAGTAGAGCATGACGAGCTCGTCAACTACCCGACGAGACGGAAGCATGGCGATCAACGAAGCTGTATTCGGGTCGGGAAAGGGGGTATCCGCGAGGACCTTCTTCCATAGGCCTTTCTTCACCCGGAAGAGATCCGGACGAAGAGCGGACAGATGCGGACTGGTTAGTCTGATATCCTCCGCAAAAGTTCTAATATCAGGAAACTGCATCAGGGTTAGTCATAATTCCCGGGGCATTCTACTCTGGAGGATATGCACCTGGGCGATTAGATTGGCAAACATGCCAGATCCGTTGTAGCGAGTCTTGGTCTGTCGTCCGCGCATCAGAAACCGCGGGGCCATATCCAACTGCTGAGAGGGCGACACCGGTTCTTCCTCATCGCTGGAGGAATGAGCCGAATCCTCACGGCGGGGATGGTACGAATGGTGTTGATGATGATGGGCCGGACGCTGTAACACCTCCCGGTTCACATAGGGTTCTTGATCCACCGCAGCTTTGGGGGCTCCCAGGACGGTTTCCAAGAAATGATCTCGCTTCTCTTCAACCGGACGCACCCCTTTGGCGGCATGTTGAGGCCGAGTCGGCAAACTGCTTATCGCCGAGTCTGGGGTAGGATGCGACCGATCAACCGGCGGTAATTGCACGACGCCGGTGGAACCTCGGTCGGAGAAGGCGGGCGAAACCACCGTATTGGGTTGTTGCCATAGGAAGCCATCTTCATAGGTACATTTGGAGGGCGTTTTGCTCTTTTGACATCGACCGCAGACGGGATACTCACGATCACAGCGGAGTTTCCGACTGCGACATTGGGTGCACGCCACCGTCCGACGGCGTCTCTTCCGTACCCGGGGCTGTTCCTGCTGACGGGGGGAACCAGACACCGGAAGAGGATCGGGCTGGACGTCGGTCATGATGGGGAGGGAGGGAGAGATTGAGGGGACAGGATCAGCTGAAGAACGACGGAGGAGTACTCTGTATGTAAGAGGAGAACATGATCATGTCATCGCAGACTAGTCGTAGTAGTTCTTTACCCTAGGCAGCTCCGTAGTCGAACTCTTTCTATGCCGTCTGGTTCGACATGAACCATCGGACTATGCAGGATTAGCTAAGACATCGCTTACGTGTTACGGCCCCACCCCGGCGGTAACTACCGGATGGGGACTAGCGGCCTCGGGAAGTGTCCGTGCTGAGTCATTGCGAGGCTTAACCCGATTAAGCATCCTTCTGTGTCTCTTTCTTCCCCAGCGTCAACACATTCGGATTCACGGTGATGGATTATATTCCGTTGTTGGCTTCCTCTGCCGAGGATCTACCTATTGGAATCAGACTCTCTGTTACACAATGTTCCTCTACCCAATCGCTTCCCCACCCGGTCATGCTGACGTCCGGATCTCGGGGATAACTTCCTCGGTGTACTCGGTGTATTCCCATCCCAGCATCTCCGAAAAAGACTACGACATATATACCCTGGGCCTATACGGAGTACAGCGCCCTTTAGGCACCCTCGATAATCTCTGTCGTATATATTTGCCTCTTTTCTTGGTCCCCAAAATCAAGGGTCTCTTTCCTACCCGCTAGACCCATTGATCGTCCAGTCGGGTGTCCACCATGCTCCGGTCTCTCCTCTGGCGCCAGTCCACCACGGACTATCTCTTCCCCACCGTTGACCCTGGCCAAGACGGTCCCGACTGCAAGTCTGACTGCGCCGACTGCACCGTGCATTTCCCGTCCAAAGTCAAGATCGAAACCTCCCGGCCACTGTACGGACATATCAAGCAATTTAGCACGCATGTGCTCGTCGCGACGGGTCGGTCAGATTGGACCGAAAAGGTCGAGCAAGAGAAAGGCAGCCTAATGGAGGCCTTTGACAGCTCGTCTGCCAAGTCTAAACAAGGGGTCTGTGACCTTTTCCCCTGCGTCGTAACTACTAGTTAAATGTCCTTGGCTGACTAGGCATCAAATACCACAGCGGCTCATGGTCTCCGCTTCGAACCTTAACCCCCCTGAGAGTGACTCGGAAAAGCAAACCGGAACCACGGTCCTGCTCTTACCGTCTTTTACCTTTGTTGATGGAGTCAGCCCGGGCGACGTCCGGGAACTCATCGACTGTTTCATAGACGCCCCGACGGACCAGCCCGCCACGTCGCGACTGACGTCCCGGCCTTGCGAATATGACTATGTGATACTGCTATGCTCCCACAAACGACGCGATGCACGCTGTGGAATTACGGCTCCGTTAATCAAGAAAGAATTAGAGCGACACCTCCGACCTCGGGGTCTGTACCGCGACACTGACGACGAGCGTCCTGGTGGAGCCGGGATCTTCTATGTCTCACATGTCGGGGGCCACAAGTTTGCCGCTAACGTTCTTGTCTACCGGCGGAAAGAACAGCAGATGATTTGGTTGGCGCGAGTGAAGCCCGAGCACTGCCAGGGACTGGTCGAGTACACTTTGCTTCAGGGCAAGGTAGTGCACCCGGAGACCCAGTTACGGGGCGGATTTGACCGACTACGCGGGCTGACGAGTTGGTGATGGGAGGGTCGAGGACGATAAGATGATCTTGTGATGGTCGTTCCATTATGCAAGTTCTTCGATTGTCTGATACAGATCTTCTGGTCTGATAGATAAACAGGCAGAGCAATGGGTTGAAGTTCTTATTATTAACGTCGAAAGGTGATCTCGAAAAGTGGTGATTGGTGTGATATAGAAGGTTGCTAGAGGAGCATCAGAATAATGTGAGAGAGCTACTAGGTAGCTAAGGACTAATTTGTCGAGTCGCCCAAATACACACAGCGTCCTGCTTCGGAGGTGGTGTAACGAATACCTGACGAATAAAATGACGCTCAATTGCTATCTAGCCAAGTCATTATCCTCTTCCTTGTCCATATTTTCACATTCCAACCTTGTACCCTTAACCACTTTCTTCGTACTCTGCAAGTACTCGATCACAGTCAGGCAGGCTTTATGGATCCAAAGGACCTGCGAGCCGTGCAACAACATCTGGCGCACTTGACGATGCCAACTTCCGAACCTTGAGGTCATTGCAGAGACCTTCGAAAGGGTATATTATCGATACGGCCAGATTTTCATCAAAAGAAACCTGTGGCAGTACGACAATTATCCCCATATTATCATCGTGGATACTAGTTACAAGCCAGGATTAAACAATTGTGATGAGGATAGCACATTGGCCCTTGTAAGTTGTTCTAATCCTACCGCGCGGGTGACGTAGCGTGTCACCGACCGCGTTAATTGATTTTCGCGCACGCGACGGCCCCGACCCCTACCCGATCCTTCATCCAGCATATACTCCATCCCTTCAAATACACCATATTTCCTCCGCTTGCATACCGTCAACATGAAATAATGGCAGACACTCAGTCCCAGGAGATCCCCTCACAGTCCGCCACCCTACGCGCCGAGCTCAAAGAGTGGGAGAGAGCCTTCGCCGCCGCAAATGGAGGCCGCAAAGCCGAACGCAGTGATATCAAGAAGGTGCCTGAGATAGGTATGCCCTCATTGCACGTATCCTAAGAGACCAAACCACTAAAATCCCACCTCTATCAGCCGCAAAATACAAAGAGTACTCCCGACTCAAGTCCCTCGAAACACAACGCGAGAAAAAAACCCATTCCAAATCCGTGGACCTAGAAGAACGCCCCAAAAAACGCAAGCACGCATCGTCCGATGGCCCAGATACCACAAATCCTCTAACCACCCCCCGCAAATCCGCCAAGAACATCTTCGCGACTCCCTCCAAGGCCAAGGGAGCCGAAACACACCCCGCCCAAGTCGACCCCTACGATTCCCCGTCGGCCCTCCGCCGCCTGTTCAGTCCGTCCACCCACCAGCAGACCTCTTCTCCGCTCAAAGCCGCCATCGGGCCCACGCCCCAGCGGGACGGCAAGGCATTAGGTCTGTTCGATCTCCTGTCCGAGTCCGGGGGCAGCACCGCGACACCCTCGGCGCACCGACTGGCGACGGTGCGCGGCGCCGCGGCGCAGACCCCGTCCAAACGACGGGCAACCATGGATACCATCGCGGAGGAGGACGAGGAGGAAGATGAAGACCAAGACAGCCCGCGGTTGGAACGGACGCCGCTGTCGTCGGGCAAGAAGTTCATGCTCTCGACGCTCTTCGCGACGCCGACAACCTGGCGCTTTGCGACTATGATGGAGAAAGAGAACGGCGCGGCTAGCGCGGAGGGCGACGAGCCAGCCCACGTGGATGCAGCCCCCCCGGAACCTATCGAGTCCGAAACCCCGTCATTCCTTCGTCGGTCCAACTCGGGGCGATACGGTACCGGTGCGCCGAACGGGAATGCGGGTGGATTGAGTCCCATAGCTGTGCGGAAGCCGCCCCAGTTTGTCGGGAAGGGCTTGTCAGCATTGGTGCAGGGGCTGCGTGATATGGAGGAGGAGCGTATGGAGGATGACATGGACGTGTTGCGCGAGATTGAGGCCGAGCAAGCAGCCATGAATGTCGAGGTGACTGATAGTCAGGCTCAGGAGAGTAATGCCGGCCCGGTCTTCAAGAAGAAGGGCCAGAAACGGACTACGCGGAGAGTGCGCATGAAGCCTGTTGTCACCAAGTCCAAGCCCGAGCCTCAGATGGCAGAATCAGATGAGGAGACCGAAAACGACGCTGCCAATGAGAGCGGCGATGAGCTTGCTGCCGTGCCGGAGACACAGCATGCAAATGCCTCGAACGTCCACGACTCCGATGACGCGGCATCACTGCATACCATGTCGGAACCTGACCTCGACTCTGACGCCGATTACGAAGAGCCATCGCGACCGTTTGCGCGAAGTAAGAGCTTCACAGAAAAGATGAAGGAGGCCATCGGGGTCAACAAACTTCCCTCGAAGAACCCTCCGGAGAAGCCCTCTCAGCCTCAAGTTAAAGAAACGGAGAAGAAACAACCTCGCCTGCGAAAGGTCAATCCCGAAGCTCATGCCAACTACCGCTCTCTCAAGATCCGGAATAGGGGCAGCAAAGGCCGAGGCGCTGGGCGTTTTCGCCGACGTTGAATTTGCATTGGCTAGAAATTTACGAGAGACGACTTCGTTATACGCATCCCTGAAGATACCATACATAGTCTGCATATATTAGTCTATATATTATAAATACTGGAAATTGCGCAAAGCCGAGCATTGTACGAATGAGACGATCAAAATGCGTCATCAGTCGGGGACATATCGGTCCCGGGCATACTGCAGCCTTCTCGTCTGTGCAGCGGCATCCCTCGATCTTCGACGGTAAGGCCGCCGATGATAAGGCGGCTTCGACACGCCTCCCCGAGAAGCTCGGCCGTCACCTCGGTACACTGGCGTCGCGGTCGAGTCGCGGGATCCCGACATTGGGGTAATCTGCGATGGGGTGTCCTCGTATTGCACATGGCGATCCCAGTCTTCTAAAGACGTATAGGGACTGCGAAGCCAGGCTTGCAGCTCATGTAGGAACAAGCGAGCATTCTCTCTTCCGATAAAGTCTCGCAGAAGTTCTTCGGCCTGGCCCGCGCTTCCTTTGATGTCCACGGTGCGTAGGATGGCGATGATGTATTCCAGAAGAAACTCCGCATTATTCCCACGACGATTGTCGAGCCTCTGTTGTCCCGCACGAGGCACCCGTCCCGTCTCTGTTTCTGTGTCGGGATTCAGAAACGCAAACACCCTCAACTCGCGCCGGATCCACTTCCTGGCCCGTGAAACCAGCTCTTCCTCTCGGTTGAATCGCTCAGGCGTGAGCTCCTGATATTGCGACAGACGATTAGACCCTACTCTTAGTGAGTAGAGCTGGCGTCGGTAGACCTCCTCTCGACGTAGTAGCGCATCATCGGGCGACGGTCGGTCTCGCGGGAAGTCGGGGCGGCGGCGACGGGGTAGTCCACGGCGGAACCCAGGACCTGGTCGACGGTCGGACGTCGCAGAGGATGGTACGTTTTCTGATGGAGACGGAAGGGCAGGAAGTTGGTAGATCTTGATGCCATTCGGGCTATCGAGGTCGTACTTCACAGAGGTGATGTCGCTCTTACCTGCGCGGCGAGGTTAGTCTCAACTGACCGCTGGACAGCATCCGGATCACCTACACAGAGGACAGCTGCGTCGCTGTTCCAGCCAGCTCAACAGACACAGGAAATCAAAGTTCGCATGGCGACAAGGGACCGCGATGGCGGTTTCTGAGACCGGCTCCAGGCAGATGACGCATGGATTAGCCACCTCGTCATTCGACTGGTCGTGCGCTACCTCCTGCAGAGTGCGTTGCAGAATTTCTTGCTGCAGGTCGACATCGTCCGACATCAGACTGGGGCCAGACCACCGAATCAACTCATCCGATGATCGTTGGGTGTTGTCGCAGAGGTGTTGTCGTGGTGGTGGGAGGAGCGTTGGCGGGCGTGGGCAAAGTCACGTTCGCCTCCGCAAAAACTCCGCGGCGCATCTTCCACGTCTCCTCCCTCCACCTTCTCCGACACCACCACTTCACGGCCTCCTTGCTTGATCCGAGGTTCCTGACATTGCGGATTGGAAGAGATGCACTAGATGGTCGCCAGAGTCCCGTCACCCCGATCACTATGAAGTCTGCAAAGGCCGTCGTTGCGGAGCATCCGTACTATTCGCGCCTTGATTCCGCCATGTCGCGTGGGCTTGCAAACGACAACTCGCTGCGTTCCCCTTCTCGGACGATCACCGGCATGAAACGCTGGTCGATTATCAACAAGGATTTGCCTCGTGCGTGGTCCACTCCCCGCGTTGTCTCGGTCCGCCGTTTGCTGTACTAACTGCTTGAAGCCGTGTCGCAGATCAAAGCCGTCCACGTTTACGACTTTGACAACACCTGTAAGGACCCGATCCGATGCAGGCCGCCATTTCCGCGATCCTCGGAGCTAATACCGCGCAGTGTTTCTCAGTCCCCTCCCAAACCCCCAGTTATGGAACGGTCCGACGATCGGGTTCCTGCAGTCCTATGAGGGATTTGCCAACGGCGGATGGTGGCATGATCCTCGTCTGTTGGAGGCCACCGGAGAAGGCATTCAGAAGGAAGAAGCGCGTGCGTGGAAAGGCTGGTGGAACGAACATATTGTGCGATTGGAGTGCCCTTCCTGGGGAATGTCTGTTCTGACCTGTCACAGGTGCAACTCGTCGAACTGAGCATGAAGCAGAAAGACGCCTTGACGGTGCTTCTGACCGGCCGGAGTGAAAGTGGCTTCTCGGAGCTTGTCAGACGCATTGTGGACAGCAGGAAACTCGACTTTGACCTGATATGTCTCAAGCCGGAAGTCGGTCCCAACAGTGAACGCTTTGCCTCGACCATGGAATTCAAGCAAGCTTTCCTGGAAGATTTAATATTCACGTATGAGCAGGCTGATGAGGTTCGGATTTACGAGGACCGCCCGAAGCAGTGAGTTGATCCCTTCGCATCCCCGCCCACAATGCCGAATCACTGTCTAACTTCTACAGTGTGAAGCATTTCCGGGATTTCTTCGACCAGCTGAACCGCCGGATCCAGACGACACACAATCCTGTTTCCCGGAAACCGCTCAACTCCGACGTGGTTCAAGTAGTCGAAGGGTCTATGTACCTTTCTCCCGTAATCGAGGCCGCTGAAGTGCAGCGGATGATCAACTCTCATAACATTGCCATCCGCACTCCCGCCTTGAACACAACAAAGTCGCCGTACGGTCGACTGCGGATCAAGCGCACGATCTTCTACACTGGCTATCTCATCTCCAGCGCGGACTCCAACCGCTTGATCAGTCAATTGCTGAACCCCATGCTGCCCGCGGGGCTTGCTGAATCTAATGAGCTGAAGTACATGGCTAACAATATACTAATCACTCCTCGACCAGCCCCGCGATCGATCCTCCACAAGGTCGGCGGGATCGGGAAAAAGCTAAACTGGCAGGTGACGGGACTTGGAGTGTATGAGAACAAGATCTGGGCGGCGCGGATGGCCCCCGTTCCCGCGACAGAGAAGTATTTCACGGAGAATCCAGAGCCGGTGGTAGTCCTAGCGGTCCGGCGAGGCGCGCGTCCCATTGACGTCGGCAAGATCCAGAGCTGGCATCCGGTCTCTGCCGACCAGGCACTGACGCTGGAGACGGTCGTCGGCGAGAAGGTGGTCTTGCGCGTGGAAGAAGAGAACCCCAACGAGGGCGAATGGGAGAGTCAGTTTTTGAACAAGAACAACAAGCGACGTCACCAGCAGGAGCGGGACGAAGATATCCTGTACCCGCAATCGGGCTACGGAGGCTATGAGGCGCCCAACTCGGGAAGACCTCATTATAACTCGCGTCACGGAGGCAACCGCCACAACTACGCCGACGACAGCCCCCGACGCGGCGGATCGTACCGTGGTCGTGGTCGTGGATTTGGACCCCGAGGACGAGGACACGCGAACCGCGGAGGGCGTGGTCGAGGCCGAGGGCGTGATGCTGGACCTCCGCCTGGGTATAAATCGCTAGACGATTACGGTGGATATGACGGCAGTCAGGATGAGAAGCCTGGGGGAGGTAACGGGAGTGCGCCCGTGATGAACTATTAGATTGATTGATTGCCTCCTTTCTCTTTACCCAAAGCAGTCCCTAGGAGTACATACTTTATACAAATGCATCATGTGTATGTTCTCCAGGAGTATCAATCCGTGTGATGTCTATACCTGTAGAGTGACAAACAACTCTTCAACATTCTACATGATACCCTGAAGATCAGCAGCAGAAGCAACGGGCGCTAAGATTAGCGTGATACAGACCCTGGAGGGCCCCTATTTTGGTGTCTTCTTTGGGTATTGATGGACGAGATCATCCTGGGGGATCGCCATACCCATTATAAGTATAAGTATCTCTGGTACTCTGATACATAGATGAAGTCAACAGTAACACCACTCTGCCCGGCTAAATCGGCAACTGAGACAACAAAGCCAATCGCTTGGGTTGCCTCAATCCTTCTCGCTAGTTTCAATTCTTTCGACTTACGTGGCTTGGCAGCAGCCATTACACCTTGGACAAACACCGCTAGACGACGCCGTCATAAATAACCAGGAATGTCCCCCCGGAATGCTTCCAGAATCTGTGCCCCGCCAGTCGACGCAGGGAATTCACCACGCGGTCGCAAGGGATGATTGATCGCCGACAGAAGGACAAACGGGGACTTGCGATTCAACACCAGCCATGACCTGACCGAGCTTCCAACACGACTTAGGATGGTCTCTCTTCTCCTTCTGGGCGCTCTCCTCCCTCTAGTCCTGGGATGGGGTCCGTCCAGCCAGCACCGCTTGTCAGTCGCCAGCGACCACAGGCCCCCCAGCAATGAAAGGACCTCGCTGACCTTTCTGTACCAAAACAACCTGAACGCGTCCGACGATGCATACCACGTCGGCGCCATCCTGCTGGATCCCATGGGACAGCATGATCTCCGCGACGCCTGCGCAGAGCTCGGAGAATCCATGATCACGAACCAGACCATCGAGGACCACAAGGATGATTTCAGACACCTGTTCGCCTATCTGGCGCACTCAGGGAGAGCCAGTGCCGTCAGCAACTATTACATTCGAGACGGCGTCGTATCCATCACCCAGGACGCCGAAAACTTCGACTTCCTGCCATTCCCCCGGCGCAACTTCAAGCTCCCGGTCTTGTGCACCCAGACCAGCACGGGAAACACGTCTCTCGACGCAGCGAGAACCAGTCTAGGCTCGAAAGATGTGCGCGTCTCCGCCGCGGGCAACATGTACATCGGGTTTCGCGACCACAAATCCTTCCGGTTCCTGGGCATTCCCTATGCGGACCGCCCGATGCGCTTCATGTATTCGACCATATACTCGCGCAAGTCCGAAACCATCCGCACGACCGACTATGGCCCGAACTGTGCTCAGCCCGGGGGTGGTAGCGAAGACTGCCTCTTCTTGAACATCCAGACGCCCTATCTGCCTAAAAAGGGCTCCACGGACAACCTCAAGCCCGTCCTGTTCTGGATCCACGGCGGCGGCTTCACCAGCGGCACGGGCGCAGACCCCCTCACGGATGGGGGCAATCTCGCCTCGCGCGAGGACATTGTGGTGGTCACCTTCAACTACCGGCTCTCGACGTTGGGATTCCTGGCCATCCCCGACACGCATATTCGGGGGAATTTCGGGCTCGGCGATCAGGTCGTCGCTCTCGAGGTATTCACATCTGTTTGATCTAAAGGAAGTACAGTATAGCTAACAGTCGCAGTGGACGAGGCAGAACATTGCTCATTTCGGAGGTGATCCCAACCGAATCAGTATTATGGGCGAATCCGCAGGCGCCGCATCGGTGCGAGCCCTCCTGGGCTCTCCCCCAGCAGCAGACATGTTCCATGGCGCAGTTGCAATGTCAGCGATGGGCGGCGGTGCGCGACTCGGACTGTCGGGCGACGCGATTACATATAGCTCGTACCGGACGATTCGCGAGTCCTATGCCAGTGAGGGTCAGCGGGTATTCCCCGCCGCTGGCTGCGATAGAGGCGATCTGGAGGAGCAAGTGACCTGTCTGGAGCGCCTCCCTGCATCCACCTTGGTGGGCCTGGACACCGTCGCGCGGCATATCGTCCAAGACGGACACTACGTGACAGGCCGGGAAATCGACCTTGTCCAGAACACGCGCGAGTCCTCCATCCCGGTCATGTTTGGCATCACCGCGGACGACGGCGCGCCGATGGTCAAGTACCCCGAACAACCCGTCAACAACCTCCGCGAAGGCATCCAGATCGGCCTGGGGATCGACGCAAGCCACGCCCAGCGCATCCTCGATTCCGGCCTCTTCCCCTCCACAGACAGCGGCAACATTACCCTCGACGCCTTCGACATCGCCCAGCGCGTCGCAACGGACCTCTACTTCCGCTGCGTGACCCAAGCCGCCGCATTCGCCGGCGCCGCCTCGGGCGTCTTCCAATCATCATACTTCTACCAGATCGAAACCACCACCGCCGACTACTACCCCGACCACCACGGCGCACACGCCGCAACCCCGGAATCCCCGCACGGCGACACAGACCTGCCCTACTTCCGCCTTCACGGCTCCGTCCTCCCCTGGGTTTTTGGGACCCTGCAGCCGCTGCGTGACGGCATGGACCTGGACACGGTCCAGCTGCTGACGGCGTACTTCGCCGAGTTCGCTCGGTCCGGCCAGCCCAACCCGCCGGCCGAGTATCTCGAGGCGCGCGGATACCAGAGCACGCTGGAGGCGGTGCGGTTGTTTGATCGGTGGGAGCCGGTGGCTCACTCCGAGGGGCCTATCCAGCTGCTGGGGTATCCGAGTTTTAGCGGGCCGTTCCAGGATGTAGGGCAGTGTGAGTTTTTGGAGTATCCGATTACGTATTATTTTCATTGACATACTTTATCTGTGAATATTGAATATGAGTTGTATGGATAGATAGTTCTGTGAAGAACGATCAACATATCACCAATTACAGCTCCTCTACCAGAGTCGCCTGTTTCACGGGAACGGGAATATCCCGCCGGAGGCGCAGCCGGGTGCTTCGCCTGCCCCTCTCGCTGTTCTGGTTCGGCTGGACGGGCAACTTGGCCAGCGTGCTTTGAATCGTGCCCGTTATCGCCTCCATGTTCTTCGCTGTCGGCGGCTGTCTCATCTTCAACTGCATCTTCTGCTACCAGGCCCATGCCTACCCCAAGTATGCTGCCTCGGTGCTGGCCGGAAACGATTTCATGAGATCGTCGTTCGGTGCCGGGTTCCCGTTGTTTGCGACGGCTATGTTTCATAACTTGGGGGTTGGCTGGGCGTGTACTCTTCTGGGGTGCCTGACCGTGCTCTTTGTGCCGTATCCGTTTGCGTTGTTGAAGTATGGGAAGATTCGACTGGCGAGCAAATACGCCCGGCACGACATTTAGTCCTGTCTGGGTCACAGGCGAATACAACATTGCATTGTCTGTTTAGCAGAATTGATTTGTATGTTTCAATCTATATGTGCTAAAGCAATCCGCATCACTGAGAATCACTCGAGTAAAGTATAGCCCAACCGACTCTCGCCAGACAACAAAACCATCTTTTATACAGAAAATGGCAAGATCCAAGCAAAACCGAATGTACAGGTGCAATAACCAAGTCCAAATCATCCGTAATGAACGGCCATCAGCCGTAGCCATTATCATAAATCCCAGCCCAATCGTCGTATTATTCGTGTGCCATTCATGTCCATGCCGTCCAAATCGCGTAAATCCATAAAAACAAAACGTAAAACATATATCCTGTCCACCATCGCTACCTCATTCGCCGTCGGTCAATTGTTGGAATAGCCTAATGCTGAGGATCATCACTAGCAATCCAATGGTCACGACGACCATGAGACCGAACCCGAACCAGCCGAGGACCATGGCAGAGGTGCCGACGCCACTCTTTACGCTGCCGTTCCCTAGATCTTGGGCGACAGTACTGGCGGCGACCGATGCCGTATGCTGCCATAAAACCGACACCAGCACGAATACTGACGCCACAAAGATCAGGGCTAAGGCAGCCTGGGAGACAGGACGGGAAGGAATCGGCATCACTTCACGCTCCGAGCCACTGGAGTCGATCTCCTCATGCCATCCCGGGAAGGTAGCGAGGATGATAAAGCAGAAAAAGGCGAGGATGACCGCAATGATCCTAAACAAGGGTTAGTAAAATCCGCCAGCCAGAGACACGAGGATCAAACATACAGCAGGTACGGGAACACAACGGCGTCCTTGAAGGTCGACGCAACCCAGATCAGGTTCAACGGGTCTTGATCGACCGTGACAATCTCCGCCAATGCTGTTGCATTGGAATTGCAAATGTATGCGCCTCCCTCGGGCTGCACACAAATACCAAAATACCCCACGCGCACTTCCATCTCTGCTCCTCCGACGATATTCGCAGTGGCCGTCACCACCCCTGGGTCTACCTGGGCGAGGTTGAAGACTGGATTGTAGCGCTCATAGTACATGGAGATCAGGAAGATGCTTGGTATTTGCGGGGAGGAGGACGAGCAGCCCGCCAATAGTAGAGCTGGGTTGGTTAGTCGCATTCCAGGGCCCTGAGCAAAGATCGCTTACAGAGAAGAATGATTGCAACTGCAATGATAATCATGAGAACGTGATGGTACCCGATCATCGGTATGAACCCTAGATTAAGATATCGTCAGCATCTAAGTGTATGCGGGCCTCGCTGAGACAAGAGTACGTACGGGCCAGCCCTGACATAAAAGCGTTCGCCATTTTGGCTAATCTTTCGAGACCTGTTCTTTCCTTCCTTCACCGTCGGTGACTCGCTTCTCGGGACCCCGAGAAGGAGTACTGCGCGCTTGAGCGGAGGTCACGATTCCGTATCGTTCAGCCTATCCAAAGCTTGAGATTCGTATGGGGTCTCGAGCGATGTGAAGTCGCTGCTGCCAAACGAGGATCCAGACGGATGGAATGTGGATAAGCTGTCGAGTCGCTGGTATGCGGATGGATGGGTTGGGAGCCGACAGGGAATGTATTGCAAAGAATGTACCGTCGGACGTCAAGACCACGACCTGAACAATGGAGACAATCGTCAGATAAGGCGGATTGCAAACTGCGTCATGCAAAAGCCCGAGATGGGGCTGGGCTCAGAAACAATGATGGATACAGGGTAGATATGGGTATGCGAAGACAGGAAGGGAGAGAAGGGAAAGGGACAGAGAGGGGGGGGAGGGATCGTAGCTGGAGAAAGGTCGTCACCGTTGGGCCACAATGGAGCGAGAGAATCCTGCCTCCGAATTCGCGGACGGGACAGATAGTCTGGTGGCTGGAGTGAAGGTATTCCAGAGTATGGAGTACTTGATGGAATTCGAGAGGCTGGGCCATTCCCGGTAGCTTGTTTACCCACCCACCATTTCCTAGGTAACCGCCCGCTGACCGCCTGCTCCCCTCGGCCAACACCGCCCCGCCGGTCCCGCTGCTGCCCGATCTGGCCTAGCGCGATCTCCAGGGACCACAGACCCACGTGACCCTCTCCCTAAATAAGAAACAATGCAATGCAATGCATGATAGGTACAATAGTCATGGATGATGCTCTATTAGTTTTCCAATATAGATACTAGGCTCAAGACAATGCAACCGGCTCATGCAATATGAGTCCAGAACTCCATACCTCCCAACATCACCAAACCACCGCGATAAATGTGCCAAAACTAAAGATCATACGCCAACAACAATGCTGATACTGTTACTTCCCAAAAGCAAACCGCTGCAGATCCAGTGCAGCAGGCCTAGGCTGTGCTCCAACTTCTTCTCCAGTATCCTCATCGTCACTCGCGGGAACTATCATGTCCTCACTTCCCTGCGAGGTGAGACGTTCCATCCCAGACGGTCGGGTCGTCGGGATGTTGACGGCTTTGGACGTGCTGACCGCTCCCAAAGCAGATCGGGGAGAAGGTGCCAGAGCGTTGAAAGAGCGCGATCGTGCCAAGGCATTTTGTCCCAACCGTTGTAATGGCGTAAGCCGTTGTCGCCGAGGACTTCGTGACGGCCCAATTGTTGCCGACGCCGTTACATTCTTGTATTTAGGGCACGCCGATGGTCCAGGCGCCATGCCACTCTCCGGTTGGGACGCAGACGCACCATCGGACCCCTTGAACACGTATTTGGACAGCAGCGAAGAATTTTGTCTTGCAATATGATGGTCAAGCACTTGGTGAAAAGCCTCTGGGTTTGTGTCCAGACTCACAGAGGTCTCTACACCAGCCGCCCCAGAGAGGACTGTGGTGTCACCAGGGCTCTTATCGGAGTTTTCCTCTGAAGTCTGTACATACCCCGAAGAAGGCGCGGAAGATGGCTCTGCCGGCGAACCCTGATCCTTAGCTTCGTTTGGCAGAGATGTTGGCGAACTTGAATCACCCTCGTCCTGCGAAGGATCGGGAAGTTGTGTCATAATATCCTCGGCAATCTCGTCCGAGAAGACATCCAATTTAGATTTGCGCACCTTCTTATTGCGGCTGACTTTGAGCCCACTCGGGCTAGAGTCCTCCATTCCAGCACCGAAGAACCGACTGCGACTTTCTCCGCGGCCAGGAGTCGCTTCGTCCGTCTCGGAGCAAAGGCGTTGCCGCTTGGTCGTTTGGAGGGAAGGAATCCGGGTGTTGTGAGCTAAGAGCGAACTCCGTTCGGCACTCCGCACGACGGGACCAGAAAGCCGGTTCATCGGTCCGCTCGGTGGAGCAGATCGGACCACTCCCACTTGGGACTCCACCGGGCTGCTCTCCCACGAATTATTCGCATATCGCTGCAAGAGTCGCTGCTGGCTGGGGGAGGGAGTGAGGGTGTTTGGATCCAACTCGGCCAGGGGGACCCGCTTCGGTGTGAAAAAGGAGCTGATAGGCTTGTTCGGCTTCAGGTCCGCAGATGAGCCCAGAGTTTGTCGGCGATTGATGGTGATTCCCGAATTCCGCACTGCCAACGGCTTCACAGTCAAAGGCTCTTTTGTCGTCGGATCCAGGTCACCCCGTGCCACCCCTGCAGCGGTCTCGGGGTCTACATCACCGCCAATGAACGGAAGCTCCTCCAACTGGACATCGCTATCTGGCGGGGTCAGAGTAACCAGTCGGTTGCCTGTCGGGCAAAACACTCGTTGATAGAGGAAGGTGAGCTCTGCCTGCTTGAAGTTCTCCAGGTAATCGGCTGGGACATTGTACTGGCCCTCGAATTGAAGCATGCGCAAGGCTCTCTCCACGTTCTTGTATTTGCGAATACTTCGATACGCCGTCTTCAATCCTAGCCGCGGAATGTTGGGTAGATAATCGCAACCGCTGAGGATACACATACGTCGGAAATCGGCATCGGTCCAGCCAATAAGACTCACATCACGACAGGCCGCGAAGTCGGCACGGTTGATCTCGATGCAGTCGCCATGTTGGTCCAGTTTAGAGAGTAACCTGCGGGCACCGAAGACGAGGAGATCAGAGTCTTCCGAGATGATGCCGTGGATAATTCCCTGTCGTTCCAGATAAACCAGCTGCGCGTCCGCCTCGTAGGGAGCCACCACGTATTGCACGTCCATCTTCTTCAGCTCCTCGATCAGCTGGCGGGCCATCGAAGGAGTGACATCGACAGCTTTCTGGAGTTCCTGGTAGGCCTCGGTAATTCTCCCCTTGCGTTGCAGCTCCAACCCAAGGGCCTTGCTTTGCTGGCGGCGTTGGTGTCGTTCAGCTTCCGTACCGGATTTACTGGGTAGATTGTCGCCATCGAAGACCAGGTACGGTGTCACTCCAAAGTACTGGAGCATGCGAACACGATTGAGGACAAACTCAATATGTCTATTCACTTCATATTAGCCGATCTTCCAAGGAGGTAGCGATTGCGGAATTTCATACTTCGCAGTAGGTCGCTCTAGGACCAGATCCACGGCACAGGCGACAGTGCCGCGATGGAGCCAACCATAAGCATCGACTCCGAGAGTCTGACCACTGAACTTCTTCAGATGGCATGGTTTTTGGATGGATTTGAGAAGACCATGAAGCCCTAACAATGGGGAGTAAGGAACCGTCTCCGTCTGAATACCTGTAATATCGTCACGCCAAACGTACCTTTAATGCCCATGTTGGACACCTCGGAGCAACAGGATCCTTCTCGCGGGGGTTTATGTCGACCGTGAAACGGGCATCAGTTGGAACGGGACAGACGACGAGCCATGGAAAGCGAAGGACTCCAGGACAACACGCTGGAATGTTGACTCGACACGCGCTTTCCTGTTTGGTCGCCGGCACGCGCCAGACAGCTGCCTCATTGGTCGGTCCGTGGCGGTGAGAGAAACGACTACACCGCCTTCTCATTCTGCCGGCCAATGGAAAGAAAAAGTCGGGAACATCGACAGAGACAAGCACATTTCTTCAGCCACCATCTATCCTGCCACCATGCCCAAGTCCCTTCAAAAGGTCCACAAGCATATCGCTAAGAAGCGAGGAGCCGTCGAAGCTCTCCACGAGAACAGCCGTGACGCCAAGCGCCTGCGCAAAGCCAATGCTCGAGATGATCGAGTCGCCCGAGTTGCAGCCAGTTTGTCGCGGGGGAGACAATCCTACAGTCAGTACTTTCCACCACATGGGAGTTCCGAGTCAATGCTGATTATACCTTCCAGTCGACCGCATGGAGTATTTCCAAGAAGTGGTCCCCGAGGGAACTGAACCGCTCTCCGATACGGACCTGAGGGACCTCGTCGTCCGTTATATCAACCGCAGTGTACCCGAAATCGAACAATTACAGAGTGAACGACGGAAAGGCCGACCACCCAGCAAACGGGAGGAAGCTTTGGTGCAGCGGACAGATGCGGAAGATCGGGAGTTCAAGACGGGATTCTGGATGCCCGACTTCTCTTCGCCGGACGTGATCAAGGCGTTGGCTGCGTGGAAAGGCGACTGGTCCGGACTCAGTGCGCTGAAGTATATCCGACTGACCAAGGAAGGTGGAAAACAGCCTTCATTGTTCCCTCCGAAGGGACTGTCATGATTGTGTTTATTTCTCGTCTGCAATTCTTCATGAACGACCAGATTTGGTCTTACGATGGCATTGATGTAAATAGACTCTGTCAATTTGTTAGTGGATAATAAACAAGAAGCCACTAGAAATTCACATCAACTAGAGACAGAGAGAATGTGAGCGAGCGAGTGAGTGAGTGAGTGAGAGTGAGTACGTGGGAATATGCTCAAGGTACTCGGAGTAGATGTTGTAGAGTGGAGTCTTGGCGCGGAACCGCAGTTTCATCATCATCCATCATTTCCTCTTCTTCTCGTTTCTTCCGTCCGCCTCCGTCAACCATTTCTCTTCCACATCTCATCCTCCCTCCATCCTCAACCTTCAATCGCCATCATGCTCTCGCTGCGCACTCTCGCCCGGTCGGTGCCTCGCACCGTCTCCCGTTCCCTCGCCGTCTCCTCTCGTTCGGCCGTTCTGCGACCGGTCTCCTCTGTCCCCAAGTTCTCCTTCAACCAGATCACGAAACCTGCCTGCGCTGCGTTCTCGACCTCCTCTATTTTCCGCCAGGCTGCTGCTGAAGGTAAGTGTCCTTTTTCTGCAGTTATTCATGGATGGTGGAGTTGGTGAAGAAAGATAGCTCTTTCGGGGAAATTTTCCTTTGCGACTCTCCGAGCTTCAACCATCCATCGCAACCACAAATGAACACATAAAGCTGATCTACTTTTCTTTGGTCTCTTTCAGGTGATATTGAGCTCGTTGCGAAGTTGGAGGATGAATTGAAGCATGAGAAGGCTTCCGGTCTGGAAGATCTCGACAGCTCCGTCCAGAACATCCAATATGTTCTCCAGAACAACTCCTGGGAGGTGCGAACATACTCTCCAGCACCATCCCATTGCAAAGCTAAACTGACTCCAATCCAGGTCAAGGACGTCCCTGGCGAGCAGGAGGTCGTGCTCACCAAGAAGTTCGGCAACGAGGAGTAGGTCCCCGTTCCTTCCAACACCAGCGATATACTAACCCCCATTTCTCTCAGGATCCGCCTCACTTTCACCGTTGCCGACCTTCAGAACCTGACCGAGCAGGAGGACTTTGACGATGCCGCCCTCGACGAGATGGATTTCCAGTCCGGTCACCAGCCGGCCAACCAGGGCCGCTCCGGTAACGTGTCCCAGCACCCCGAGGACCGCGTCGCTCCCGCCGATCGCGAGTTGGATGACCTGGACCGCGACCTGGAGCCCAGCTTCCCCGCTCGCGTGAACATCACCATCGAGAAGCCCAGCACCGGCGCCCTTCTGATCCAGACTGTCGCTCAGGACGGTTTGTTCCAGATCGAGGAGGTCTCCTACTTCACCAAGCCCGATCTGGCCTACGCTCAGACTGCCGAGAAGGACTGGGCCCGCCAGAGCCTGTACGCCGGCCCGCCCTTCGAGAACCTCGATGAGGACCTGCAGACTTTCATGGAGCGTTATCTCGAGGAGAGAGGCATTAACGCCGAGCTCGCCAACATGATCCCCGACTACATCCAGGTGAAGGAGCAGAAGGAATACGTTCGCTGGCTCGAGAGTAAGTCGTGGTCTCCCATGCATGTGCGATCCTGTCTAACAAGTATTGCAGATGTCAAGAACTTCATCTCCGCCTAAACGAGGCATATCGGTGTCTTCCATACAAGAAACAAGGTGTATTGGGTAATGTGAAATCTCGGCTCATATTCTAATTTTCCATATCCTGGTCTGCGTTCAACTGGAACTGCTTTCTGGTAATCTTCCATGTATTGTGTTATGTTAGCTTAACATTTGTCCCTGCCAACAACAGGAGGAATGCGCTCTCGGTTGTGAGGCCTCGCCATTGCAAGCGGTGCGCATGTGTATCAATATAGAAATGAATTAAGGATCTGTTTATACCACCATACGGGCAACTCGATCAATACCCACGCGAGCCAATCATCCCTCGGATCATTCTAAATTTATTATAAGCTTGTATGACCATATGCTCCAATATAAAATACTTCGATGTACAAACACAAACGCCTGCTGGTATCCAGCCCTGCGAACTCCGATCCCGCTGAAACATGTCCAAAATTTATCAAGCACATTACCCTGAATAGAAAAATCGATAAGAGATGGAGTGGATATCTACATCCTAAAACTCCATACTTTCTGTCTTCACCTCCGTGGTCTCGTCGTTTCTTTCACGCTTGCCTGTACGTTCCTCCTTAAGGAGTCCTGCGACGAACGAACGGAAATAGTCCACGTAAGGCTTGAGACTGGTCTTTTCATAATCCTGCAGCTTGCGACTTCCTCTGGCGTCCGAATCGTTGGGGGCACTCCCCTCGACCTCAGTTGTCTCCCCACCGGTATTGGGATGATCCGCATCCCAGGCATCAATCTCGGAGAGCAACTGCGTGACAGTGGGAACGGAGAACGGATCAAACTGTTCAGCTTTCCGGGCGTCAATGGGAACACACACCCGACCGGTGCTAGGATGAACGACGAAGGGACTCTTGAGCAAGTGGTTCAGTTTTTTGCTGACTTCCGAGTCCAGCCGGGGATAGGTGTACTCTAGAACAATATCTTGCTTCGCGTCGAGCAGGGTGGAGGTGTTGAGTGTGGTGCTCTTCCCTGATTTCGCGAGAGCATCGATATCGGCCCATTTGCTCGTGCTCGGTCGTTCGGGCGACGACTCCCATTTTTTGCGCAGTGCCTCATTCAGGGTTTTATCGGGGAGAAGCGATAAGAGGCGTTGGGTTTGCTCGGGGCCTGCGAAGGTGTCGAGATCCCCGAGGGTAGTCTGCGCAAAGTAGGGCTTCAGGATATCAAGACTACGGGCCATGTGCGGGTGCAAAGGACGTTTGAGATTCACCCGCTTGCCGCTCTGAGTTCCGCCTCGGATGAGATCCAGATAACCGGCGATGGCTCGCCGACGGTCATCCGGCAGACTGCGTGCGCGGGGGTCACACACCCAAGCGTGGGCACCACGGCGACCTGAGTAGACCCATAGAATATGTTGGAAGCCGAAATCCTCTCGCAAGGCTTTGTCAACCACCTTGATCGCCATCGTGATGAAAACCCAGCATTTTTCACAAATGTTGGCTTTCTCGCAGCAGGTACGGATATCATCGTAATCAGTCAAATCAATATCGAAGACGAGTTCCTTGGATACCGGTTTTAGCTGTCCGCCCCGCAGGGTTTTCCGGTCTCGGGGATTGGTGTTGTAGACTGGACCGATTTCGAAACGAGCAGGGTTCATTCGGAGGATGTCTTTCCGGAATCTTTTCCCCGAGTAATTAGCGACTATTTGGTATGTACTGGGAGTGCGCGCAGGTACACCGCGTGTCGATTCCAGCTACTCACAGGTCTGCAGTGGCGTATGATTGGTATCGGAGATAAGCCTCGTTCTGAAGGGTCAGAGCAAACTCCCGGTTTCCGAAGTCGGGCGAAGGCACAATGCCGTGGTTGAGCCACTGGAATAGATAGCGAAACGGGAAGAGGCGCTGGTAGAACGCGAGCATGGTATCTGTATCTACTTTCGGCGCTGAGGGAGCAGCTGGTCTGAACGGGCGTAGGTCAGTATTCTTGCTTGCGTTTGCGAAAACCCACGGTACACGTACAAGACAGCAGTTTCCATTTTGACTTCCGGGGCACTGGACACGGGGTATTCATCATCATCGTCGTCGTCAAACAGCAGGTCTTCAAGCTTCTCTTTGGAGTTTTCGGGCTCTCCATTGGCGGCGTCCTGGTTTTCCGTGGTCTCTGTGGTGGTCTCCGGGGGAGGGGCATCCGGGAGAGTCTCATCCTCATTCCGAGGAGAGTCACTGGGGGAGATTGAATGCGGCATTATGTGGGAGGACTTTGTTGGGTAGTTGTTATGGAGATCGGAGATATGATTATGATGGTGATGATGATGCTGCTGTATAGAAGGATCCTATTAACGCGTGGTCGACGCGTGCTGGACGCGTCTCGGGGAAGCCCTAAGCCCTCAGCCCCGACTGCTGACAAAGCCACCCCGTGATCGCCGCAAACGGTCGGCCGCTAAACCCGATCCGGGAGGTTGTATAGTAGGTCCCCATCATCGATTCTTCTGCTTCCCTTCTTGTTTCCCCCTCTTGGTGCCTTTCAACATGGACCTGGCGACCTGACTTCTCTGCCACCCTACAGCCGGTCTCCACTGTTTCTCCGCCAGGAACATTTCGGCCTTCTTCGTCGCCGTTTGCGGCACTCTACCCACCATCAAGAACCCCGACCTGGTGGATGACGGCTACATCGACCCTGGCCTGGCCTACCGCATTCTCGATGGAACCTCACGATGGCGACGGTCTACATTGGTCCGTGAGTCATGAAGCGGACAGCGAAAATCCTGACGGGACGGACTGTCCGGGTAATGATTTCGACTTTGCGCAATAGTACGAGTCACAGATCACAGATCAATCTGATTCGCAAAGCCTTGACCTTTCATCCCCTGCACACCAGTTTCTCCAGCGCTGAAGGCTGTCCTTTGGATTGGCTTCGTAAGCGATGAACCGGAGACTATCCGTTCTATTCTTGGGTGTGCCTCTATATCCCCTTTAGCCTCTCTCTGGCTGGCTGAAGCGGACCCTGCAAGGTTGCAGGCACGAGATGACAACACTATCGGAGCTCCCCACATTCCGGAGGAGCTCTTGTCTTCATCTCGACCTTGCCAGATCCCGTCCGTCTGAGATGAGTGGAAGTCACCAGAACCTCGCCCGATGGGTAATTTTAACGGTGAATCCATTGTCGTGTGGGTTCTGAGGGTCCAGCTACTCCAAATCTGATATCAATTCATTTCGGTCTACCTAAAGCAGCGCGGTATCCTTTTTTAGGAACATCCTCTAAGTTGAGGCCCAGCATCCGCCCGCCTAGTCTGGCAATCTATGCCCTACCTACGACTGGCCCAGAGAGGCAGAAAAGTTCAGAAGACGAGCTGTTTCTTTTTTAGGACGCTCTAGTCGAGAATGATGACGCCACTACTGTCGATTTCTTCGTCCAAGTGTCCTGACTCCTGATCTCTTTAAGTTTCTGGTGGATACTGTGGGTTCATCGCCCTAGATGATACAACCAGATGTGACATCCTCACTCTTGATTGAATGCTCGAGTGCTTTTCCCCTATGGCTTGCAACTAGCTCCATCACATCGGTTCCTCTACTATCCACGGTTCACCTGGTTCCTGTTGCACCACTGGGACTAGCCTTCAATATAGATCAATCAATCAGGAGCTTCCTCTCCTCTTGAACCCGAAGTTGGTGGAGTTGTACCCTGGTTGTCGATGGATACTACTGTGCCATTATTGCCACCATCATGGTTACCATCATGAAAACGGTGACTCTTGTGCTCCTCAGTGGGTTATAAGTACCATTATCCCACTCCCCAACCTCCTTCTTCCCTTTCCACAACACGCTTGGTTCATTCGCTGCTTCTTTACCCTACTCTCGTTCAAGTCCAACTTGCCCTTGTTGGTGTTTTAAAGCCTCCTTCATTGCAGTGGGATCATATCATCTTTCGAGATGGTTAGAGGAACTGTTGCCTTCCTGGCCCTGGGCCGGCCCTGTTCTTGGTGGTGCTATCCACAAGGTGAGTTGTTGATATAATCAGCCAAGGGGTGCTGCTCTCCGCTGACGATATCCTCAGAAACCTAGCTCTCAGGCCGTTGTGACTGCCACCGAGCCGGCCGCCGTCATCACGAAGACTACCACCTTTGTGACCACCGACTGCCCGGTGACTTCTTCCACCGTTACTTCCGGAAAGAAGACCATTACAGTCCCCATCACTCTGACCAACACCATCACGGTCACCAGCACCTGGTGTGAGCAGAACGGCAAGACCGTGGTTCCCACTGGCACCGGCACCTCGGTGCCCCCGCCGCCCCCGACGCCTAAGCCGACGGGATTCAACACCACGGTGGTGCCTATCCCGGTCACTACCAACAAGACTGCCACTGAGACCGTGTGCCCGACCTGCATTCACAACTCCACGGTGCCGGCTACCTCGGTGCCCACTGCTCCTTTCCACAACAGCACCGTTCCTGCTCCCCCTGCTACTGCCACTCCTGTTCCCGTGGTTCCTGTGCCTGTTACTCCTGGCCAGCCTTCTGCTCCTAGTGTCCCTGGTACCCCCGCTTCTCCTGTCGCTCCTGGTCAGCCTTCTGCTCCTAGTGTCCCTGGTGTCCCCGCTTCTCCTGGCGCTCCTGGCGCTCCTGGTGCTCCTGGTGCTCCTGGTACCCCCGGTGCTCCTGGTGCTCCTGCCACTCCTGGTGCTCCTGGTGCTTCTGGTGCTCCCGGCGCTCCGGGCGCTCCTGGTGTCCCCGGTGCTCCTGGCGCTTCTGTTGTTCCCGGTGCTCCCGGTGCTCCCGGTGCTCCTGGCGCCCCTGGCGCTTCTGCTGTCCCCGGTGCTCCCGGCGCTGCCGGCACTCCTGCCGCCCCTGCTGCCACTCCTAAGCAGCCTGCTGGCTCTGCCGCTCCTGGTGCCCCCGGTGTCTCTCCTCAGCAGCCCGCTGGCTCTGCCGCTCCTGGTGCCCCTGCTGCCTCTCCCAAGCCCGCTGGCTCTGCCGCCCCTGGCGCTCCTGGTGCCACTGCTCAGCCTTCCGGTGTCTCTCCCGCTCAGCCCTCTGGCTCTCCCAACCAGCCCTTCCTGGGTGCTGCACCGGCTGTCAAGCCCGCTGCTAGCCTCCTGGCTGTTGTCATGGCGGTCATGGCCCTCCTCTGAGTCAATCATCCCGAGGGTAGGCTTACGCACACAGCTACCATGAAGCTGTGAGAAGGCACGACATGTTGAATAAAGTGTAATTTGGAGTTGTGGATTTTTGTTTTTTGGATTTCTTTTTGCTCTGACACCTAAACTCCCAGTCCATACTTCCGGGTTTGGATTGAAAAGCAGCCAATATAGAGTTTGAGGCCTCTGTTTGTCAGATAGTTTGCCTTAATAATTTATAATATACACATAGCATGCTCGATGTTTTTGCCAGTAGATCATATTAGCTCTAGTATCAGCAGGACATTAAGCAAGAATGCTACAGTCACCAGAGTATCCCAAAGAAGTACACTAAGAGCCTGGTGTGTAATCAAAGATGCATGCGAACGATCATGTCTCTATGCACCAGCAAGGTCCTCAGAAGACGCCTCCTATATATTTCTTTACTGCTCATTCACCAGCACATACCGGTACCGAGCCTTGCCCTCGCTCATGTCCACAATCGCCTTGTTGGCCTCCTTCATGGGCACCTCCTCCACCCACGGCGTGACTCCCTTCTGGGCGACCAACTCGAACATCTCGCGGATCTCGGCGGGCGATCCCACCAGCGAGCTCTCCACCTTCAGACGGCGCCTCAGCAGGTGGATGGGCGCCGCGAGCGTCCCATCTTCCGGCAATCCAACCTGGACCAGACTTCCGTTGGTCGCCAGCAGACCCAGGTACTCATCCATCGGCATCTAGGAGAGTCAAAACACAGCCCGGCAGACAGCAGGACAAAAACCTCCCCGCAGGCGCACTCACCTTGGTAGAAGACACGGTGCACACGATCAGATCCAACGACCGGGCATACTTGGTGGCCCAATCGGCCTCATCATCCGTGGCGATGTACACATCCGCGCCCATCTTCAGCGCATCCGCGCTCTTGGCCGCCTTGCGCGAGATCGCAACCACCTTGTCCGCGCCCAGCGCCTTGGCGAAAAGCACGCCGAAATGGCCCAGCCCGCCGACGCCGATGATGCCGACGCGTTTGCCGGGCCCGCAGCCGTTGTGCTTCAGCGGGCTGTACAGCGTGACGCCGCCGCAGAGCATGGGCGCCGCGTGCGCCGACGGGATGCCGTCGGGGATCTTGATCGCAAAGTGCGACGGCACGCGGTGGTACCGCCCGTACCCGCCGTAGCTCTTGTCGCCGTTGAGGTGCGTGTTGTTGTACGTGCCCACGAACTTCTGCGCGCAGTACTGCTCCTCCCCCATCGCGCACTCCGGGCAGTCGCCCAGCCGCCCCAGGCACGAGTCGTTCTGTGCACCCACGCCCACCCGGTCGCCGACCTTGATCCCGCCCTCGGCTTTCGTCCCGACCCGCACGACGACGCCGACGATCTCGTGGCCGACGCAGCAGGGGTAGTTGGTTGGGCGCTGTCGGGTATGTTAGCCAATCGATGCAGACAGGAGGGAGAGGGAGAGGGAGGCTACCCAGCCGCTCCGCAGAGTGTGCAGGTCAGAGCCACAGATCCCACAGTGGGTGATTTTGATATCGATGTCCGTCTCCTCCCATGTCTTGGGCTGGAATTCCTGCCACACCATATTGCCGCCTTGGGGTCCAAGCCCATCCATCCTTCAAATTTGTAGTCGGTTTGCGCCATGTCTTCGGTCTGAGAGTCTTGCGATGAGGAGGACACGGCACAGACTCACAGAGTGGGGGATGTCCACTTTATAGAGAGCTGTCGACTGTCCTCCCCGTGCACCGGATGGGCCGTTTATTCCGTGACCCACATCGTGAAGGCATGGAAAGTATCCGAAGAGAACGGAGTTTGGAGATACGAGACAGCCAGCACTTGAAGAACGGTCTCGGCCTGTAATCAAGGCTATAGGATTGATATACTACCTAGGTAGTAAGGGTGGTTGATGGGGAAACCACGGAGCTATGGCCATCTATCGACAGATGTTGGATGGATAGCATCAAGCAAGCGCATTGGTTATACATGAGTCAGTCACTCTTCAGTGCGCGTTGGTCAGACATGACTCATTCTTCAGTATAAGCCTACGGAGTAGAGAATAATCATAGCTCCTGGTGTCATCAGTCCACATGAAGTCCGTCAGCATGATTATCTGAGTCACCGCTACTTCCATTTTATCTCCTATTTCCGACCATTGCTGCATTCCACTACCAGATACTCTGGATACAACTATTCATAACCAACCGGTAGAAGACATGGAAAGAAAGAAAAGATATAACAGCGCTGTTTAAAGAGGACTGGATATACAAATAAAGGAAATCACAGGCGGAAAGCAAACATCACACGAATGAGCAGATGAGAACCAAGATATTCTATGTAGGATGCAGAAATCATCATCTTTTAACCCCTTCCCTTGCCAGCTTTTAGTTCTCCATGATCCGGTCATGTTGCACTGCCTAAAACAAGGACAAAATATCCTCATTGGTTTTCTTCGGCTGACTCCCTCCAGGTGGTGGCGACGTGGTATTATTGCCCGACAGATCGAGTCCAGCAAACCCATTCATGAGGTCGGCACCAGCACCGCCGTTGGGAGTAGCACTGCTGGCCGCCGCACCCCCTGCGCTTCCGCCGTCGCCAAACACCCCGAGAAGATCGTCCAGGTTATTGCTGCCGGCCGGAGCCCCCGCCGCAGGAGACTCGACCCGGACGGGCGTGCCGGCAAGACCCTCGAGGCCAGACATGCCTCCGCCGGGCTCCTTATGCGCCGAGGCCGGTGCCGTGCCATCAAAGTCGATATCCAGCAGGTTCTCCACATTGTTCTGGGTCTGTGGAGGCGGCGTCTTACCCGTAACTGCCGCGGCAGCGGCGGCAGCAGCCAGTGGGTTCTCTCGTGCATTTTGAATTTGTTCCCTGTCATCATATTAGCATCAATTCCACTCGAACCAGACAAGGGGTGACGAACTCGATGGCGGCTCTTTGCACGGCATCCGCACCGAATCGGCCTTGGCCGACAAACTGCTCCGGTGGCTTGTGGTAGACCGATGCGAGCGTGGAAAGCTCGGCGAGCAGTTGTTCGAGAAGCGCGGGAGGCAGAGAGTGGATCGTGGTCACAATGGGAGGCTTCTCAGATAGCACAATGTTCTTGGTAGCCCCCGGATCGCTAGTGTTGGAGAGCAACCGCCAGTACACATAGGCACGATCACGAACGTCAGGGTTATCATTCTCGGCGGTGGCCGCCTGAAGCACCTTCTGCACAAGCCCCTGAGCTTTCTCAGGCCGCTTCAAAAAGAGTTTCACGACAGCGGTCAGGATTTGCAGTTGAGTCTGCAAAAAGAAAAATCAGCCCTGCTCCCTCCAAAATCATCCTTGGGGTGCGACAAACCTGAGAGAATTCCTCGTTGAACCCTTCTACGAATCCGCCGAGAATATCACCAGCATTGCTGATCTTCTCGGCGTATTCACCCACAATCCAGATCAGAGCGGCCCGAGCATTGGGCTCATCCAGCTCATCAATGCACTTGCAAAGCGTGGGAATGATGCCTTCGTAGCCAGGATACTTCCGGAAAATATCCTTGATCACCACAATCGCCTCCTGCACCACATAGTTCACCTTGGTGTTGATCAGGTCCAGTAATGTGTTGACACACTTCTCGCTCGCGCTCTCGATCTTAATCGCCACTTGTCCGATAGCCTTAACAGCGCGCCGAACAAAGTCCATATCCACCTCTAGGGCATACTCCTTCAACTCCGACAGTAGCTGGTCAACATTGCGATCGTTGGCTATCCGAACCATAATTTCGAGCTTCTGGAATTTCACATAGGGCGGGTCATTGTATTTGCAGAAGAACACTCGGAGCTCCTTGTTCAGAATATCCGGCTGTTTCTGCAGCAATAGATCAATGTTTCTCAGGGCAACATACTGCACCTCAGGAGCGGAGGAGACCAGGGTAACTAAGGAACCACGGTCAGTAAGACAGCCATAAGGGGCGAATGGGACCTCATACCAAGAGGAGGGGCCATCTTTTTCAAATAGTTCTTCGACAACTCAGGGTTGATGTTCCTCATATGTAAGAAAACCACCTTGACAGCCGCCAATACGACACTGGGGTTGGCATGCTGGAACTGGGGCGCAACGCGCTCACAGATATGCTCCGACTCGGTCACTTCCAGTGTCTTGTACTCCGCCAGGGTGGTCAGAATGGTCACTCGACCCCACTCCGTACACTCATTCAGGGCCATCAGCAGTTTGCGCAGAGTGTTAGTGGTGACCTGGAGGGCGTTGGTCTCTGGAGCGGCATGGTGGATTTCGGAGAGTGCCGTCACGGAATTAGCGACCACCATGGGGTTGGGGTCTCCGATCATCTCCTGCAGCATCTCCAGGAAGCCATTCTCCAAGCACATGCCAGGGTTCAAGTCGAACAGCTTGGCCACGCAGATCGCAGCGGTCTTGCGGACATACGGCGATTCGTCGCGAAGGGTCTTCCGCAGGGGCTCCTCCATGTAATCCACCATCTTGTCCACGCGGATACATCCCATAGTGCGGATTGCGAGCGCTCGAATCAGCGGATTGGGGTCTTCGGAGTCTTGTACGAAGGTGTTGACGGCGAGAATACAGAGGTCCGGGTGGGATTTGGCATAATTCCTAGACGGCGGACGAGCGATCAGCGGGTGGGGGCACGATATGGCCGGCGTGATGAAGCAAACTCACATTAAATAAAGGTATACGAGCTTCTTCTGCTCCAAATCATTTGTCGCAATGTTCTTCAGCACATCCGGGAAAAGGGCGGAGACGTCTTTGCCCAGAGTCATGGCCATGATGGTCTTCTGAATAGACTCCTTTCTGGTATCGGGTTAGAACCGCCATTCGGGGACAACGCACGCGTAACGACCGTGGTGATGGAGGGATTCTGCGACATACCGTTCATAGGCATATTGGGATCTGATAATTGTATTAGCATGTCGCTATCGACCCGTGGGAGGGCATGGTTCAAGAGGGGTGGGAGCTCCATACACAAGACCAGCTCGCAATTCGAACGTCTCTCCTTTCCTAGGCACCGCAAAGGCGCCTCTAATCCGACTCATCGCCATGACGTGAGATTGCGCCTCCACCAAGAGGCGAAGGTAAAAGCTTGGGGGAAGAGAGAAGAGCGTCCTTGCGGACCACTGCGGGGGGAGACGGCGGCGGCGAGAACTTCAGGGACAGGGTGAATTCTGGGGGGAGGAGAAGCTGGTCGCAGGATTAGAACAGCATTCCCTCCGAGACAGACGGATCGTGGGGGTGGACTGGTGGGAGGTATTGAAGACTGGAGGAAGGGTGTTGGTGTTGTGTTGAAGAAGAGAGAGAGAGAGTGAGTGACGAGGTAAATTGATGATGGAGTTGAGGTCACGCTGGCCGCGTCCGCACAAAGCGGTAGTGGTACCTCCCCGTAGTCCGCAGTATGGCGAGGTACTTTCGGTCTTCTTCTCCTTTCCCTCTCAACACTACCATCTCTTGCTCCATTTCACGCACCACTCATTCATGGTCAGTCTGCTTGTGATAGATTATAAGCTGCTCTGCTAACTCTCAACCTCCACAGGCGAATCTCCCCAACCTGCGCCGTCTCTTCGTCGAGGCCCGGACAGAGGCCGAGGAGAACGAATACTCCCGCACCGCTGTGAGTGCGCATTCTCCGCTGGACATTCTCGATGGGTCTAATAGATATAGTTTTATAATCTAGTGCTCTTCATCTCCTCGGTTGCCGTGTTCAGCTTGGTCGCCCAACGTATGGGCGGGACGAAAGCCGGGAAATGATCTCCTAAGAGTACATGGTTGATTGAATTACACCACCAACTGCGCCAGGCAGAAGCTACTCCGAATCACCTCATACACATACAATGTCGTTCCCGCCCCCTACACCAATCAGTCCGTTTCCTCGCCATCGCTCTCCAGGAAAGCAAGAGCTTGTCGGCCTCGGTTCAACCTCCGTCGAGGCTGACCCGTGTCGCTACCTTCGTCGGCACTCTCCTTCCCCCATAACTTCGCCCCTTCCTGGACCATTTCGAGATCTGCCTTCAGTTCTCGCTCCTCTCGGATCTGTCGCGCTTTCTCCAGAGAATACCGGCCTTCCATCCCTGCCTCCTTCAGCATATCCTTGAGATGCTTAATCTTCGCCTTGGGGGTGTCATAGGGAGCCAGCTCCCGCGACCACATCTTGCGGATGCCGCATTTGAGCAACCAGCCTTGTAAGCGCTTAATCTCCGCCTGGTTCGGATCCAAATCGGCGTCCTTTCCCTTGGCTTTCGTCGGGGCCTTTTTCTTTCCTTTTTGCGATGGCTCGGAGCTCTTCTGTCGCTTCCGGGGTTTGGGCTCTTCGTCAAGCACCACCGACATCTCACTTTCTGACTCCGCATTGGGTTCGGCGTTCGCTTCTTCTGCAGCGTCGGAATCGGCTGGATCCTGTGCTTTTGGAGATTCCGATGAAGATGTCTTTCGGTTCGTCGGCTTCTTCGCTGGTTTCTTGACGTCCTCGTCGGCGGATTCTGGCATGCCTGTTTTCTGGCGTTTGCGGGAGGTAGCGGAGCTATCCTGTTTTGTGCGCTTGGGCATCTTCGCTTTCTCTGGCGGAGGAGAAGCAGGTTTCTCGTCTTCGTCATCCTCTGGTCCGGAATCTTGTGCGGCCTTATCTTGCACAGACTGTAACACCATATATGAGCAATTGACCTCGTCACATACCGTACCGTACTTGGTTCGAATAACTTACCACTTCATCCTTGATAATCTCATCGCTCCTCGCCTTCCAGGTATCGTGGCTCTTGAAAAAGCCCTCCTCGAGGTCGAGGGCTTTCTCCGCTGCTAGACGCACGCGCTTTACTGTCAATTCCTCCATCTTCCCCGATTTGTAGACATTGGCCACTGTATCGCGCAAGGCCTTTTCGAGCGCATCGTCAGAGGGGGCCGCAGGGGCTGCAGGCTCATCGGGCTCCGACTCGGACTCGGACAGCGCATAACGAGGAGCCATCGCTCACTACTTATGTTTGTCGCGTAAAGCTGCGGTGTAGACTAGTTTGGTTGATTGTCCTGCAATTCGTCGCGCGCAGGTGTCGTGGTGGTTAGGTAGGATTCAGTCGACGCGCCAGGCTGATTTCACGACACCGCTGGAACTTTCACAGACAAGGACGCGGGACAGTGTAATAGGTGTGACGTATCACTTCGAGGCGATCTGAATAACCAAGAGGAATTAATAGATAGGCACGGGACAATTTGGATTTGGAAAGAGTAGACCATCGCGACCATTGCGGCAATGATGCGCCGCCATACTAATCCGTCGGAGAAGCTGACAAAGCACCATCTGGAAGTCTCGATTCTTCTTCTGATATTCTTCGACCGGCTTCGCAACAACCTCCATTTGTTCTGTTTTCTTCTTGTTAGTGTGATTCTTTGCTTGTCGTCACTCCTACCCACTCTGGTAGCAGCACCAGAATCCGCCACTGCGCAGTCCCTCGGGACTTGATACTACTCTGTACTCCAGCATCCGCTAAATATATAGACCTACATCTACAGCTCTCGCATCTTTCTACACTGAGTCCTGAAACACCAGAAAACTCAACAAACACCATGTCCGAAACAGAACCACAGCCCAAGTCCCAGAAACACCTCTTCATCCACCAGATGTCTGCCGCGGCGAGCTCCTCCTCGGACTCCAAGACGGACGAGTCGGGTATGACGAAACTCCCCAACGGCGTCGTGCTCGACAAAGACGGCAAACCGTGAGTGCCCACACTTTCCGGAGAAATCTATGAAAGAAACTACCTATCTAACACGCCACAGATGCCGCCTCTGCACCTCCGCCGCATCCTGGCGCGCCCTGACAAAGCAAGCCAAAGCGCAAGGCGCCGCCAACACGCCATCCACTTCGACCACAACGACAACACACGCCATGCCATCGACCCCCGCCACCGTCCCAGATGAATGTCCGCCCGACGTCGAGGTCCTCGGCCGCTCCACCTGGACCCTCCTCCACTCCATGACAGCTGCATACCCCGAAAAGGCCACGCAGGAGCAACAGAGCGAGATGCGCGCGTTCCTGAGGCTCTTCTCCCGGCTGTATCCGTGTGGGTGGTGCGCGGAGGATTTCCGGAAGTGGATGGCGGATCCCAGTGGGCGCAACGAGCCGCGACTCGGCGGACGGGCGGACTTTGGAACGTGGATGTGTGAGGCGCATAATGAGGTCAATCGGAAACTCGGCAAGAAGGAGTTTGATTGTCGGTTCTGGGAAGAACGGTGGCGGACTGGGTGGAAGGATGGGCGGTGCGACTGATCGATCCGATGCAACGAAGGGGCTCAATTGTATGATATTGTAGCATAAGCTGTACTGTAGATGTAGCATATGGGATTCTCCCCTCTATTGGACATTTAGCGGGCAATGCTCACTCGTCCTGTATTCACCTCTAATGCGGAAACTCTTGATGTAACAAACATGTCCAAACTTGCATTGCGGAAAAGGAAACAATATAAAATGAAGATAATGGAAACGTCGCTGAGCAATTATCGAAGACACAAGATCCATACATCTAAGGCAGAGTGCAGGAGCCTCCTCCAACCCTGGCGCAAACTCCAACCCTCTTCCCACGCGGCAAAATACATTTTATTGCGTCACATTGGAAAACGGGAACATTATAATACTAAGGTCATCTTCAATACTGGTTCGGCACAAACAGCCGCAGTCCGCTGGCTGGCGCACCGATCTCGGTCACCTCGGATATCCGACACACGGTGCCCTTGTACTGTTCATGGTATTTGGCTCCGGTGAAGGGGTCCGACACACTGGGCGAGCCGGTGTAGATCGGCGTGTAGGATGCCGCGCAGATGTCGAATTCGGCGAATTGGTCGAACTCGATTTCAACCTTGTCTTGTGGGTTGCGTTCGCACTGAGCCTTGATCTTCCGAGCCTGTACGCGTGGGTTAGTCAATGTGCGCACCGACATCAAAATTCAATCAATACATACCTGGTCGAGAAGCTTAGCGGAGCCCCCGTTGGCCAACATGCGGTTGGCGAAGCTGAGGGCGGACGAGTAGTTCTTGTGGGTGAATGCCAACTTCATCGCAGCCATCAGAGCAAGTTGCCGGTGGGCAACTTCCAACTTAGGCATGGTGAAGTAGGCGGAGAGCTCCAGGTTTCTCTTGACATTGTCCGGCTCCTCTTGGGCAATGCGACGCCGCTCCAGCTCAATCGACATGGCCAAAACGTACTCGCGGGCGGTCGCGAGGACCTTCTTGGCTTGTTCGACCTCCGCCTCAGAGGACACGGTGTTGATCAGGACAGAGTGCAGGATACCGCGGAAGATCTTCACACCCTCTTCAAGCTTGTTGGCGCGCATGGCCGCATAGCCTTCTTGCAGATCGACATTGGCAATCGTCTCGAGATCCCGTGGGATAATGGGCAGAACCTTGCGGGTATCCGTCTCGTCAACGGTCCGACGAACGTAGTTCACCAAGGGAGGAAGGCCAGGAGTGGCAGGGAGGTAGGTCTTGGAAGCCTTGTACACTTCGAGGAATCGGGGCTTGAGGGGGGTGAAGTTCACGGCGCCGACTTGGCGGTTCAGGAGCTGCATGGCAGAGTCAAACGAACCAGCGGCGACGTGGTCCGCGGCCAGAGGGGAGTTACGCGCCCAAAGGTCGGCCTCAGTGCTGCCTGCCCCAGCCTCTGCGCTTTCGACATTAACGAACTCGGCGTCCTCTTCGACAGCGATTTCTTCACCCATGTCCCATCCGTCAACATCTTCCTCCTCATCTTCGAGGGTGTCGCGGGCGGCCACAGCCTCATCCTCTCCCTCGACCTCGAAGTCCATTTCGGCGGCTTCTTCGTCACCTGCACCGACTTCACCGAGGAGAGCTTTCTCGAACGACGAGTGACCAGCCGCCTTGACGGGCCAGTTGGACTTGAATGTCTGGACAAAAGGTTGGGGCACCTTGGCGGGTTCCTCGATTGTCGGCAGCGTAATCTGGTCTTCGGTCAGGCCGGTGGCTTCCAAGATGGACTCGACTTCTTCAGTCAGGCCATGGGCCTTGGCAGTGAGATACGCGAGCGGGTCTGGGAAAGGTTAGTGGGCGTACTAGTGAGTAAAAGGGACAACTTACAAAGATCGGCCTCCTTGAACATCTGGATACGGTCTTCAATGTCACCGCGGTAGATGGCATTTTGGAAGCGGGAGGTGAAATCACCACGGTGCTCAGCAATTTTAGCCATCCGGGCCAATTTCTCCTGATCACCAGTGGAGAGGTAGAGGAAAGATAGCTTATCGAAGTTTCTCTGTTTCTGGTAGGCCATCTCTACGGTTTGATGGTTACCGTGGGCCAGAGCCTCCGTGCCGAGTCTGCTCCACAGCGTGGGGCGATCAATTTCTCTGGCCATCTCGATGGCGACATCAAGGTTACCGCACTCCAAAGCAAGCTCGAAACGGGTCTGAGGGTCCTGCACAAATTGCAGTGCAATCTCTGGATAACCCTTCTTCTGGAGATAAGAGATGATGCTTTGACCGACCAGGCTGGAGGTCTTGATGATCTGCAGCATTTCATCGTAATTCCGCTTCACCAAGGCGAGCTTGAAGCGGTATTCAGTGGGATCGATCTCCAAGACTCTGGGCTTGGCATTGCGGTCGAGGCAGTAGACATTCCGGCCCTTCACCTTAACCAAGTAAACGGTCTGGTCGAGAGTGCGAATGATGCCATTGTCACTGGAAAATATTAGCTTAGTTCTTGGCTTCAACCCGACAGGAAGCAACATACCCGTTGAGGAGGGAGTACTTGACGTGGTTCAAAGTAGAATAGAGAAGCACGCCAGCGTCATCCCAGGCGGCACTCTTGATGCGAATGGTCTCGTGTAGGCTGCTGACTTGCTCAAGCGTCTTGGTGACAATGGTGACATTGTGCTTGCTCAGCAACGCCGCGTACAGACCGTCGTTCGACCAGACGACGTACTTGACGCCGCTCACGGCCAATTCAGCCAGCTGCTTCTTCTGTTGGATATCGAAGAGGACAACGGAAGTAGGAGTGATAAAGAGCAGACAGCCGGTACCACCGAAATAGATGTCTGTTGTGCCAACAGGAGCCTTGATAGTCTTGGTAGTGGAGTTGCTCAGGTCCTTGATGTCGACCTGCTGGTTCGTTTGGCTGAACACCGCGAATCGGTTGCGCGCAACAAAGACGGCAGAAGAGGCCTGACCGCGCTTGCTATCCGTCGGCTCGACCGCACCAGTAGCATCTCTCGGGAGATGAATCAACTCATAGATACCACCATCAGTGGGCGAAGTGACGAGAATGGCGCGTTCAGCAGGGTTGTAAGACACCGTCCGGGGTGGCACCCAAGGGGATCCGAGCTTGCGCAAGGAGAGCATCGGTGGGGATTCAACGTTCTTTGCGAAGTCGTACGACTTCACGTGCTTTTCTTTCGTGATGTAGAAGAGCTGGTTCTGGTATACGGCCGATGCGGGGCGCTCACGCTCCAGCTTGAACACCATCACACCAGTGTCATGACCTGCGGCGAACAGGTTGATCTCCGGATGGGCAGCAATGACCCAGAACCGGTCCAAATCCCGCTTGAAAGACTGGACGGAGGTACGCTTATTCAAATCCCAGACTCGGATAGTCTTGTCTTCGCCGACGGAGAGGATGAGATCTTGGTGGGGGTGGAAGAGGCAGGCCGATGCGTTCTGGAAGTGGCCACGGCAGGTATCAACCTCCCATGCCTTAGTGTCTATAGGAGACAATGTCAGTGATGCCAGCAAAATATGCGGACCGCATAAAACACATACCGCTCATGCGCCACAACTTGATGAGACGATCGTCACCGGCGGACACAATCAGGGGTAGAGTGGGGTGGAACGACACCCAGTTGACACCGCGATCATGGCCCTCCAAGACAAACTTCACGACTGCATCCGTATTTCCGAACATGTCGGCCTGGTTGGGGTTGGCCCGGGCCATCTGATCCTCGAACGACATGGTGGTCGGGGCCGAATGCTTCTTCCGCAGGCCGGAGATGTCCCAAATGCGAACGGATTGATCCAGCGAGGCCGAGGCGATAAGGTCTTCGGTAGGATGGAACTGCGCGCACATTACATAGTGGTTGTGGCCGGTCATCGTGCAGACTGCGCATCGAGTGTCAGCCTACTTTCGGGCCAAGTGTCTGGAACCCAACTTACTCAGTGACCGGTTCTGCCAGTTCCAGATTCGGATGGTCTGATCATCGGAGGCAGAGAGAATCCAGGGGAGCTCATGGTGGAAGAAGACGGTGCGGACGTAGTCCAGATGGCCATTGAGTGTGAACAGACATCTCCGCGTCTGAGTGCTCCAGACCTTAATCTTGTAATCGTCACCGCCGGAGACGAAGAGGGGCTGTGTTGGGTGGAAATCAATTCCTCGAACGGGGCCGTCGTGCTCTTCGAAACGATCAATGAGGGTTCCCATGCGATAATCCCACAGCTGGATCGTCGACGAATGGAGGGAGACGAGGATCCATGGGCTAGACTCAGGGTCAGCGTTGGGCCGGTTGCGACGCGTGGTGTTGACACAGGGGAGACTAACCGCTTGGGATGGAAGGCAATTCCCTTCGCCCGGGAAGATTTCGACTCAAACTGTGACAAAAATTGAGGTCAATTGAGGCCCTCGTAGCGAAAGAACCATGTAGACATGGGGAGACCTGGCAGGGAGGAGTAGGCATACCTTGGTGAGCATATTGGGAGAGGACTGCATCTTGAGAAAGGGTTGGCCGAAGCCGCACCATAAAGGAATACGCTCCACACGCAGAAAAGAGAGAAGTTAGTGAGGGGACCACCTCATCCACCGGGGAAGAATGGTCGGGGAAAAAGAGAGGCCGTGGAGAGTGGAAGTGAAGTAGATGGTCAACAGTCTGGACCATCCGTCTGGACAACTAACTGTTAGAGAGCGGGAGGTGCTGTTGTTCCGTACCTGGCGGCCATGACTAAGCGCGGGCGGTCAGCCCCTAAGCGAGTTCTGCCGGTCCGTTCCCGACGAGGCGGTGAGCCGGGTTCTCCTCCAACCCATCACTTGGTGTTGTTTCTAGATGTTTCTGTCCAGGTAGTCGGGCAGGTAGTCGACTTGATCATGATGTGACGATCCGATTATCAACATCAGTGCTTCCTCCATGAACCCTCCACTCACACTCTGCAGCAACACCTTTATCGTACTTGACCATTACTTACAGTTCAGGTTCACCTATGCTGGAGCGCATGTCCCATGCCGGCGATAACCCACTCTACAGTTTATCCTCGTGGACTCGGGTTAAGAGAACAGCATGAATGGGATCCCCCAATATGCAAAGGAGAATACGGATGAAACACACTCATTTTTCAACCCACCCGGCCAATTCGACACGTCGGCGGCCGATCAGAACCGCCGCAGCTCGCCAATTGCGACCTCCCCGCCGACCCAGGAACCCCGTCAGGAGCCAGACCATGAACCATACGAGATAGTGGTGAAACCTTACGCCGTCGAGGAGCCCGAGGACGAACCGACCGCCCCAAGCACTCACTTCACCGCCCTTCTGGAGATAGAAGACAAAGGTGAAACCTCGGAAGGCGACCTGGTCGATTCAATGGAAGGTCTCCACTGCGACTCTGACAACGACCCTCGGATCAACCTCAAATTCAAGAGAGGCAAGAAGCGAAAACCGCCGACGAGCGCAATGGGGACGTCCTACGCCCAGCCACAGGAGCACAGGATGACCCCCGATGGACAATATGGTGGGCCTACGTTGAGTCCGAAACGGCTACGTCGACGAAGCAGGCGATCCAACGAGAACCTGAGAGGCACCCCCGCGGATTCCACGCGATACTCCAAGTCCAAGGGCCCAGAGTCTTCCGAGAGTGTCAGTCCTAGCTCGACCACCACGGAGTCTAGCAGTATGCAAACCCCCGATGGATCTACGGAAGCAGACGCCATGGATATAGACTAGGAGCTTGAGTCCTGCTCGAATCGCATCAGTTTTTGATATGTGTATATAAATTTTGGATAGCCACTTGCTACACTCACGAACTAACCGATAGCATTCGATGATGACGATCACGTGATATACAGGATGGGGCCAGGCCCTACTATCCCAAAAGGGTAATGCTGTGCATGACGTCAGGCGCTTCTCATCCTCCGTCGCGTGCAACCCTCCGGATTGCACTGCTCTGTAGCTCTGCCTAACTTCCAATGTACTCTCCTGTCGGTCAATTGCTCTTCCTGAATCTACATATAAGCTTAATTATCTCCCACAATGGCTGCGGCAACTAGAACTTCGTCTCGTCAGGCTGCCCAGAAGGCCAAAGAAGCCATCGCGGCGGCCCCTGATACCAAAAGCAAGGGTGGCGCTGGCACTAAGCGCAAGGAAGCTGCACAGAAGGGCCCGGAGCCGAAGAAGGAAAAGAAAGAGGAGCATAAGCCCACAGAAGATGAGGTGATGAAGGAAGAACCGAAGCCCGAGGAAGAGAAGCCAGTCGAACAGAACGAAGAGAAGAAAGAGCCTGAAGCTCCGGCTCCTGAGGGAAAGGAGAAGGAAACAGGTGAACCGCAGCAGCCGGAGCAGCCTGCCGAGCCAGCTCCTGAAGGGAAGAAAGAAGAGAAGCATGATGAAGGTGCGCCTCCACCTGCGGCGGAGAAAGCAGAAGCTACTGAAGGTAATGTCAACTGCTCGACAGGTCGTCACGTATCAGCTAACCAGCCATTCCTCAGAACCCCCCAAAGAGAAGCCTGAGCCTTCAGCCGGACAGGAATCCGCTGGCGAAGGAAAACCCAAGGAAAGAGAAGAGATTGTCCCCTCGAATGTCCTCGAAAAGGGAATCATCTACTTCTTCTTCAGGCCCCGCGTGAATGTGTCGGAACCGCACGGCGTGTCTGATGTCGCCCGGAGTTTCTTCGTTCTACGACCCACGTCTATGGGCGCAGTCTTCAACGAATCCGGTCCTATGGACGAGGGGGCCAAATGTCGTCTGATGATGCTCCCCAAGAAGAAGTACCCGACTAGCCCCAAAGAACGCGATATGGGGTTCGTCGAGAAGGCCGGGGTGTCTATGAAACAGCTGCAAGAAAGCTTCCTGGCTGGCGAAACATATGAGACTGAAACCAGAGGCGAACGCACTGTTCCCGAAGCCAAGCCGTACGCGGAAGGCGTCTACGCCATCACGCGCACCAAACGCGCCTCTCACCTGGCCTACGTGCTAACCATTCCGGGAGAATTGGGTCAAGTTCAAGAAGACTTTGGACTGTATTCCCGGGGCAGCTTTATCATGCAGGCCAAGAATCCAAAGTTCCCGGGCCCATCGTTTGCGCAGCTCCCTAAGGATCCCGAGTACCCCGAAAGGTAAGTACATGCTCTGATCTTGTGTCGCGGTGGCATAGCGATATCTGACTACTGGGGCAGTGTGCGCGAGAAGTTCGGCGATTACCGCTGGATTCCACTGGAACCGGAGCTCATGGACTACCCCAACGCGCAGTTTCTCATGATCGGCGAGGCGCAACAGGAGCTTGGAAAAGCCGCTGTTGCAGAGCCCGGCGATAAGCGTCCGGAGGAGATTCAGCCCGGCGAGGAGGTCGAGAAGCTGGAAGCAGAGAATGAAGAACGGGTGGAAAATTTGCGAGGTAAGTGTATAGATATCTAGACAATGAGGGATTGGGCTCTGACGATACGCAGGCGATGACACGGTATACGAGGATCTGGGACTCCACGCGAAGAACCATCCGAAGCTGCCGACGACTTGGGCATAGTGATGCAGCGTGTAACAATAAACTGAGATGTACTCGTATGTATGTCAGTAATCTGTTAGGTAGTTGGGAGTCTGGGTGAAAAGTGATTTCTGTTGCTGTCTTGCTCTACTACGGTTGTACTCAGAGTAGCGATGGATTAGGGCTTGGAGTCCGGCGGCGACTAAAATCCTGGGCATTTCTGGAACAGCGAATAACGGAGTCGATTACCGCCACGTTCGTCTGGTCGTCATTTTGATGTGTATGCGGAGGTCTGACTTGCTCCAATGCACAATGAACGTGATCGCGATGAACGTGGTGGCACAGCCTCATGGAACGCGATATATCCTCCGACGCTATATATCCCTGACCCCTCAACTAGTTGTCACACCAAACACACCCTCGTTTGCTAACCTATACATTCACACACGTCTGTCGCAATGAAGTTGCCATTGTTAGCTATAGCTGTATCTGGAAGCGCCGCTGCTGGTGCCATTGCGCCCCAAATGCCTCTACTATCGTGAACCAGACCACTTGCGGCGGTCATACGTACGCCTACACCGGCCTGGAAGGGTACGGCTATCTGCCATCTAACGCTGTTGACAAGTACGGCGATACTCTCGGAGGCATTGGCAGTTCGGCCGCTATCGACCGGACATCCTGGCGTCGGACCGGTCCTGGATCCTACTCCGGCATCGTGTGGTGTCTCCCAGACAGGGGCTGGTAAGGTCATATTAAAAAAAGGAACCATACTCGTTCAGAGCCATTCCATCTGACATCATGGCTCAGGAACACCAACGGAACACTCAACTTCCAATCGCGCCTCCACAAGCTGGCCCTTACCCTCCAGCTGGCGCCCAATGCCTCGGCGCAGAACCCCTCCAGCCCCAACCTGCAACTCAAGTATCTGGACACGATCCTCCTGACCGGCCCAGACGGCGAGCCCACAACAGGTCTCGATGCCGATAGCACCGGATACGCAACCTACCCGGGCTTCCCGCCTCTTCCCGTCGCAACATACACCGGGGATGGCTTCGGCGGAGACGGGCCCGGCGGCAAGCGCATCTCCATCGACGCGGAGGGTCTCGTCCTCGACCGGGACGGCGGGTTCTGGGTGTCCGACGAGTACGGGCCTTACATCTATAAATTCGACCGCGATGGAAGAATGGTGCATGCCATCCAGCCGCCGGAGGCCATCCTGCCGCATCGCAACGGCTCCCTCAGCTTCAGCGCGGCAAGTCCGCCCATCTACGACCCCGACCAGACGGTGACCCCTGCGGATACCGAGTCCGGCCGCAACAACAACCAGGGCCTGGAGGCGCTAACTATGTCGCCGGATGGCAAGACCTTGTACGCCATGCTCCAGTCCGCACTGGACCAGGAGGGCGGGCCGAAGAAGAAGAACCGCCAGCCGGCGCGGGTCCTCGAGTACGACATTGCCTCCGGCACACCCAAGTACAAGCATGAGTACGTCGTCATGCTGCCAAAGTACAAGGATTACACGAAGGACGACGAGGAGGTGGTTGCGTCGCAGTCGGAGATCTTGCAGCTCCCCACGGGCGACTTCCTGGTCCTTGCCCGGGACTCCGGGTTTGGCCATGGTCAAGACGAGAGTCGATCTGTGTACCGACATGCGGATATCTTTTCGATCTCGCGCGCGACGACGGATCTGAAAGGGAAGTACGACGGAGTTGGGGCTTCGATCGCCTCGTCAAAGGGCGAGCTGGATGCAAGGATTGTTCCTGCCGAGTACTGCCCGTTCCTGGACTTTAATGTCGCCTCCGAACTGGCCAAGTTTGGCCTCCACAACGGTGGGGAGCAGGATGCGTTGCTTTTGAATGAGAAGTGGGAGAGTCTGGCCCTTGTGCCTGTCGATCCGGCATCGCCCAACCACCGTAAGGCATCTTCCGGCCATCACAAGGAGAGGGATTACTTTCTCTTTAGCTTCAGTGATAACGACTTTGTCACTCAGGATGGTGAGCTTAACAATGCCTTGTACACATTTTTTCGAGTTGCTAATTTTGATAGGGCATATGAACTTTGGCGCGTTCAAGTATGCAGATGAAACGGGCTATAACGTCGATAGTCAGGTCTTGGTCTTTCGGGTGCAGATTTGACCTTTTGTCTTAGATCACGATCCTGATTAGAGTCAATAGAAGGAACTGCGTTCTTGTGTAGATCGAACCTCCCATTCGAGACGATCATTGCTGTTCCATGACACAGAGAGCTGGAAGATAACAAGGCATTAATTTAGAATGCCGGACAAGCCGATGAGCTATGCAATAGGGGGTAGCTCTATAGGTATACCGCCTACTATTCTAATTAAACCATCTACTGAATTATCTGCTAAACCACCTACTCTTTGAAATGTCACAGACCAGCATCCCTGTCCACCATCCGCATCACGGCCTGTTCCGCCGGCCAAACCTCAAGGAATTGCTGGATCCTTAGACACCAGTCACTATCCCAGTACATGAATGCAATCGGGGAGGATGCAACAAAGAACTCCCAGTATTGAGGATACCACCCGGCTTCCGCCCAGTCTATCAGCACAACATCAAACGACCGTCCCCCCTGCGCATTGCGACGGCTACGATTTTCTGCGACCAGAATGTTTTTCTGCTGGACGTCTCCGTGCGTCAGCGTCGGCCGATGCCCCTTGAGGAGACTCGGCAGTTATTCTTCGTAGTAGCGGACCTTATAGTCTAGCCTCTCATTCCGTTCAATGTGTGCGCGGTAATTCCCAACCATGCCCGCGACGAAGTTTGCTTCCCCAATATAGGGTCCTAAGGATTCCGGCACGCCGCCCCTCCGGTTATGAAACAGATAGTGGCGGAGACAGCCGCCATCCAGACCGCCATAGAAGTCAGGCTTGGGACACGGAACCTGTCGGAGATTATCGAATGTTTGCCGGAGTTTGTCGACAATATCGTCTTTCTCGTCCTCGGCCAATGATGGCCAAATTGAGTCTAGCCGCTCGCCGGGGATGCGCTGCATGACCAGGAACGTTTCAAGCGTCTCGATGTCTTCATACATAGCGTACAGTCGAGGCGCTGGAATTGTGGGAACGTGGCGCTCGAGAAATATCATGACCTGGCCCTCGTATTCTTGGACGCCGCGGCCGAATTTCACCACGATCGAGTCATTTATTGCGACTACCTTATATAGACGGTCAAAGAGAATATTTGTGCAAGCACGAATTTCATCCTTGCTCGGTAAGGGGCATTCAGGAAGCGAGCTTCTGGTATAAGGCAGCGGTTCTGGTTGCCAGACCATTGCGAGGGTGTATAGGAGTGGGAAGAAGGTTGTGGGCGGCTATAAGTACAACAATCTGTTACCCTCACAACGGGGTCGTTAAAACCGCCGCTCCAAACGCCAGCCAAGCCGGCACATCCGCGACAAGCATCCTCACCCGGTGGACACTCAACCAGGTCTCCATCTCGCGCGTCGCGCCCTCCTCGTTGCGATCCTCGACCATATTCTGAATAGGCGTCGCCACCCAGGGGATGAACAGCATGTGTCCGATGGCGCCCGCCAACCCAATCCAGTAAAAGATGCTGCCAGGACGGGGCCCGTCCGGTCGTCGCGCGTCCAGCCACAGGCTCGCGACGGAGGTCCAGACCGTCGTCATGTTCAACCCGACGACGACCCAAACGCCCCGGTTGAACATGTAGGAGTACCACCGGGGGAGAAGTTGGTTCGACTTGGACCGGATCTCTGGCTGCAGGAAGCCATTGTTGACGATGAGCTCGGTCGTCGCGTAGACCAGGCTCGCGGTGCTGGAGGCCAAAGGGGCCACGCGTAGAAGGCGGATTGGATCGAAGACGAGACCGGAGGCCATATTGGGATTTTGGTTGTGTACTTCTGAGTAGTAGTCAAGGTGGATGGTGTGGTGAGAGGTGAAAGGAGGAAGAAGGTGGAAGAAGGTGGAAGTATGTATGTATGGGCTGACACGGATTGGCCCCCACGCTGACTATACCTAGGCAGGCATCGAAGGGCATAAGCAGGCATCTAATCTCTATACAGAAGCCTCGAGCACTCTCTCATGGTACCGAATGTCTCCCATACAATTGTCGAGATAGGTAGTCATCATAAAACTCGCAATTTAAGAAGCTCATAACTCGAAAACAACTTCATTGAAACCACAGTTAACTCCAACATAGCTTTATGCTAATTAATCAACTAACATCAGATATAGATTTAAGAGTGATGTAATAACACAGTAAGGGTCATGGACCAAAATGACGGTTTCGCCACCAAAAGCGCCTGCACCCACAGAGGCGGGTGAAACAAGAACATAATGCACAGCTAGACGAATCATGCAAAATGTAAGGCCGTAATATGGATCAAGGTTTCACAATGTTAATCGCCCGCAGGATATCATCCAGGGACCAACCAGGGCCGCCGGGGACAATCTCTGCCCATACTTGCTCCGGAACCGCATCTTCTTGGCTGATGAGACTCCAGTTGGGGCTCGGTTCGGGCTTGATCCATTTAAAGTCTTCCACCTGGTTCCAGCGGTCCTGACTGTCCGGGCAGTCATGATCGAGTGCCTATGATAGATGGTCAGCATCTCACTATGGGAATGAACTGCGGCGGGGCAACATACATATACCCTCGGGATCCTGCCAAACCGGATATTCGTGCAGTCTTCGATAATAGGGTTGCTGGAGGAGCTGAGATAGACATCAACATCGGCGCAGTTGTGCATCCGGAATTGGCGACAGGTAACGACGATGATACTGTGCTCCACCCCGGTAATATGGGCCGGGCCATCAATTTGGCCGCAGACCAGCAGGCTCTCTTTGACTCCCTTGACTGCCAGGCTGGCATACGGTTTCCCGTCCGCCGTGGGTATCGACATGTCAACGACGCAGTGACGGAGGGAGGTAATAGACGCAGGCACCGTCGCAGTGGACCCCGACGCAGGGAGCATAATATGAAGGCCATAATGGTTATTCACCGAGACCGAGGAGACAGACGTTGCTGCAAAGGGGTTGGATCTCTCCCCGGTGGGTTTCTCGCTGCTAGTACCGAATTCCATCTCCGGAATCGACGTTGGGGCAATTTCAGCCCTGGGTTGGAGCTGCCGGTCTGGTTCATTCAGAGGGGTGGATGGATAGTTCGGGGTTTGGCCCGCCGAAGAACTCACAGAGGACGAGGCCCCAGGAGAGCTGTAGCCCGGTATGCGACGTCGGCCCTCCACGGCCAGTTGAGCGGCGTCCGCGAGAGATACAGCCGATGCATTTTTCTTTGTCTTGAAGCTGAACTTGGGCCGTGGCTCCACTGCGGCGCGTGTCTCACTGAGCTTATCCTGGAGGGCTTTGATGGCCTGCACAAAAAGTGGTCAGTATCTGTATTGCATTGGCATACGGGCCATGGCCTTCCCTACCTCTGCGTAGATTCTCTGATCATAAGTGGGGATGTAGCTGGCGGCGTCCTTGACCTCGTTGGATAACCGTGCGATGCCAGCTAGACAGTGATCGGTGGCATCGGTCCGCTCCCCTCCCACGAGCGATGTATCCGCGAGACGGTCCATTTGTTCCTGGAGAGCTACCGGACGACAGAAAACAGGTGTCAGAGAAGGGTATCACCACGGGGCTAAATCAGACAGTGGTGTCTGGCATCGAAGCCAGCCATACCGGTGATTTCATGCTGAAAATAACGGAAGAACCGTTCCTTCAGCGGGATCTCGGATTTCAAGATGGTTTGGTTCTCGGCCTGCGACGGCCGACGGGCATCTTTGAAGTCGGATTGCGACATCTTGAAGGGGACGGCGACACGGTGGGGTACAATTCAGAGGTGGGAGTATGAGCTCTGATGGTGCAGGGTGGATCGTGGGAGAGACCCGGTGGAAGCACGAGGTGAATCGAGGTATTGATGACGTCGACCCGAGGGGTTCCTGTACGGTTGGAGAGGATGGGAACGCCGGTTCACGGTCTCGGAGACTTTCGCGACGTCAACATGGAAGAACGGAAGAGAAAAATTCGAGCAAAGAAAGGAGAGGAGGAGCACTTGCGATGCAATGCAGCGTCGCAGGTCGTTGTCGTTGTAGGATGTAGTTGAGAGCTTTGGAGGGGCTGCACACGATCACCAGGTAGTATGAGGAAGTTATGCCGAGGTCCAGCTGAGTCAGCCGCCGCTTCCGGACGGACAATGCATGCCAAGCTTTCCCTTATCCTCGCTTGTTGTTTGTATACAAGTTGTATACAATGTCTATATTAGCGATCTTCATTCAGACATGGCAGCGGTGGGCTGAGATCACGATATCCTCCGGACAGCCCGTCTGAATCCACCAGATGGACACCAGAGCCTAGCTCCACAATGATACGTCTCTGGCACCAGGCTTGTTTCAGAATCTGTCCCAAGTGGCCGTGCAGATCAGTATACGAGTACGAGGAGAACTAAGTCTATCACAGATAGATTAGAGACCCCTAACTGAATGCAACTTTCCCTGAGACATAGGGTTTCGGAGCTTACCTGTCAGTGGTGGAAAATAGACGTCGAAATCAACATGTATCAACAGACCGTCGTTAGGAGGTCTATCGCGTCCCGGATAGTTCGACCGGGAATGGATATAAGAGGACCTCGGATTCTCCTCCAGCCAGCTGAGAACCATCAATCTTTTCTGTCCATTCCATATATTGCACCCCCATCACCATGCCTTCTCGCAACCATGCCCTCTCCGCCCTCGCCGCGGTCTGCATCACGTCTGTGAACGCTGCGATGGGTCCGGCCTTCAGCACCGGCCCCGTCGCAACCAACTCGTTCATCCGTGAGGCAACCTCGACTCTTGTTCTGCCCAAAGCTCCTAGCGGATCTTCCGGAGATGCCTCCCTCTGGGTTGGGATGGGCACCTCCAACGGGGACTTGATCCAGTCTATCGCCGATAACTGGCAATCCGATGAATGGAGTATCTTTGCCTACACGCTTCTGAGCACTGGAGGTGCGTCATTTTATTGTGACTCGCTCCCATGTATAACTGGTATGAGCTCACAATGGTGCAGCCAACTCCCAAATGCCGGTACAGGGGGAGTCCTCCCCGGCGCAACCTGGTGACCATGTTACTATGCATTGTGAGACACCATGGCATCTGCCTCCTCCATTCCACATAACCACAGTGCTCATATGACTACAGATAAATTCGATGATTCCACTGGCAACTACACCCAGACCGTTCTAGTGAACAACAAAACTGTCTCCACGCTTTCTACCAGTGATGGACACGCCCAGGGCTGGGGAAGTGCCGTAGAGTGTGCGGAGAACAACTGCGGTACCGTTGGTGCTCACTGTAAGTTGAATGTAACGATGGAAACATTGCAACACCGGTGCTAATATAACTCCCACTACCAGCGTGGATCGACACCAAGATCATCCTGGATGTCGCGGACCCTAACTACATCAACACCTTGGGTAAGGGCGAGGGGGTCACTGGGGATATGACGACCAGTGATGGTGGCAAGACCTGGACGGTCAGTACCATTAACATCCCCGAGTTCACCTTCGGGAACTGAGCGCGTTGGAAATGGGCGATTGGCCTATAGATTGAACTCGAACCCTCCATTCAGCGGTTAAACCTACATAGTCTCACGTACTCCACAATATATATTTTTCCATCGCCGCTCGTCATTTCTTCTGTTCATTGTCGACTTTCGCATTGACTGCATCGATCCGTGCCGTCTCTCGAATGGCACACTGATAAGACTGGAATTTGCGCGCAGGTATACGAGCCTCAAAAATCTCATCCAACTCCTCCAAAGAGCGCCCCTTCATCTCCGGCATGAAGAAGTAAAAGAATACAACACAGCACAGGTTAGAAGCCGCCCATATGTAACCATAGCGGGCCCCCTACGATACTTTCAGTCAGATCCATGGGGCGACACGAAAGACACCAGAGACTTACCCAGTTCAGATGCTCGGGATTAATAAAATAAGGCGTACAGAAATTCGTCAACCAAGCAAGTAGATATCCAAGCGACGTGGCGGTGCCCACCGTCCACGCGCGTAGTCGAGAGCTGACCAACTCCGTCGCGACGGGATAACTCGCCGCGCCAACACAGCCGTTATAGAAGAACATGAACAAAGCTGTGAAGGCAACTAGGGTCTGTCCCGTGGGAAGAGAGTTTGGGCTGACCGTTGCGGCAATCGCAGTGGCGAGTTGACACAGCCCGCAGGCAATGGCGCCCAGCATGAGGATCCCGCGACGACCCAACAGATTCCGGATGGCATACATGCCGATATTGACCCCGAGGAACCCGAAACAGGTGTTCATGATGGAGAACTCGAACGCTTTGGCGATCCCGCACACGGTGAAGAAGTATGTTTGGTAACCGATGAGGAACCAGACGCCGGACGCAGTCTGGCATCCGATCATGCAATAGCAGAGCATCGTCCGACGGAGGTCAGCTCCTGTTGCCATGCTGTGAGCCGCGTTTGAGATTGGAAACTTATAGAAAGGACGCACCTCGGAACATATCCCGCGCGGCAACATCACCCTGCTCACGCTTTTCTTCCTCCACGCCCTTGACCATCTCTGCCAACTCCAGCTCGAGTAGAGTCGGTACTACACTCCCGATCTCATCACTGTCACTGCCACCGGGAGAAGCAAGGATAGTGTCGTAGCTAGATCCACGCAGTTGTTCCAGCGCCTTCCTCGCAGCTTTCTCTTTGCCTCGATGGAGCAGCCACCTGGGGCTTTCGGGCACAAAGAACAGTGCGATAAAAAGGAGGGCGGGAACAATATAGAGACATGCCAGAGGTATTTGATACGACAGAGGACCAAGACGCTCTTTAGTCTTGTTATCCACCGCAGCACCGAGAATGCTCCCGATATTCACCCAGTACGCAAATAGAGCAACCATCACGCCCCGCATGTGGGCTGGGGACGCCTCCGCAGTGTAGATGTTGGAGAATGTGACCAGAAAGCCGTTTGCAAATCCTAGAAGTAGTCTTCCTAGGTACAGGACTCCCGGCGAGGTAGTCCCGATCTGGATGGCGCATGCCACTGCGTTCACGACACATGCAAGCCATAGTGCAGCCCGGCGGCCTAGATATGCGGAGAAAAATCCTGCCACCAGTGAAGAGATGAAGGACCCTAGAGTGAGGAGGGAGGTTATTAACTGCTGGACCGTGCTCTGTGGAGATCACAGTCAGTCTCTCAAAGAGGTTCGGTATGTTGCAGGTTTACTCACATCAATTGCATACCCCATCTCCGATTCTGGATCTCGATATCCGAAAACTTTGAGAAAGCCCGGCATCGCCTGGAGCGATCCCACAGCTGCCAGATCGAACCCATATTGCATATTGGCCATCGAGACCAGACAGCAGAGGAAGAGGCATTTGCGGTTCTGCCATAGGGTGGTATCTGATATGGGATTGTCGGCCATGATGATCGCAGTGAAGCTCGCATAAATAAGAGAGCATTGGAACTATAGTCGTGGCATTAGGACAGAGGACATCTCCACTGTATCTTATGGGATTACCTCTTCCCCACATAGAGCTGCATGCTTTCGGTTATACCAATACTTCCTCAATGTCAAGAGCCTGAGGAGGATAATTGCGCCTATAGCTGACTACAAAGGCTTGGTCGACAGCTTATGTGTCAGGATGTCCCTCGGGCGATCTATAGACTTACCCCACAACCCCCGCAATACTCCATGCCAAGGGAATCCGGGGCTGCGGATCACGTCGACTGATATCAACGCAGAGATGAACGAGGAGGTGTTCATACCTAGTAAGGAGTGGATATTGTCTTCGCCGGTGATTATGGGCGTCGGCTGCCAGTTGAGGAGCATGACTAGAATACCTAGGCATGCAGCGATTGCTCTTAAACGATATGAAGCCGATCCTCCCGTCAACTGTTAATTGTTGTGCTCCCCACATGTACCTAGTCCTGAGATTATGCATTGTGGGGGTTCACGTATCCTTTATCCGGGAGTCGGATATATGTAGCTGAATGGCCAAGGAAATGCGCCATGCTGCTGGTTATCACTTGGGTAGCAATATGATTATCGAAAAAGTCGAAGAGCTCATTGCTCTCATTCAGCCCCAGCCCAATTTCATCCATGAACAATGGAGTAGCATGAGACTTGAAACAGCAATGCTTCTAGTAATTGCAACTTTGGGCCTGCTTTTCATAACAGACTATGGGTATATGATATACCTTCACTTCAAAATGGTACTGCCCATATACACCCCAGGAGGCAGCGTTAACAACGAATATAGCCTCCCGGGCCATTTCCACTACCGATCATCGGAAACACCCATCTTTTACCGGAAAGCAAGCCATGGATATATTTCGAGAAATTAGCAAAAGAATACAAGGCGCCGATGATTACGTTCTGGACAGGACGCCGACCGACCGTTTGGATTTGCGACGCATGGGTGGCCAGCGAGCTGCTTGACAAGCGAGCCGCGATCTACGCCTCTCGGCCTCGGATGGTCGTCTTCAGCGAGCTCGGCGCCGGGCAATCCAACCTAGTCAACATGTACTATGGAGATAGATGGCGGCTGCATAGGAAACTGACCCATATGGGCGTTGGTCTGCAGCAAGTACGGAATTACCGCGGATTCCAAAATGACGAGAGCAAAGTCGTTGCGTTCGACCTTCTCCGAGAACCAAAACACTATGTGAAACATTTCGAGCGATACGCAACGAGCGTGGTTTCAATCATTGGGTTTGGTAGGCGTGTTGCCACGTTCAGCGACCCAATAATCACAGAAGTGATCGCCGTTATGCAGCGAGCGGCCGAGCTGAATGTGCCTGGCAAATCCTTTCCGATGTTGATGGAGTCATTTCCCGGTAGGTTTCTATAACACAGCAATCATCTGTCTTCCAGTGTATCGACTGATATTGGTAGTCCTTGCGAAATTCCCAAACTGGATGGCGCCGTGGAAGCATGGGCTGGGAAAAGGACAAGGGCGCGGTAGACCTTTCTTCTACGCACTGGCTGAAGAAGCTGCCAATAACCCCAGTTCTGGACAGTGTTATGTAAAGAAAATCTTTCAAGAAGCCCCAAAGCATAATTTGTCTCGAATGGAGATCTCCTCGCTCACGGGCAATCTTTTTGGTGCAGGCAGTGACACCTCCAGCTCTACGCTTGTCACCTTTGTTCTGGCCTGCTGCGCTTTCCCAGAAACTTTACCAAGGGCATGGGAAGAGCTCGATAGAGTAGTCGGATCGCATCGAAGCCCGGCATTTCAGGACGAGCCTGACCTTCCATATGTGAAAGCATTCGTGAAGGAAGTACTGCGGTGGAGATCGGTGGCAGTCATCGGAGGCCAACCACATGCGCCAATCAAGGACGACCACTATAAGGTACGGTCATAGATTGTCTGCCACTTTGTTCGCATCAATTGGGTTACCGGGTTAGTATGCTGACGAGACGGATGCAGGGTTGGTTCATTCCTCAAGGTACCTGGGTCCAGGGCAATGTTTGGGCGATTCACCACCACGAACGAGAGTTTCCCGACTCTGACCGCTTCAATCCGAACCGATATATGAAAGACAGTCCAGATCATCGGCCATTCCCCGGTGAAAAAGGGTACATGACCTTTGGGTGGGGACGCCGAGTGTGTAGTGGGCAAGGCTTAGCAGAACAAGGGACCTTCATTACTGTTGCACGTCTGCTTTGGGGGTTCCGAATTGAGAAGGCTTTGGACCGGGAAGGGAATGAAATCCCCGTGGATATATTTGATTACACGTGAGTTTGCCTTCATGTATTCTTCTTTCAAAGCATGCGGTGAGCTGAGCTGATTGTGATGTACGCTCTAGTAATGGACTCAATATGAGGCCAAACCCGTTCGAGTGCCGCATAACCCCCCGAAGCGCGGAGATCCAGGCGACGATCGAAAGAGAAGGAATGCAAGCCTTGCAAGATTTAGCGCAGTATGATGGGGAGACCGAGTATCGGATGAGCACGTACTATGCCATGGAAAATTTGTGATGGGATTCGAAAGTGGCGGCGTGATTGACTTCGGGGCGTATGATAGCACGGTAAGTTTCGTCTCGAGCTTATTGAGTTCTTTGTCAAACATGGAGACGAGGAGGTGTGAAGGGCGAAGGGAGACGAGAAGAGAAGATGATGTTTGGTGGAAATGGTCTAGATTTCCCAAAACGGACTAGTTCTTCTCAATAAGACCTCCGATTGGCGGGCAGCCTGATTACCCTTTTGGGCTATCAATAAACGGTGTCGCATTCATTCCGTCGGCTTCATTTCTGCTCCTTCTTCGGCAACGCTCGAGAAGCCCACGACCAGCCATGGCTTGTCTATTACCCTCATGAACTTCGGCTAGCCTCGCGTTTGGCGTTCGACTACCAAGGATTAATTCCGCTCTCTGGCATGACGAGAACAAGATACCTCGTGCCTGAAGGTCTGTCCACCAGGGAACCGCATTCCGCGAAACTCAAATGACGCGGATATTTCGTGGGCTCATCACGTTCCGGGCCCAAAGAGAGGGATGGAGGAGAGGGAAGGGCATGTTTATTCCTGCGTCCGTCCTGCTTTCTTCTCCTTCAGCCGTCCTCATGGTATCACTCATCCTTGCGTGCTGAAGGAGCATTCAATGGTCTAGAAGCCCAAGCGGCTGGTGTATCTCGTGGCATGGTCATCTTGTCGCTTCTGTGCATCACCCATACCAACCTGACACGTTAAGGCGGGAATCGATAGTGTGGCGCATACTTCATGCCGTCTCTCCCTCTCCTCGTGGGGATTTGCTCCCTCGTTGTTGCCGGAGTATCTCAGTTGGCCACCGCTACGCCTGGATATGTTGTTGTTGAGCGGCTTGATGGCATCCCCGATGGCTGGACGAAAGGCCCACCAGCCTCGCCATCCAAACTGATGAGATTTCGGTTGGGTATACATCAGGAAAATGCAGCCGCGTTTGAACAAAAAGTGATCGATCTGTCGACGCCTGGACATGATGCATACGGGCGTCATATGCAGCTCCATGAGATCCGGGATTTCTTACGCCCATCTGATGATACCTCAGACAGCATTCTCTCCTGGCTACAAGCGAAACAAGTGGCTGCTGAGGCTATCGAGGACCATGGGAACTGGATCACTTTTACCATCCCCATCTCGCAGGCCGAATCCCTGCTTGGCACACGGTTCTTTGAATTCCACCATCAGAAATCCGGATCAACTGTGACGCGAACGCTCGAGTATTCGGTTCCGGAGGACGTGTATCGTTATGTCCACTTGATCCAGCCAACCACCCGATTCGGACATTTCAAGCCCCAGGCTGGGATGCCCGATCTCACACCAGTGGCTCTCACTGCAGAGGACATTGATGGAAATTGCTCTACTATTACACCTGACTGTCTCCGTGAGCTGTATCGTATCAACGACCCCAACCCAACTCCGGATCCCCGCAATATACTGGGTATCTCTGGATTTCTGGAAGAATGGGCCCGTTACAATGACTTTGAAGAGTTTATGAAGCTTTTTGGGCCGAACCAACAGGACGCCAATTTTACTGTGGATTCTATCAATGGCGGCCTGAACCTGCAGAACTCTTCACAGTCCAGCTCCGAAGCGGCGTTGGATATACAGTACGCTGCATCGATTGCCTATCACGCTGAAACGAAATTCTACACTACTGCGGGCCGTGGACCCTTGGTACCAGAGGCTGACCAACCCGACCCTAACAATTCGGACAACGAGCCGTACCTGGAGCAACTACACTATTTGATAAACCTACCGGATGCGGACCTCCCCGCCGTTCTGTCAACCTCATACGGCGAAGACGAACAGAGTCTCCCTCCGTCATATACGGAAGCAGTCTGTAACCTCTTTGCGCAATTGGGAGCCCGTGGTGTCTCGGTGATCTTCAGCAGTGGTGACTTCGGCGTTGGGGAGGTATGTGTGACCAACGACCGTGATCAGAGGAAGAGATTCTTGCCCGTATTTCCTGCATCATGTCCTTTTGTCACGGCGGTCGGTGGCACCTACGGTATGAATCCAGAAAAAGCGGTTAGCTTCTCAAGTGGCGGTTTTTCGGAGCGGTTTCAACGTCCTTCGTATCAGGATGCAAGTGTCAAGGAGTATCTTCGAGGACTCGGAGAGCAGTGGCAAGGACTATACAACAGAGAGGGCCGAGCATTTCCAGACGTTGCTCTTCAAGCCAGAAGCTTCGCCATCATCGATCACGGATCTACTTTGAAGATTGGAGGTACAAGGTGAGTTGCGCGCTTGAATCGGGCCTCGGTGACGTGTGCTAATTGAATGGTAGTGCTTCTGCACCTGTCTTTGCGGGTATTGTCTCGCGCTTGAATGCGGCACGACTGAATCACGACAAGCCTCGTCTCGGCTTTCTCAATCCGTGGCTTTATTCCCTCATGGGGGACGGGTTCACGGATATCGTTGATGGGGGCTCCTCAGGGTGTGCGGACCCTCGAGGCCAGATACCGTATGCTAGCTGGAACGCAACGACGGGATGGGATCCTGTGACAGGACTAGGGTCGCCTGATTATGATTCTCTTGTCAAATTGGCTCTGAATGTCTGAAATAATAATAATAATAATAATAATAATAATAATGCGAAATCATTGCTTGCGATCGTTCTATAGATTATGTAATCACATAATAAGACGGTGTGTCACGTGATGAAACCGGCGAAGCTGTTGGAAGCTGAGCTGCCGTCAACGTCAACCACATCATCGACCCCATACAGCTTCACCTCTCACGCCGTCATCTACCCCCTCCCTCGCCCACGTTGACCACCTGCGCTCCTCAGTTTTTCTAAATACCGTTCTAATACCGTCTGAAATCCCTAAATTAGACCACGAAATGGCAAGCGGTGCCGACCTCCGGACTCTCGTCTCCGAGCTTCACAATGCTCTCAACAAAAACCAACTCGACGCTACGAATGACATCCTGAGCCGTGCCAAGCGCGCTCTGCTGTTACAGAATGCCTTGATTCCTACGCCTTCCACGTCGCCCGAGTTGATTGCCATCGCCCGCGAAGTCCTAGAGCTAGGCGCCCTGGCCGCCATCCGCCAGACGGACGCTCCCACCTTCACAAGATATTACCAGCAGCTGCAGCCATTCTACGACTTGGAGCGAGACAGCACGAATGCCGGAAAGGTGGACTTCCGAACCAGCCAGCGTAGCAAGATCACAGGCCTGTACCTGTTGCTTCTGCTGAGCATGGGCGACAGCACGAGCTTCCACACGGTTCTGGAAGGGCTGGTCGAGGAGGCGAGCCTGAAGGGCAAGAGTGTGGAGGACGACTCGTTTATCAAGTATCCGGTGGACCTGGAGCGGAATCTGATGGAGGGAAGCTACGATAAGGTGTGGAGAGAGACGAACTCGGAGCGAGTACCCTCGGGTGAATTTGCTCTGTTCTCCAGCGTGAGTTGACACGTCGCCATGAAATCTTGCAGTGTGTATGTTCGCTAACGATGATTGGCATAGGTCCTTGTCGGCACCATCCGCAGTGAGATCGCCGACTGCTCCGAAAAGGCCTACCCGTCGCTCCCGATCTCCAACGCCAAGAACCTCCTCTTCCTGGAGTCGGAGGGCGCGGTCATCGAGTTCGCCCAACAGCGCGGATGGGTTCTTCGTGATGGCCGGATATACTTCCCTGTCGAGCCCGAGGCGGCCGCCCGGTCCGAGAAGGACATCCTGGTGGCCAGCGGCACCATCATCGAGAACGCGATAGGATATGCCCGGGAGCTGGAGACGATTGTGTAACGGGATAGAAATAATTTATGGGTTCGATTTGTGCTTTTCTCTTATCGTCTTGGGTTCTCGGATGGGTCTGTATTCTGTGTCTCGCATGCCGTTGCATGTTGCATTACGAACGATCGAGCGGGTTAAACTAGGTCTTCATGAACAATAAATGCCGTGTCTCATGGCGAATACATTATACGCTCACGCGCCACGTGCACAGCCGTTTATCGTAGAAGCTGCTAGAGACACAGAGTAGTTCCGTGACGACGTTCCCCTGCAAGTCGTAGCCACCCTCTGGTTTCCACACGTCAGATGCATAGTTCATGCTTTGATGTTCCGTGAACTCCGCCAGTACGACAATCTCCCACGCTGGGAAGGACTCCTTCGTCTTCCAGGTGACCCGTACGACCCGAGTCCCTGCATGCATGCAACTGGCCAGGACCAGGAACGTCCACCGCTCCCCGTCGTCACCTTCGTCTACACGCTCTGTCTTCAGCAGCTGCAATCGCCAGACACCGCCTCCCAGACACGCCTCCGCGAGGACCTCCCCAGTACGAGTGGCATGATACACCCGCAGGTACTCATCGTAGCTGCCGGTGAGGAGCACCGGGGCGCCCTGTTGGAGGGGCAGCGGCAGAGGAAGAATAGAAGTGACGCCGGCCGAGTGATGACGCGCACGGTCATCGTGTTCCAGCAGCAGCGGGGGCAGTAAATCCGTAGACTCGGCGTCGCCCGCGGCACTCCGGTCAAACCGTCTGGTGTGCAGGGAGCCGAAATCGTTACCGGTGAATAAGAACGGCACCGACGATTGCGGCGAGGCTGGTTCGTCGTCGTAGGTGGCTAATGCTACAAACCAGACTTCGATCATCTGTCTGGCGGCGAAGGAGCCGAGTTCGGTGATGTCATTGCTTGCGCTTGCTCGTGCGAGGCCCTTATCTTCCTCGCGGGAGCTGGCAACTTGCGCCCCGAAGACGGAGGTTGTGCCATCTGAGAAGGTCACGGCAAAGCCGTCGGCGTCGTCTTGGGACAGCCACTTGGGTGGCGTCCAGGCGAGGAAGAGGGCTGGGATGGAGGGGTCCTCGTGCACAGGGCGAGTCCACAGGTGCGTGATCTCCGTGGCGGAGACTTGGAATAGAGCTACGGATGCCGCGCTGGAGGCAATAGCCAGAATGGAGGGGTTTGTCGGGTGGAAATGGAGATCAAAGACTGCGTATGGCAGTGGGATCTTTTGAATTAATGATCTGGGGGCGATTAGTTCTGGATCTGCACGTGGATACGGAGGAGCGTACAGTGAATTCTCAGGGCTTCCTGGATTGAGCTTCCATAGCTGCAGACTGCCTGTTTTTGTCTGTTGGATGTTTCCCTCGTCGTCCTTGTTCTCGGAGAGCAGATAGGTGCCCACGACGAACTGGTTGGCGATGGCGGGACAGAATTGCAGGCAGCTGGGAGGTTGGTCAAGGAAGACAGTCGTTGTTGAGCGGGGAGACTGAAGTTCCATTATGAAGTCTAGCTCTGTTATCTATAGTTGAGCGAAGATGGTGATGTTGAAGTGGACGAGGAGATATTTTCCATGCTGGATGCGGGCGGTGAACACGGCCCATCGCAGTATATATCGTGAACCTTTGTATACCCTTGTGCATGCACAACGCGAGCATCATCTCGATATCCTTGTCATTACCAGATTACCAAGAATGTTTACAAATCAAGACCATCCCTACTATTGCGTTTCATACTGACAGTACCCCGCACGATTGTCTAGGCAGCGAACCTGCCTACCGATATATACCTGCCTTTCTACCTACATTTCCTTCTTCCTTCAACTCCCCAAATACATTGCAACATCATGTCGAACTTCAGCAAACTTCCCCTCTGCTGCCACCATCAACCCCACCCCCTTCAAGGTCTCCATCCCCCAGGAGCAACTGGATGAGCTCCAGACCCTGTTGAAGCTCTCCAAGATTGCCCCGCCCACTTATGAAAACACCCGGCCAACCCGCCAATATGGCATTACCTCGGACTGGCTGACCACCATTCGGAAACAATGGCAGAATGATTTCGACTGGTATACCTTCTCCATATCTTCATTGTGAGAACTCATAGCTAATGTCCTGGCAGGAGAGCCTGCGAAGAAAAGGTCAACCGCTTCCCGCAGTTTACTGTAGATATCGAGGATATCAAGCTCCATTTCGCGGCGCTCTTCTCTGAGAAGCCGGACGCGGTGCCCATCATTCTCATTCACGGTTGGCCTGGCAGCTACATGGAATTCCTCCCGATGCTCCAGTTATTTAGTGAGGAATTCACCCCCAGCACCCTGCCATACCATCTTATTGTGCCGTCTCTACCCGGCTATGCCTTCTCTTCGGGCCCGCCTCTGGACAGGAACTTCATGAACCGAGACTCTGCCCGGATCCTGGATACGTTGATGCAAGGCCTTGGCTTTGGCGGGGGGTACATTGCGCAGGGCGGCGATATTGGTGCCATGGTGTCCCGTCAATTGGCCGTTGATTACGATGGTTGCAAAGGTATGTCTCGAACCTGCGTTCGTACGTGTCTAGATACTGACCACTTCTAGCTGCCCACTGTAAGTGGACCTAGATCTCCCTTTACTCTCCTAGTGATACCAACAAAGGCAGTGAACCTTTGCATTCTGCGCAATCATCCAGAAGGAGCCACAGAAATGACGCTCACAGCCCAGGAAAAGAGGGGCATAGAGCGATGGGACAACTTTCTCACTTTCGGCAGAGCCTATGCCGACGAGCACGGGACCAGACCCAGCACCATTGGGCACGTTCTCTCCAGCAGCCCGATTGCCTTGCTTGCCTGGTAAAGACCTTATATATGGCAACGCGTAAACTAGGTCTGACTGTGGCTACAGGATCGGAGAAAAGTATCTAGAGTGGGTGGATGATGCCCTTCCATCCGAGACGATTCTCGAGCTTGTCTCGCTGTATTGGTTTACCGAATCGTTCCCTCGGGCTATTTACCCCTATCGCGAGGTAGGACCACCGCCATACCAATCTACCATGTTGCTGACATTATGTAGCACTTCATGGCCCCAAAGGACGCGGGAACACTGCACGACCGTTGGTATATCCAGAAACCCTTCGGATTCTCTTACTTCCCCAAGGAGATCGCGGCGATTCCCAGGGCCTGGGTGAGCACCACAGGGAACCTCACCTTTTGGAGAGAACACGATAAGGTAAGTACTTTGTCCCTAACATCAGGAGATTTCTACTCATATGGTTAGGGCGGACATTTCGCGGCGCTTGAGAGGCCCCACGACCTGAAAGCTGATTTGACTGCGTTTGTTGAGCAAGTCTGGCCGGGCGTTGCATCTAAGTAGGCAGTCAGTGTTGTCATGGCAAAATAAGTGGCATATAGTGTCAATAGTTTCCAAATGGACCAAATATTGCGTAAGATATCCACGTACTCCGTAGACGTTCAGTTGTATACATCCATCAGTTTGGGGTATCTAATCTTGGCGTCCCCGCAGATTGATACCGATAAGATCTTATCAACAAACAACATCCTCCGTCCTTCCTCCAACTCCAACTTCTCCAAACTTTCTCATCCCAACAACAACCGCAATGGCTACCGATACCCGCTCAGTCATTTCAGACGAGTCGAGCTTCTACGGTACGCATATCACTCTCTCTACATGTCTCCATGACTAATAGCACCAGGCGACAACGACGAAGTGTCTCGTCTGGAAGAACTCGCTGAGACATACGACCCAGAGCCATACTGGTCGGCCATCCACCCACACCTCCTATCCACAATCCAGTACGAACAATCAGTCGCATCGCGACCCACGCCCGCGTCGCAGTCCACAAAAACCGAATCCGAGCCACCATCCTCCACGCCCAACATCAAATCCGAACTAGACCCCTCTCACACCAGCCGTAACAAACCAACAGCCAACGAACAGATCCCCGACTTTCTCGCGCGTCTGCCCCCATCCACGACACAAGTCGATGAAGCTGGACCCTGGCTCTATGTAAACGACCCAAACCACCCGCCACATGAGGGAGACGTTGCCACGCTCGTGGCCAAGGGGACGAAGCTCCTACACGCGTACGAGGACAAAAAGGCCGAGCTCGAAGCGGCACACGACCGCTCGGGCGCGAAGACGAGAGCGCCCCTGACGCGAAAACTGAATCCGCTGCGCCAGTCGCTGGAGAAGGAGATCTTTGCCCTGGCCCGCGAGACGGGGGTCACCTCGGGCAAGTGGATGTTGTTTCTGACTCCCGATCGTGTCGATGATTACTGGGCGGCGGTTGCGGAAGCGACAGCGCGTGGGGAGCTGGGTACTGCAGCTAAGGTGGCAACCGATGAAGGCAAGGGTCCCGACAGCGCGCGACTGCTCGCGGTGTATACGCGGGATTATGCGGATCGCGACGATGTGAAGCGGGTGATTGGGAAGTTGGTGGATTTGGACTTGGTGAAGGAGGACGAACGGCCGGTTTATTACAAGTGTGACGCGTACACCTATCTGCAGATCATGGGGAATAATCCGTATGGGCTGAGGGCTAGCTTGTTCTCCAGTCGGGATGTGCTGAGTGGGAAGATGTGAACAGTGGTGTGTGTTGATTGTGTGGTACTATAGATTTGATAGTGATGAAACGTATTGTACATGGGCTCCTACCATGCAGACATGGCAGATTGGTCCGCGGCAGGATGCGCGACCTGTTGGGTAGGCAGTGCTCTCTTGGGCAGCCCTGGGGGCGTTGACAGCATCTGTCAATGCGTTGCTGCAGATGGCACTCTCGCATCGAACCGGTGACCTCACGTGGCCATCAACAACACGATGCTGGTTCTGGTGCAGCATGCCATGGATCGTGTCGATCGACTCGTGTCACTAATGCACGGGCGTCAGGGCCCTTCACAGCAACTCTGGAGCTGGTCTGAACGATGCAGACTCAGCGGTAGCTCTCAATCCTCCCGCCGAGAACATCACGACGCTTCCTCCGTCTTCTCCATAATCTTCTCACAGGCGTCACGGATCTCCTGGACACCCTTGACCCCATTCCACTTCTCCAGCAGCCCGCGGACCTCCTCCCAATCCTTTTCGGCATCATCTCGTCTGCCCTCAGTCATCAGCGCCTCCAACCTCGACGGAGCAGCCAGCACCCACTGCACCGTGGCCTTCTCATCCCTTCTTCGCCCGGACTGATCCGTCGCCTTGGCCTCCTGGATCCGCCGCCGCTGCTCCTCGCCCTCTTGTATCAAGCTCCCCGCCGTCTCAGCGACAAACGCAATCGCCGGCCCAAGCGTCTTGGTCATGGTCAGGGGCGCACCGCGGTCGTCCATACTGCGACGCATTTTGCCGATCGTCTCGACTGCGCGGATCAGCTTGGAGTAGTTGTCGTAGACGAGCGCCTTGCGCTCGCTGTCCAGCGTGCGGATGTCCCCGACGAGGGTGTTCTCCGCCTTCAGCACCGTCGCCAACGACGACGTCGCCAGCAGATGATCCACATACCGCTGCGGATCAAAGTCCGGGCTGTCGAGTTCCGTGCCTGTCGAGACTACAGAAGGGTTAGAGAGGTCGCCCGCGTCGGTGTGTCGGGGGATGCTCCGTGAGCGGCGCGCGCCGGGACCTTCCGCGGCCGACGGCTTCAGGTTGTAGTAGTCTCGGAGGGCGGCGCGGTTGCGTCGGGTGTGTAGCGAGGGGGAGACGGCCCGCGCGGTGGAGGGCGTTGAGGAGGCGCTGAGGCCGCCGCCGACGTTGGTGTTGAGGGTGTCGAGCGAGGGTCGGCGGGAGGAGGCTGGAGTGGGAGAGTGGGCGCGAGAGGAGGCGATTGAGGGGCGAGGGGACGAGAGCGTGGACATTGTGAAAGTAGAGTTAAGAGGAGAATATGAGACCGAGAGAAGAGGACGAGCAGACGGGAGAGAGAAGTGGAAGAGAGGAAGTGATGAGGTGGCCGGAGGAGCTGTTTAAGCGGTGGTCCGTTCGTTATCCCGTCTCTTTTACCTCCTCCCGTTTCCTACACTTCAATCAATACCTCACAATGATTACCTCCGATCAGATCGCCGCCCAACTCCTGCACAGCAAATCTCTCCCGATTTCTTCCTCGTGGCTGGACGCCTTCATCTCCTCGACAGCCCATCAGCGCAACATCCCCATCTCCGCTCTGACCCAGACGGCGCTGTTCCGCATTCTCGCGTCCGACTTCCGCGATTCCCTCTCGACCAGGACTCCTTCTTCCCTCCTTCCTACCGATATCTTCGATCTCACAGTTCAAGAACGGCGTTTACAAGGACCTATTCCGGTACAGGTCCTCGATATCGAGGATATCGGCTCGAGTCTATGGAGCCAGGTGGAAGCCATTGAGCGCGTAGAGCGCGGGGAAACCGTGCGCGGTCGTGAAATTATTCGTACTGTGAACGTGGACGAGAGCACGCAGGGCCAAGCGGATTCCAATGGAAACACTTCCACCGCTGCTGCGCGACCGAATGAACCCGGGACGAGTAGTAGCGGACCTCATCGATTGATCGTTCAGGATGCCGCCGGGACGCGAGCCGTGGCTATTGAGCTGAAACAAATCAAAGGGATCGCTGTTGGTCAGCTACCCATTGGAGCGAAGTTATTACTGCGGAATGCTACGGTGGCACGGGGAATGATCCTGTTGACCCCCGAATGCGTTACGCTCCTAGGTGGGAAGATCGAAACACTGGATCAGTCGTGGAAAGCAGGCAGGAAGGAAAGATTGCTGGCTCGCATCGCAGAGGGCCAGGGTGACGCAGCAGCGCAAACTTGACATTGATGTTTCATGCACTCTACAGGTATGTATGGATGTTGATTCATACTTCGTCGCTATGTATTAACATGCCAGTTTCTAGTCTAAGAAGTCGTGGCAGTCACCGCATGCTTCAGTTCTTCCCACCCACTCTGTTTCCATGGCGCAACCATGATTGCCCGCAGTGCATCACTCGCTTTCCCAGTCTGCGCATATGCATCGGAGAGGTCAACGGCATCCAGATGCCCTCGAGGTGGTACGCTTCGCAAAGCTCTCTTGACGCCCATCTCCGCCGGGGCCGCTTCACTAGACGCCGCCGATAATTCCATCCAACCCTGAGGCTGGTAAGGTGCCCTCATGACTGCCGCTGTGGCCTCGCCAAGGCGTCTTGTCTCTTCCGGGATGTCTGTGGTATCACCAAAGCCCAAAGTGGAGATGGCCGTCAGGAGCTTGATCAGCTTCGACTGCTCGTGGATCTCAATATCATCCCTCGTGATCATACTCTGAAGGTCAGATTCAACTGCCTCAATCGCATCCCGGTCATCGTCGAGGAGCGCGATGGCTCCCAGCAGTGTGACAGCCCCAACGTGGTCAGGGTTACTTTCAACACAATCAAACAGCTGTTGACGAGCCACGGCCCGTTCCTCCTCCCCTCCCTTCGCCCAGAGCACTTGGGCAAGAAGGCACACAACGTCGGGTGCATTGTCTGCCTCTTGGAGTGCGTCTCGAAACATATCGATCGCGTTGTCCATGGACTTCATGTAGTAATGCGCCAGACCAGCAGTCAAATGTGCCGATAGACGCAGTTTTCTGTTCGCCTCAGGGTCCAATCTGTCAGCATCCTCCTCGCCGGACAGCATCAAGGCAGTCTCTGCCTTTTCTGCGGCCTCTTCAAACTCTTGTCGGGCCAGAAGGACACGCGCAATGTCGGCGTTTGCTTGCGCGAACTTGGAAAGGGACGCGGTCGACTCCGACACCTCGTATTCCGCTTCGACGGCGGAACAAACAGCCCGTAAATTACTCTCAGAATCCGAGAGCTCGCCAATTCTCTCAGCCAACAGGGACGCAAGATGAACAAAAGGCAAATCCGATGGATCCTGGGAGCAAAGCTGCTGGAGTGCAAAGAAGGGCTGAATGAGCTGCGATACTTCGTTCGAAACAGACGCATCGGACATGAGGTGATCGAACAAGCTGAGGGTGAACTGCTGTTTGGGAAGGACAGCCGATGAATTGGAAATGTCAAATGCGTGTTCGAAGAGGCCACGTGCCTCGCGTCGGTCACCAAATAGCAGAGCCAAGAACCCTTGCCCAATCCATGCTTGAGAGTAGTCGGGATCAGTAGACTGTGCACGGGTAAACGCCTCATTGGCAAGCGGGAGATCGTTATGGATGAGGTAGAGTGCGCCAAGGTTGGTCCAGACTTGTGCGCTCCTGTCGTTCAGGTGAAGGCTTCGTACGAAAGCATGCTGAGCCACCTTAGGACTCATGTTGGTAGTCACCACTCCAAGAGCATTCCAGAATTCCGAGTTGCCAGCTTCGAGCTCGATTGCCCGCTTGAAGCAACGGAGCGCCGCCTTCAAAAGTCTGCGCGACTGTTTCTTCCCCTTCGCTGCTTGGACGCACCTGTAGAGCCTGTATTCCGCCCATCCAAGGTTATACCAAGCCACCGCTTGGGCATGAATATCTTGTACTGAGACATGTATAGCACGCTTGTATGCTAGGATCGAGGCGTATAGAGCTTTATCTGACGGACTAATCGCCTCTTGATCCTCATCTTTCAACAACGACACGTGCTGGTGGCCCACCTCGTCGACATCCGTGAGGATATCGAATACTGTAGGGTCCGCTTGAGCGTTGAGCAAAGCTTGCACTTCACTGATGGGCAATCTTGCTGCCTTGAGCCTCACGTAGGAGAACATTGAGCACGCATCTCCTACACCCTTCCACAGATTGAAAATATCGACCCTTTCGGCGGCGAGCGATGTTGCTACCATAATAGCTTTGCGTGCAAGCTCAACACAGTCGTTGAACAGACCAAGCTCTAAGCTCTTCCATGAATTTTCTGTCAGTGTTTGCAGGAGAGCAATGGAGACACCGAATTCATTGGGCCTGAAAGCGAGAACTTCCTCGTATCTTCTTATCGCGTCGTCATATTCCGCGAGCTCGCGCTTGACATTCGCTAACATGTATCGAGCAAACCAGATCTGCTCCTTGTCATCGTTGGAGAGAGACTCTTCTAGCTGCTGGGCATGCTCAAATGCTTTGGTGGCAGCAATGAACCTTCCTGAATGATGGTAGCTCTCGCCCAAACCGACCCATGAGTGGTAATCGCCGGGTGAAATTCGAAGAGCGGCTTGGAAGGACACAATGCTTTTAGTATATTGCTGCTTGTTGATCTGAACGGTGCCCAGCGCTGCATATGGCCAGCTATATCCTTTCCGCTTGGACCCGGGAGCCGGTTTTGCTTTACCCGAGTCTACCACGCGCTGGGAGACCGCTTCGACCAGGTCCCATTCCTTCTGGTTCGCGAACGCTTTTGCGAGTCTTTGCGCTGCTTCAATTTCCGATGGGGATAGTTCGAAAGCTTTGTGAAAGCATCGGCGAGCCCTGGTCTTGTCTTTCTTATAGTCGGCATAGTACAGACCCAGACTGGTGTACGCAGGTGCGTAGTTCATGTTGGACTGAATCGATGCAAGGAAGTTTGCGTACGCGCCATTGCGGTCTTTGCGAGCGGCTGGCGATGGATCCATTTCCCATTGACAGTAACCTATCCGGTAATAGATCTCGGCTTTGAACTCCCTGTTCTCTGACCGGGAGTTTTCCAACTCTGCAAGAACATCTTGCAGTCCATCGAGACCGGAAGACAGATCCCCGTTCAACGCTCTACACCAGGAGAGTTCGCCACGGACCTTGATATTGGTCGGATCCCGATCTAACGCGCGCTCAAGGAAATTAACCGCTTCCGAGTAGTCTTCGTCAACTTTGAGAATCAGGCCAACTCCCAGGAGGCAACTGGTTGAAGTGGGATTCCTGGACAGAATCTCGTCGAATATAGCCTTTGCCTCGGGGTGATTCCGAGGTGATTGGTAGTAAATGAGAGAGTTCGCAAGGACTATGTTCAAGCAGTCAACAGTATTGCGTAGGCTCAAACCGGACATTTTGAACAGATCCTGGGTATTGACGAGTCCTTTACGAGAGACATCTGCCGCGCTCTCGTATTCCTCAAGGGACAGGTAGAGCTCGGCCATTATTCGATGAGCAACAATTGATGAGGACGACGTCTCTAGTCCTTCCACCATCAAGATCAAACTATCATGAGCGGCCAATTCCTGATTGTCGCTCTGCCCATTCTCCGCCTCCTGCTCCTTCGGCGACGAATCCCGGGACTCTTTGGGAAATGGCGAGATATCACTGGCTAGGAAGCCCTTCAGGAGCTTGGAGAGGCCTAGCTCAGGGAAGAACTCGATAAAGTCTTGCAAGAAGCCCAAGTCCCATTCCGAGAAGTTTTGAACATCTTGCCATTCCAGGGAAATCGTCCAAGCTAGCTCGAAAGGGTGTTTAATGATGACCATATCATGGGCAGCTTTCCAGACTTCCGCCCGCTTCGCCTCCTTTTCAGACGGAGGAAGAACTGCCAGTACGTCGCATCCCCTCTCCAGCAATTTCTCCTCATACGTACGCCGAACTTGATCATCATGGGACCAATCGACTACACCACGATAAAGTTGCTCAAGCTCACTTCGCTTGAATGCCTCTCGTTTGACTTCGAGTATGACTTGATCAATTCTTGCGCCCAGGCGAGTCCGTCGCTCCCCGATTTCTCTATTGATGAACTCCTTTTCCTCGGACTCGGTCATCTCAATCAAGCGCAGGTAGGTGTGAGAAGGGTGTGGTATCCGTCCTTCGAGGATAGAATAGATGGGACTGTCTGGTAGATGTAGCTCCAGAGCTTTCCGGTATTGGGCGCGTGAGCCATTCTTCTTCGTGAACGCGACGTACTTGTCCACGACATCTTGACTGCGGTGCTTGTCATCCCTAGGGCTGTATTAGTACCATCCCAACTGGCAGAAGATTGATTCTCAAAACGTACGCCTCGGCAAATATCTGGCACAAGCTGATGACGGCGTCACGGTATGCATCCAGCCTATCTGTTCCTTGTTTCTGTTGCTTCTCGTATAAGCTGACAAGTCCCTGCCATGCTGTCTTGTCTCCTTCTTTCAACCGGGTTGCAGCGAGGTAGGCTTTTTCCGCATCTTTGTTCTTGTTGAGCTTGTCTAGCGCGAGACCGAGAAAGACATTTCTAGATGTATAGATGTTGGTTAGATCGAACAGTCAGCGACGTAGTGGGATCCCACATACGCATGGTAGTTTTGAGGCTCTTGCTGCACCAACGCTTTGACTTTCTCAGCTGCAAGCTCAAAATCCTTCGCATCCAGCGCCGTTCGCACTGCCTTGAGAGCGGACTTGCTTGACATTCTAGTCCACTATGTGCATGGCCTGGGGGTGAATTTTGTGAGACTCGAAGCGATTTCGCAGGAGCGGAAGTCGAAATAACGACAATAGAAAGAAAGAGAGTGAATTGAATTGAGGTCTGGTTGTGTGGGGAAGTGCGGCGGGAAGTGGTACGTCAGAGGCCGATCGGCTCTCGTTATCTCTCCACTCCATTCACTCTCTTCCCTTCGACCATCGCCCATCATTCTCCGTGTTGGAAAGGCTCCGGAGGACGGGGATTTGATCAGGGGACAACCTCTTTCCATGTGCTTAGAAGCTTTTCGCTATCTACATTTGCACGCCCTGTGATATTTGTTGTAAGTTCAGTCGATCTGATCTACAGCTGGCACCCTGCCGACGCCAAGGCATTTCGGATTGGAATCTCGATACTGATCGCGTATTACCTATGATTCTAGATAGTGCTCGACCCGGGTTCCTTCTTGAGTGAAGGTTCTGAGTATTCCCCTTGGCCGTTTCCCTCACCACTCCCTCAGCTACCGCCGATTCTCCCGGTCCTCACGGTGACAGTGAGTAGCCGGTGTCGACAGCTCATCACCATGGGTCTCCGTCTACAGATCGATGGGAAGCTATTCAGGGACTCAGAAGGCCGAGAAATCACGCTGCGGGGTATTAACGTAGCTGGTGAAGCCAAGTACCCTAGAGCTCCGGATATCCCTTCCTACGTCCCAGACAAGTTCTTCGATGCGGATGATGTTTCCTTTGTCGGTCGTCCGTTCTCTCTCGACGATGCGCATAGCCATTTCGCTAGACTTCGCAAATGGGGCTATAATACCATAAGATATATTTTCACTTGGGAGGCTATTGAACACGCTGGGCCTGGCAAATACGATGATGAATGGGTTTCATTCACAGTTGACGTTCTTCGCATCGCCAAGCAATATCAGTTCTATGTCTTCATGGACCCTCATCAGGATGTGGTATGCTCAAATTTCTTTGTTCCACTGTCTGCGATGAAGTCGTTACTCGTTTGCTGAGACATCCAAGTGGTCACGACTATCTGGCGGATCGGGTGCCCCAGCATGGACGCTTTACGCGGCTGGTCTTGATCCCCGGGGCTTCAAGAAGACTGAGGCTGCGCTCGTCCACAACACGTATGACAATCCCGCAGAGTTCCCGAAGATGATCTGGAGCACGAACTACACCCGCCTCGTGTGTCAGACGATGTTCACGCTGTTTTGGGCGGGGCGCGATTTTGCCCCCAAAGCTGTTATTAATGGGATGAACATTCAGGACTTTTTGCAGAGTCATTTCATCGCTGCATGTAGATATCTGGCCCAGAAAATCCACGACGCAGGGGATCTTGAGAATGACGTGGTGATCGGGTGGGAAAGCATGAACGAGCCTCACCGAGGACTGATCGGCATCCAGGACATATCTGTTATCCCTCCCGAACAGCAGCTACAATTAGGGACATCGCCAACAGCCTTCCAGGCCATGTTAACGGGCTTTGGACGAGCCTGCGAAGTGCCCACCTGGAAAGTCGGTGGGTTTGGGCCTCATCAAGTGGGAAGAGAACTTGTGGACCCAGAAGGTGAGATTGCGTGGCTTTCGCCTAAATACGACGACCACAAGTATGGCTGGAAGCGAGATCCGGGGTGGAAGCTTGGAGAATGTCTCTGGGCGCAACACGGGGTCTGGGATCCTTCATCAGACCAACTACTGCAAAAGGATTATTTCTCTCGGAATCCTCGCACTCGTGAGCCGTTGGACTATGACAAGTTTACAAATACCTATTTCTTGGAGCACTACCGTGCTTATCGGGATGCGATTCGGAGTGTTTGGCCTGAGTGTATCATGTTCTGCCAACCTCCGGTGATGGAAATCCCGCCCGACCTGAAAGGTAGCAACGATGATGACCCCAACATGGTCCATGCGGTACATTATTACGATGGACTCACGCTTATGACAAAGCACTGGTAAGTTGGGGTCATCTATGCTTGGTCACCGCCTGGCTAACTGTCGCAGGAACCGACTATACAACGTTGATGTGATCGGCGTGCTTCGGGGCAAGTACCTGACTCCTGCATTCGCTGTCAAGATAGGAGAGACTGCCATTCGCAACTGTCTGCGAGACCAGCTCAAGTTTCTTCGCGATGAGAGTCTGCGGTACATGGGTACTCATCCTATGGTATTTACTGAGATAGGAATTCCATATGACATGGATGATAAAAAAGCGTACAAGACTGGAGACTACAGCAGCCAAGTGAGCGCGATGGATGCGAATCATTTTGCTTTGGAAGGAAGCACTGCCAACGGATTTACGCTGTGGCTGTATACTTCAAGCGTAAGATGCTTCCAGGAAATATGTCTTGTTAAGATTTGGGCGACTGACTGATGCTTTGTCCAGAATAACCACGAATGGGGAGACAATTGGAACGGCGAGGACTTGTCAATCTTTTCCGTTGATGACCCCGAGTTACCCAGTGGCAAGCTTCTGGGACTGGAAAGCGAGTCCCATTCCCAGTCGGATCCTCACTCACCCACCTATTCGCAGAGTCAGAGCAATGCTGAAGACCAACATGTCGGGCCCGGCAACCTGAAAACCGTCCTGCGCACACAGTCGATTTCGTCCGAATGCTCGCAGAGTTTCCAGGACAATGTAGGATTTCGCGCAGCCGAGGCTTACATCCGCCCGAGTCCCATCTCCACCCACGGGCTCCTAACCAGCCATGGATTCGATTTGCGAAACTGCACGTTTACCATGTCACTCGTTGGGAGAGCCCAAGAGATTGGCCAAAACAGTCCGACGGAAATCTACCTTCCCGACTTCCACTTTCCGGACACACATACGGTCGTGTCTGTTAGTAGTGGAGAATGGTCGATTGATCACTCGCAAATCAACTCGGTCAAAGTGCAGCGGCTCCGATGGTGGCATCCGGAGGGAGAACAGGACATCAAGATCCAGGGCCTGAAGCGCAAACCCGGCGAGTTGACTGATGTCAGTGGGGAGGATGTGAGTTATCTGGAGCAATGTCAGAGCGGGGGTTGCCAGATGATGTGAAGGCATGTTGTTGATGGTTGAGAAGGGCGTAATGCAGTTCTAGTAGTATAGAATCAACAGTAAGACTGGAATGTTTATCGTGATGTTTATCGTGATGTTATCGTGTTTATCGGAGAACCTCAGGAAGCAGTGGGGAAGGCGGTGAGCTGCCCCTCCACGCCCCATTGACTGTGGTGATTGGGGCGGGAGCGCGTGGAAAATTCTCCTGCTATTTATTATTATGAGCACCATTCCACCTCCCGTCCATACTCCGACTGCCTAACGAAAACCTCTCCTCCTTCTCCGTGTCCACGCGACAAGTTCTAGGCTATCTCACTTGGTCATTCGCTTCCTGCAGCACCCCGAAAGACCTGGCCTTCTGCAAAGATCACCTCTCCAGAGGCCAAGGGACAACAACGCAGGCTATCGCTGACCGCAACTGCCCCGTCCTCTGCTGCGGCTATTGCCGTTTCCGCCCACTGGAAGCTGACCGGTCTTCTGATCTCTCCCACGACCACCTCTCTTAGTTCACAGGTTCACAGACAACAGGAAGAAAAATACTTTACAAAGAGAGAGGCTCTATCTGAAGCCCGGATCATGACGAGATTGCTGTAATCGCCCCTCCAGAAGAATTGAGCGATTCCATAGACCATTGCGTTAGGCACCAGTCGTCTGGAGCGGGATTGCTTCCGTCAAACCATGGCTGCCGAAGACGATCTGTCGGAGAGCCGCATGACCGACATCGTTCGGGCCCTGGAGCTGATCCATAATCCGTCATCTACAAATGAGTTGCGCAGAGAAGCCTTGACCTTTGTCGAGTCGCAAAAGGAAAGCAAATCAGCGGCGCGCGATGGGTTTCTCTTGGCTTCCCGTGCGGATAGCAATCCCCTGGTCCGGTATTTCGGCCTGACCCTGTTGGATCATGTCCTGCGCCACACCTCATTCACGGCCCCCGAACAGGTCGCTGGCTTGCGAGACTTGGTCTTGAAGCTCGCGGAGGGCGTTCGGCCAGAGGATCCGCCGTATCTCCGCAACAAAATCCCGCAGTTATGGGCGGAAATCGCCAAGCGCAGCTGGGGGTTGGACTGGGTCGCTATGGACGAAACTCTCGTCCAGTTCTGGGGTGCCAGTCTCGTGCATAAAGAGCTAGTCCTATCCATTCTCGAGACCTTGTCGGAAGATATTTTCTATCGGGAGGATACTGTCTCCTCCTTGCGCGGGACAGATCTGAACCGGTCCCTGGTCGAAATCTTCACGCCGTTGTCCGTCTTCGAGGAGGTGTATCCCAAGAGAGAACATCATATAGAACTTCGCTGTGGACCGGAAGGCTGGCTGTCCCGGATCTGCTCATTCCTTGAATACTGCATCGACAACCTGCAAAGCTCAAAACAGGCGAAAGATGCCGCTTTGAAGGCACTTGGGGCTCTTAAATCGGTCTTGATCTGGTCTATCCCCAAAGCCATCCTGTCTGCAAACTGTGTGCCCAGTATTGCTAGAGCTCTCACTTGTCAGGATGAGCAGGTGTTGTTGGTAAGTCACATGCACCCCTCTCAGTAATCACCATTCCACGTGCTAACGTTCTAACACAGGCCGCTGTCGAAGCCTTACATTCGTTGTACAGTCGATCTAACTTCGACGTGGAGGGTTTCCAAACGCTGGTGCACATGATGTACCAGACAGATTATCTGAACCTTCTGCAAAAGCTGTATGAATGGTCCGTCGTGGGGCCTGATGACATTGATGATACGAAGTATATGGTCTCGAAAAAGCTGTCTGAGGTATGTTCGAACTAACGACGTGCCATTTACTGCAAACTAACAACTAGCCTGCAGATGGTGTCTTATGTTGCTGGCTTCCTCGAGGAGAAGAATTTCTCTTTAGACGATAACCACGGTCTGAATCTCCCATTCTTCTTCCACCTCATGATCAACGTAATACAGCATCAGAGCCTCACCGTGTCGATACCCGTTCTGCACGTATGGTCAAAGCTGTTAGCGTCTGAAAGGATCGGCAATACAGACCTAGTCACTAGCCTAGTCCCTGCGCTGCTTGGCATTTGCACTCAGCGGCTGGTCCGCTGGGAAGCTCTTCCTTCCGACTCTGACGACCCAACTGTTGTGTTCCTGCTTGAAGACATCGATACAGTCCCAGAAAGACATGCCTTTGTGGGCAACTACCGCCGGTACTGCTCGTCCATCATCGAGACGATTGTTTTGAAGCGACCACAAGAAGCAATCCCCCATATACTGTCAGAGATTGACGCAAAGCTCGACAACCTTTACACCGGTGCTCAACCGTTCAGCGCGCAATCCTTCTCAAAGAGCTCAATCCCGTTGATGCGCGCTGATACCCAGTTCGCAGTGGTGGACGCGACTCTGAAAGGATATAACAAATGGGTCTCGGCACACGGCCGCTCGCCCCAGCAAGACGAGCACAAACGTGGAGAATTAGAAAACATCCTCGAAACATGGGCCTTCAAGTTAATGCAGAGGCAGTTTGAAGATCCTGTTTTGAAGCAGCGGGTCGTCAAACTCATTGTGGACATCTCATCCAAAGCTCTCGACAAAAATCCCAGCTTTGCGTTGAAAGTCTTGGAGTACATCCTCATGACGCGTCTGCCCGACCAGCCAGAGTACCCTGCCTATTCCGAGGCAGTCAAAGAACTTCACGGCTTGGCCAGCCATGAACTTCGTCGTTTGGCAATGCGCTACGCCGATTATTTCTCGACTTTCTATGATCTGCTTGAACCAAAAATCAGGGAGATCAGCCAAGCCAATCGGGTCGATGACAAGCTTCACATGGAACTCACCTCGATTCTCCTCATCATAATGCAACGAGCGAGTAACGTAGACCCGTATCAGCGTCAATCTCGCCTTGCTTCTTTTGTGGAGCCGATAAGACAGGCTTGGCAAGATGATGAATTCCGCCAAATGTGTTCGACCTTCGAGGGCTTTTGTTCCATGCTCGGTTTGCAAGACGTGGGACCATACATGCAGTCGCGACAGGCGCACAAGCTGGAGGACTGGTCATCGGTCCCCCTCGACAATGAGGGTAAGGTGATTCAGGAGGATATGACGCGGAAGTTCCAGCAGCTCCCCTTGCGAGGCACCAAAACCATGTTTGCCGTCTCTACTGAGAGGTTGAAGAAGAACGAGGCACCGTACGAGATTGCCTGCAACATCTGGCACGAAATCATCCCCGTGATTCTGCCGACTCTATTGCAGCTGGTTAGGTATGTGATGCCGCGTGTTCTATTATCCCAATTGTCATACTGATAAAACGTATAGCAATGCTCACGCATTCCACAATCCCGCCAACTGGAGTGGCATGTCCGAGGAGATGCGGTCAGTTGTAGAACGCATCCTGACGGACAGATTCTGGCAAGCGGGTATCTCAACTGGCAGCCGAGATGAATTCTATTCTAAAATCACGTCTTCCCGTTCATCCCTTGAAGGCTTTGCTTCGTCAGTCAGGGGAAAGATCAGAGCCGTTCGGGAGTCTTGCTACTCGATGTTGTTCAGCATGAGTCGGCTGAGAGAGCATTTCTATGGATTTGCTGAACTCCCAGGTCCTTTGTCCCAGGCTCTGTTTAAGGACTCCGCCCATCTTTCCTCTCATCAATTTTCCGTTCTCCTCAATATCTCGAGGTGCCTCATTGATGACTGTCCTGTCCAGTTTCGAGCTCAATTCTTGCCTCCGATGTTGTCTACTCTGTTCTCCAACATCGACCGCAAGGTCACGTCAGAATGGGAAATCATCGAGCAACGCAGGGAAGGCCTGGCCGATGGAGACCTGACTGATGAGATGAAGTCGGAGAGTATCCTTCGACAGCTAACGTACTCTGCGGTGATCATGGTCGCCAGTCTGCTAGACCCGCAGAGAGGGGGTAAGTTGAACCATGACTTGTCAATACATCTCTATTTACTGAATTTGTTCTTTGCAGACCCCGACGAAGAGCCAGCTGACCCAAGCGCTCCACAACACCCGCCTGCTCTATCCGTCTCGATCCGTCATTTTGTTCTTTCGTCACCGGAAATTTTCGAGCCGCTCATGTTGTTCTGCACCCACGCGCTGCGCATGCGCGATACCCGATGCTGCAGCATCATCACCCGAGTTATCCGCTCCATTCTGCAAGATTTCGCCCCTCCTAACAATTCCCCCACCACGGTGACGATCCGCGAGTTCATCTCCTCCGAGGTTCTCAAGGCCTGTATCACCTCTGTTCATGAACCCTACTTTGTCGACATGCAAAAAGATCTGGCGCAGCTTATCGCGTCCATCTGGGTCCTCTATGGATCTAGCCCTACGCCGCGCGCGCTGATTCTCAGCCTGCCTGGTATGGACGAGCAGCGAGTCGCCAGTACAGAGGCGGCTCTCCTTCGGTCTACGGCAGCACGCCAACAGCGTGCCCTGGTATTGGACCTTTTGGAAGGTCTTCGAGGCGTCAGTATCGCCGAGCAGGGCAAGATCCTAGGCACGCGGGAGGAGCGACGCAAGGCACGCAGTGCCCTGCAAGAGCGATATATGAGCACCGAAATGGAAGCTCAGCAGAACAAGGTTGATATAAACGATGGGCCGGACCTATCTGGAGTAGCAGACATGTTCGGCTAGGCGAGGCGCAAATACTACTGACCTTCCTCGCTCTAGCAGCCCATGTCGTTACTGCACCAGTGGAGCCGTTTTGAAGGCCGCATGACCTGGACAAGCGATGCCAGGCAACTTCTCTAGCGGCAGGCCTGTTCAGCAAGGGTAGGTCCAGCCTGCATCTGTATAATACGGTGGTGACACATGTGCATGGATTGGACACCATTTAACCAGCCTTTTTATATCGCGCATGACGACTGAGAAACTTAGATATACCTTGATGATGTTGATATTTCTAGATAAAAAAAACAGATAAAAAAAAAATCAAAAGTACAATTCAACCAAAGCGTCTAAGCTGTCTGCCTTGGGAGCGCTAGTGAAAGATAAAAACAAAGCATATTCCGAACTAATTGATCGACCACCAAACGGTATATCTACATGATACAGTCTTCTCTTTTGACTTTCCACGAACACTCCTGTTGCACGGGGAAAAGCATAATCACCACGCCACAGCGAATACTCCAGACCCTTGTCTGCTCCCTAGTCCCGCATCACATCTAATTGGAACCCGGCCAGTCTGGCAAACAGACTGACGAAGCGACAATGGCATAAACGAACCCAGACACATAACGTTTTCAATTGCTTATTGAGTGACATTGGCGGGGGTGTAGACGAAAGTAGGGCGGACATAGCTGGACAAACCATCAGTGGTCGGCATACCAACAAGAAAAGGGAGTCTTCAAAAAGCACGCACCGGCTGGTGTTATACACCTTGCTCTCCGTACCGAGGAGCTCCTTCTCGCGGGCCTTGTCGGCGAAGTGTCGGCGGACCTGGTCGCGGTCTTCTTCGGCCTGGAGGAGGGGGACGAGGTGGAGACGACCCCAGATCTTCTCACGGGCGAGTTCACTATTGAAGCGAGTGCATTAGATGGACTGGCTCTTTCATGCGGCACAAGGCGGGATGGGACGCTCGCGGGGTCAGACGTACTTCATCTCGCGCACACCGTGGAAGAGCTTGTAGTAACCGTAGGCCATAACGAGGTGCATGCCGACGAGGTAGTAGATGGGGCGGAATCCACGGGCGGGGATATTACGCTGCAGAACATGTTAGTATCGTCTCGTTCTGACCCTCGGGACTCTCTCGCAGTATTGAAGGGGGGGTTCATGGGGATCGAGGGAGAGGGTTATCGGTCGAGCCGTGGGGAGCCGGGGGTTCTCGCGAGGAATTGGGCGGGGGAATTGCCATTCTTGTCGTACCTTGTACTGGACCGGGGCGTAGCCCCCGGCCGGGGGCATATCCTGAGGCATTTTGGCGGGAGACGGGGCACAGGAGACGTGAGGACGGCGACAGGAAGATCGGCCGATGATGCTTGACGGACGAAGTTGGACGGCCGGTCACGTGGCTGCTCGCTGGTTTGGTAATGGCGCCTGCGGGGCTGATGATTGGTCCGTGGCGATTTCGCCCGGAGACTCGGAGCGTCTTTTTTCTTGCAGCTCCGAGTATCTACAACGTACCAGATCCATTGTATCACAGTACAGCACTATGGACGAGGAAGAACGGCCCCGGAAGTTTCCCAAGCTCGACCACGAAGGCGCCCAAGATGATTCTGAGCCGACTATGACCGGCGCTGTGGGAGCGGTCTCTGCGAACGACGCTACGAGCCAGACTACGACAGCTGAAGCAACAGCAGATGCACACAACGAAACTGCAACAGCAACGAATGATGAGACACAGGCACTGGAAGAGGGGGGGACGGAGACTGCGCCGAAGATCTCCAAGAGGCAGTTGAAGAAGCTCCAGCGGCAGAAACACTGGGAGGCCAACCGCGCCGATCGCAAAGTCAAGCGGAAAGAAAAGCTGATGGAGAAGAAAGAGCGCAGACGGAACGAGATCGCTAAGGCAAGGGAAAGGGGTGGGGAAGAAGCTGTCGCGGAGCTTCTGAAGTCATGGGAGCGGACCCCGCAACGATTCGCGCAGTCAAAACTGCTCCCGTTGACCCTCATTCTTGACTGCGGGTACGACGACTTGATGCTCGAGAAGGAACGGATCTCCCTCGCCTCCCAGCTGACGCGCGCTTATTCGGAAAACGCCAAATCCCCCTACCGCGCTCACATGGTTCTCTCCACCTTCAACAAGAAGCTGAAGGAGCGGTTCGATACGGTCATGGCGAAACAGCACGAGAACTGGAAAGGTGTGCGAGTTATGGAGGAGGACTTTGCGCATGCCGCGGAGCAAGCAAAGGAATGGATGCAGGGGCCGGGCGGAGGAGAATTGGTTGGGCCTTTTGCGGACAAGACGAATGCGAAGCCCGAAGATGGCGAGGTCATCTACCTCAGCAGCGACAGCCCGGATACGTTGACGGAACTGAAACCGTATAGCACATACATCATTGGAGGCCTGGTGGACAAGAACCGTCATAAAGGAATCTGCCACAAGCACGCTGTGGAGAAGGGGATCAAAACAGCGAAACTGCCGATTGGGAAGTACATCGAGATGAACCACCGTTCGGTGTTAGCGACCAACCATGTGGTGGAGATCATGTTGCGATGGATCGAACTGGGCGATTGGGGAGAGGCGTTTATGAAAGTGCTGCCTCCCCGCAAAGGAGGGGTGCTGAAGGGGCCGAAAGGAGAGTCGGAGGAGCCGTCGCCGAGTGAGACAGCGCAGGAAGCAGAGGAAGCAGAGGGGGAGGCTGTATAGAAATGTGGATATATGTAGAACATACTATTGTACAGTAGTTAATGTTGTGCATGCATAGCTGAGTCAGCGCGTTGCCACTCACGATGATCGATGACGGAATATCAACAACAACAAAAACATTTCTTGACGTCTTCTTCTTCCCTTCCGTTTCTCCTCCTCCTCGTCGTCTTCTCCTGCGCAAGCCATCTCGGTGGGGACTTATCGTTCCTTGGAGATCTCCCTCGTCATTCCCCACATTCTCCTGGATCGATCATCTTTCTTTTGCTTCTCTCTTTCTAGACCCTCTTGTTGATCACCTCTACTGCTCACCCCCCACCTTGGCAAGTAAACAACTTCTCGTTGCTCAGGAAATCGTCCACCATGTTTATGCTCCGGAACGGTATGTGATGTCCATCGCTCTGTCCTTGCAGTGTCTCGACTTCCCCCTCGATATTTCTCCTTCCCCACGCTCTACCCCTCCCCCGCCAATCTCCCTTTTACGCAGTTCTTCCTCGGTGGCGACAACGTCTCACTTCTTCAAACTCCCACTAACAACCCCTTTGTAGTGAGCAAATTTCTCTTTGGGGATACTTCCAAGGAATCCATCATCGAAATCCCCCAGGGTCAGCTCTATCTCGTTCGCCCTCTGTCGCCCAAGGGTTACTCCGAGCTCATCTTCAAGGACGCCGCCGCCTCGATCCGTCGCACCGGCCAAGAATTTCAGTACCAGCTGGTAATCCAGCGGGCCTACGAGGAAGGTGAGGAGGAGCTTGCTGAGGACGACGACGAACAAGGTGGCAGTGACGGTTCCGACAAGGACGAGAAAGTCTTCCTCCTTGATCAGGCCCTGCACTTCCGCTCCGAAGTACGCGACGGCGGTTCCAAGATTCTGGCCTGGAGAGACCTGAGTGGCGATCTGGGTGATCTTTTCGAATTCGTTTGCGATCCGTCGGTCCCCTCCGACAAAGTCACCACCTTTGAAGTCGCCGCTCTCCAGTGTCAGTACGAACGGAAATACCGGCGCAGCGCCCAAACCGCCTCCCATCAGGACCTTCAAGAATTCTCCTTCCAGGAGGAGAAGCCCATTCCATCCGCAAGCCCTCTGGGTTCGCCTGCCAAATCTCGTACCCACTCATTGACGTCCGCCGAAACGACTGCGGCCATGGCCAAAGACGTGGAATATTCGCGGTCCAAGGGACAAATCAAACCTGCTGGCTCGGCTGATGAACCCACCGTAGCCCCTCCATCTGCCACTCAACCTGAGGCTAAGGAAGTTCTGGCAAAGGAGAAGGCCGAGTTGCACATGTTTGACTTTCCCACGGGAACCTTTGTCCTCCAGGATCCTGAAGTTGTTGCTACTGTATCTGAAATTGGCAACTGGCAATATTGGCTCCAAATCACGGGTACAGAAAAGGAATGGCTTGGCCAAGCGGTCGTCGCCGACATCAACCCGGTCTTCAACTTTGAGTACCTCTCGTTCATCTTTAACCACTACGGTGAAGATGGGTCGGCCTATTCTTGGCTCCTGCGTTTCAAGGACCAAGAAACCGAGGAACGGTTTCAGGAGGGCTTGATGCAGGCTCTCTGGGAACAGTTGAACGAAATGAAATGGAACAAAGTTAAGGAAAATGAGAGGGAATACGTGTTGGACGCGTTCCAAGATCTCACGATGGAAGATTCGGAAGAGCAGGAGGCTGAAGAAGAAGAGGAAGACGAAGAGGAGGACCATGACGATGGTCAACGCAGCGAACACTACGATGAAGATGAGGAAGAAGACGACGTGGTGACCCGCGATGACGATGGTAATGTCAACTCGCAACTTGCCGTCGGCTACAAGCACGACCGGTCGTTCGTCGTCCGCGGCTCGAAGATCGGTGTCTTCAAGCATACGACGGATAACAACCTGGAGTTCTCGACCAACATTTCCAAGGTGGAAACTCCCAAGGGCAAGCTGTTCAGCCCCAAGAAGGTCATGCTGCACGCAGAGGACCGCAACATGATCCTTCAGAATGGCGACGATCCCAACTCTCTCTATCGTATGGATTTGGAGTATGGTAAGATTATCGACGAGTGGAAGGTTCACGAAGACATTCCCGTGACTACATTTGGTCCTGAAAGTGTATGTGTTTTTTCTCCCACCGCGTGTTTTTTTCTTATACTAATCCTTCACAGAAATTCTCCCAAATGACTTCCGCTCAGCCCTTCATTGGCGCGTCCAACAATGCTCTCTACCGCATCGATCCCCGTGTGTCGGGCAACAAGCTGGTGGATGCCGAACTCAAGCAATATGCTAGCAAGAATGACTTCTCCTCGCTGGCTACCACCGAGAAAGGATACATCGCCGTGGCATCGAACAAGGGTGACATTCGCATGTTTGACAGACTGGGAATCAATGCAAAGACTCATATCCCAGCTCTTGGAGAGCCTATTATTGGTCTGGACGTGTCCGCTGATGGCCGCTGGGTCCTCGCCACATGCCGAACTTACCTGCTCCTGATCGACTCGTTGCAGAAGGAGGGCAAGAACGAAGGCAAACTGGGCTTCGAACGTTCATTCGCGAAGGACTCCAAACCTCAACCTCGCCGGTTGGGCCTGCAGCCAGCCCACGTGGCGCAGTTCCAGCACGAAACGAAGAAGCCGCTTGCCTTCACACCAGCACGGTTCAACACCGGTGTAGATTCCGAAGAGACGTCGATCGTCACTGCCACGGGTCCTTTCATCGTCACATGGAGCTTGAAGAAGGTGGTTCAGGGTCGCAAAGACCCGTACACGATCAAGAGATATTCTGAAGAGGTCATGGCCGACAACTTCCGGTTTGGGTCGGACAAGAACGTTATCGTGGCATTGCCGAATGAAGTGAACATGGTCGCCAAGAAGAGTCTGATGAAGCCCACTCGCGAGAGTATTGCCGGCCCTCCTGTTACTCCTCGTCGCAGTACAAGATGGGGCAGCCGATTGGGAAGAGATGACATTGTCAATTCGCCCTACTGATCATTTGTTATACTTGTTTTCTTTATTATTTTTTCTATTTACTTGTGATACTGCATACCCCTATTGCTTTTCTTTTCTCGTTATTACTTTATGGCAAGATCTGCCTATGAGATGGATAAACAGGCCATGCTTAAGAATACTACTTTGACCCCTGGTTTACGATAGTTAGCTAGTAATAAAGGAATACGATTTACGATTAGATATGAATAAGTGCCTTGTATACTTTTAGTCTCGATTAAATCCAGCTACCGATGCCTAGGAAAGGTATTATTGTCTTATGCTAGTCTGTAAACAGCTACGGGATGGCCAATACTGAGACGGAATATATTGGTACTATCTAGTAACTGATGAATGACCCTCCGAGGAGAAAAGGGATATCTCGGGTTGTATTACTCCTCGCGAATGAATGCTTGAGTTCAGAGATGCTACACGATGGAAACCAGCCACACCGTGCCCGGGGTATTATGTACAAACATCTTGCAAGTTCCAGAGACGACGGGGAAGAATATATTCAGGCACCCACATACCAAACTTCCACCCCGAGGATATCGAACTTGTCGCCTTCATCGGAGAGAGGCTCATTTCCAAACGTCTGGCAGGCGGAGCTGACGCCCTTTTCGAGACTGGAGTCCATCCACAGGCCGTATCGACCGTCCCTATTACAACCAGTTAGATCTGCCATTCAACAAGGTCTACACGTATAATGGGATAGGATGTGCGGTCAACTCACCCTCCACCCAAACTGAGGAAACCCGTTTCACAAAACATCATATAGTCATTGACACCGCTGTAGGGGAAGGCCTTGAAGCGGATGCGCTCGGGGGTGCTGGTGCCGCTGGTGCACCCGGTGGACGGCGGGGGCGCGAGGCGGCCCCGCGAGGCATCTCGCCGCTCTTTCTCGCTGCGGAGGGTGCTCCATCGGCCGGCGTGGGTGGTGTCCGCGCTGGGCGGGGGTGGCAGCCCGGCGAGCTCGAGCAATTCCTCCGAGTGCGTCCCGGCGGCCGGGGCACTGCCGTCGCCATCGCCGTCGCCGTCGCCATTGCTGCGAAGGTTCTCGAGGAGCTGGCGCGGCGGGGTGAGGACGCTGGCGCGCCAGAGGAAACACTCGCCGGTGCCGAAGTAATGCGAGTGGGGATGCGGGGGGTCGGTCATGTAGGCGCCGAAGACGGCGCCGGCGGCGGAGGCGTCGCGGACGATGAGCACGTAGCCCGCCCGCGGGCTGCGTTGGGAGATGTCAGCGCAGAGGTCGTAGAGGGTGGCCAAGGAGGCGCCGTCGCGGTCGAGGCTGTAGGCGAGCCGCCAGGTGTCGACGAGCTGGAGGCGGGCAGGGACCAGCAGCCGGATCTCCTCGGCCAGGGCGCGGGTCAGGAGCTGTTGCTGGAGGCTGTCGCTGGCGGAGCTATGGAAGTCGCCGGTGGTGAGGGTCAGCGGGGTGAGAGGTGGTGGTTGGAAGGGCGATGCGGTGCGGACGGGGGTGAAGACCTGGGAGGAGGCGGCGGAGTCGTTGGGGGAGGTCATGGAGGAGTCCTGGTTGCGGCGCATGGCATTGGATTTGGAGGAGGGCGGGTCGGTGAGACGACGATAGAGGCCGGAGACGACGTGTGTGACGGGATAGGAGAAGTAGGAGGCGGTGGATTGTTGTTGGAAGGGAGGGTTGCGAGTGCGAGATGTGGATCTCGAACTGCCCCGGGAGGTGGATGACATGCGTGCGGGGGTGGTGGGAGCATTCAATTGGGTTGGAGGATGAGGCGGAGGAGGAGGTGATATTTAGACTGAGTGATTGGGAGAGGAGCAGTTGCAGGGAGAGGGAGGAAAGAGGAAGTTGGAGGCGGGAGGCGGGCGGATGATATGATGTTGCGATGATCGTCAGGGCGGGCGGGGAGAAACCCTAACATACTACGTACGTAACTAGATAGTTAGACGTAGGATGTACTTCTGTTCTTGTTACGAATATTATTGTCAATCCTAGTCTTATAACAAAGATACACTCAACGATAAATGCAACACGCCATTATCATGCTAATCGCAGCAAATAGTCTAGTATGACATCAGATCAATTCTTCATCATTCATAACCACCGCCATCAGAACTGTGACCCTGTGGGCCGCAAGTCGACCGTCTCAAATTCCAGTCCCTTCGCTTCAAACACATGTCCAGGCCGCAAAGCATCCGTATAAATGTTGGTTTCGGGGTGGGGGTGGAACAGCCCGGTCTGCGTACAGTTGAGGACCGACTTCAGACCCGGCGGATCGGTCAGTCGGAACACGCCCCAGTCGGGCGTCTTGCTCGGAGCACAGACAATGGCAATGCTTTCCGGCATCATCACCTGGTACCCGCAATGAGTATGTAGGTCTCTCGAACTCATGAAACATGTCTGCGTAGGGTGGGTGTGGATCCAGCCCAACACCATTAGATCCTCCGTATCACAGTAATCGAAAATCGCGCTTTCATTCACCGTCTCGCAGGTGTCCGATGTCGCCGTCTGTTCGGGAATCAAAAGTCGGGAAACGAACAGCGCGTTGGAGATTAGCGTCCCACAGAGAATGCCACACGTCTCCAGGTTGCGCTGCGTATTGGGGGCCGCCAGTTTCAGGAAGTGCGTCCGGAGGTCTGGCGGCAGGAACACCGTGCGTAGGGGAGTGCCGTTTTCCAAGTAAGCGGAAGGCTTGAAGGTAAAGTTGGACGGATGAAGGTCGGGGCGCGATGAGCCTTCTGATGCCGGTTGTACCTTCGCTGGTAGAGCTGGAGCAGAGACAGAAATGGAAGAGCTACTGATGGCAGGCGATACCTTGTCGGGACGAGGAGGTAAAGGTCCGTCAAAGAGAACATTGCTCTCTTTCGGAGGTCGGATCGGAGGCTCCAACTGGAGTTTGGCGTTCTCTCCGACGTCTTTCGATGGCGGCGGCGGGGAGATGTCCAATGGCCGTTGGCGAGGCACAGTTGGGTACTTGTATGCAGACTCCGAAGAGACTCCTGCAGGCGCTTGCGCCGCAGGCTTGACTGGCTTCTGCTGCCAACGGTCTGGCCGCGGTCCCTGCTCTATATTCAACCGCACGTCTTGAATCCGCTGGCTCAAGTCATTGTCCATCATGTGACTGTCTTTCTGTAGTGCATCTTCCCAATCTCCCCACACCCCCGCAGCACGTCGTTTTTGTTCTTCGTCGGGCGAGATCCCAGCTTGTCGGATGGCAGCTTTCACCGTGGCCCGTCGACTGATCTCGGTCCGTGCGAGTTTGACCGCGAGGTCTCTGTTCGCGCCGGCTTCCAGCGGCTCGGCCTTTCCGGACAAGGCCGGGTCATTGTGTTGCTTTTGCTCCGGGAGAGTCTGGTTCGTTGTGCGGGGTGGCGCGCGTGCTTTCCGGTCACGCATTAGCTGGACATAGCGCTCGTACCGCTTGTTGATTCGAGGTTTCAGGGCCTCCAGGATCTCCAAGTTCTTCTTCACTTCTTGCTCGGCCTGGAACAAGGCTTTCCGATTCGGTTCTTCCTTCGCATCGGGATGTTTTGCAAGATTGACGAGAACCAGCTGCGCGTGCCGAAACAAGAGAAGGTAGGCCTGTTCGTCATTCCCTTCGCGTGTGTATATGTATGCCTGATGGTGGGTGACTGTTAGGAGATATCCCGCCTACATCAAAGGGCTGCGGACAAGACGAACCTCCTTCACTAGAGTAGCTGCTGATCGGAGCCAGTATCGGAGGGGTACCGCAGGGTTGTATTCATAGTCTTGGGCGATTCGAGTGATGTCCTTCACGCTGTGCGGGGGTGAAGCCCCCGCGGCGGTGGCCGCAGCCAGATGCTCGGACATGGCTGCACATACGATATCAGAGGAGAGTAGGAGACGGTAGAGTAGGATAAGAGCGCTGGAACGGGCGTGATTGCAGATCCGGAGAGAGATACGATCATCGAGGTCTGGCGCGAAGACCAGGAGGTGTCGTGGTGGGGACGTGCCGCATCTAGGCAGCGAAACGACCTGATGTCCGGGAGAACCTTGGCGGCTAGACTATGGCGAGATGAGGTTGTAGAGGATCAACTGTAGAATGATCAAGGAGGAAGAAGGCGAACAAACATGGTGACAGACAAAGAGGTGTGGAAGAAGGGAGAAGAAGAGGAGGTAGAAAGACGGAAGACGGAAACGCGGCGGATTGTCGGCGCGGAGCTTTTCCTCCCCAGACCATCATCATCAGCGTCTTTCTTTCAACACCCCGGATTGTTCACGCACACTCTCTACCATGCAATGATGGAGGAACCGGAGCTCTCGAATAAATCAATTCTTTGTCCTTAATTCTATCGCCCTCATCATGAAGAGGATCAATCGGTGGGCGGTGGTGCCTCACCTGCCCATGACGCAGACCCTCTACAAGAACTTCCCGGCCAATGCGAAGAAAAAGGGCATCTTCAAGTCTGAAATCGCAAGCGAAAAGCTGTGTGGTGTGTCTCTGTGTTGGTCTATTCGTGTTTTGATGGCAGATACTAATGCGCCAGGTTGTTTGCGCAGATGACGCCCTCCAACGCTTGTCGCCTTACCTGCTACGAAAACCTCCGGTGGACATTCTCGATCTATGGCCGGGAGGAGGACTTCTTTCGTCGAAGGTCAATGACTTTCTACGACCGCGACGACATGTGATGATTGAGCCCGAACTGGATACCTTCCAACCAATCCTCCAACCGCTGGTCGACAGTCGCCCTTGCTACAAGTTACTATCCATGGATATCCATTCGGTACGGGACTGGCAGAGCTTCCTTCTGGAGCATTTCCCCGATCAGGGGATGTCGAACTGTGATACATCAGGCGCTCTCGCGAAGAACCATACATTACTTGTCCTAGCCAACCCTCCTCCCACGCGGTCCAAGAAAGACCACTATACCCCAGCGCGATGGTGGTCCGTGTTCATGGAGACATGCATGCGACAGTCGGGATTGCACGCCTTTGGCAGCGTCCGTCTCCTCGCCACACTTCCCGTATCCGATGCGCAAGCCGTCATCCCTCGCACTGTCGCGGATCGCAAGCGGCCCGCGCTCCTCACGGAGAACGTCGCCTTGCATGCCTTCGAGGTCGCTGCACCCAAAGCCCCTCTTGCTTGGGTGAACTCCAAAGGCTGGGACTTGGTCGCCGCAAATGCAGCGCGTGTCGCTCAGCGAGAAACAGAGCAGAATATCGTGATTCCTCCGGGCCGGGAGCTACCACCGCTCCCGATGGCTCCCGAGAGCCCCGAGCCCGGCCAGATGCCGGTACCGTACACCCCGCGCCTCAACACCGATCTCCACGACCGCCTGATGGCTGTCATCCGCGCCGGAGATCCCGCAGAGTCCAAGCCGATCAAAACCGCGGCCAAACCCAAGAAGTCTGCGGCGGCGCAGAAGCGAATGCGGGCGTGCATCCAACTCAACCAGGATAATCGGCACGCATATTACCGGCAGCAGATCGTCGACAAGGAGGCCGAGATCGACGAAATGGTCAAAACCCTCTCGCGCGCCGCCGCCGAGCCGACCTCCACGCTGGCGTCCTTGCAACCGCTCGTCGACCAGATCACCGCGGCCGAAGCCGCCGTCGAGGAACAGCGTCTGGAGCAGCACTTTGAAACGATCAAGCAGGTGCCCGTGCTCATCGACGACCGTCGCGCCTCCCTCCACTCGGGGAGCTTCGACGACGCGCTGCTCCTGTGGGATCGGCGCCCATTCGAACCCCTCTTCATCCACCCCGAGGAACAGTACCCGCGTGAGGCAGAACGATCGCTGGTGTACTTCGAGGCGGACGCCAACGCGCCCGCGCTGCAGAAAGTGAACCAGCTGCCGGCGACGGAACGTGACCATCCCTTCCGGCTATTCGAAGCGCTATCGCTCACCATCGGCAGCCGCAGCTCGCTCAGCCTGGACGCGTTCCTGAAGCTGATCTTCCCGGAGCGCGCGATCAACGACATCGTGAAAGCCGTGCCGCGGCTCGCCACGTTCGCCATGAAGACCCCCAAGGCGGACTTTGACAGCCTCCCGAAGACGGTGCACGGGGCGCCCGGTCCGGACGGGACGCGCGACCCGGCCGTGTGCTACCAGGAGAACCTGGACTACCGGCTGGACGGAGTACGGGTGCGCTCGCTGCCGTCGAGCGTGCTGTGGGATATCTTCCTGGAGTACCAGAAGGGCGACCTGAAGCTCTCGGCGATGCAGTTGAACCGGGTGTTGGGGGGAACGTTGACGTCGTTCCGGTCGGGGGATTATCTCCTGACGCATAAACGGTTGCATTAGAAGATTGTTGCTTTTGGATGTTTTGGATTGGTTAGGATTTGAGGGCGTTTGATACCCAGCTCCGTTATAGACCATGTATACTATACGATGTATTATACTCTTACGATAGACCGTCGGGTGGATTGATTCCAATGGATCTTATATCGCACCAACGAATGCCGTATACCCTGGTAGTACATGAAGACCAAAATCAATTCCATAATCATCACTGCATGCTTCGTAAACCGCATGCAGATGCAAATACTGATACACCAACCAACCAAAAAAATATCCGGGTATCGCAGAAAGTAAGGGAGGGTCTACAACCCACATCGTATATTAAATACAAAAGAAGAACCAGAGAAAGAAAGAGAAAGACAGTCGGGCAAAGACCACTTCGCAATGCCACGACAGGCGGTGGCTTAAGCCGCAGCATTCACCAGATCCAACCAATCCCCAGGAAGGATGCGCTTCGCGGGGTCCTTGCAGAGCGCCGGGGCGATGATGCGCTCGACGAGGCCGTTGCGCGGCACACGGGAGCCGCTGGGGCCGGAGCGGGCGAACTCGATGACGCGATGGCCCTCGCGGGCCATGGCGAGGCGCTGCATGCTGCTGGCGCCGGGGTAGATCAAGAGATCGCCGGTGGCAGCGGCGAGGAGGGTGACGGCGAGAGAGAAGACGTCGGAGGCGGGGGTGGGAGCGACGTCCGGCGAGGTCAGGGACGAGACGGAAAGGAGCTCCGGCGCGGCGAAGGGGGGCGTCAGGGCCGTCAGCGCGGTGGTAGCGGCGGAGCCCTTGACGGCGGAGAGCGAGTCGCCAGCGATGCTATGGGCGGAGGAGAAATCCGCGAAGAGGACGTCGAAGGGAAAGCCGTCGGCGGCGGCGGCGGCGGCGGCGGACCGAGGTTGCAGGAGGAGATTGTGGGGTTTGATATCGCCGTGGACGACGTGCGAGGCCGAATGCAGCCAGTGCAGGCCGGCGATGAGCTTCCGCGCGAGATCCTGCCACTGGGATAGGCCTTGGACGGGGTCGAACATGGTGCGGGTGGAGAGCTGCTTCTGCGCGAGGCCGGCCTTGTCCTCGATGTAGGTAGCGAGCGACAGCGGGACGGCGGACATGACGAGGGAGTGCGACTCGGCGATGTAGCCGTGGAAGGGCACGACATGGTGCTCAGAGCCCGGGACGCTGGTGATGCGGGTGAGGGTTTGGCCCTCGGCGTCTAGGACAGCGTGGGCATCCTTGCGTGCAGGCGATTTGACGGCGACGAGCCTGCTGCCTGGGGCGGGGGAGCTTGGAGGGGTCATGAGCGGCGACGAGGGCGGCGACGTGCGGGAGGCCATGTAGACGACGCTCCAAACGCCTCGACCGTACTCGAGGGGACGACCCTTGGGGTCATACTGGAACTCGAGGTCTCCCTCATATGGAAGAGGGGTGAAGGGCTCCAAGGACGATGGAATAACATCAGTAGGGAGCGAGGGCGCTGCGGGCTCGGATGAAGCTGGACTGCGCTCTTCTAGAACAGTGGGGGTCACCGGAGGGGTCAAGCCGGGCGCCACCGCTCGTGGTGGCGCTTGGGGGTCCTTGTCTGCATCGGTTTCTGTCCGGACGGAGAGCCGGATGGGCATATGCGTGAGAGTCATGGTGGTCGATATTGATGTCGATATTAATATTAAGACTGATGATCAAGACGGGGATCGATAGAAGATCAAGGCGAAGTGTCGCAAGGACCGTCTAGACGACTTGTATATGAGGTGAGGATGAATCAGGATCGGGATCCACCGGAGACAGAAGTGATGATGAAGCGCTTGGAGCGTTCGCGGTCATTATCGACGAAGCCAGCTGTATCCGGTGGTGGCAAGAATGCGTCGCAATTACGTCTCGACCCAGATCGGAAGAGTGGACGATGAGCCGGATGAGGTCAGAGTGGACGCATCTTGGGGATGGACGGAGGATGCATGGCGGCGGGCATGATGTGAAGAAAAAGTAAGACCGAGAGGGAGAAAAGCGAGGATAAATAAGGTGGAAATGAGAAATGAGAGAACGGCGGAATGCAGGAAAGATTTTCTTTTCCCATCAAATCCTGGCAATTTCCATCTCGTTAAATTATTAAGATGAACCGCTGGAAGATCGACGGGTAGCTTAATTGCAGACTGTTACGGTGACATTTTACATACTCGTTATCATTCTCGCACTATATATTCTATATTTGATCCTATTATTCAGTCTACCTATCTCCCTATCTATTCTATTCATATCTCGATTCTTCTTATCATTCTGGGATTATTCTATTCAGATAACTATTGATTGTTCCAATTGATTGTTTTGATGCAAACGGACGCTAAACCCGTCCGGTGCTAGGGCTCGGCTATCCGCATGCGGTAATCCGCCGGGGATCCCTTCACTTACCGAACGGCTGTCAAGGCCTGTGTTTTAGTACGTGTAGTAGAATGAGAGAGTATGCTAAGTATAAGTATCTATTGAATGGCCATGACCTACATCCATGTTATCGCAGAACCCGCGTTCTGAAAGCTACCCTCTAGGTAACTACCTGCTTAGTAGTACTTGAAGATGAAACGGTAACACTGTTTGTCGTCCAACCTCCACCCCACGTGGGGCCGGGAAATTACCTCTCTCCATCCAATCCTTCGGTAGTAGTACAAGGACTAGTACAAGTCTAGTCAGGGTCTCCTTGCAAGCATGGAATGTACAAGGATACAGTACCACCTCCAGGCAAGGAGGCGCAAGATTCCCGCTTCACCGCTGTGATTATCCTCAATTATTACGCATTTCCGCTTCAATAGTAGGTACGTACCTAGTACTTACTATTTGATTTGGACGGATAACTACCTCGTACCTCCATGTAGTCCCCAGATGAATCTGAGCTCCCACTTCATGCAGCCACCTCCTTCTCCACATACGCCTTCAAGTCCTGCACCCACGTATGGAAATTCTTCTTCAGCTGCTCCCCATACATCCATCGCACCACATACACCAAGTATCCCACCTGCGCCTCCCAATTCCGCACCTCCGTCACCCCTGCATCCACCTCTTCCACCTCGTGCACGCGCTCCGCCGTAAGCAGGAACCCCGGCAAACTCCCTCTCGCTCTCGTGTCGCCCACCCATACAATCCGTCCAGGCGTCTTCGTCGCCGCGTCGGGCGCCTCAAACTCGGTCACCATCAAGGGTACCTCCTGCGCTCGGCCCGGCGCCGACGGGTCCATCTGCACGTGGAACGTCATTCGCGTACCCTGTCGGAGGATCGGAGAGAGCGTAGCCGGCGACGGATGCGAGGAATCAGAGTCGGGCTGTTCGCGAATGGTCACTTGCGGGATGAAGGTGTTCCACGAGGGCCACGTCGAGGTGTCGATGAGGGTGTCCCAGACTGCGCGCGAGGGCGCCTCGATCAGTGTAGCGCTGTGAATGTGGAGGACGGCATCGGCGGTCGCGATATTGGGGGTAGGTTTGGACGCGAGAGTCGAGTCGGGCGTGGTGACTGCCATATTTCGTAGTTGATGGTGTTGATGAGCATGCGGAGATGAAGCTTTAAAGCTTGACAGCTGGAGCGATGGAGAGGGTTAGTCAGCGGAACTGGCCGTCCCACTCCATACTTCTACTTCTATGTACTTTGGCTTCATCTTCTCCCACTTGCACTCAATCGCAACTGCTCCAAGTCTTGTTGAGACATCGCCTTGTCATGATGAACCCATCAGTTGTTTGAGCTACTATTGGCGCGTTCTTTGTGGTCCCCTCGGTGCACTATCGCTCAATCATCAGGAAAACAGACATGTTGATCACCCTCGCCATCAGTGAGGCTTGGCGATAAGACCACCGATGACATCCCATCAGCAGTCTCCCCATGCTCTCTACTTAGGGACGACAGGCAGAGCAAAGTCTACGCCCTCGTTAACATCATACTGCACATCCATCTTGACATGGTCGGCGGAATTTCTCCACCAATACAACATCGCATCGCGTCGAATGTGGAGACAGAATATCGTTAGTCCAAACAATCAGCTCGAATTTCTCCGAACTACGGCCCCTCTCACTGCCATCCTCCAGTCAATGTCTCGGCCCTACGCCTTAGCTCCAGGAACAAGCTCCATGGCGTGTTCATTGGCATCGACCGGGGGTTTAAGTACTGCCCCGACCTACCCAGCGCATTGCGAGAAGATACATAGTGTCTTCACCCAGATCGTCCAGATAAACCACCATGCCGATCTCCAAGGGTATCTTTCTGTCTCTTCTTTCCACACTACCGTTGGCCCTCGCCGGTCACCGCAGCCATCGGTGCGTTGTCCCATCGTCCAACGGGACCAGAGATGATTCACCCGCAATCGCCAAGGTCTTCGCGCAGTGCGCGACAGACTCCATCATTGTCTTCCAGGAAGGTGTCGACTACAATGTCTTCCAACCCATCAAGGCAGAGAACTTGAGTAACGTCGAGATCCGCATGCACGGAAACCTGCATCTGCCGCAGAACATCAGCGCCGTGCAAGAGATCGTCAAGGCCGGCAACTCTTACTGGTTCACCCTGGAAGGGCCCCGCGTGGACTGGACAGGGTCCGAAGACATCAACCACGGATGGATCAACTCCTACGGCCAGGCATGGTGGGATGCGAACCCGCCGAACGGAACGGGCATCGAGAACCGTCCCCATCTGCTCAGCTACACCACCAGCGACGCCACCATCAAGTACATGCGCTCTCGCAAGCCCATCGCCCATAACTGCCGGCTCCATGGCGATGACATCACCGTCACTCACGCCATTGTGGACGCCTACTCTACCGGTGGATTCCCCTTCAACACCGACGGCTTCGACGTGGCTGGGACGAACATTCGCATCTCCGACAGCGTCATGTACAACGGCGACGACGCCATCGCCGTGGGATCGGGCTCCCACGACATCGTGTTCGAACGGAACACGATCGGATATCAAAGTCACGGGATGAGCATCGGATCGTTGGGCAAGGATCCGACGGACTTTGCCAACATCACCAACCTGCGCTTCGAGGACGTGACCGTCATCGACGCCCTGTACGCGGCGCGCTTCAAGTCCTGGACTGGCGGCCAGGGCCTCGTCAAAAATGTGACATGGAAGAACATCCGCGTGTTCAACGTGACGTTCCCCATCTTCGTCACGCAGAGCTACTGGGACCAGGGCGCGAACCGAGGAGACGTGGATGAGAGCTCATCCGTCATGATGGAGGATTTCACCTGGTCCGATTTCACCGGCTCGATCAACACTTACCAACCGGGCGACGGTTCCTGCGCGTCGGACCCGTGCTGGTACAATGCCGGGCTCCCAAACCTGCAACACACGGAAGCGATCATCCTCGAATGCAATACCGCCACGTCCTGCAAGAACTTTGTGACCGAGAACATCCAGCTGTACCCGCAGAGCATGGACGCGCCGCACCTGATCTGTATGAACGCCACTGCGGAGCTGAATCCACGTCTGGGATTTGACTGCAGGAACGGCATGTACACTGCCCTGTCAGAACGACATTAGATTATACAAGTCGATGCCCGCTCCTTTACAACTATCCGTGTCCAGAGTTCCCTTGTACAGCCCTCAGAACTAGAAATCGCAAGAGCAAATTGTACCTACCTCTTTCCACCGTCTCATGTATAAACGGCAGAACACTCCCTATACGCTTTCCACACCAGGCCTCTACATCCAACGCACCTTCCAATCTCTACTCAGAATGATACCTATTGACCACTGGCGCACCGCTCGACCAATTCTCTCTCTTCACCTCTATACACATTCCATTATCATCGCTCCGCAACTTATCATACCATACCATAGCATCCACCACACTGGTTTATCCCACGCATCCATACGACTGACTCCATTCGTGACCCACCTCCAACGTCGCAATCCCTAGACACCGGATGTGCCTGATCCCCCTCCTCCACCGGTGTTGTCCAATCACAAAGCGTTCCAACCACCATAGTCAAGTACCACAATCTCGATCTAATCATCGTGGACTTGGTCACGGAAGTCATCACTCGTCCCGAGGTTGTTGTGTCGGCTGGCGTGATAGTTCTAGCAGTGGGAACAGCGGGTACAATACTGGCCAATCTGATCAGGGCATAAGTGGCAGCGGTCGCAGCAGTGGCGGATATTACGGCGACGAAAGCAATGACAACAGTTCCAGCAGTGAGGAAAACCCCAGCAGTGATGGCAATGGTAGTAGTTCTAGCAGCGACAACAACGGTCCTTTCGGTCAAAGTCCTGCCGCTGCAGTGAAGTTTCAGTCGTCACGATCACCGCGAGCGCCCCCTGCAGCCGCATCTCAGGCAGAGACGGAAGAATAGACTCCCAAGAATAAATATCTGCCAGAGACGCTCGAGTTTTTGACAGATACTTCGCGTGGCAGCAGTCCCTATCGCTACCATCCCAACCCGATGCTGTTTGTCGGACTTATCACTCATACGCGCTGCTTGTCGACATGTTTAGCCGAATTGAATTGGTTGTTGGAGTTTGGGCTTCCTTACGGGGGTCAGGCTTGTTGGGTCATTCCGTTCTATTGCTCCTTTGCTTTGTCCCTCACGTGTTGTGATTGATTACTATGAGATTGAGGGTGTTGGTTCATGTCCCATTTTCATACTTGCTGATTTGCTTGTATTGCGATCAGGGTAATTCTATTAAGACTAGGAAATGGTACGACTTTGATCCTCTATCAGTACTATGCGTGCTGTATACCGTATGATTATATTCTCAAGACTATAACAAAACAAGAAAAATAACGTCACGATGGACCCCGTTCTAACGAAACGGGCTCCAGCCACCGCACTGAGGCTTGCTCATCTGTACTGTCCGCCTCATCTGTCTGCCACTGTACCTCACTCGTGACGTGGATCGTGCCCTCGGGATGCACGGGCGAATGCTGCAGCTGCAGGCCCGGCACCACTTCAGAGTTCCGACGTGCGTCATTGTTGCTCGAGCAATTGCCCGTCACACTGGCGGCGGTGTTCGTGAAAGGGAAGGGGGGCGTGATGGGGAGGCCGTCGAGGGGGGTCTTCTCGCGAGAGGGATAAGTGCTCCGTGAGCGGATGGGGAGGAGACGCGGGAAAACATGCGCGATGAGGGGACGGAGCGGGGGCAGACAGGCGCAGATGATGGCGACATTGGCCTCGATGAAGGACCAGGTTGCTGCTGATGTGTTTTCCTCTGCCGGAGATTAGTGATTACGGAAACAGAGGGGCAGGGGAAGGACGAACTGGTGAGATTGGGGGAGTCAATGAGATTGATCAGCATGACGAGGCGGACGATACTGGTTGCGCAGACACTGGTTTCGTCAGTTCTTGTCTTGACCACGGTGAGGGAGTAAAGGGGATGTACAAGACGCCGAGGGCGAAGACAAAGATGAGAGCGCATTTCTGTCGTCGGGGCAGACGTAGCCGGAAGAGCACCGGCATGGGCAGAATCACCAACCAGACGTCGGTGGAGATCTGGAGGCCCGCGTTGAGCGGCCAGATCACGGCCTCGGGAAGACAGTAGGCGTCTGGGATGCTGCGATTCCAGAAGGCGCGGACGGGCGTGCAGAAGAAGAACGCGCTGAAGACCATGTACAGGCCGGTGATGATGACGGCGACGAGAGTAAAGATCAGGATGACGCGGTAGTCTTTGGTTGAGGAGAAAAGACGCATGTAGAGGAGCGTCACTGATGCTTTGGCGAAGTTGAGGGCTAGATTGTAGAGAGGGATCGATGCCCAGAGGGCCTTGCAAGGTCAGAGATGTAGGTGTGTATATAGTAGGGAAGTAGGTAGGTACCTTGAGTTGATGATGGAGGTCGTGTGGGCTGACCTCAGTTTGGTCTTTGCCCATGCCATGTTTGATTTCTATATCCATGAGCAATGGTAAAGATAGGAAATGAAGACGTCTGGCATACCAAGTATGATGAAGGTTAAGGAAGACGATATCCGCCAACTACACGTGGATCATCAGCCCTATGTGCCGTGGACCACAGAGGATACAACCTACCAGCGCCGCGACTATCACAGCATCATCCCATCCTGGCGTCCGGACGAAACAACATCGAGTGTACAGCCGCAGCAGGACGATGATGACGGCGAGCGTGATGAACACGATGGAGACCGGCAGGGCGTACATCCTGCGAGGGGGCAACGGCTGTTCAGGTCGGCTGTCGAGTCGTGCATAGTTGGCCACGGGCGAGTATGACTGCGAGGTGCATGCAGCACAAAACCGATATGAACATCGCGGTGGTGGAACACCATCAACCTCACGGGCGGACGAACGGCTTTTCGGACGGGACCGAAAGTCAAAGGGACGTGAAGAAAAGGAGGATATAAACTTGGCGATGGCGTCCACCGAAATGAGGCACCTGTGACGCCACGACTTTCCAAAAACGGCCAGTTGGCCGATGGTTCACCCGCAAAAGTACAGAAACTGGATTGTTCTATTGGCATGTACGACTTCCGTAGCGGAACATGATGGGGACCTAATACAACAAATAAATCCAAACCGCTATGTGCATGTAGACTCCATCTACGAGACAGAGATCCGTTCCAGGCCAAAAATGTACAGGTCGCGGACTCCAGACCAGCCGCGGGCTCGAATTGGTATTCAAACGATTCATTCAAAGAGCATCATCAATTGGGGGGAATATATAGTCTTTTAGTTTTTGGTGTTTTCTTGTTTTGGGTTTGTTTCATTTAAAGGCGGGACTTGAGGTTGGCCTTGAGACGGCGCTCCACAGCGGCCATGTACTCGCGGGTCGTCACCCAGGCCTCACGCTCCTTGCGGCCGCAGGAGAGCGCGAGATCCTTAGTCATGATGCCCTCCTCGTTGACGACTTCAATGCAAGCGCGCTCAAGCTCCTCGGCGAAGGTCACAACGTCGGGAGTGTTGTCGAGCTGACCACGCTGGACGAGACCACGGGTCCAGGCGAAGATGGAGGCAATGGGGTTGGTGGAGGTCTCACGGCCCTTCTGGTGCTCACGGTAGTGACGAGTCACGGTACCGTGGGCGGCCTCGGACTCGAAAGCAGAGCCGTCGGGGGTGGTAAGGGTGGAGGTCATGAGACCGAGGGAGCCGAAGCCCTGGGCGACAATGTCGGACTGGACATCACCGTCATAGTCTACAGAATGTTAGTACTCATCCAGGGGACCCTTATCAAAGGAGAAATCGGGACGCACTCTTCAAGGCCATGATGAAGCCACCCTCGCTCTTGATCATCTGGGCGACCATGTCGTCGATGAGACGGTGCTCATACCAGATACCCTTGGCATCAAATTCCTTCTTGTACTCGGCCTCGTAGATCTCCTGGAAGATATCCTTGAAGCGGCCGTCGTAGCGCTTCAGGATGGTGTTCTTGGTGCTCATGTACAGGGGCAGACCCTTGAGGAGGGCCATCTTGAAGCTGGAGTGAGCGAAGCCGCGGATGGAGTCATCGGTGTTGTACATGCTCATGGCGACACCACCGCCGCTCTGGAAGTCGTAGACCTGGACGGACTCGGGCTGGCCGTTGGCCGGGGTGTAGACCAGCTCGAGTTTGCCGGGGCCGGGGATGACCCGGTCAGTGGCACGGTACTGGTCACCAAAGGCGTGACGACCGATAATGATGGGCTTGGTCCAGCCAGGCACCAGACGGGGGATGGCGGGGATGACAATGGGCTCACGGAAGACGGTACCGCCGCTATTGGGACGGTTAGCGCGGGGGGACTCGGGCGGGAGAGGGGAGTGCGCCGTGGTTGCAACTTACAGGATGTTTCTGATCGTACCGTTGGGGGACAGCCACACTAGACGGGCCGGTTAGTGGGAACCAATTGACGGGGATGGGTGGTGGACAGTGGCTTACTCTTCTTTAGCTTGAACTCCTCCACACGGGCCTCATCGGGAGTGATGGTGGCGCACTTGACACCAACGCCATACTTCTTGATGGCCTCAGCGGCTTCGACGGTAACCTTGTCATCGGTCTGGTCACGGTACTCGATACCCTAGGATAGCGTGTTAGGAGGGGAGATCAGGAGGAGGCAAGTCCGAGATGGGACGGAGACATACCAGATCGTAGTACTTGAGGTCGATGTCCAGGAAGCTGGATGGGAATTAGTTGATGGGGCCCGGGCGACAGATCGACAAGCCGTGCATAGAAGCCACTTACGGGAGGATCAACTGTAATGGCGCAGTGTGTTAGTCTTGACCGGGACCGAACGGGGGACCAAGAGGGGAGGGACCGCGGTAGACATACCTTTTCTCTGATTTCCTTCCAGATAATCCGGGTCATCTAGAAAAGAACAAAACGACGAGGTTAGCGACATGTGGACATGTGAGAGAGACGAGCCCGGCAGACGCTTGTTGGTTGGGAGGGAGAAGATCCTCGGGACGATTGGCGGTGCCTCGCAGGGGACACAGCAGCCTCGCCGAGTTTCCCCGCGGTGACGCAGAGCCATGACGAAAATGCGCATCCGAAGGGGAAGCATATAAGGACGTGGCTGAATCTCCATGGAGGTTGTTTTTTCTTTCTTCCATCCTTTTCCCTTTTCTTTTCTTCTCCTTTCTTTTCCCTCTTTGCCTTCTTTTATTGTGCTGGAATTAAACAATTGAACGTACCTCATCACCGTCGAGTTCCACGACGGGGTTCTTGACCTTGATCTTCGGACCTTCGGTAGCCATGGTGCGGACGTGGTTGATACCGGACAGACGGGAGGAAGCAAGAGTAGAGGGAGCGAGAGGACGCTGAGCACGGGAGAGGGTAGAGAAGGAGGAAGTGGAACGAAGAGAAGAAGAGGAAGAAGAAGAGAAGGAGGCCGAGGGGAGAAAAGAGGACGACGAGCGGGACAACAAGCGATAAGCGGAGGCCGAAGGAGGGGCAGTCAGGCCCGTCGAGCGACGAGCCAATGCGGAATGGAGCCGATGGGAGAACATCGTTGCGCGCGAGAGAGGCAATCGAGGGAAGTCCGGGGGAGAGTTCGGTAAGTGCAGCACCGAGCAGAGGGTGGGATACCCGAGGGAATGCGACGGATGGAAGGAGGCGGGCGGAGTGGAGCACGTTCACACGTCTACTGCGTCTCCGTATCAGCCGGAGAAGAACAGGGACCACGGGGGAGACCGGAGAGAGAAGGCAAAAAGGCGACAGAGGGAGAAGAAATGACGGAGCGACAGTGGGAGCTTCTTATTCCAACAGGAAAAACGCTTTGCCCGTCCGTCACGAGGCGCCCGCCTTCGCCGAATTCGGACATTCGGGGAGCTCAGGCACAACTCCAGCTCGACTATCTATGACCGTTTACTATATCGGTCGACTAATGATACAGGTACTGATGACATGCAGATCGATGCATTCGCTGCAGTTGCATGAACTCGAGTTCGACTTACTCCAGTGACTTCAGGTGAACAGCAGAAAGAGAATGATGCTCAGAATGCTCATCACAATAATTCAAACAAAAGAAAGAAAAAAAGATGCCGCTGTTTCCCGCGGCAACCGCCGGTTCGCGGTGCTTCGCCCTCCCCGAAGTCGCCTTCTTGCGATCTCCGGACTACCCCCGCATCCGCTCCCATTTAGCCATTTTCCCGTTGCTACTGTAGTATTCGAGAATAATACCAGAATATGCAGATTGCTATTATCATCGATGGTCTTATCTACATCGCCTCTCTAGCTCTATCAACCTGTTGAAAAGTCTCCCCAATCCATAAACCCAGCCATGTTGAAATCATCCAAATCAAATCAAAAAGCTCCAATGCGCTAGCCCACCATGCCCAACTATACACTCATGATGGTATATAAAAAACAAACCCGTTCAAACAAACCTTCCACGACCCGTCCAGAACCGCCCTTAGAACAACCCGTCGATCTCCCCGGTCTCGGGATCGATGTCCACGTTCAGGTAGCCCGGGGCCGTCGGGAGACCCGGGATCGTCTGGATATCCGCCGCCAACGCGTACCTATTGTTCGTGTCATTAGTCTCCGTGTCCACTGCCCAGCGTAGAATCCCGTCACTTACAGATAGCCTCCGCCCACCGCCAAGCGCACGTCCCGGATGGGCACCGTGAACCCGGTCGGCGCTCCCTTCAATGCCGGGTCGTGACTGAGCGAGTATTGCGTCTTGGCAATGCAGATCGGAAGATTCGCGAATCCTTGCTTCGTGTAGGCGTCCACCTTCTTCTGCGCCAGCTCGCTGAACTCGACCTTGTCCGCTCCGTACATCGCCTGGCCGATCCGCTCGATCCGCTCCTGGATGCTGCCTTCCAGCCCGTAAAGGAGCTGGAAGTTCTTGGGCTTCGAGCTAGCTGCCAGGACCCCCTTCGCCAAGTCAATCGCGCCCGCTCCACCCTCGGCCCAGTGGTTGGCCGCAATCGCATCCTCCGCGCCGGCCGCGATGGCCTCCTCCCGGATGACCGCAATCTCAGCCTCCGTGTCGGTCTCCATGCGGTTGATCGCAACCACGACCGGAACCCCATACTGCCGCGCGTTCGAAATGTGCTTCTTCAAGTTGACACAGCCCTTCCGCAGGATGTCAACGTTCTCCGTGCGGTAGACCTCGTGGAGAGGCGCTCCGGGGCTGATCTCCGGTCCGCCTCCGTGCACCTTCAGGGCACGCACGGTCGCCACAATGACAACAGTGTCGGGGGACAGTCCCGAGGAGCGGCACTTGATGTTGAAGAAGCGCTCACCACCCATGGTGAAGTCGAAACCAGCCTCCGTCACCACGAATCCAGTCTTGGCCTCGTGGTCTTCTTCTGGCTCGGTACCGGCCAGCTTCAGCGCCAGTTTGTCGGCGATCACAGAGCTAGCACCAATACTGATGTTGGCGAAAGGCCCAGCGTGTACCATGACCGGTGTGCCCTCCAGACTCTGCATCAGGTTGGGCTTGATGGCATCCTTCATCAGCGCAGCCAGAGCACCGCCCGCACCAATGTCGTCACAGGTGACTGGCTCGCCGCTTCTCGAAGTCGCGACAACCATGCGACCGAGTCTCTCACGCATATCCTCCAAGCTGTTGCTCAGCGCAAGGATCGCCATACACTCACTGGCCACCGAGATATCGAAGCCAGTCTCGCGAGTCAAGCCCTTCTCAGTGGGCGCCTGTCCGACGGTGATACCGCGGAGGTGGCGGTCATTGACATCGAGAACACGCCGCCACGTGATAGTCTCGGGATCGATGTCGAGACGAGCGAATCGGCGAATTTCCTCCTCGGTGAGATCATCAGGGTTGGTCTTCTCAATGCCCAGCTTCTTCAGGCGCTTGAACATAATGGGCTGGAACTTGCGCTCGCCCTTCTTCGCCGGCACCAGACGCTTGTAGAGGGCGCCATCCTTCTGGGTAGCCTCGTGGAACATACGAGTTTCAATGGCCGCGGCGAGGAGGTTGTTCGCGGCGGTAATGGCGTGGATATCGCCGGTCAGATGCAGGTTGAACTCGTCCATGGGAATGACCTGGCTGTATCCTCCACCAGCAGCACCGCCCTTGATACCGAACGTAGGTCCCTGGCTGGGCTGACGCACGTTTGCGAACACGATGCGGTTCAGGTGAGCACCAATCGCCTGCGTAAGTCCCAACGTCGTCGTCGACTTGCCCTCGCCCAGAGGGGTAGGAGTAATACCACAGACCAAGATGTACTTTCCATTGCGGCGGTGCGCCAGACGGTCCAGGACACTGAGGCTGACCTTCGCCTTAGTGTGTCCGTAAGGCTCCAACTCATGGGGAGCAATACCAATCTCTGAAGCAACCTGTGTGATCGGCTTGGGGTACTGCGCGCGGGAAATGGCAATGTCGGAAGGAACAGGGCGCTGCAGCTTCAGGGGAAGGGGGGTAATATGTCTATCCTTCTGCTTCTCAAAGTAAGCCTTAGCTGCGGTGACCACATTCTCCATCAGCATGGCCACGGTCATCGGGCCGACACCGCCGGGCACGGGGGTGATCTGAGAGGCCACCTGCGAAGCAGACTCGAAGTCGACATCACCGACCAATCTCTGGCCCGATTTCTTGGACGCATCGGGCTTGTAGTTGATACCAACGTCAATGACGACCGCACCGGGCTTCAACCAGTCGCCTTTGACGAGCTCCGTCTGTCCGATGGCGGCGACGACAATATCGGCGGTTTTCACGATCCGCGCAAGGTCGGGGGTTTTCGAATGGCACAAAGTCACAGTAGCGTCGGCGTTCTTCAGCAGATAGCTGACAGGGCTCCCAACAATGTCACTGCGGCCCAGCACCACGGCTTCTTTGCCCGAAGGGTTGACTCCGCTGGCCTGGAGGAGCGCCATCACGGCCTTGGGGGTGCAAGGAACGAAGAGGGGATGGCCACCGCGCTTTGCCAGTTCACCAATGTTGATAGCACCGAAGCCGTCCACATCCTTCTCATCTGCGACGGCCGAGGTGACAGTGTGTTCGGACAGGTGAGCAGGGAGAGGCAGTTGAACGAGGATGCCGTGGACAGAGGGGTCATTGTTGGCCTGGGTGATCTCCTGCAAGATCTCGGGCTGGGTAATCAACTCCGGGAAGTTGACCACTTTGCAGAGAATGTTTGCCTATACAAGCGGAAAAGTCAGTCTTCAGAGGCGGGCCGAAAGAAAAGCTCGGGAAACTCACCTCCTGCGCAGCCTTCAACTTCATGCGCACATATGTGCCTGGAAGGTCGGATTAGTTTCATAGAGTTCCTCAATCCCCAGCTATCAGACTTACTCGAATCGGACCGATTGCCCACTACATGTACGTTAGTATCGCCGTTCTAGTTCGGAGTAAAGCAATAAGCCGCGCGGGAAACGAACCCTGGAAGATCACCAAACTAGGCTTGAACCGGGGGTTAGTCTCCTGGATCTTTTGGATCTCATTCTTCAAGCCCTCCCGAATGCTCTTGGCAATCTGAGTTCCATCAATCTTGGTGGCCGCCATGGTGGGTGAGGAAGCGGAAAACGGGCGACGGGAAACTGTTCGGGAAAGTAAAGGGAGCTCCGAAAAAGCTACCGACGGTGCGCAGCGACCAAGAGAGCGGGCTCCGTGTCCAGCGGAGGAGACGGGTCGAGAAGAGCGGGGAGGGGAGGAGGGGAGGGGATAGCAGAGGGTGAAGACAGAACGCGAAGGGAGGGAGGTGCAGATGTTTGCTTTTACCGCGCAGCGGGGTAATGTCACTGAACGGGCGGGGGGGAATGGCATCAAGAGCGGTACCAGGACTTGCAGCAACCCTCGGCCGATGAGATGCGCGATAGGGAAGCGGGCGACGTGGTGGAGAGACCAATCCACAGCACACAATGCTAAGCAACGAAGGAAACGACTGCAGACGAAAAGATGATAGTTGATTATACCGTCAAGCAAGCAATTATCAATCAAACCCATCAACAATGCTCCGTCTCTCCATTTGTACAAACCAATTCCCGCGGAGGTGATCAGTGAATCCTTAGTCAGGAGGGAGTTTGACACTTGGACCGAGTGTTTCTCCGCTCCGGGCAGTTTATGCCCATTGCATGTGAGGCAGGGCATAGCTTATGTAAATATGCACCCAGCGCATTGAAGTAGGGCTGGCACTCATCACGTGGAACTCTGTCGGAACGGATCAACCATTTATTCCGAAACGCCTGGCCGCCCATCCAAACCGTCTCGAACAGGAAGGTCTTGGCAGACAAGCCGGGTAGTGTGCGATCAAATTCACAGCGCTAGTTTGACAACGCCGACTTTGAACGCCCGCCAGCAACCCCGCCAGCTTTTCCGCCTCGACGACAACGTCGGTCACAGACGATTCCTACCGCTGTCGCATCCTTCCTCTTCGTCGATTTTACACCCTCAATCACAGCCCGACCGCCCCAGGATGAGACCCATTTTGCTTTCGGGACATGTGCGTTTTTGCCTCGAACCCCATCCGCAGATTCTCTCGGGTGCCCCTCAGGTCGAATCGCAGTAAACTAACTGGCATATCCTTCGGATTATAGGAACGGTCCCTGACCCAGATTAAATTCAACCGCGATGGCGATCTCCTTTTCTCCGTGTCCAAGGATAAGATTGTGTGTGCGTGGTGGACGGCCAACGGCGAGCGACTCGGTACCTACAACGGACATCTGGGTGCCGTCTGGACGGTGGACGTGAGTCCCAACACGGTCCTCCTGGCGACCGGTTCGGCAGACAACTCCGTGCGACTATGGAACGTGAAGACCGGCGAGTGTGTGAAGGTGTGGGAATTCCCGACGGCCGTCAAGCGCGTCGAATTCAGCCCCGATGGATCCCAGCTGTTGGCCGTGACGGAGAAGCGTATGGGCTTTTTGGGTGCTATCAGCGTGCTGGACATCAGCTACGAGGACAACTTCCAGAACCAGGCCGACGAGCCTAGCCTGCGGATCACCTGCAACGAGAGCAAGGCGACGGTGGCCGGCTGGAGTTACCTGGGCAAGTACATCATTGCTGGACACGAGGACGGAAGTGTCTCCCAGTACGATGCCAAGGTGCGTCATTCTTGAGTGAAGAGAACTGTGTGGGAGCATGGGGCTAATTTTTGATGAAACAGACCGGTGATCAGCTGGAGAACGTCCAGGCCCACGAGTTCGACCACCAGATCAACGATATCCAGTTCTCCGCCGACCGCACCTATTTCATCACCGCGTCCAAAGACAAGTCTGCCAAGGTACGTTCAGACCTGGTTTATAACTTACGGAACTAGGTTGTATGCTGACGCATTCTAGCTTATCTCCTCCCGTAACCTCGCCATCCTCAAGACCTACGTTGCCGATACCCCTCTCAACAGCGCCACCATTACCCCCAAGAAGGACTACGTGATCCTCGGTGGTGGTCAGGCCGCCATGGATGTCACCACGACGTCCGCCCGTCAGGGTAAATTCGAGGCGCGCTTCTACCACAAGGTCTTCGAAGATGAGATTGGCCGTGTCCGTGGCCACTTCGGTCCCCTCAACACCGTCGGTGTTCACCCCAACGGTACTGCCTATGCTTCCGGCGGAGAAGACGGTTACGTGCGTGTGCACCATTTCGATAAGCCCTACTTCGATTTCATGTACGAGGTCGAGAGAGAGCAGATGCGGAAATGAATCAAATGATGCGGGGTGGAAGGGAAAATTTTGCTGACCTTTGTTTTCTTAACTTACGTTGTATGTATGTGTCATGAGACAAAAGACATATTACAAGATAGAGGATGAGGACCGATACGGCGATGCGACAAGAACTCGGGGCAGTCAGGGCATGAGTTCTCATTTTATTGATTCCACGGAGTTGGTACCCATTTCGTTTTTGTTATTGCTGATCGCTTTGTGTCCTAATAAAAGAAACCTTTCAAGTTCATGACCCATCTATACCACATCTTCAATATAATCCCGATAGATAAAACAACATATCATCCGCCATAAACCATGTATCATTTATCATGTATAAATTTTTTCTAGAATGCCAGGCCAGCGCTCTTCCGACCAGCAGAAAGATCTCATTTCAAAAGATGCATCACGTAACAACCGAGAGAAATTCGGGGTCATCATAAAATAAGGATATGGAGAAGAATAAAGGGAAAAAAGGAATAAAAGACGGATGACGCTTCACTATCCCAACCCCTAAGAAAAAGTCGCGGGCTCACCCCCAGTCCATTTACTTCTTCTTGGGGAACTTCTCCGCACCGATGTCGTTACCTCGGAGCTTCACGTTCAGCACGCGCTCCATGGCACTGAGGACCTTCTGGTCGGGGGTGGCGGTGCCCTTCTCGAACTCCTGGATGACACCGGGGGTGGTGTTGCACTTGGTGGCGAGTTCCTTCTGCGTCATCTTGTAGCCCTCCTCGTTCCGGCGCTTCTTGATGGCGTCCGCGACCTTCATGCCGACGGTCTTGGGCTTCACGATGTCGTCGCTGCGGTCAACCTTTGTCAGGTGCTGGCCTTCGGGGGCACCAGAGCGTCCAGCCTAGTCGGGAATGACAGTCAGTTATACGTGTCTTTCCGCGGAAATCTGGAGGATTAAGGGATCCTCGGGCCATCCACTTACAGTGTTACCAGTGGCATATTTCTTCTCAGTTCCAATGACCAGACCCTGGCGCTGGGCGGCGTTCAAGGCGCTCTTGCCCTTGACGACGGTCTCGCGCGGGGCAGGGCCGCTCCGGTGGCGGGCGCCAATGCGAGTAACGGAATCCCAGTCAGACATTTTGAAAGAGGTGAAAGGAGGATGGTAGGGAGTTGGAAGTCGAGTGGTGATGTCGTTTGCGGGGAGTTGATGGAGGAGGCGGTAGATCGCGTGAGGGTTTGTCACTTAGGAGAACGGAGGAATGTCCCAGACCCGCCGAATTTATATCGATGACACAGAAGCTTCTCGAGCCCTGGATGGCGGAGTCCCAACGAGGCAATGCGGTGCTAGCCCTAATCGGGGCTAGTCCCGCTGACATCATACTTCCACTCACTCTTACTAATCTGCCTTGCCTGGAATAGGACTTTTGGTTTGTAAGTATCTCTTGGTATACCTAGGTAGATATCCATCTATGAGTCAATAGGAGGCTTATGATACCTATACACTCGTGGCGCTTGTGGGTTCTAGAATTCCAGAATTCCAGAAGTCAGTCCAATTGGAGCAGGCACGACCACTATAGAGTACTATGTATCGGCGTTTGAGCTACATGAACTCCACTACACGCAATAAATCGATGCCGAAAGTGCGCAGGTTCTCATACGCTTGCAGTTAAACATACATTCGATATCAAAGATAAATTAGGATGAAACTTCGAGAGCCAAGGTAAATAGCCCAGCTCATGAAATAAGGTAGTATCTCCCAAGATATAAGTACGCATAGAAGACATAGTGTTCAGTACAAACTTGCGTAGTAGTCGGAGCTACAGGAATTACTAAAAGACGCAGTTATGGGGAGAAGAAGGGTGCGAATACAGGTATGGATGTACAAGAATCATCAACCTAGGCCTCTGCCACTAAGGTCATGTGATGGACATGCTGTTTATCTTAACCCAACCGGGACGAGTCCTTGGAGATGAGACGTCGGAGCTGTATGTAACGAACTCCATATCATATGCATACGCATAAATTGAAATAAGTAGACACCTCCAGTGAGACATGCTCCGGGTAGCCCCGGTGTAAGGCTGGGCTCCTAGTTGATGCCGAGAGGTTTAGTATGTGAGAGATGGGGCCATGTTCCAGAAGGCAGACATATTTGCATTTCCCATCAGAGGATCTGGGTCGTGATACGTTAGGAAAAAAAAGACTTAGATCGCTATAATCGTATGTGTATATTGAACATATATTAGACAAATGATGATTGTTGTCGTCAAGTATGCACCTAGAAAGCCGAAGAGACAACTTGTAAACACCATATCTTGGCAACCTTAGGCAGACATGGAACGTCCCCAGTGGCTCCGGGCGATCCGCCAATGGGGGCCCTCCCAGCCGGTCAGGAACCAATCACTCTACTCCTGGCGGTTCACAGCCCTCATTGAAGAATCAACGTTCATCCATCAATCGTCACCCTTTCTCTCTCTCGTTCCCTCCTCTTTTTTTCTTTTTTACCTCCTGTCTCTGTTCTCCTTATCCGCGTCTTCATCGTGCGGTCTTATTCCTTCCCTGTAATCCGTCACTCTCTTCTTACGTCGCGTATTTACCGTCATCATGGCGTCCCAGCCCGACTTTGTCTCCGCAATGACCAACCGGTCGCTCCGCACCGTCCGTCTGGTATGGCCTCGAATCCATCGGCATCAATCTCAAGACTAACGACTTTCTGTTTCCATAGGAGCTGGAGTTCCTCGCCGACGCGTCTGTCATCTCCCCTCAGCAGCTATCCTCCATTCTGTCCCAACTTCCCCGAGAGAACGAACGTCAGACGTCGGTGCCTCGTGAATCAACGCCGGTGCAACAGCCCCCTCCCCCAGTCGTGGCCCCCGTACAGCCTCCTCCGGCTCCCTACTCACCTCCCACCAACCAATTTGCCAACACCTCCTTGAATGAGAAAGCCACCTATCAACCGCCCCCGACGCCGCACCAGTATCCCAGCCCTCCCCCTCCTGCGTATCCTCAAGCCCCACCTGTGTTGTCTATCGCTTCCGCGCTCTACGCCTATACTCCTACGGACCCCGGCGACTTGGCTCTTCAGCCCCATGATCGGGTTCAGGTGCTGGAACACATGAACGCTGACTGTATGATCCCTTCGAGAGATGGGTTTGGATTCGGTTAACATTGATATACAGGGTGGCGTGGCCGTAATGAGCGGACCAACCTTGAGGGTATCTTCCCTCGGAGCTATGTGAATGTGATTGATGAGAAGTCGGTCGTTGCTCACCCTCCCCCGTCGAGCTACGGAAACATGCCCTTGGAGGTCAGCCAGAGTGGCTCTTCCGTCAACCCTGAGGACAAGAAGAACGGCAAGTTTGAAGAGCACGGCAAGAAGATCGGAAAGAAATTTGGAAATGCTGGTAGGTTTTCTCCACGATGCATATCACCATCCATACATCCTATCACCTGTGTCATGATGATACTGACATGCTACTACAGCGATCTTCGGTGCCGGTGCTACCGTTGGTTCCAACATTGTAAACAGCATTTTCTAATATACCAGATGCTTGGTGTTTGTCGGCCTGGAGCCTTCTCCTACAGTTGAACTTTTCTTCTCCTATTCTTAAGTCATGGAACTGGCGTTGGTGGTTTCGGTATTCTGTTGTTATTATTGGGTATTTCTGCTTAGGCATAATGTCAAGTTACCGGGACGTGCGTTGTTGATTGTTGCATGAGGGCCAGCGCGACAACAGAATGGTGTTGATCCCATTACTTCCAAGCCCGAGTATAGAATCCAGACTTGATTTGAAACAGTCCAGAGCTTTATTCTTTTTTGTTTTTGTTTTTCTACTCTTCTAATGCACGGTCCTATTTTTGGTTACCTTCTAGTTGGGAGTATTAAGCGCCGGGGTCCTCCCACCTCACCACCAAATTGCGGTCGATGCAACAGCGGCTAACAGGACACCATTATTGACCAACGAATGGATAGTATCCCGCCTCGCATGCAGTGCTTGAAACGGCCCCACGCTTTGCCTCGCCTTCGCCGCAGCATATCGCACCAATGCGGGGTGGTCTGTAGGCGACTGGCAAGGCTGACTCTGCAATTTGTCCTGCGCCAGGGCATAAGAATTCCCGATGGACGTGAAAAGGCATTACGTTTCACACATGCCTCAGGAAGGTCTAGAGTCCCCTGCTCTACACAGCAATGGATTCATGGGATCAGTTCGCAGACAACCTTGCAACTGACTTGGTAAGGTCTTTTTCTTTGCATAATCCCTACACTAACAGTCCCCACAGGCACCTTTTATATCCCTATTCGGTGAACGTCTGACCAAGCAATTTCTTTCCGAGTCTGTGAGCCTCCTAGACAACTTCATATTCTCCCTCGCCCCGCTGGGAATCCTGACGGCTCTGGTATCCGTCATTCGGGTGTGTGGCAGCTCATCCCTTCGCGCATTTGTTGGCCGAGCTCAAGAAGGGCCTGGCGAAGCAGAAAATGAGCTGCTGTCCTGTGTCTCCGAGACCACCGGCGAGCTGTTCAATGATACCGGGATCTCTCGCATTTTCGGTCGGCCGCGCATCCTGGAGGTAGTAGTTTGGGAGGAGCATGACCCCCAGGACAACCAGAGTCGCTGGAAGATTGGGACTCTGCGAGATGCGCTTCAACATGGCGCGTGGGTCCCGGGCAGTGGGAGTTGGATCCTTGACGAGAAGGGCTATCTACCGGAGCTTGACATTCCGAATTTGTCCTTGAACAAGGGCATTAAAAGGAGAAGCCAGCTGTGGTTCTACACTGCTGCAGCACTTGGGCTGGTCTTGCAAGTCGGTATGTGTTGATTCCATTTCGAGAAGCGAGAGACAGCTAATCGCTGTAACAGGGGTGATCATGTATGGAGCAGTTACTGTTTTCATTTGCCCAAGTCTTTTCCAAAAGAACGGACGGCCAGTGGAGAGCTACGCTTTCCCACTTTTTATTTTCGGGACATTGATGCTTTGCACAGGCATGTTCTTCTGTGCATTCATCATCGAACGCTCCTCGAGCGAGTGCTATCTCCACGCCGATAGGCCCAGTAAGTTATACTGGTTGCAGCCAGGAAGACAGCATGTCGGAGACCAGGTCTTTGACGCCTTTCTTGGAGTTACCGAAGGGCCACAATCTCAACCTACGGGTGATCTGACATATATAAAGTCCGTACGGAGTCGTCACCACACTGGAAATTCATCGCTTTTCCTAACAGCCACAGTAACAGTGGTGGGGTTCGTAGCCCAGTTTGTAGGGTTGCGAGGACTCCATGCCACAGTTATACTCGCTCAACTTGGAGCAACACTCCTGATGGCCATTATTCGAACATGCCTTAGAACCAAGCGGATCGGCCCAGAACAGAACCGATTCGGTGGGCACGAACGACAGCTTGTTTCATACAAGAGCCAGGAATTGGATTTTTTCGCCTTTCATCTCGAAAACGCCGAGTCGTTCAGTCTGGTTTCGACTCTAGCGAGGACGCCATCTTCCTCGTCTCAAAGCAGCTTGCGGTCATCAAATGCGACGACAGAAGCCTCGGTTCAGCCAGTAGGCAACGCCACCCGACTCATAAAGACGAGAACCCGGCTTGCAGAACTCACATCGGCCAATGACAGATGTTCAAGCGCGGCCTGGGATGACCTTCCCATTCGGCAAATAGCGCGAAGCCTTGCAGACGCGATTGAACAGACCATGGATCTTTTGTCAGCCTGGAAAAGTGTCAGAGACGACCATTTTGCCTTTGATCTTTCGTTGTTATGTCAATCCCAGCACAAATCTATTGCTCCGATAATGGAAACATATACTATCGCTCTCGAACGCGCTGATGATACGCTGCAATGGCGCGTAAACGATAATGAGCTCGAAGCGATCGTCGGACTATGGACATGGTCATTGTTGAAATCTGATCCGAAATGGCTCCAGGAAGGACTTGGTCGTATGGTGGGGTTGACCGAGTTTGAGGCACGAGCTCCAGACACGGATCTATATTTTCACAAATGGATCTTCCGTCAGACGGAGGCCAGGATGGTTTCCTCTCGGATGGTCTCCTTTCCCCAGCAGTTGTTTGGCTATTATTCCGACGAATATCCCGACGATAAGGAGATTCTTGTTGTGAGAACCAAAAATAAACTCGAAAAGATGGTCGCCCAGGATATATACATCCACTTTCTTCGGAGTGCTTTGGAGGGTCTGGCAGAGCTCGGAGGCGAGATCAACATGCTGCCTGGTTCTCAGAACAGATTGGTGGCCCACAACAGCCGGATAGATGACATTGTGGAATGCTTTGAGTCCAGCGGCCTAGGATCGAGAGAAGACGCACTACTGTGTGTTGTTCCGAGCTTGCGGAATCGAGGACTCCTACCAGAGCTTGCTGCCGACTCGCACCCTATCAGGTTACGTTTGGAAGAGCTTAGCGGTAGCAAGAAGTGGTCCGAGGCTCTATCGATTACTTATTGGTTCTGTGAACGCAGTGCAGGAGATGAATTTGAGTATTCTGCATACGAGCTAGGATATTTATGCCACCTTGCAATGATCGATCAAGATGCGAGCACGCAGGCCGAAGGAATGAAATTCGTGAAGCTGGCGATGCAGGGCAACCCAAGAACGCTTTTCTTCAGGAACATGAAGAACCAGCGTCCTCTGAATTGGATGGACACGCCCGAGCAAGCGGGGTTCTGGGCCAGATTTACGCAACAACTGGGATGGATGGTGTGGCATATCTCCGAGCGAAATGGCCAAAAGCAAGTCATCCGAACGGCTCTGAACCACCATGGGATCAACGAGGAATCTTTACCACTTTCGGGAGACAACGGGAATGATGTACAGGAACAAAAGGGCAAGGAAACTGCTGTACGATGGTTGACAAACAGGGACGAGAACCAATCACTGTCGACGGATGATCAGCTGGCTCTAAGTTGGGCTTGTCGGAATGGCCATCATGCAATTCTCAACTGGCTCGTTGCCAAATGGGTCAATATTGACAAACTATGCCATGGAGCTTACATATTCAACTTCATCATATGGGCTGCAGAAGAAGAATACGATGTGGCACTTGCATCTCTCCGTCGGAGAGGAATTGACCTCGACATGCAAGGACCAGTGAGCGTGAACTGCATGACTGCAATGATTTTCAGTATTGCTCTGCATTCAGACTACAAAGTGGCTCGTGTATTACTTGCTAACGGGGCACATGTCGACGCGCCAGACAAGACTGGTAGAACACCGCTAATGGCTGCCAGTGACGTAGGGCTCTCCGAGGCAGTTCTGCTGTTTCTGGAGAACAACGCCAACGTCAACGCACAAGATGCTCAGGGAGCCAGTCCATTGGTATATGCTATCCTTGAGGGACAGTTTAACATCGCCGAGATTCTCTTGAAGAACGGAGCGGATATCAACTCCCGGGGCATCACCGGGACCACCCCTTTGATGGTCGCTGCTGATGAGAAGGAGGTCGAGTTACTCAGACTTCTACTTTCCCGGGGAGCTGATGTAAATGCACAAGATGACGATGGGCAGACAGCATTGATGATCACAGCTCAGAATCATTGCAGGGATGGGATGGTGGCCCTCTTGAATCACGGAGCCGATGTGCATCGACAAACCACGCAGAGAGAGACTGCGCTAGACTGCGCGCAGAATGCGTGCAACTGGGAGGGTGTTCAATTGTTGAAGTCGGTGATTGAAGGACAGGGCGCTTCCTGGCAGTGGGACTTCTCATAGGAGTTTTGGTCTTTGTATTTAGTACTCTTGTCAACAAGCATATAGCATAGAATATATATTATTCCGCGGTTCGATGCGCCGGTATTAGTACTACGCCGGAAACAGACGATTTCTAGGTGGGACGTGATACGAGTATGCATTTCCCGCGACAAGGTGGCCACCAGCCAAGTACTCTCAAACCACCTCTCCTCTTCTGACCCATCCTTGACCATTATACCTTCACAAGACTGTGCAATGGATTTTTCATTGGATCAAGTCTCTTTTCCAAGCCAGCGGGCTGTCTTGGGGCTGACAGGATCGACCCCTGCGAGTGCTGCAGGCCCTATCACACATCACACTAGTTCGTGCTCTAAGCGCCCACGCTCTCCGCACAGAGCAATCAGCGTGCATCTCCTCCACCTGCCTGGCGCCTACAGAAACAGCTCGGAGAGCTAATCATGCCTCGTATAAGAATAGCAGAGGTGTACTGCTTGGTGGTCCCCCGCTCCACGACCGAAGCCCTCCTTGCCACATATAAGGGATCAAGATTCCTCGCGGACAACAACTATCGTGACCAGCCTTCAACTTCAAGAAAAGGCAACGACTCTCGTCTTCATAATGTCGAGCACGTTCCCCCCTCCGCCAAGTCAGGGCCAACATTTTCCTCGTGTGTCCCCCGCTTCCCCTCCCCAATTTACCTGCTAATGTTGGCTCCTCCAGCTCCCCCCAACGCCGGAGGTCCGTATGCTTCTCAATGATGTCTTGAATGCGTCTCCCTTCTCCAAACATCTCCCTGACACTAGGTACAGGATTTCAACAACATTCCCAGAGCCCTGCATACCCGCCTCCCAACTTCAACTACCCTCCCCCTCCTCAGCAGCCCCATGGCCCCTCCGTGGACACAAATGTCGCGAGCTTTACAGCAAATACCGGAATCGATGCGTACAGCTCAAGCTCTGTGTCGCCTCCCCCGCAAACGCCCCCGCCAGCTGTCCAGCCCCCCAGGGCGCCGAGTGTACAATCCCAAGTTACCACTACCACCATTGCCCCCGCAACTCAGGATGAGGTTGGTACTTTCAATGGCGGGAGCTACAGGATCAGCCATAGGGACACAAACTCCATCGTCACTCTACAATTGGCAAATGGCTGCCCGATTGAAGCTAAGCCAGGTAAGCATGGATATGCCCTGCAGTTAGACCCAGAATCCGTTTGGTACGGTACTAATGAGCATCAGGTGCAATGATTGCTATGTCGTATTCCGTCAGTGTCAAGGGAAGCTTGAAATTCGATTGGAAGAAATTCTTGTCGGGGAGTATGGCATATTCCATCTTTACCGGCCCCGGCGAATTGCTGCTTGCCCCATCGACGCTCGGGGATATCATTGTCCTACGTCTCACTGGGTCCGAAGCAGCATGGAAAGTCGGGAAGGATGGATTTCTCGCCGCTACCAGCGGTGTTAAGAAAGACTACAGAAAGCAAAATCTCACCAAGAGTTTATTCTCTGGTGAGGGGTTCTTCGTCTGCAGTCTGGAGGGAGTCGGCCTTGTCTGGTTGCAGAGTTTTGGTGCCATCATCAGGAAAGACGTACGTGACCAGCTGGAAGCATTTTCGGAAATCTGCTAACGGAATCTGCAGCTCGCTGAAGGCGAAGAATATCTGGTAGACAACGGCCATCTCGTCGCATGGAACTGCAAATACAAGATGTGGAGAGTTGCTTCAGGTGGCGTCATATCTACCATGAGTGCTGGCGAGGGCCTCGGATGTCGGTTTACGGGCCCTGGGACCGTATACTTGCAAACCAGGAACATTAGCGCATTCGGAGCTCACCTGGCTGCCAGTGCAGCTGTCTAAGCGTGAAGGTTTTGTCGTATCTGGGCTCTCCTTTTGTAATGTTTTTTCAGCGATGGGACGATTGTGTTTTCAGGCTTTTCGCATAGTATGGACATCTTAAGCCTACTAGTTTCCGATCGGAAGAATGTTTTCTGAATACTCCTAAGTCCAAGCTGGCGTCAATTTGTCTATAACCCCGGGCGCCCAGTTTCCATACAATGTACTGGCTAAGTATTCACAAGAGGAAGGCATGCCCAGGTACCAGAACATCCATACCAATCCATACTTATCATGCAAGCTAGAGCTTCGTTTCTCAATCTTCACTTTTTTCCCCTCGCAAACCATATCACATACTCATCCACGTCAATGAGAACTCTTTATACGAAAGAAAAGGGGAAAGGAAATGTCATGAACCGCCAAAAGATAGCCGTAAAAGGTACATCCACAATCGTAATTCCCCCTGAAACACCATCACATCGCTTAACCAGTACGCTTTCTGCGTCCGACCTGTCCACGGAAACCAGTCTTGATAGCGGCAACGGAACGACGAGAACCGCACGAGTTGCAGGTAACGAAGTACAGACGGTTCTCACCCTTGTTCAGCTCGGTATCGGGGCTGCGGCAGGTCTTGCAAGTAACGTATTCGACTGTTTGTTGGTTAGTATTGGAAATGTGTGGTTGTGCCGGTGAAAGAACGTACCGATATATCTTCTCAAGACGTTCTCAATCTGCTTCTGCTGGAACCGACCCTTGATGACCAGACGCCGGCTACCGTCCACACTACCGCTGGTACCCAATTCGGCGAACAGGAACTGCATGACGTGGTCGTCGGAACGCTTCATGCGCTTGCAGATATCGGCAATGTTGGCGAAAATGGTACGACGGTTACCTTCACGCAGACACTGGGGTGGCGGGATCTTGTACGACTTGGTACCACTGGAGAGCAGATCGGGGTGGTGGCTCTGGATGAGGGAGAAGAATCGGGTGACAAGCAGCGAGTACGGGATGGGTTGCGTGGCGTCGTGAGCCCAGATACCAGTTCCAGCCTCGAGATCGCCCTCGGGGACCTCCTCCGTCTTCTCCTCGCCCTCCTCCGCGATACCGGCTTCGGCGAGCTTAGCTTCGAAATCACCGGCGTCCACCTTCTTGGACTTCTTCTTCTTCTTTTTCAGGGCAGTCGGGTCGAATTCGCCATCTCCGGCGGGAGCCTCATCGCCCTCTCCAGCTTCGGCGTCCTTGGGCTTCTTGGTCTTCTTCTTTTTCGACAGGCCCTTGAACAGTTCGGTGACTTCATCGACGGACTTGTCTGTTGCGTTGGTGAAAAAGAAGTTAGTCTTTTGAATCCTTGCGCCTGTCTATATTCGCCTCCTTAATTTTCTCCCCCGCGGCTTGTTCACTTCAACGGTACGGAATGACGGTCGACGGCGACATACCTTCGGTCTCGGGCTTCTCCACACGAGGAGCCTCTGTCACTTCGCCGTTGGTATCCATGATGACTGCGCCCTCACTGAATGCGACGGACTTGCGTTGTTTCTGGGTGGTCTGTTCAACCTATACGGCCCCGCAGACAATCGGTTAGTGTCGAGATTAAAAAATTCCGGTGTCCCAAGACAACTGGAAAAATGAAAAGACGAGAATAGAGACCTCGTGCACACAATCCAGCGCAGCGGGATTGTCACGAATCGAGGTAGGGTGGCAATGGGACGGGGGTTGGGCTGCTAGAGTGAGGAGGGTATGAAAGAAGAAAATGTGGGAGGGTTTGATCGGTAAAGGGAAAACCAGGTGTGACGTACAGGTTCCGCCATGGTGGAATCTCAAGCTGTGGGAGAAAAGGAAACACACTCCACCGAAAAAAGGTCAATGAGCGACTTCGTAGGGAGACGAGACGGTTTCTTAAGCTGGGATCGCACTCTTTTGCTGAATGGTATCGTCTGTCTGGAACCTGATGGCGACTTCTGTTATCGCGGGTGCCGGTCACGTGCAGTGAGTCAGGTGTAATATTACCACACTCATCACGTGCTGGATGACTGCTCTGCCACGTGACCTCGACTCCCCTGGATTACATCAGATCCCATCAACAAGTTCCACTCTATGAGACCATCCAACGTTCATTCCTCTCGATCTTGGGGCTGTTTGCAACCCATGCTTCATCTCACGATCATCCAGTAGGCAGGCTCCTGCTGCTTTTCTCACATCATTCTCTCCCTGTCTCCCTCTTGTTCTACATAACCTCTTCCTTCCCCGCAATCGCTCCACCATGGCCACTCCTTCACCCTCCGCCTCCAATCCGTCTCTCGCGACCTCGGCCTACATGGTTTCCTCCGTCGACCAGTCCTACACGTCTCTTTCCGAAGATGAGGTTGCTTCTCTTCCCTCCGAGTCCACCACCGCGTCGGACTTGGAAACCCTGTCGGACGACTACTCCGATGCCGAGGAGGAATGGCGGGAAAGCATCGAGCAGTTGGAGCTCCTTTTGACGATGGTGCTTGTGCCTTTCATCGGGAAATACCTTGGCCGCAAATGCGCTTATTGGAGTACGTGTGAATGGCACCGAAGATACGATATCGATGTGAACTAACCGCTTCACTCCAGGTTGGACACGATTCATGGAATGGAAATACCCCGTCGAAGTGGTGGTTAGCAATCCGACGGCCCACAAGGGAGCTGGTGCTGTTGAAGCCATGGCATCGCTATGATAATGTCTTCCGGCATGATATGATAGACCCAACCTTTGGATTGTTCCCTACCATTTGGCGACGGACGGCTTCTATCCCGGACAGTTATATCGAGATTATCCTTCACTCTCACCATTGCCGCTTGCCGTTTGGTGCTCGGCAAGAGTGGTACTCGCTGAGGACATCGACACTCGTCGCGTCAATTCTGTACATGTTAGACCGGGCACCATTAAGGCTTTCGAAACGGGGGCGCTCACGCGGCTCGACCTACTCTATGGTCCTGATGACGAGTGGGGACGCATGTTCTCCGAGTTCCTTACCCTCTATCCTCTCGGAACAATGTGCGATAATCCATTCCGACGCACATACACGACTTTAAATGCATGATAGACACTTACATTAGTCAATATAATACAAAATTCTCCCGCCTGGCTATCACGTCGCATGAAGTTTCTTTTCAAGTGCAGCAGAATTCCACTGGTATTCTTTCGACAATTCTAACGTATAACTGCCGCACGCTCGTGGTACTGCCCAGGCGACCAGCTCTCTACATGCAAGGTCCCGTCTTATCACCTCACCAGTAAGCCTCAATTTCCGTCCACTCCGGTATCAAATTGTGCACCCATTCCTGCCAAACCTGCCTGGTCCTCTGTATTCCCACGATTCACCCCCTCGCCGGTACCGGGCTGCGCAGCGTCTCCATGCTCCAATTGTGGCTGCGGCTGCGGCTGCGGCTGTTGCTGCGGCTGTTGCTGTTGATTCTGACGTCGAGCTGCAAGTCTCAAAGTTGCCATCTGAGCATAAAGGCTGACTTCCCCGTTTCCCTCAGGAGCCAAGAGAAATGCCGTCTCAGAGTCTACCTCGGGGTTCTGCTGCCGGTCAGGTCGGTTCGGATCTGGTGCATTCAAAGAAAGAGATGCATTATCGTGCATCATAGCTTGAGCAACGAGCAATTCGATGTTTAGCAACTCAGTCTCTATGTCGCCGGTAAACCACTGCGACCTATCGGGAACATGTCGGCCCCAGTGGATACCGTTTTCTGTGACGACGCGGTCTATCCAGTTGCGGACATTGCGATTACGGCGGGTCTAGCATGTCGTATCAGGGTTAGTACTGTGGGCCTTGATCACGGCATATAGAGAGGCTTGAGACGGAGCACTTACGTTCTCTGGCCTGCTGGTATGCTGCCTGAGATTGCGCCGGGTGAGTTTTCTGGGATGACGCCGTGGCGACATCTTGATGGCGAAGGGAAACAGGCATGGCCGCAGGGCATGGTACGACGCTATTTGTATGTACTGCGGATCGAGCGCCTTGTTGACGGTGATGACGGCCATGACAATGCTGGCCATTGTTAATGGGTAGTCTTTGAATGGTGGCTTTGTATTACTCACTTCATAAAGGACACCGTTGAGGTTCTTACAGACGAAGTAATGTCTTTTTGCTGTGGGTCATGTCAGCCTGAGACGTTATGAGCGATTGCACTGTGTGTTACCTTTCAGCTTGTTGTGGTTAATCTTGGACGCGCCTTGTCCCACGGAATGGCATTCACCGAGGTCAACAGACTCTAGGTTGAATAGCTACCTTCCAAGCAAGTAAGAGCCTAATGGGCATGGTTATATACTGAATTGACAGACCGTCGAATAAGCCTAGTGCTCCTTATTCAGCCATGCAGCGTTGGGCATCAAGCAACCCGCCAATTCAATTATATTGAATCTACCCAAGCGACTATCCATACTCAGCAGTAGGATACGTTCATCCCGGATAGCGCGAGGGGCTATAGCCTGCTAGAATTAGCTTGCCGGGTTGTCCGTGTCTTTTTCCGGAGATAGACAGACAGTCGTATCGCTGCTAACGACGAGCTCCACAAGGATCCCCTATCGGAGGCCACTGTCTGCATCCTGGCCCGAGCTTGGGACGGAGCACCAGATTATCGGGTTGCTGATCGGCATTGATTGAAAGTTTAATGGACACTTGGATGGGCCGTTTGATGTGATCTATAAGCTGTCGTCATTTCCGTTAGCGGTAGGGACACGAAAAATAGAACGATTGCGCCAGGGCAGTAGGTCTATCATAATGTAGGACAGGAAGTATGTCGTGATCTGAAATCGATCGAGAGGCCCAGCCCCTGGTGGGAGATTTCGGCTCTGCGTACACCAACGCGCCTGGCATAGATCGATGTCCCGGTTGGGTACTGTTATTGGCCCGTCTAGTAATTTTTGACGATGTACTATCACTCGGCTAAAGTCACGGGGAGGTTGCAGCCTCATCGTGACCCAAATTTGGGGCTACAACCAATTGACGTCCTGTCAGATTCGTCTCCCGGGACGGGAAATGCATCACCGTGATTGTTTTGAAACCTCTGGGTAAATCAATATTGATTTCACCCAATCGATATTTTCTGCATGCTGTTGACTCAGTCCGACCAACTGATGAGACATACGCTAGATATATTTCTGGCTATGCCGCCAAAAATTCAAACCCTTCAAATCCAAATGCGCTCCTTCAAACCCCAACAAATATATACAATCGTTTTCAAGCGCAAGAACGAACCAGGTCTAACACTACCAATGAAGCTGGTATCTCCTCCAAAATCCTTTTAGCGTATCAGAAACATTGCCTTCCTGCCTTCCCGCGTCATTAGTATGCCATAGGTCTTCTCTTTGCCCCGGTATAGAGGTAGAATTCAACCTCCCCAGGTCAGCCTCCAAGCATCCAGTCGCAACACCTGGCTGTTGAAAGGGCAACAAATCTCGACCGTGCTTGTTTCTTCCTGATCCGATCAAGGATGTTGCATTATCCACCGGATCATGAGCGTCCTGGTGGCCTGAAACCAACCATATGCTACCCTCATGGGAAAGGCTACGCGGTGACTGCGGCTCGAAGCAGCCATCAACGTCGCGCATTATCATGCTATACGCCGCAAGAAATGTCTGAGGACAGATCTCCTCGGTGCTGTCAAGCAGCAATGTGCTGCTCAGCCTCTTCTCTACATCTGATGCTTCGTCGAGTAGTCCCTCTTCAGATCTCGCGGTAGCACTTGGCCCCTCTAGGTCAGGAAAAAAGCTCAAGGTCTCAAATAGGGCTTGTTGCTGGCCCCCAATGTGTACACCCCCGACGCTTGATGCTTGCGAATAAAGTTCGAAGTCATGGCTCGGCGCAGGGAAGCCTTCTGTAGCAGCCATTGTTTCTCCAGGTGACGGGCCGAGCATTCTCTGCTTTTTGTTCGACCGGCTCGCGTCATATTTTGAATGGATAGACGAAGACCGAATGCGCTTTCGGTAGTCCGGGCCTTGACTTTGGTCCTCTGACTCGAGTACACCTTTGGTACTCTGATCCCAGGTTCTCACTCGTTCTTTCAGGATCTCTTTGAGTCGTTCCAGGGTGAGACCCTCCACCACTGGATCCAGTTCGGTGGGTTGCGCATCAAGGTCAAAATCCAGAAGCTGTTTGGTGTAGGTTTCATACAAATCACTTGGCGTTTGAGTAGCCTCCCCCTTGTCATTTCTGTCACTGTCATGTTTGGTGATGCTCAGACCTTCACGGCCCAATATCTGGCAGTTATCTAGATCGTGATGTTTTAGTCCGTCACACTGTATGACTGATGAGTCTAGTAGCGTGCGCATGTCAGGACACTCATTGGCATCCTCAAATTGACTGCTGAGATTTTGATAGAGACCGTCCTGCGCCAGTCTGATTGCTGGGGTCTTCTCCTTTTGAGATTGGTCGGCTCCATCCTTTGCTGGAGCATCAGGGTTCACGCATGCCCTCTCGAAATTGTCTTGAGGCTGGTAGTGAGAAAGAAAATTCACCTCGGAAAAGCCCTGGACTGGTGCTGAAGGATGCTTCTGTAGACCAGTCCTTACCGGTGTGGAGGCCTTTCCCTTCCCGAAAATCCCGGACGGCGTACAAGAGGGGAGCTTGAACAGGTTGTTAGTGTCTCTTCTGTTCTTTGGTTTCTTGGACAGGAGACGCACCGTCAGCCGTTTTGCGGGGACATTCGAGGCATGAAAGTGGTCGTTGATCGTGTGTTTTCTGGCTCTGGATAAGCGCTTTCTTGGCTTGCTGGAGGAATGATGCGAGGCTCTGGCAGATGCCTGGCCCTTGTACTCATAGCGGTCTGATTTGGTTTTGTGACGGGGCCTCCGTCCATAGCAATGCTGTTTCTCTTGCGTGTTAGTGCCATTGGGAACGTCCAGCGTCGGTCGTTGCTGGCGCACAGCTACAGAAAAGTCATGGCTGACTTCGTTACTTGGGGAGCACAATCCATCAGCTGTATATGGACTTGGATTGATGCTAGTGGGCGAGAGATGATTATCGGCCCATTGTCCATGGTATGGCGGGTCCTTGGGGGTCTCAACTGCAGCTAGCCAGCTATAGATGGAAGACCCTTTGTAGGTATCCATCTGGACGCCGCTGAGAACGCGGAGATTGTGGAGACTGTGGACCGAAGTGGATTGTTGGCGGAGGACGGAAGTGAGGAGTGATTCTACCATTATTGTGATTGAGGTACCTGCCTTGTAGGTAGCTGGATAGGCAGCTACCTACGTAAGGTACTGGTAGGCAAGTGACGCAGTGGTGCCATAACAGGAAGTTGTGACTGCCTGGAGTACTCCGTATGCATGTCCTTCAATTCCGCATCGACCATGTTAGTCATTTCTCTCAGGAGACATAACTAACTAGAGGCATCTAGTAGACATCTAGAATGGATATAGCTACTCCGTACTCCGTAGGAAGAAACAAATTATGCATCTAATAATGTACCTAAATCTAAACGAATCTTATCCACTCGTGCAACCTCACCCCCCTCCAATCGCACCCTCGCACCCGCTCTTTATCGCCCCCCTCCCCGCTTTTTTTTCTAAATTGTCTAGTTTTTTTCTGCTGGAGAAGAAATTCGGGCTGGAAAAGTCTCTGCTGCTGGTAAAGTTCGGGTGATCGTATCTCCCTGCGCAGCTTATCGATCACTTTATTTTTTTCTCGTCCTCCTCCTGCCACTCTTCTTCCATCTCCCTCTCACGTTCACCTCCTAGTCCCCAATCGCTCAGATTCCCTCACTCCCAAGGTATTTTCCTGACTAATTTAATTTGTGTTCAGTTTTGTTTTTTTTGGTTTCCCCCCCTAGTGTTACCCCTCTTCCACATTTTCCCCCTTCCCTCTCTCTCATCTCTTCTTCCCATTCTCCCTCTTCTCTCACTCATCCTCTCTGTCTCTTCTTTCATCTCTCCCTCAATACTAATCTCCTAACAGTCCTTTCCGCCTTCTTCCACCACATCAACAATGTCTAAGCTCTTCGTTGGGTATGTCCTTCCATCTGATCTCTCCCTTTACCCCGCCTATATTGCCATCGGGTCAGCTAACCAGTCCAATCGCACAAACAGCGGCCTTGCCTGGCACACTACTGATGAGAGTCTCCGTGCTGGCTTTGAGAAGTTCGGCACTGTCGACAACGCGGTGAGTCTCCATCAACCATCTAGCCTCGTGAACACCCCTGACTGACCATCGACCTTAGATTGTCGTCAAGGACCGTGATACTGGCCGTAGCCGTGGATTCGGTTTCGTCACCTTCACCTCTCCCCAGGAGGCTGACGCTGCCCTTAACGAACTGAACAACCAGGAGTGAGCATTCTATCTTTCTTTAAACCATCCGCGATTCACCACTCGCCTTCGCGACCTCCCCATCCGGATTGAAAATTTACAAAGACAGATTCGACGGCCGCATCATCCGTGTCGACTTTGCCAGTGAGCGCAATGGTCCCCGCAATGGCGGTGACGGAGGTTTCCACGGCCGCGGTGGCTACAACGCCAGCGGCGGTCGCCCTGGAGGATATGGTATGTGCTTTCTCCGTCTTGAACTGATGAATGGGGGTCCCCGATGCTAATTTATGACATAGGCGGCGGCGCGTACAGCGGTGGTAAGCATCCTGACTTTCTCGCCAACCCTTTCTTGACGACCTACTAACGCACTCTATTCTAGACTGGCGCAGCCAGTAAATCCGACCCGCTGTAGCTCCATGCCCTGACCCTTGACCACGTTGCACCATGCGCCTCACGTTTGGTTAGCTGGGGTGTGGAGCTTCTGTTCAATATGTTTTCCTCTCTTCTCTTGAGTCATGAGATACGAATACCTATGGACATTGCAGGAAAGAAGATCAATTTGATGGTGGATAATGAATTTCACGACTATTCTCGGCCGAGCTAGTTAGGTAGTTACATCCAACTCGTTGATATTGCATATTATGCATTTATCACTTTAATATCCAATGTCCATGTAATCTATCGTATGTCTATAGCCATGTAGCCATCCATCTTCAATGCATCATGATCACCCAGAGTGCCCCAAGGAAACCCCTCTATTCGGCCGCAAAATCACGACGCGCCTCCTGCTCCGACCGACTCAGGCACTTCGCCAAATCCCTCTCCGCTTCCTCCTCATCGGCCGCTCCCTCCTCAACCCCCTCGATGGCCTTCACCCGCCGCACCAGATCCGTAACGTGTTCATCGGCCGTCCCAAGCCCGAGACCTTCCAGCGCTTTTTCAAGGAGATATAGGTACTCGGTGTTCTTACCGCTCTGCCCACGGCCACGACTGATAACCTCGGCGACGTCCTGCGGCTCGCGACGCGCAGGGTCGCGCAGAAACTGCGGGTTCGTCGGCTGCCCGATATACACCATGCAAGTGATGGGCTTTGCGTCCGCAACCGCATGGCCCTCCGTGAAGGGGTAGAACGGCGTGTAGTGCACGGTGTAGCCGTCGATCTCGCGCTCGTCGAGGTAGTCGTGGACTTCCTCGGCGTGCGAGGCGGGGATGCGGTACGCGGCGCCCCAGACGCGCGATGAGGACGATTCTGCTGTTTCGGTATGGGCTAGCTGTGGGGGTGTGAGTATACTTGGGGGATAGGCTTCTGCTTGGCTCTGGGGGAGGGTGTGCACGAACTGGGTCATTCAACGTCTCCCAGAACTGCCGCTCGATCACGGTTACTACCCGTCCTGGTCGCTCTGGGGTGCCGCGGTGGTCGGTGCTGGCTATACGTTAGACGTTGGTCTGGGTTAGGACGGTTGGAGTGGCATACCTGGCCTGCCAGAACCGTCGAACATAGCCGTTGATATACCCAGGGACTCTCTGATCTGCGTTCAGACGTTAGTGATGGAGTTGCTGGAGAGCGCGAGATATTGTCCTCATGCAGGAACAGGGCCAGGATACCATAATGTGGCGGAGGCTTCCAAATCAAACTCCTGGGTCAGGTTAGCCTTGTTCCAGCATAAGCCATCTTTGACGTACCCGTAACCAAACACCCAGAGATCCCCCTCGGGAAAGTAATTGCGCCATGTTCGGCCATCTGGTCCGTTGGAAGCCATGCCGGATGGTTCTCGTGCTGTATGTATATGCAATCTAAGCTGGCTCTTACTACACCGCAATGTGAAAATATCGTCCAATCGGTGGGTAAACCGGTCGTGAAAGGATGTCAATGCAGTAAAATAAAATCTCTAGATATAGTGCTAGTGAAAGATAGAAAACACCAAACCCCCTGCCACAGGGAAACAGTACAAACCAGCACCGGTTACATGAGCGACAAGGAATTGGTGAGCATGAAAGTCACCGGACGGTGTTTGTCTTGTTTGTTCTCCATCAGTCTGCAACAATAACCAGAGTATTATTGTTCTCCTTCAACTCCCACCACGATTATCCTTTCCTTTAATTATTCATCTTGAATGGCGTCAGTTGATGCAATTTCCATCGAATAAAATCCAACTGATTGACCATATTGGCCACTGTGCCTGGTCGCACAAGCGAATCGTCCCTCGACAACGAATACCGTTGAATGTAAGGGAGCGGCAGTGACAGTGTCTCCAAGACGGGATTGTGGAAGCAAGGTGTGAATAACGAAGAAGCCTGGCGACCACCCACTCATGCTACGTAGCAACAATACTCCGTATTCGTACAGCACCTCCTTGTCCAGCCTCAGGTGGAGACCTCCTGTCCGAAGAATCCCCAAGCTCCATTCTGTGCATGTCCAGCGGGGCTGCCCAGACGCCGCCGGTCGGAGCTAGAGCCAATCGTCAACCCGACTGCAGTTGTCACTGTGGAGTGTCAAAGGGGATGGCTCTTCGACAATATTATCAAAGTTTCGAACATCATCAATCAGAAACGGCATCCACTGCAGCCATATCGTTCGGTGCTTCTATCGCTGAAATACAGCGCTCGTATCCCGCTCCATAATGGCGGGATTGGTACGTCTTCTGCGGACGCAGTACAGCCCACCAGCTGAACCCACAGTCTCGTTCGCCGGCAAGACGGTGGTTTTAACGGGCGCAACCGCCGGACTGGGCTTTGAAGCCGCCATCAAGCTCCTCAACCTGGGGGTCGAGTCGCTCATCATCGGCAGCCGCAACCTGGAAAGGGGGAAAGCGGTCAAAGCCGAACTGGAACAGCGCACCAACCGACCCGGCGTGGTGCAAGTATGGGAGTTGGAGATGAACAGTTTCCAAAGCGTGAAAACATTCGCGAGTCGCGTCAACGCGGAGATCCAACAGCTGGATGTTGCACTGCTGAATGCGGGCCTGTGGAACCGGGAGTACACCGTGTCCGCCGAGGGATGGGAGGAAACTTTGCAGGTCAATACGCTATCCACGTCCCTTCTGGCAGTCCTCCTACTTCCCAAGCTGAAGCAAAGCTCGTCCGCGGCGAATCCCGCCCATCTCTCTGTTGTATCGAGTCAGCAGTTTGTCCGCGTCAAGGCAGGGAGTCTCCGGACGGAGGGGCCGTTGTTGAAGCATCTGAATGACCAGCGGCACTTCCGGGGACCGACGCAGTATGGGATTTCTAAACTGATGCTTGAGTATGTTCTGAAGACATTGGCTGGCTTGATGCGGAATGAGGACGGGACTGTACCCGTGGTGATCAACACCATCAGCCCGGGCTTCTGCAAGTCCTCCCTTGGCCGACAGTATAATCGCTTCTATGAGCGATGGCTGGTCTGGTTGGTGTATAAGATGTTTGCCCGCACGACGGAGCAGGGCAGTCGGTCGCTGGTCAGTGCGACGTATCAGGGCGTGGAATCGCATGGGAAATGCTGGCGGAGTGATGGATACTTGGAGTACGTTTCCCTTCCACTTTTGGGGACGACTGGACTGACAAACCACAGTGAATCCACCGCGTTGACGACGGGCCAGGAGGGGAAGGAATTCCAGGCGAAGGCATGGGGAGAGATTAGGGAGATCCTGCGCGAGCAATCGGAAGAGATTGACGCGATTATTCAGTAGCGCCTATTAATCTATATACTTGATGTTGATACTACGTGGTCAATGGTTAATGACAGTCATTGTATACTATACAAAGAAGCGCCTAAGGCTCCACCAGACGAGCAGCCAATCGATAGGGCTGAGCCACTGTTTGCGGAACTTCTGCTTCTTCCGAGTCTCATTGAGACTCTGTCCGTTTCTCCCAAACGACCCGACGGCGCCTTCATTCTCACTGAATGGTTTGATCTCAATCGGAGTACTATAGATGATTGTCGCTTGGCTGCAGTCCTAGTTGTGGTGAACCACCGCCCCACGGCTCCGCAATCCAAACGAACGTCTTGCTAAACGAACGATGGGCAGAAACTAACCAACTCTGAATCCCTCCTGACTCCACGACGCCTCTTTTTTGCCTCCTGATCTTATCCTCCTCTTTCTTACCCTCCACACTTCTCCTCTCTCTCGTCTCTTTCTTTCTCCCACCTCTCCCGGCGACGCGCCGGTTTGAATCTCTCCTCCCAGGCTCAGCTCGCATTACGTCAGCTGTAGCCAGACAAACCATGGCGTACAACAAGTCCTACAACCCAGATGCGCTACCAGCGTAAGTCGCAGAGTTGATCCAAATGGAACAGGGCATCGCTGACCATGAGTGAACTGGACGTAGGCATGCAGAGCCTGAGCAGGTACGGTTTGATCTAACCGCCATGAATTTATCTCCCCGCGGCTGATAACATCTCCAAAGGTGGCTCAGATGATCGGTGCGATGCAAGTAAACTCTGGAGGCCAACCAAAACCTCCTCGAGCGCCTCACAATCCGTCGATGAGCAGTGTGCCTCCGCGAATTCCAGTTTCCAATGCCCACAGTGCGCCAGCACCTCGTCCGGGGCAAGGTCACCCCGCCTACAACAATAACAAACCTCTCCCTCCCACCGGAGGACCTCCTCCAGGCCCGAGTCGAACACACCCATTACACCCATCTCCCCCGCCCCAAAATTATGGCTTCGGACCGCCGCCTTCGCAACCGATACGCAACCGACCGCCTCCGTCCTCTCAACCCCCTCGCTCCCCCCACCCTCCGCCACTGGCGATGCCCAACGATGACCCGCAACAGCTCTTCCCCCTGTTCCGCGCAGCGAACTCGTCGCATTCCGGTTCGCTCACGGAAATGGAGCTGGGATCGGCGCTGGTGAACGGGGACTACACCTCGTTCCACCCGAAGACCGTGAAGATGATGATTCGCATGTTCGACCGCAACAGCAGCGGGACGATCTCGTTCGACGAGTTTGTGTCGCTGTGGCGGTACCTCGCCGCGTGGCGGGAGCTGTTCGACCGGTTCGACGTTGACCGCAGCGGGCGCATCAGTCTGCGCGAGTTCGAGGATGCGCTGGTCGCGTTCGGGTATCGGTTGAGCCAGCCGTTCGTGTCGGTGCTGTTTACCACGTTCGAAAGCAAGGGGAGGCAGATGAATGGACCCGGCAAGGGACCCGGCCCGGCGGGCATGAGCTTTGATCTGTTTGTTCAAGCGTGTATCAGTCTGCGTCGCATGACGGACGTGTTCAAGCGGTACGATGACGACCGCGATGGGTATATCACGGTGAGCTTTGAGGAGTTTTTGACTGGTGAGTGGACGCCCCCTGGGTATTTCCTGTTCGAGGTGGCATGCAGGTTTCAGACTAACGCAGCGCAGAAATTCTACAGCTGCAGGATTAGAGTGGTCGAGGGGATGCTGGTTCATTGGCGATGGTGCTTATTTCTGCTTCTGGGTGATTTTGCTCTTTGATCATACAGATTATACCCGTTTACCCTACCGTATCATAATTCTAGACGAAAATAGCCTGTCGATCTAATCATTGTACGTATCATTTCGTATCCCTCACAAGCAATGCGTGGCGCATACTCCGATCGAGTCAGTTTTGTCTTGCATGCCACGCGGTCAATGCTTAAAGCGAAGAAAAAAGCAAGCATCGCCCCGCATGTCATATAGCGAGACGGACATATGCCGTACTCAGTAGATGCTTGTGTGCGTGTGGTTGGAGTCATGTCATCTCTACCCAACATCTCCGACACGAGCATCTCCGACCATCACTCGTGTCGGCTTAAATCCGGGGCCTCGGACTTACGCAAGGAGCGAGGCGCGAGTCTACCAGTATATGTTAATGCCAGAAACTTTTCTTCTGTTCTCGTTTCCTGTTTCTTGTCTTCAGATCTTCCGGCTCCATCTTCCCATCGCCAACATGTCTGTTCGAGCATAACGGCCATTTCTTGTGTTGACATCGCCCGTGTTGGAATGTTCTGTGTCGTCACGCCTCTTTCCTGTCAGTTCTGCAACCGTCGGCTCTACCCGCCGTCTCGAAAAGATTGACCATTGACTCACTCAGGCGGTGAATTGCTCCCTGAAGAGGTGGACATAAGACTACACTAGTCGTTTTCTCTGCCACACCCTTGACCGCGCTACCTACCAAGCAATATGGCGTCGCAGCCCATCGCCGATGTGGACCACCAGAATCCCACGGTCATCTCCGCAGAGAAATCCTCTGTGCCGCAGAGTGAATCCACTTCCAGAGATGCCTCGGCCAATGCCGACTCCGTCGCTCGACTGTCAGAAGACCAGAACAATGGCGATGCGCCAGTCGAGAAGGTCGTCACCGGCGCACCGCTGTCGCAGGTGCCGTCCCAGGCCCAGAAGCTGGGCAAGAAGAAGGTTTTTATTGTAATGTTTGCGCTTTGTGTATGTGACCCGATAGTATATCGACCGTGTACGTCCACAGATGCTAACCATGCCGAATGCCTGCAGATGGTTCTATTCCTTGCCGCCTTGGATATGGTAGGTTGCTCAAACTGATCCTCCTTGACTCTCCACTGACGATCTCCTCTAGACCATCGTCTCGACAGCCCTGCCAACCATGGCGGCTCACTTTCATGCCTCCGAGAGTGGTTATTCCTGGATGGCCTCCGCCTACATGCTGGCTAACGCAGCCTGTGTCCCGCTCTGGGGCAAAATCAGTGATATCTGGGGCCGAAAGCCCATCATCCTCCTGGCCAATGCGGTGTTTCTGGTGGCGAGTCTGATCTGCGCGTTGGCAGTGAATCTCCCCATGATTATTGCGGGCAGAGCGCTCCAAGGTATTGGTGGAGGAGGAATCATCGTTCTCGCCAACATCAGTGTTTCGGATCTATTCAGCGTCAGGTCCGTCAGCCGTGACTCTCCTAGTTGTGCGAAGAACCATACTAATAGTGGTTTAGAGAGCGAGGAATGTACTACGGTCTATTCGGGACCACCTGGGCCATCGCCGGTGCTCTAGGCCCCATCATTGGAGGCGCATTCACTACCAATGTCACCTGGCGGTGGTGTTTCTATCTCAACCGTACGTCCACCACGTCATGATCCTATATCTCACAATACTAACCCATCCAGTCCCTATCGGCGGCCTCTCCTTCGTCATCCTCTTCTTCTTCCTGAAGATTGAATCCGGCAAAACACCCCTGCTCGCCGGGATCCGCGCCATCGACTGGTCCGGGACGCTGCTCATCATCGGCGGCACCGTCATGTTCCTCTTCGGTCTCGAGTTCGGCGGTGTCAGTTACCCGTGGGCCTCCCCCACGGTCATCTGTCTCATCGTCTTCGGCATCGTCACATGGGTGATCGCGATGCTGAACGAGTGGAAAGTCGCGCGGTACCCGGTCATCCCGCTGCGGCTGTTCGGAAACTGGCACAACTGCCTCGTGCTGCTCATCTGCTTCTGCCACTCGTTCGTCTTCATCTCCGGCGCCTACTACCTCCCGCTCTACTTCCAGACGGTCCTCCTCGCCAGCCCCATCCTCAGCGGTGTGTACGTGCTGCCCAACGTGCTCAGTCTGTCGGTCGTCTCCGCCGCGACAGGGTTCATCATGCGCAAGGTCGGCCGCTACCGCGAGCTGATCATCGGTGGCATGCTCTTCATGACCATCGGCTATGGCCTCTTCATCGACCTCAAGCCCTATGCCTCCTGGCCGCGCATCATCATCTACCAGATCATCGGCGGAATCGGCACCGGTCCGAACTTCCAGGCGCCCCTCGTCGCCCTGCAGGCCAACATCCACCCCTCCGACGTCGCCACCGCGACCTCCACCTTCGGCTTCCTGCGCCAGACCTCCGCCGCCATCGCCACCGTCCTCGGCACCGTCGTCTACCAGAACGTCCTGAGCCAGCAGATGCCCCGCATCGCCGCCGCTCTCGGCCCCGACAACGCCCACGCCATCTCCAGCGGCTTCGCCGGCTCCCAGAGCGACCTCATTCGCTCCCTGCCCGCCGACCAGCGCGCCGTCATCCTCGACGCCTACACCTTCGCCCTCAGCCGCATGTGGATCTTCTACACCGCCATCGCCGGCTTCGGCTTCATCCTTACCCTCTTCGTGCGCCACATCGAGCTCAGCAAGTCCCACACCGTCACCAAGACCGGCCTGCAGGAACAGGAGCGCGCAAGACAGGAGATCCTTGCCGCGCAGCGCGCGGAGCGCCAGCCTCCCGAGCCGAAGGAGGGAGCCTGATCCTGTCTGTCTGCCTTCTCCCTTTTGGACTATCTCCGGATTAATACGTACATATTTCGTCTCATTGGTCTAGTGAGATACACATATTAACAGCTAATGGAAATGATTTCCCAAAATGTCCCGGCGTTGATGTGGATATTGAATCACGCAAGATTTGGATATGAGAGATCGACCACACCATCCCAAGACAGTATCGCATAGAACGGCAGCTGAACAATGCATCATCTTTGCATTCCTAGTCGAACAGAATTATATACAGGTCAACTCAAGAGAGATTAAAACGCCACTCCAGAAAACAATCACAAAGTAAAATATCACATATAGCACTCGGCCTGTCCCCATCAGGCCGAGGCATGGATGAAACATAGTCACAATCTTAGGTCTTTCAAGATATCAAACAAATCGAACTACAGGTTGGGAAAATCGAAGAAGTAAAGGGAAAGAAAAGAGGGGGTATAACGTCGAAAAGAGATGAATCCACAATGAAGGAAAGCTTGGACCGATGCAGTCCAAGAAATAGAAATCCTCTCAACCCAGACAGATCAGTTACCCTCAACTTCCTAAACGCCACGAGATGCCATATTTGAGATAGACATGGGACATACAATCCAACAGTGTAAAGGACTCGACCCAGTCAGATCATTAGAGTTAATCCGCAAGTTAAAATTTTAGGTCTTTGCTTTCTTCGCGCTTCCTTCGGCATTGGATCCGCTATCGGGACTTTTGCGTTTCTTGTCCTGTTCGTCTTCCCGTGCAAAGCTTGGTCCGCTCGGTGCGGCTGGTGTTGGGAACGTCAGCGGACTGGGAAGCATATTGCTGTCCGGGCCCGAGCGACCAAAGCCCCATTCAGGAAAGAAGCTTGACGGCGAGGGTAGAAGAGCGTCTGACACGAAACGGCTCGGGAGCGCAGATATCGGGGTCTCAATGTTGTTGTTATTATATGAATTGTTGTTCTGTGTCGCCGCGCCAGGTGGAGGCGGTCTCGCGAACGGGTTCGGGGGCCCTTGTGCCCCAGCACTGAGAATTGCACCGGCTGAAGGAGATGGCGGTGGTAGTACGACGCCCGAATGGCTACCATCCGGATTTGCTTTGGCGGGGGTGAGCGTCTTATTCCCGGCTGAATCACGCGACGACGAGTCTCCAGTCGCACTCCCACGATCAGAGCTTTCGCTGGGTATCTGCACCTTCAATTGTGGCCGCTTAGACGCTATTTGGCCACTGTTCGTTCGTGCGGGCGGCTTGATGTCCACTACTGAGGGCGGGCGCGGCGCGTCTGTCGGGGGTCGAGGTGGGGGTGCCGTGGTCTGGGCGGAAGGTTTGCTCTCATCGGCTCCTTGGGAGACTTCGGCTTTGACTTGCGAAGGAGGTGACGAAGGCGGACCGACACCGAAATGTCGAGCGAGAACGGAACCGCGATCATCGATAGGCGTGAATATACTGCGCGATTTAGAGGACAGAGACCTTTGATGCGGAGGAGATTGGCTTCCTTCTGGTTTGGTTGGGCCTGCCATCTGCTCTGTAGAACCTTCGGGTAGCGATATCGTTCGCTGGGGTTGTTGTTGTTCAGATGCGAATGACGGTGGCATCGAGCTTCTACCCTGATCTGGCAAAAATGCGTGAGGGACCTGCGGGATTGATGGATGAGGTGGTTGTGACATTGCCATGGGAGCGTGTTGCTGTGCGAGAACGTGTGGATGCTGGGGATGTCGTTGCATATGCGGCGGCGGGGCTTGAAGATGCTGTGGTATGGATTGAGGCATTGTATGAGGCGGCAAAGCCTGCGTTGTCATATGCTGTGGTTGATGATGCGCGCCGGGAGGCGGATGCACATAGTGTGCGAATTGCCCCGGTCGAGGAGCTTGTTGCATGTTGTACATGGAGGGGTTATGCATATACGTGAAACCATTCTGAGGAGGCGGGGGCGGTGGTGGGGTTCCATGATGTTGTTGCGCGCCGATATTCGAACTGACCCGACGCAAATGTGTCCTTGACGATGGCCTCGATACTCCTTGCGGTTGGGGGGTTCCGTGACGAGGGTCAAATTGCATGCCGTTCCCGATCGGGGGGGAGGCAGAAGGAGCGTGGTTGACATGTTGGAAACCGGGGTGAGTGGTGACATGAGTGGGGATCATCGGAGGAGCATTTTGGGGAGGTGTTTGGTGTGCTTCTTCGGGGGCAGGTGTGGTCTCGTCCTCGTCATCATCGTCGTCGCGTTTGCCATTGAAGTCCTCGGGGCCTTTATGCTCATGGGGGGCACCACACTGCAACGAGTGAATTAGCAGAGAGCAAAAGGGGCCGCAGAGAGCAGACGCACATATTGGTATCTAGTTAACGTCTCGCGCATATCACATGACGAAAATTCGTAGAGCTTCTTGTTGTGGCCGAAGATGATGACAGCGACGTCTACCGAACACAGGACCGCGAGCTCATGTGCCTTCTTAAACAGACCACCTTTCCGTTTCAGAAACGTCCTGGTGAGGGAAGCAAGATGACGTTAGTCTTCTGTTTCCATGGATCTGCGAGCGCTAGGACCTACACTGAACGGTTGCGATCATCTTTGATCGCTTTGATCTCGATCTTTCTGCGACCCATGAGGAAGGTTGTGCCGCGGTATTACACCGGGACACGGCGGGTTGTCAAATAAATGGGGGACGCTAGAGCGACGGATGATGCTCTGGTAGGAAATGACGGTGCGATACAGAAACTCCGTAGAAGTTCGCGACCTTGAGTACAAAGATTCTCGTGTTTGTGGTTTTTTTTTTTCTCACCCCTATAGTATTCTCAGAACTCTTGAATTCCCTCCCCTGAAGCACAGGCAGCCCAGTCCCTCTACTGAGCGGGGATGATAAGGAAGAAAATTAGGAGGGGCGATGGGGATAAGAGGGTTGGGTTGGGGGCGAGCGCGTGGTGACGAGGGGGGAGCTCGAGGGCCCAAGGGGTCACAACAGCACAAAGAAGGACAGAACAGCCTCAGGCACGGCAGACAACGAGCAGACGAGAGAAGGCCGAGGCGAAAGAAGGGGCGGAAGGCAAATTGGGGATGGAAAACAAGCGTGAAGAGGATGGATGGATGGGAGGAATGGATGGCAACACGCGGGAAGTGCAGAAGATTCTAAAGATAGACACAACGACGGTGCGGGTTTCTCAGCCTCTGGGCGGTTAGGAGGGGGCCCCGGTTAGCCGCCATAGCCGCGCTATTAATAGACATTCGTTCCTCGACCTTCCGTGTGTTGTGATTTCCACCCTCACTCCTTCTACTACTTCTACTACATAGCTAGCTTGTTCCCTTAATGGCTCTGGACGCGGAACCCTAACCTTTCCCGATGATGCACGATCCACGTCAAGAAACATGGCTCGATTTAGCTTTCTGTCATCCTCCTGCAGGTCCACCACGGAATCGATAGTGGATGTGGCCATTGCAGGAATCGAATCGCCTACAGGAAAGACGGGTCGCATCGGTGAGCCCAGCTGGATTCTTACCGCCTCTTGAGAAAACTACCTATGAACGGATTATGAATATGGATATCCAGGAAGATGCCTAAGGCCTCAATCGCAGCCACCGCCACACCCCGGCTCAGCCCCCTGATCATCCTCTGGTCGGGTCGCATTCCGATCAGTTCAGATCAGATGAATAAGAATCACCCACTGGGGGTGTTATCTTGGAGACTGGTGGAGAATCCAGGGACAGCATGCGGAATACTATTCGAGGGGTCATATCGCACCACATTGTCACACCCGCCAACTAACACGTTACTGTACACCTCCATGGATCCCACGTATGTACTTCGGGACCGGCGGGCATAGATGGTTTTCATTGGTGTCTAGACTTTGGTCTGGATTAATGACTACCCGTTCAAAGGGACCAGAGGGCGGTCTTTAGCGTCCTTTGTACTCGGGATAAACTTTAGGGTGTGTTTCCTCCTGATGACTACTGCGGTATTCATCCTTCTGGGCAGCGCATACCAGCTCAGTCTCAGGACCAGGAACCATTCGACTGAACGCGATGACAATTCTGAGTATTCGTCCTGAATAGGCCAGAACAATCATAGCCATGCGAAAAGGGAATGCGAAAGCCTCGATCTCCGCTTGGGCGAGTGAACCACGGCACCCGACGTGTTTTGGCGTGTATTAGGATTTCCCCCCTGAAACGAGTCCATCCAGTAGATCCTCATCATCACCACCTCATCTTCCTCTGTATTCTTTCTCCTCCTCTCTCCTCCTCCACCTCCATTCCTTTCTCCTTCTTCCTCTCCTTTGCCCTCACTTCTTCGTTTCTTGGGTCGATCCTGGTCCCTTTCATGTAGAGCGCTTTTCTTCATCCTGATCCATTGAACAGGTACCTACCGACCTGCTGCTGCTACTGCACGCTAGACGTGCTGTCGGTCCCCAGCTGCAGTCGATCCCTCTGCCACCTGAATGTGCTTGCTGTTCTTTTTTTGCGCCTAACTGCTTTTCGTCGCGACTTGCAGCCTTGGATTGATCGGATTGTACCAGTCGACTACCTTGTCTTCCTCCCGTTACTTTCTTGTTTCCTTTTTTTCCCCTGCCCTCATTTCGTTTCACATCTTTCCTTCTGTTACACTACTACTGCATCCCTCCGGTTCCCTTCGGGATTCTCGCACGGTTCATTGGAAAATCGTGGGTTTTTACCTCTTTCGGTTGGACCCTCTGAATCGATCGATTCATACTCGTGTTTTGTTGGTGCCCACTTGGGGAAGGAAAAAATACCGGCCCCGTGCTGGCCCGTCCGGTCCATCTCTGCTAACTTCTGTCCCCTTCGCCAGATTTGACGGGTGTGCACCTGCTGGCAACATGCCGTTCTTCACCCGTGTCTTTCGGAGTAAAGACTCCAATGTTGTGAAGAAAGCCCCCAAAAACCCCATAGTCGAGGACTCGGGGCCCGCTAAACCCACATGGACCGACGCGTGGCAGCGAACGGAAGTGGCCCCGGAGGAAGTTCATGAGCTCCTTCGAGGTTGCACTCAGGAATTGAAAGCGCGCGGTATGTTCCACCCCGGCTCCCTTCCTCTGTCCGAGGGGTCGCGCATTCTTTCGAATCATTGATGCTGATCACCGCTCGGAAATGGACCAGCCCTCCATACCCCATTTCTCCTCCTACCCTTCCGCCCCAGCTCCGATGCCAGCGCTGCCCGAACCTTCGTCCGCAATTATTTCAGTCAGTCGGTCGAGAGAGGATCTCCCCTCAACGGCGAGGCGTTGGCGCAAGAACTACGGCTCACAGATCCGCTGGTGAGTCGACCCGCCATTTGACCGCCGCTCGCCTTGGACTTACACGGATATCTAGGTCTTGTGCGGTGTATTAAAATGGTGCTGGAGCAGACTTCCTGGAGGAGTTGTTACCTGGGAAGCTTATGAGCTCTTCAAGGTCGGCGAACAAGGTACGGAATGCATCTATCCCTCTCGCTAAGCGCTTGTAAAGAAAAATGCTGACTGTACGATAGACTCGCAATTTGCTCCCGACGCCTTCTCCACATTCATTCCCATCAGTGTCGATTCGGACGCCCGCAGCCAAATCATCTTCGATTTCTTCGACCTTCTCACCGCAATCGCAGCTCATGGCAAATCCAACGGTCTCGGAGGACGAAAGCTCTCGCGGTATGCCGGCTGGTGGGCATTCGAGCATACGGACACCGGAAATGGATTCGAGGCGGCATACAAGAACTGGTCCACTGCCGCAGATGCGACGAGCCATTTGTTCTTTGCTTATCTACGCTCCCTGTCCCCTGAAACTCGTGGAATGGGCGGTATTTCTACCCTGCCTATTGCCCTTCAGACTCTGGTCCAAGCTACCGAGTATCCGCCGGAGACGCCCACGCTCCTCCAAGTTTCAACCACCAAGGTCGTCATGATTGTCGACACCGTCTCGCCCACCCCATTTGCTCTTCTACGCCGCGCCAAAAACTTTGAGTATCGGGATAGTGACCACCATCTCCAAGAGTTCGCCAGCTTCGAAGATCCCCTCCGGGCTTTAACTGACGAGTGTGTCCGCGTACTGAAGTGCATTTCGTCTACGAACCAATCCAGCGTGACAGATCCCACTTCTTCGGCCCAGGACGCGTCATGGTCAAGGTTCGAGGACATGGGTTTCGGAAGCACCCTCGACACCGATCTTGAGGAGGACAGGAAATCGGCTTCCCTGGCGAGAAGAGAGTTTGGAGGCGGTCTCAAATCGGCACCCCAGTCCGGCGCCGGCGATCTTGGTCGTCCCACCACTCCATCCTGGGCTGATTTCATGTCCTCCGGTTTCAGTGACGAGAACCCCTTCAAAGCCCCCGTTACCCCCGTGCTTCTTCCACCAGACAAGGTCCTCCCGCCTATCGCGATGGACCGGGGTCAAAGTTCTCAATCGCATAAACGCAACCTTGATAGCGAGCCATCGATCGATCCCGGAGAACTAGCCAGTATCACGACCCTCGACCTGGATGACTCCTTCTGGTGGGTGTGGATTAGCAGTCTTGCGGGCGAGGAGCCGGTCTCTCGGAAGGCTGTCTTTGGACGATGCGCCTTGCTCGAAACCGTCATCAAGAACACGAAGTGGTTGGTTCTGGAGGAACAGGTCAAAGGGGCTGCCCCAGAGCCCGAACCTGGCGCATATATCGTCGAGAAGAAGCGATTCTTCGGATTCTCTACGCGCAAGCGACTTGGCCGTCGCAAGTCCTCCGCCCGGAAGGTAAACGCTGTGGAGGAATCATACAAACGACCTGATAACCAGGCGCCTCAAAGCAAGACAAGTATTGCTCCAGATCAGCATGCTCGCATTCAAGCCGCTGCTGCCGCTTTGCAGAGACGCCATCGGGAGCAGGAGCAAGAAGCGACTAATGGGTCCAGATCGAACGCCCGGGACACGACGTATTCGAAGACCAATTCGGTCATGACATTGCAGCCGTCCATTGTGAACGAAGCGTCGCACGCTTTGAAATGGGCCAGTAACTACGACAAGAATACCTATCGGACGGCTTACTTGAGCAACAGCCGTGCAGGAACTGGTGCCCTGACCGAAGAGCCGAACGAGTCAGTAAAGGACAAGCCTGCTCCTCCAGCATCCCCGTCCCCAAGCACCAGCACGAAACAACCCCCTCCGCCGGTGCCAAAGGATAGTGTTTCGCGCTCGACAACCCCTCAGCCCCCTGTCAAGGACGCAAGCGGTGTGCCGGAAACCAACACTGAAGGCCGGAACGGCGGAGTCAGTGCTCCAGTAGAACCAGCAGCTACTACTGACTCACTTCCCCGAAAGTCTGTGGAGTCGACGGAAGACTCTAAGGGCAAGCTGAAGAAGAAATCTGGTCCTACTGGATTCAAGAGCATGTTCGGAACGACCAAGAAGAAGACCGACATGGATTCCAAGCCTCCCATGAAACCTACTGGTGCTGAACGATCCGCCGTCGCTGCTGCACGTGCCGCTCTCGAAAACAAGGCAAAGGCTTCTCAAGAGCAGACCACTCGCCCGTCCACCTTGAGAAAGAAACCTGTCCCTCAAGCTCCATCTGAGGAGGCTCCCAAGGCTAGGGCCGAGATGCCTGTTCCTTCGAGAGAAGAGGAGCCGGCCTCGGAATCTGTGGAGACCAAGGCGCTCCCTCAAGAACCGCCTCAGAACTCTAACCTAGATGGGCCTCCAAGAAACCCCCGTGAGGCTGAATACGACGCACTCTCGCGCGTGGATACCAACGAGCGTGCAGCCGCAGACCGCGAGTTCTCCAAATTTGACCAGGGTCCCCTACTTGATCAGCCCGCATTCGTCCCCGAGGACTCTCACGTGTCGGAAACCTCCTCCCAGAAAGAGGAGAAGGAAAACGAACCTCCTACGACTGATGAAGCTCCAGAGCCCACGACAGCCACAGAACCTGAGGACAGCGCGCCCGCCGTCCCCAGCTCCTATGACCGGTGGGCTCAGATTCGCAAGAACGCCGCCGAGAGAGCTGCTGCCCTTGATCACCCACGAGACAGCGAAGATGGCGGTAACACGAGTGAAGAAGAGAGTAAGTCAATCCCTGTTCTCCAACTAGTTTTGTTTTGTTCTCTAATGTATAATTCGCATCAGGCTTTGAGTCGCGTGCGGCTCGTATTAAGGCCCGAGTCGCCGAACTGACGGGCAACATGCAGACCACTCGATAATTGGGATCTCCTTAATTGTCGATCCATGTTCCATATCACCCCTCTCGTTCTTCCGTTCTTACCTGCCCGTTTGGTTATACCTTCTTTGCCGTTGTGGATTGCCTGTGTGTGATCTCATCTGTTACCTTCTAGTCTGCCGAACTTTGTCTTGTCCACTTCTCGCACTTTCGCTCCCTTGTGTTGTGTCTGGCTCAAATTCCATTCCTACGCAATCCAACAACACGCAAGAGACGACAGAAGTACGCCGTGACGCCTTCCGACGGTCGAAGGTGTTGTGGTTCCTTCCTTCTCCTCGCGTCCTCGCGTGGCTCCAGTGCTCGTTAAACGATGCTGAGAGACCACGTATTGTTATTGTTTTGCATTTATTTTTCTCTCGCGCTCCTAGTACTATTCCCCACCTGTTCCTGCTTTTGTCGACTTTACTGTACTTGATTTGGCTACTCCGTTTCCCCATATATCCATATACCTCTGCAGACTTTCATTATGTACCAACCGAATCTATTACAGTTAATCAAATATATACGGTGGCTATTATATTGACCGCCTCGCTATCTGACTGTGTCCACCCTGCCGGGCTGTCCGCTTGCTGGGGCAAGTGGTAGATCCGTTAGTGAACTGAAAGGAGGGGCTCGAGGCCTCACTGTAGGACTTTCCTTTATTGGAGATAGTTCAAGAAATGCTCAGAAGTAAGACCGACGGAGAGATTATTCCACACCATCTGGTAAGAAAGTAAGCCGCCTCCGTGCGGCGTTGCGGGCTAGCGGGACTCATGCTCGAGGAGTTCTGAATCCTCACCCAATTAGAGACCTCAATGGTGTAGGGAATAGGTACTTTGCAGTCCACGACGAGGGGTTCTGCAATAAATGATGACTGACTCAAGTCCAGCAAACTCCGGCTTACCTGATTACACTGGTCCATTGGTTAATCGATGGTCTTACTATGCGCATGCTGTTGTATTCCATACACAGCCACCAATGAAACGTCGTCAGATAGAACTGTGGCCTGATAGACAGTCGGAGCTGAGCGGACGGTGAAGTTTTAGAAACCATACAGGACCCCGAGACCTACTTGAGTACCCCACCGGTGCTCATGATACTTAAAAGCGGAGGTCCCCTTCTTCCATGATGATTCTTCATTCCTACCATAGGTATCACCCTCTCACGCCCATACCAACAGAATCCGATACCCTCACCATGGCACCAAAGGTAAGAGATATATATGTCTTCCAATCCCCTCAATCAACCTTAGATGATTCCATAGGCTAGCTAGACTAACACTCTGGATAGACCCTTCTTGTTACTCTAGCCCTCGCTTCAGGTGCCCTGTCTGCCGTCACCGGTACCTTCGCCAGGTATTTAGGCGGTAACTGCAGCGTCCTCGCTGGCACCAATACCATCGTTGAAAACTCCTGCTTCAATATCGAGGGTTTTCCCTATACCGGCTTTGCCGGAGCTGTGGTATCCGGTGCATGCGAGGATGCTTCCAAAACTCCGACTCTCAACCTATACCTGGACCCAGGGTGCGAGACCAACTTCTTCACTTCGTTTACCATGGGGGCCGAGGAGCAGTGTGTTACTGAGGCGGGGTCTGTCCAGAGCGCCACTCTCGTCTGCGCTTAGGGAACATTAAGCAGTGGTGGTGGTGGTGGTGGTGGTGGCTACCTATACTAGGTGGTCTACTGTTCTTGTCCCGCAGGATGATTCAAACCGAACAGGGTACCTCTTAAAGACAGTATTACTAAAGATAAGGATTAACGCTAGTTGCAAGTTCCTTCACCTGCGCTGGTCGTATAGCTATACTCCACCTTAGTATTCAGCCCTCTGTACCCACGTCTACCCGTTGGATATCTAAAGCACAACCTTATTCGGCGCTCTAGGCCATGAGATTGAAAGCAAACACAAAGCTTGACACATAGGTTCTTTAGGCATGGGGTGGAATAGGGACGCCAACCCCAATCAGACAAAGGCTGTTCCTCGCACAAATGCTTCTAATGATACGGGCAGCACTTGTTCATTCATTCGTACATGAAGACAAAGTCTGGAGAATTCCAGAGGTAGTATTATACAATATATTATATCCATTACGTGCTCGTTAACGCCGTATGTGCGAAGCCCTCGTCAATATCCAGAGATGTTAAGAGGTTTCGCCTCTAAAGAGACCGAGAGCCGAGAGCCGAAAACACACACCTGAGGAATATTTTCCGGGCGAACTAAATAATATGTGAGAACGGGGGTATCGAACAACGCAGGTGGGCCAGACAAGATCTGAACCTGGCATAATCAAATCCAAGGGCGAACAAAAACCGATTAATGCTCTTCTGACACATAGGTAGAAGCACAGACTCCAGTATATGGATGGAGCTCATCTCCATGCACGGTATTATTATAGGATATAGCGTAACCGCCGTGTTGCCTCGACGGCCACGAGGGCGCACAACGCGCCAATACACAGACAGATAGAAATCGCGTTAGGTGAGTCCTTGTCGAGATTCATCCACTGCGAGTCGGAAGAGGCGTCATCGCGCTTGGTACTGCCGGGCTCGAGGATGCTGAACACGATCCAGCTGATGAAGGTGCCGACGAACTGCGGGATCGTGGTGTAGACGTTCAGCACGCCGAGGTAGATCCCGGCCAGCTCACCGGTCGACGGGATGTTCGAGGGTCCGTCCTCCACATCACTGTCGCTATCTGGCTCGTGGTGGTTCAAACGGAGCACATCCATCTCCGAGTCGCCGTTCATGTCACTGTACGCGCCTGAGTGGACACTGGACGACGTGATCATAGTCACGCCGGAAAGGCGCGATGCAGCAGAGGGGCCCATCGCGAGCTTGTTGATCTCAACTCCCATGAAGGAGAAGGGTGCCCAGGAGGTGATGGCCCAGGGAATACCACAGAGGGCGACGAGGAAGGTTGCGAAGGCGCGGGACCGGGCTAGTGGCGCGAAGATCATTGTAGCAGCGAACATGACATGCGAGATTAGCCATGTCATTTGGAGATCCGGTCGAATCGCTGTAATTTTCTTGAGTAGTGCGGCGATCCCTGGGGGTGGTCGAGGTGTGAATCTGGGCCGCTTGCTGTCGGGCGGTTGGACACAGAAGGGCAAAAGGACGGATGCGATGAACGTGATGGATGAGAAAACCACGAGAGACAAACTGCCTACACGGCCCACCTCGCCAAGCATGTCGCTGGGCTGCGTTGCGTCTTTAGGGACCTCATATCGGAAGTATGTTTCACCAACCCAAGTAGTACTGTAGAAAAGGAAAGGGAACCACCCTAGAGGAATGATTAGAGCCAGAAACTATCGCTTCATCGGGTAGGATCTTACCAATCCAGGCCCAGAACTGAGCCCAGCAAATAGCTTGGATACGAGGGGGTAAGTCCATCGTGGTTTTGATCAGCTGAGATATCACTTGGAGCGCTCCGGCTTTTCCATCAGAATCCCTGGTTCAGATATCAGTAACTGTGCCGGAATTGCCGTGATTAAGACGCCCACCTTGCGGTAATCAGGACTCTTTCCTTCACAGCCCAGCTTGTAACGAGAACAGCACCTAGCAAAGACAACGCGGAGATAACCGTCATTTGCTTGAATTGAGTGTCTCCAATCGATGTGCCAAAAATGCTGACAGTGTCGATAGACCCAATGACATAGCCAATGAGTTGACCAATTGCCGACATCCTCGTGGCTGTAGACGTTTAGCATCCATATATCTTGTGTATTGTTATCATGGGCTAACATACCCCAGGCTGATCCCGCTTGCTGTGCAGGAATGGGCAAAGTATCCACAATTAAGCTTCGACAACACGCTTGCACTACTCCCGTGTTAGTTTGCCAATCTAGAAATCCCGGAAACTTCGACACGCACCGATGTTGATCGCAAAATCAACAGCATAAATGCTCAGGACTGCCAGGGCGATAGTAACGTTCTTGACCTGGTTTGACAACATCTGATGAGCCTCGGCGTGATCGGTCCCAGCAAGTATAGTCGGTTACCTTTTCTGGATCGTCTTTCACAAACATGTTCACAATTTCTGTCGTCCATCCAAGTACCAACAAACACCCTGTGACGATCAACGAGCCACCGATCATGAATGGCCGGCGTCTGCCCCATTTCGAGCGCGATCGATCCGCAATGACACCAATGAGGGGTTGCATGATTAATCCCGACAGAGGACCGGCAATCCAGACAAGCGACGTTCGAGACTTTGTTAAACCGAGCTGAAGGAGGTACGGGGTGCAGTCTGCGGGGGAAATGCACATTAGAGGAACGTCTGGGCGACCTGTTCGACAGGGAGCGCTTACATGTCATTTCAATACCCCAAGTGAACCTAGTAAAAGCAAGCACATGGAATCAGTTGTCTACCCTCTAGCGTGTCATCAGAAGTCCGGTCAGATACATACTGTAATCCCAACAAGCTGAAAGTCAGCAACGCCATGCGCGCCGATTCGGTGCGCCCTCTGATCGAGGGCGTGCCCACCCATCTTGCAGCCTGTGGCATCCTTATCTAGAATCTGGATACCTGCATGCACTTGACTCTTTTCTCCGTCAACGGTAGTCCATGAACCAGCTGTTGCACCTGTCCTCGTGGCCGCGATCACGGCCGACGTATGGCCTGCGCTGCAGACGAGAGTTGGTCGGAGATGTATATTCGGGATGATATGAGATAACCAGGATCGAGGTAGAGATTCGAGGCGATAATGGTTCGGTCGGAAGTCAATTGCGCTGGCCGAGTAATCCGTGTGATAAAAATAGCTGCGAAGAATGCGGTGGAATTCGGTGCCGCAAAAGGACGGTTGAAGCGCTAGAAGGTTGGTTTCTGTGAGGCGAGAGGGAAAAGGGCGTTGAAGCGAAATATTGGAAAACGGTCAGAAGAGCGTTGGGACAATTGAAAGATCCAGGCAGGGCCCCTGGAAATCGAAAAGGTCGGCGCCGAGTGCAGGAGAAAGACGAGGAGAGGAGAGACCGAAAAAGAAACCCACACAAACAGAACGCATGCGGGCCCCCGGGCCGCCAGGGCGTCGTGGGCTTATCGGCAGCACGTCGACCCACCAGGGCCGCGGCACTTTCCTTGTCCCCGTTATTAATAGCACGGTGCATCTCTCGTCTACTCGAAACACTTTCTAGAACATATCCGTGGTCATTGTATGCCAGCAATTGAATAAAGTGACATGTCCAAAAATCAAGAGACAAACAAAGCTAACCCGCAAATATACCACTATCCAAAAAATCAAATCAATGTCAAAACAGAAACTCCCTCCTTCTACAGTCACCTAGCCCCAAACAGCCCGTCGCAACTGCAAGAGGGAATCAATATCATCGTGTTTGATTCGTAACAGTCACTTCATTCGTTTCTAGGGACCCAGGGGAGCGTCTGGTCCACCATGGCCGATCTGGAAAACCCGTCTCCAAATATCGTGCCATCCCAACCTCGAGGACCATCCGATCATGCTATGAAACCCGGTAGTGCTCACATTAACCCATTTTCCTTCTTTCCCTTTTCATTGCTTAAACGATCATAATATTTTTCATTTACAGTCTGTTGGGGGCCGAAGTCAGGGGCCACTGGTAGCCAGCAGCATCACTGAACTTGTACCCGAACGATGCGGTGAAGTCGTCGAGCACAGCAGGTCCGCGAGAGCCTGATAACATTGTCAGTACTGGAACTCAAAAGAAATATTTTGTTTCGCAGATGGCGCATTCGCCGCTTACCGTAGGGGTATTCCATGGGGATGATCTCCTTGTTGTCGTCCAGGTAGTGCAGCAGAGGGGTGAAGATCTTCCAGCTCGAGTCAAGTTCATCGTCACGGACAAAGTTCGAGTGGTCACCCTTCAGAGCATCCAGAATCAGAGACTCGTAAGCCTCCGGGATCTTGAGGTCGGAGAAACGGCGGCGGTAGGTAAGGTCAAGCTCGGTAACGACCGTCTGCATGGAGAGACCCGGCAGCTTGGAGTTCATCTTAATGTACACCGACTCGTTGGGCTGGACGCGAATAACAAGTTCGTTGCGGGGGATGTCCTTGAAGATGCCGGAAGTGACGTCACGGAACTGGATACGGATCTCGGTCTTCTGCTCGTTCAGGGCTGTCGAAGATGTGAGTACACCAAGTCCAGGGCGTGCTGCCATAGAGAACAGGATACATACCTTTACCGGCCTTCATGATGAAGGGAACGCCATCCCATCTCTCGTTCTTGATGTACGCAACCATGGCGCAGAAAGTCGGGCAGCGCGAGTCTTGAGGGACAGTATCATCCTCCTTGTAGGCGGGCTTGCTACCGTCGAGCGACTTTCCGTACTGGCCGATGATGACGTTCTTTGGCTCAATGGGGTCCATCGCGCGCAGAACACGCACCTGTCACTTACGTTAGTTGCCGCCGGTGGGATAAGGGATCGGCAAAAATACCTTCTCATCACGAATGTCTTCAGCAGAGAAAGAGATGGGACGCTCCATGGCAAGAAGCGTCAACACCTGCAGAAGGTCTAGATAAGGACATTAGCACTTGCCATCATTAGCCGTCAAGGTCATTTTTTTGTTGGACATACGGTTCTGCATGACATCACGAATGATGCCGAACTCATCAAAGTAACCTCCACGGCCCTCCGTGCCGAACGGCTCCTTGAATGTGATCTGCGACAAGAGCTTAGCATCTGCACCGGTCGTCCTGAAAACATTCAACTCATACCTGCACGTTATCAATGTGGTGACGGTTCCAGGTAGCGTTGAAGAACTCGTTTCCGAAGCGCATGATGAGAATGTTCTTGACCATCTCCTTACCCAGGTAGTGGTCAATACGGAAGATCTCCTCCTCCTTCCAGTTGGGCTCAAGGGCCTTCTGGAGGTCACGAGAACTCTGGAGATCCTTGCCGAAGGGCTTCTCGACCTGTAGACACAAAGAAAACACGCGTAAGCATATGCCTCGGTAGAAACAAAGCTTTTGTGTTGGCGACTCACAATAATACGGGCAATGCCGTTCTTGGGGTAGCAGTTTCTCTTCAATTGATCCGACACGGTAATGAAGACGCTAGGAGGCAGCGCCATGTAGAAGACTCTGTTCTGTTCCTTATGGCCCTTCTCGACGTCCTCGAGGTGCTTGGTGAGGTTGATGAACGAGTCATCCTTGTCATATTGGCCGCTGATGTAGGTGCACAGCTGGCAGAAGCCATCCAGCTGTTCTTCGATTTCCTTGGTGGGGGTCTTGATGTACGAGCGCACCCGTCTCAGATATTCTTCGTGGTCCATGTTCGTCCGAGCATATCCGACGATCTTGATCCCCTTGGGGAGGAATTTGTTACGGTACTAAATGCATGGTCAATGCCAACCGACGCGACGATACTTTACTCGGACCGTCATCGTATACTTACAAGACCGAACAGTGCAGGGAACTATGGAACCTAGTCAGTCTCCGATCGGCTTCACCGGCCAAGCCTTTTTAGGGTAGAACACCTACCGTCTTCTTCTTTGCGAGATCTCCGGAGGCACCGAGGACCACGATGACCGTGTCATCTTTCAGTTCAATGGTGCTACGCGAGACATCCATGTTAGTAGCGAATCGAAGGTTACTGGCTGAGCAGGGGAAGCTGTATGATGTCGATCACAGGGATTTGCCAGCGCGATCGGAAGAAGGGGGAATTGAAAACTAGAGCTGCTCGACAATTTCTAAAAAGCAAATTGGAAGAGCTCGGGGCATTCAACGAAGGGAAGTGGAAAATCTGGGGTCGAATTGACTGATATTGACTGTCCTGAGGAAGGCGATCGAGCAGGTGGCAGACGGGTGGGAAGAAAAGAAAGACGTAGAGGGGGACGGAGGAGGGGTGTGATGTCAGAGAGGGAGGCGGCGGCGGCAGTCAAGACTCACCCAGCGTTCTGGCGTTCCTCAGTGCGGGCTATTGTGCTGGTCATGGTGACGGACGGGAGTTTGTGCAGGCACCAAAAATGAACAACGGACTGTTAAGGAAGGGAAATGAAGCTTGGAATGAAGGAGAGACGAGGGAGTAGAGGAGGAAAGAGAAGAGGTTTGTTGGAAAAATCCCCAACAGTTCCGGCGGAGCAAGTACTTTTTAACGCCGTGAGAGGGACTCTGCTTAGTCGTAGCAGCAGTCGAGGAGCTGCAGTTGCTGCAGGGTGACTCTCGATTACAGTACACGGTGGGGCGTCGATTGTTGCCGCGAGCCCCGTCCGGTGGCCTGGGTAAGAAAAAACCTAACTGGAGAGAAATTACATACAACTGGGCTTTGGGAACCTAGGATATCTTCGTGTTGGATTTAATTAGGTGTTTTTATTATTTTATTTATGCTTCGTAGTATAACTATAGCCTCGGGTGCCCGCCCTTTTTCCGGAGATAGATAATCTGTCATCTTTTATCAGTTCTTTTTCCTTTTCATCATCTACGTAGTAGTTACTCCCTAGAATCCACCGCCGTGGCGACAGCTACTGGTATTATATCATCCCTCTCACGCCTGCCTAGGTACTCAGTCAGCCCGTTCATACTCCCTCCCACTCGGATATAGAGGACACGAAGGAAATCCTTCCCGATGCCGGTGCTTGTACCTTGTATTACTACCGTCCCCAATCATCCGAACCCTTCTGCTCAACTGCTTCTTAACACTAGTTTTATCCGAGCCTACTCCGCTGGAAATTTCAACCCAGTGAGCTCCACCGGGAACCGTACATGGACCGGAGACGCATCTCTAGAGGCACATCTTGGATATGCTGACCTCCTAGCCCCGCGCCAAATGCTACATGGTACTAGTAATCTTACGCCCAGTCAGTTTAGGATCTAGTGGGATTCTCCTCTGATAGGCGAAGGCCAGGACATCAAAAAAGGAGAAAAAGAAATATAAAGGCGGCCGGGGTGTGGTCCATAATCCAACCCACCCTCTATCTAAGCTCGTCAGGTGTCCGCGGAGACGGACAGCTTAACTCCAGTGTACCGTACACTGCTGAGGTCTTCGTCAGGAGGGGTGAGATAGAGCCAGCTTCCAATCATTGACGTCGGCCCGGTCGAGGATTTGTGTGACCACCGGTTGCACGTCCCTTCTTCAATCTATTTATTTATTACTTTCGTTTTACCTAATTCTCTCGTCTAATTCAGCAAACACTATGTGTCCGCGCGACAGAATGCGCCGTGGGCACGAGCACGGAGATAATGCATATAGATATCAGATTGCCATGATACTGCAACGTCAATCTTCCATCATACAGACGGTTTACATACAAGCATAGTACAGCTGTAAAGCGACCTCGGACCACCTTCTCCACTCAAAAATACAAAGGCAGAGATCGCGCGCCAGAAGCTGCGGCGAAGATTACTGTGGAAATGGTGGTGACTCCGTCCTGGAGCACTCCCTCCCGGTGACCCAAGTCGTGGAGATGGATCGGCGGATTCTCCGAGCACGGTACGGATTCTATTTTCCCGTGTGCGAAGTGAGGAACTACAATACCTTAATGAAAGAGGGGCCAGGAACTGTGTCAGACTGAACATTTGGCGCTGGTCAGTCTGCATTATTTATCATTTCCATCCTGGTCATGGTACATAGTTCTGAGTTAATATTGGGTGGGCTTTGGTCTTTGTTATCTGCAAGTCTAACCTAAATTTTTGCCTTTTTCTCCCCTTTAGCCTTTCTTTTTTCCATTTCATCTGTTGCATATTTCGTACAGGGACGGAGTTAGGAAAGACGAAACAGGAGTACACAGAAAAATGGCGTGCTGTAAGGGCAAAACCTCAACGTCAAGCTTGTTACCGATAATCCCAGGATGGTGGGGCGGACCTCGCTGTATTTCCAAATATGTGTCCCGGTCTGATCATTGCTGTCAGGATTTAATCTTTCCACTTATATACTCCGTGCTCCATCCGGAGAACAACCATCATGGTGGCAGGTGGTACCACGGGAAGATCACGCTGAAGTTCAGTTGTCTTTTGCTTTTTCATTATCTCGAACTTGTTGATCTACATAATTTTTATCTCATACGTCGAATTTTCGGATCTCTAGAGGCTGCGAGAGAAGAATCCGATAGTTCCAGCACGCGGATCAAGCTGCATGGGGATGGATCCCCTGTCGTCATGGGGTAGGGCACTCCTAGAGATGGTTTGTCAGCGGGGGACGCTCTAGGCATGCGCTGCAGTAACCCCTCGACCGGCCTCGGACCACAGTAGCCCGACGGCAAAATAGGTAGCGATGGTGGGGTTCGGATTGAAAGACCTTTGAAAATCAGAAAAAAAAAAAAATCGAGATCTGAATAATCTGTCGGAAGAGGAAAAGCAGTTTCTCCGTGGTACTCCCGAATCGGACTAGTGCCAAAGCGAGACCCAAGGTCTTCCCCATCACGGGACTTCGCTTAGCCCTGGGGAGGGAGTTGCTCGCTAAGCGTCCCGTTTGGGGTTAGGGCGAGCCGCACCGAACACACCTCGCAAATTGTGAACATTGTGCGTCGACTCCGTACCTATCGAAGCGACGACAACCACGACAACCCGGACGACTTTTTGCGGGTCATTTCTGCCTTCCTTCGACTTGTTTGCGTTGCCCGCTGTTGCTCAGAACCGCCGTCAGAATGCCTTCGGAACACGGTCACAGACGTGAGTTGCACCTCTTGGAGGGAGTTGATATGGAATATCATGTGTGCGCGAGGGCTCCATCCTCGGGGTTGGGATGCAAGATTCGGAGCGCGCCATGAGGTCCATGCTGTGGTTGAATTTTTGCTAACGTGGTTTTTCTCTTGCCTGCAGTCTACGTCAAGTAAGTTGCAATCGCTATCCTCGTCGTGTCGCGCACATCCGATCGTGATATAAGAATCGTGGAATCACCAAGTGGAGGGATCGGGGAACCGCATATCGTCACGACATCCGATGAGAACAGAAGGGTTAATACGAGTCTTTTTTAGGGGTCGTCACCTGAGCTACCAGCGCTCCAAGCGCCAGGTCAACCCCAACACCAGGTACCGACCCACAATGGACATCGCAAAGGAATATGGGAATAAACTTCTGACACGGTGATACAGCCTGATCAAGATCGATGGTGTTGACAACACCGAGGCCGCAAAGTGAGTCACTTCTGGGACAACGATTGGATCATGGAACAAGGGAACTAAGACGGGTCGTGTTTACAGCTTCTACCTGGGCAAGAAGGTTGCTTTCGTCTACCGGGCTAAGCGTGAGGTTCGGGGTTCCAACATCCGGGTGATCTGGGGCAAGGTCACCCGCCCGCACGGTATGTGATGAGAATGCCATCGGTGAAATTGGACATGTTATCGGTGGACGGCAAGTGGCATGCGGTTGGACTCACACTGACAATCATATCGCACAGGCAACTCCGGCGTCGTCCGCGCTCAGTTCCGCCACAACCTTCCCCCCAAGTCCTTCGGTGCTACCGTCCGCGTCATGCTCTACCCCTCCAACATCTAAATGACTCGCATTTGTTATGTGTTAGTTGGCACTCCGGAATCTTCGCGCAGACAGTCGGGCAAGGAGTCGACGGTATGAGCCGATGTTGAGATGGAGTTGGCGGGTTGATATGAATAATGTTCGTGGGAGAGGCAGGGCCGTCCAGCCCTACGAATTGAAATAAAAGAACTCTGTCCTTTTTACAGCATGGTTATTGTCAGCTACTAGGCATATAGAAAAGCTTGTCCTGTTTTCAATACTGGCGAGCATGATGTGTCTTGTCTGACAGCGTGGCTGCTCCCAACTGTATCTGACGCTCATACACCAATCCACACCATTTCAACAAATAACTGGATGGAATCTTGTTTTGTGGCCTAAAGTCTGGAATCTCAGGCGGCTTGTCTCGTTGCTCTGTGCGGGGGCTCGGTTTGGATAATCTCTAGAGCCGTTCCAGCACTGCAGATTGACCTCCGTCTTCCAGTGGCATCCGGTTGCAGTGTTTGCTGGTCCATGAGCCTTGACCGGGTGTCCGGGATGGCTCCAAGTAAACAATAAGGCTCATGTGCGCGCAGCATCTCCCCTCGGTACTCTACTTGCTCTGCCCCCAGCTGTAGCAAGGCAGCATGGTGTAGTTGCGGGACGATGGGTCATGAATATCAATGTGCGCTCATCTCCATTGTAGAATATACGTAATGTGTCCAAGTTCCCAAAACAATGCTGAGAAGCAATCCTCGATCAGGCGTTGCAGCCTTAGGGTTGTCTTGCCAGTATTATTTCATGCTACAAATACACAGGTCGTCTAATGGCAATTTACAGGTGCTCGCTTATTTTCTTTGCTATTCAAGACATAAATAGTCTAACAGTGGCATGTTAGTTCATGGAGTTGATAGCATATAATCGTGAGGTATGTCGTTAAGAACCCAGTCACTTCTTTTGAGACCATTGGATGTGCCATTACCTTGGTATTTGAATAGAACTTCCATGCAAAATATGATTATCCCCCCATTCTTTGTCCCTACCTCTTGTCGTTCTATAATGCCAAACTTATTCGAAACGAACAGTATCTTCTTGATGTTGTCACTTTGCATAGTTTTTGAAACACGGCAAAAATTGTATTGCGCTCAGCTCTGAAACAGTCCAGTTAGGTACTGCTGTCGGACTATGCCAGAGTAAATACCTCTGTGAGACCGTATAAACGGAAGAGGCTTCTCATAGAAACGCACACATTATCAGGCCAAGACCGATCTTGGCCATATGCGCCCGATCAAGGGATAGGGACTGTTTTCTGGAATCTGGCTGGATAGGCACCCTTGCATGATCCTTCGTTCGTCGAGAAGTCTATAGGAATTAAAGTAGGCGCCATCCCCCCACTGCAGTGACCCACAGCTGTTAACGGAGTACACCCAACGGAAGATCATCACTGCTGTTCGGCAATCAACTGCAAAATCATTGGCTGCCTGATAAGAATTGCAAAGGGCGTCGGAGCTTTTGCCGTAAAAATACCTGTACTATTCAGATTTGCCGATTTCAAAGACTCAGTAAATCCAAATTGTTGGTTTATATGTGGAATGGGTCTATTGATTGATATAATCTCGAGCCGACACATGCTTCAATCAAATATTTCATGATTCTTATAAGGCGCAGGTGGCCGGCCCCTTGATAAGATATCATCTTGGGCTACCTAAGTGCTATTTAAGATGAGACTGCCAATATTGGGAGCTCCATTGAGTGTGACCCACGCTGCATGAGGCCTACCCCGGATTGATGGCTGTACAGAGTAAGGATGGATGGGAGATCATGCAGTGGAAACCTGTTGCGCTGCGTGGAGGAACTTTCACTTGGAGAATGATTATGCATGCAGGCTAGGTACCCTAGATACTACCTACTAGGTATTGGGTATCTTGGATGACTCCGAAAAAGTTCACAACGTTTTGGTAGAAGAAATAAAAGGGCGGAACCCAACAAGTCCCGCGGAGCTGACATTTCTTTTAGGCCTAACTGGGAAAGAAGAAAAGATTTAAAATAGTTCAGTATGGAAATGCATAAGACAAAAATTTTTGTGCATGTCTCAGTTGTGCCTTAGCTTCTTCCATTGGAGACAATCGATAGGTCCCTGGGGTAAAGGATCATGACATCTGGAGGTGTGATCAAACCGTTTGCCGCTACACAGCAAGCTAGTGCCAAAGGATAAAAATAACCAGAGCGGAAAGTTAGGTTGCGGGTCCGAGACACAACTCAATTATGAGTAACAATGATGTCTGCACTTGGGCCATGCCTGACTTTGGATTTGGTTTCATTTTCTCCAGCTATTACGCAAGAAGCGCCGGATGGGAAGATCACTCTTCTGGGCATCACGATTGGGGGAGAGCCTACAGAACAACACATAAGCTCAGGGACATTGAGGGTGCCACCTCAGTTCCATGGTGGATGCAAACCAGTTTGTGGTGGCTGGGCTGGTTCTTGTGCTGCCGATTGGCGCTTGTGGTCGTCAGGGAGGGGAACTTGCGTAACACATGGTTGCGACGCATGTTGGAACGAAGGAACACCGGATGGATTGATGTCTCATTTGGTGAGATGGGATTCTACGAAGTGCATGGTTAGATCCGGGAGGCGAGGTGAAAATAGATTAAAAAAGTAAGACGATGAGGGGTGGACTGCGGGAACCATCATTAAGTACTGTACTAGGTAAGGTAGAAGGCAGAACAGGTACCTAGGTAATGTGCATAACGTCGACCCCGTGGCTGCCTGGTTATCTCCCACGTGTAAGGGGAGGCGTACAGCGTAGATAGAAACAGGAGAAGAGAAGACATCAGAGAACAAAGGATCAGTCGCATCCCCGTAGCTATACAGAATTGTCATAGAAATATTTCGTACAGGTATTGCTCTGGATCAGCAACTTCTTCCGTGACTTTCCATTCCATCCAGATTCGAGAAAGTGTCTGTCGGCCAAAACGCCATCATCCGACAGGCTGATAGAAAGTCCCTCCCATCCAATTGCGTGGCGCCTGTCGTCAACTCTTCCCGCCGCTTCAAGTCAAAAAGCCCTCGACTGTCGCGGTTCTTCTTCTTCCTGTTTTCTTCTCTTCTCCTTCTCTTCTCTCCTCCTCTCATTCTCCCCGGTGTTTTCGCTTAACCCTCGTTTGGAAAACCGACCATTTCGCATTGCTACCCCCAGCCGTCTCCCATCGTCGTTCACTGTCGATCATTGACAAATGGGCCGTGGTGTGCCCGAACTGTCGTTCTAGCAGAACTAAAAAAGTACCGCCTCAGTCGGTGGCCGGGTTTGCTCCAATCCACGAGGTCTGAACCTCTCTCCACTGGCGCACATCTCTCGTTGATTTGCGGTGACGATTATCAACATCAAAAGTCCGGTTTTTGAAACTCCTCTTCCTCGTCCGTCGCAGAATACGTAAGGATCCCATAGTACCTCTTCAAATTCAGGGGGACAACCTCTAAAACATGGTCATCCATATAGATCTTCCACCCCACACCGTTTCTACGCATCCCAAACGTCAGGCAGCGGATCCCATCTTTCAGTCCTCTCGTTGGCTGCGTTCTGAGCTGCGGACATTAGTCAATTGCTATTAAATTGCCTGCGATCAGTACATTCCTTGGCGGTTTCCACTCCTATCGACCCTGCGCTCCACAGCGGCCACCATAGCTCAGAGCAGATCCCAGTGAAACCTGCTCCAGCCGTACTTATCGGGCGCTAAGGGCGACCGTTCAACGATAAAAATGGCAAGCCCCCAGTCGGTCGCGTCTCCTAGGCGCAGTCGAGGTTTCAGCTTGAAGTCCGACAAATCTCATCATTCCAGCAACTCCGGCAGTCACCACAAAGTCCATCTCTCTGAATCTGCAGAAGAAAAACACAGACGCACTCTACATACCAAAGCCGACCCGATGGTTGCTATGAGCGAAGCCCAACCAAGTATGTGACTCTAACCTTCGTTCTCGCATTCCTTCGATCTTGCTGTCATTCTTCTGCCCTTTTCCCCTCTCTTGCCCTCTTAAAAGTTACTGCGTTTCCTCGACCCACGTTGTTTACAAATTCCCCGAATCTTTTGGCGTTGATGTGCGATCTAACTATTTGTTTTAGTGGCGGTTGCACTCGAAAAGTCGAATTTGGGCAACCTGAGGGCCATGCAGCACAAAGATCAATTCGGGAATGTCATCAGTTCGTTGTCCCCTCCGTTTCCTTATCGCGAATTGCCCAAGGAGGATTGTTTTCCTGACCCGCGGTTGAAACAGCTGATCCCGATCTTTCCAATCCCACCCGTCCTCGTCTTGAGCGCCCGTTAGACACTATCCGATCGTTCGAAGCGGCGATCTATGGAACATACACTGGCAGGCCGGCCTCGTATGCGAAAACCGGTAGGTTGCGTCAACCAAGCGACTTGTCTCAGACTAATCATAATGTCTCAGAACCAGAGCTGGGTTATCGCGCGGATTACAGCCGGCGCAGTAGCTATTATGGAGGTAACGTATTTCTTGCGTATATACGCGACTCGCTTGCGATCGCTGCACCTGGTAGAAGTGGACCATACTGACGATTGCGATTCGATCGCAGGCCACAACGGATACGCAAATCGCGGGTACGGTGAACAAGAAGGCTACTACAACGGCCGAGGGACGTATTCACGACCGGATAGCTATGTCGAAGGCGGTTACGGTGCTGGTCCACCCCCCGAGAATTACTATCCATACAACCAGATGAGCGGTCGACCGCGACCACGCCACCACCCACGCATGAACTCGGAGCACTACGGAAACAATGCGTCCAACGGATACGCCCAGAACGGCTATGCTCAGAACGGTTACGGGCAGAATGGTTACCACAAGTCATACGAGAACGTGACGGCGGCATCAGGCTCCGGAAGCAACACAGAGCCATGGGGAAATTCGACCGATCCAAGTTCGGTGAACAGTTCGATAGACCAACTGCAACAACAGCAGCGAATGGACGAGCGATCGGTCGCGGACAACTTTGGCTTCCAGGGATTCGGCCCAGGGCCGAATCTCAACGGCAAAGTAGCTGCTTCAGGTGGGGCTGGGCCTGAGAGAATCGTGCTGGGTAATAACCAGAGCTCCGCTCCAGCCACCGACTCTGGCGGTCCGGTAGGAGGTGGACCTGCACCCACCACCCGCCGTCAACTGCGCAAGACGAACAACGTTCCTACCGCAGCGCCCGCAGCAGCGGGTGATACGAAGCGGAAGAGTTGGTTCAAGCGACGATTCAGCAAAGACTAAACGTCGCTTCTGCCTTCTGTTTTTATCTTCCTTTTCTTTTTCTTTTTTTGCCCCCCTAATTCCCTTCGACGCGTGTTTTCAAGTGATCTTTATGGATGTAATACCTTATCCGGCGTTTATTTTCCAGTGCAACAGCGGGACATCTGGTCGGGATTTGTATGCAATCTGTGTTTGTTTACGGGCTTTTTTTTTCTGGTCGGTTCCGTGAGTTGTTGTTTTTCCTCTTCGGGTATGCGGTTACGGTTTCCACGAGACAACGATGCACGATGGGTATATTACTTTCATGGACTATGATTTGCACCGGTCATTCATTCGGGTGTTTAGTGATGGATGAATTTTGTGCACTTATAAATGCAGACATTATCTGTCTTTTCCAACCGTCTCACGTTTGGTATATTATGCTCCCATTTTCTGGATATGCGGAGCTCCTAATCCTAGATCTTCAGATCAACGCCTCGATGTGAGGCATCATCTCCCTTGGAATGTCGATGGTGATGTGGCTGGACAGGTGCAATGATCGACTCGACAATCTCGTCCATCTATGGGTCTACGGAGTTGTGCCTAAGCAGAACGCGTGTCAATGCAAGGCAATTGGATCCTCTGTATTCACCACCTGTCGGTGTAGGCACACCGAGGACTGACTAGCAACAAAAGAGTCCGCACCTTAACGAATCATTAAGATCCATTGCAACTAACTCATACATGGGAATCACAAGAACAACACATACGTCACAGCAGCAGTAACACCCAGAGACACCCCTAAGTGGGCAAGTCAGAGAGGAAGGAAGCTGCTGTACACACGGCTAAACCATTATCTCACACCCAACTTTCCATCTCAGAACGCAGCGAAGAACGCCAAATGCACACACTAATTCTTCCCGAACAGCTTCTGCTTCAGTTTCTCCGCCAGTCCCTCGTGAGCCAGCGACTTCCGGTTCTTCTTCTTCTCTTCCTTTTCCTTGCGGTGCTCCTCGTCCAGATGGACGTTTCCCTGGCCCCCGCGCTACATTGTGGTCAGTCAGTCAGCCTGCGAAACGCGAAGCACGCAAAACACAGGACATGGAGGAAGACAGTATGACATGACATACCCCCGTGTGGTAGTCCCCATCGACCGACTTGCGAATCGACAGTTCGGGGATGACTTCGGCGTCGTGGGGAGTGCCGGTTGCCGGACGGACATGGGGCGAACCGATATTGCCGGCGCCTCCGCGCTGCGAGTACACTCCGAGTCAGTCTGTTGTCCTGTGGAGAAGAGTAGTGGTGCGCCTGAAGCACGGGGGGGACGCGTACACCTGCGGAATAAGCGCCGTCGCCTTGGTCGCCGTACACGCCTTCACGGACTATGGCAGCGTCGACGTATCTGGTTCACGGTTAGAGAGGCGCATTGATATCGTGGGAGGGGAGGGAGGTACTGGGTCGAGTCGGCGCCAATGTTTCCTTGGCCTGAGGGGGCGGAACAGGTCGCGATTAACAGGGGAGCGGCGGTTAGCTGGAGAGAGGACATGCGGACGCACCTCCTCGGCCATGCGATACGACCGGTTCCTTGTCGGCCATTGCGTGTCTGCAAGATTGCCTGGTGGGGACTCGTGAGGTTCCTGCGTGGGGTGAGGTTAGTCTATCAAATGCAGCCTAAGGCGACGGTGCGGAGAGTTCCATGGCTATTTGTGAATGTGACGCGAGATCTATGCGTAGGAGTTGGAATCTGTTAACTTACTTAGGCGCTGGCTAGATGGTAGGTACAGTATAGAAGCGTTCTTGCGGAGAGGGCTGGGAGAAAACCGGGCAGTCAGGCGGGTGAGGATCGCACCGGGGGTTTTAAGGGTTCGTATCCAGGAACGGACTAGACCTTGCCAGGGCGAGTGACTGATTGATTGAGTTCTGGGATTAATGGGAATAAGTAATAATAATGAGCTGCTCGTGACGTCGAGGGGCGTTTCTCGTGCTGCTGATAAGATAAGGCTGCCGCTGGTGCGATTGGCCGGGGCTGCGATAACCACTGGCTTGGCGGCGACGAAGGATTGTGTTTACTCCATAGGTAGGTAGATTCTAACATGACGCGGATAGAATTGCACAGGTACGGGAAAAAGCGGCGGAAACACAATATACACCTGACAGTCTGTCCCATTTACAAATCGGTACATCTACGAGTTCCTCTTCCCTTGCTCTACGAACACTCGTACTGCTGGAATATATTTCACGACCCACCCCAGCTTCACTGCTTCTTCTCAGCAGCAGGGCCGCCTCCAGTCGTGGGCAAGCCCATGAAGATCTTGAACGAGTCGTAACTAAGAACAGTTAGCTGACTTCTTCCGACAAAAATGACGACACTTACATCATCCACTGCAATCCAGTCTACATACATATCAGTCAGCAGTCATTCAATCAGTGCGACGGGCTCGGGCACTCACCAAGGTTCCGATCATGATGATTCTGACGGGCAGCCCGTTCCACAGCCCCATAAAGCCGATGTCCTTGTAGATGCGGCCCATTGCGGCTCCAAACGCCTCTCCGGGCTGTCGGTTGGCGTTCAGTTTACTCACCATCACGTCGGCGGGATGCGAAACCACGGCGCAGAGAATACCGGCCAGGTAACCACCGGTGAAAGCGACGCCAGTCTGCGCTCCTTTGCCGTAGTCGGACTTCTGACCGGGGAGGTAGTTGTAAATCATCTCAACGATGGTTTCGAAAGACGCAAACTTCATCATAGTATACGGGATCTGTCGTCCCCAAAGGGGGTAGAGACCTTTGTAGAGGCTGCGGCGGTCAGTGCTGGTCTTCCAGACCTCCCCAGACGGCGACCATGGCTCACCCGGAAGTTCCTTCCTTCGCAACTACGCTAGAAATTCCACCAAAAGTCGACCGGAAGTCGGGCGGAATAGTCGTCTGCATGCGGACCTTGACAGCTTCAAAGGGGCAAAGAGCAACGTCAGCAATCAGCTCTGCCGACGCACTGGCAGTCAGATACAGCGACGTCTTCCATCGCTGCGCATTCTCCGCGCCGACAAGGTCGCTGTAGAACTTCTTGAAGTATTCATAACCGCCGTATTTGAACGCTCCTTGGGCCTTTACTTCACGTTAGCGACAACAAAATCACCCTGACTCCACCCGCGCAGCTTACACTGTAGCCAAAGAAAGTCGGGCTCCAGCCAGTAAACACTCCGCGCAGACCTTCCGCCCCGCGAATCTTGCTGAAAGCTTGCATGTTACTCTTGTAGAGCGAGGAATCAACCTGGCGACGGCATTTCACCAGATCTAGCGGCGTCACAGCGGTGTGAGTGAGCCCCTATTGATGGGAGCCGAGAACGACATGGTTAGTAGCAAGTACGGCGCAAACAACCCTACGAAAAGCTTACACAAGCCAGCAGTCCTCCGACTGTACAGGAAGCGTAATACTTTGCAGTCCATGGCTCGATTTTGCCGGTCTTGGCCTGGACTTTCTTGCTCGCAACCTCGAGCTCCCGTGTTGCCTCTTTGGCAAAAGCGTCGGCTTTCTTCTTGGTGTCTTCAGCCACGCTCCAGGCGGGGAAAGGCTCGCGTTTTTGCGAAGCCGGGGGTTCCGCAGGCTGAGACTGCTGGAGGGGATGGTGAGGAGAAAAAGCACGGGCGATTGCGTCTTCCGAGGGGAACATGGCGACGTCGACGTTGATCTAATTACCAGCGATCAGTCAATTGTCTCCTTTGTTTGTCTATTCCAGGCATCGAACGATGTTTGGGAACGGACTGATGGCTCCTTAGATAGAAGATCTTCCCCACTTGCAAGGCGGGCTGCGGATCGATTAGTTGGATTTAGAGGGAGCGATGTAAACCGATCTGGACAGAACCTACCTTTTCTTTTTTCGCAATCCGAATTTCTCGCGGAATACCGGGATGATGAACGGAATTAGCGATGAAAAGAGGGAGGATTGAGTTATATGAGTAAAAGATAAGGGGAGAGAAATACCTCTGTCAGCCGGCATGAGACGAATGGACGAACGGCGCCCGATGACGTCGAAGGGTGACATCTTAGTCACCAACTGGCGGCGCCGATCCCGATCCGTTTCGTCCTCGTGATAAATTTACCAGTGGGTAAAGCGGCCAACCACTTCGTCACATCAACTCCATTCCCATTATCTCCGAAACGCTTACCTTGTGAGCTCCCAGCTGTCGGAAGAATACGAAGCATTACTATCGAAGAACCACAATAAGCACTAGAGTCTGCAATTGACCATACCGATTCGCTCTTGTTCGACTCCAACACCCCGCCGGAGTGCCCCTCGAATCTCGGTCAACATCGGTCAATATGGCTTCATATCTAACTGGGAGTGAGGCATTCGCCCGCGAAAAGCTGTCGTCCAATCCCGCACAGACGGCCCCCTCAGAATCATGGGCGAACAAATACCGCGGTGTAAGGCGCCCGACCCGCCGAGTATTTCACCTCCCACCCGACAACTGACTTATGCACTACAGGCTACCGTCGAAGACCTCGAACCTCCGGCAGCTCTCTCCGTGTCCCCTAATGACTCGATTTCATCCGCCATGCTCACCGCGTACGAGCGCGATTTCACGCACCTGACGGTGGTCTCATCCACGAAACGATCTCTCCTCGGATACCTCAGCATCCCGCACCTGAAGAAGCTGCTGCAGGAGGGCGCGGTAAAAGAGTCCGACTCCGTCTCTGCCGCCATGCAGCGGTTCAACCGGAAACGAGGCACGTACGAGGTCATCACGATGGAGACCCCGCTGGAAGATCTGGAGAAGTTCTTCGAGAGCGAGACCACTCCCACTGGGGAGAAGAGGCAGAAGCAGGACTTTGCCGTGGTGACGGATGCGTCGCGGAAGTTTGTTCTGGGAGTTGTGACGAGGGCGGACTTGGCTAATTTCGTGGCGAGACGGCCGGCATAATACTTTCCTTGGGCGATGATCGTGCGATTGGACAGTGCATTTCCAGGCGCAGTATTCAACATTGACTGGATGGTTTTCTTGGACTTAACATCTCGAGGTTGAGGGCCTTTTGTGATATGGATATGAGTTTCAGTGCATGGTATTCCATGATAGCACGGAATCTCGATGATATCTTCAAAAGCTATACGCGTTTGACGCACAACTTCAACAGGCAATATATCCCCATTTTCATTCATAAGCGACTAATGCAACAACACGCATTAAGTGTCCACAACGCCGTCCACAAGTAGTAGTCAACAAAGGTGAGGTATTAGATAGTGAGACAAAAGATACATGGAAGCCGGGTAGATGACCGATCTCTCACTGCGCCTTCTTCGCCTTTTTGGCGGCCAGGGCTTCTCTCTCCTCTTGGTCCTCCTGCCATGCCACGTAGATGTACAAGAACAAGATGACATTGGCCATGATCGCAGCAGAAATACCCGAGAATGTTGAGCTCACTGTCCGGACAATCAGTCACAGGAAAGTCCAGCATTTGGATATTTCACTTACTGCCGAAGGCACTCATGGCGAAGTACATGCCAAGGGGGGTCGAGACCATCGCCACGGAGAACCCTAATAGCTTCAGGATCACATGTCTATGTTCGGAATTAGCTACCGTATTGGCGGACTAAGTGATATTTGGCTAGGTTCCGGCACGAAGAGCATCTTTTGACACCGGGGGAGCAGATGCTTCTCGCTTCTCATCGACTGGAGTGCAGAGGACATGTGGCATGAGGGAACCAAACTTACGTGGGAACTGCAGGTGTCACATCGGAATCAACGGGAGGCTTTTCAGCAGTTGAATGTGCCGCTGCATCTGCCGGAGTTTCACGAGTTCGACGGCTGGCCATGTTGAAAGTGATGTTGAAGTAAGGATGACCGGGAACGGAGTGACAGATGCGGGGAGATAGGAGTGAATATGCGGTACTTAGTGCGATACTCGGGCTGTGCACACAAGCTTGAAACTGCCCTTGCCCCCAATAGTATTATCTCCACAACGTGAGAGAAGCTGATATGAAGTGGCACTGATGGTGGATTTACTCTGAGGCCGCTGTGAATGTCCTGATAGATGCAATCACGGGAAGGGAGAATGCGGCTCGCTCATTGGTCAGCTGCGGATTGGAGCTCAATGTGCTCTGCAGGGAAACCAGACAAGCCCAGATAGCTCAATAAAACACTGCTGGGAGGAGAGCACTTCCTCTACCATGACATGACGTTTCTTACAGAGGGACACACTCTATACAATGTCGATTTCCGCGTTGGTCTTAATTGAAGCGCCAATTCACGTGACCATGCGCGTCGTGGCGCGCCACCGGCAAAAAACGCGGAGAAGGACCGGCCTGATTGGCCAGCGGTGGAGAGGTTCTCCCAGTGTTCGTCCAAAAAGTCCCAGTTGGACCTGGCGATTTCTACCCAGTAATCTATCCTTCACACGCCTCTCCGGCGAGCAATTTCACCGCCGACCATGGACGAAACGGTCCCTGATACCCCTGTGAATAACAGGAAGGTCGTTCACAGCACCCCTCCACCCCCTGGGGCTGACCCCGAGTATGAGACGGTCGCCACGGTTCCTCTGGGAAATTTCCAGCCGCCATCGCAATCGTTAACCCCTGCCTCCCAACGCTTAACGCAACCGACCCAACTACTTGACAATCCTTATTCCGCAAAGAACAATTCTGTAGTCCAAGTCGCCGCTTCTTCTCCCACCGGCCCAACGTCCTCCCCCTCCCGACCTTCCATGGCGGGCGGTCGCCTTTCGAACATCATGGCCCCAAGTGGCACCCAATTCCGCCCTCCGGCCCCTGCAGGTCCTGCGAAGCGAGCTCCTGTCATAGACCTCGAGGATGACGGTCCCACATATCGCGGGGGATCTTCTGACGACGACTCCAACTCTAGAAATACCGACATCAAGCCTGCGATGTTTACAAAGTCCTCCCGGAGTCCGGAGAAGATCCTGGATTCCCCCCTCGGCGCGAACAAGGCATCTATTGATCGCTTCAAGGAGATCACATCGTCCGCTGTCTACAACCCCCTCGCTGCAAAACGCCCAGCCGCGCAAATGGACCCAACACCAAAGGGGATCCCAGTCAAGAAGCCTCGTCAAGATGGCCCATCGCGCGCACTCCCTGTCGAGGTGAACATCACATCGCTGGACGAAGTCGAAGACTATCAGACAAGACTCAAGATCGAAAGGATGCGCCGAGTCATGCCTCAAAAGTCGGTGCAAGCGTGTCTCCAGGCTCTTCTCATGAAACGGGGGAACTTCGACGATGCGCTGGACTACCTGGCTCAGAGTGAAGAGATTGGAAATGGTGAGACATCGGAGGATGAGCTCAGCGTCACCAAACCGATTGTGGCTCCCGCAAAACAGCAGATCAAGGCTAGGGGGACTATCCAGAACAAGTGGTCTGCCATGAATATGCAAAGTCGCAATGTTAGGAAGTCACCTGAAGAAGAATCGAAGCCGCGGCGGCGTCTCATGAGGGGGCCCAAGAGCCGTGTCTCGTCTCCGAGCCCCGTTCGCTCTGAGACTCCCCAACGGACTGGGCGGCTGATCCAGGGGAGAAAGCGTGCTCCTTCTGACCGCTCTGAATCCCCCGAAGCGCCGCTGGAGATCTCCGACGATTCTGACTCTGGCATCGAAGAGGTGGCGCAAGACAGCAGCCTTGATACAAAGGTTCTGTCATTCTTCAACACCTGCGACGTTCTCAATCTTGCAGACATCGCCGCAACTACAGAAGAAATTGCCAATACTATCATTTCCCATCGACCCTTTTCCTCCCTGGACGATGTCCGTGCCGTCCCTGCCCCGGCTGACCCGAACGCAAAGCCGAAGAGCAATCGAGCGCGCAAGCCACCGAAGCCAATCGGTGATAAGATTGTGGACAAATGCACGGATATGTTGGTGGGGTATGAAGCTGTCGATTCGCTGGTAGCTCGCTGCGAGGCCCTGGGTAAGCCAATTGCCTCGGAGATGAAGAAATGGGGTGTGGATATCTTCGGAAAACGTGACGGGGAGTTGGAAATCGTATCGATCGACCCTGGAGCCTCCCATGATTCTGGCATTGGAACACCTGCCAGCCACGCCGACGAAGACAGCGACGGCCCCGGTTCCGGGTCAAGCTCGCGGCGAAGTCGGTTCATCGCCCAACCGAAGATCATGTGCGAGGATCTCAAGATGAAAAATTACCAAATTGTCGGCATCAACTGGCTGTCTCTCCTTTTCGAGAAGGAATTGAGCTGCATTTTGGCGGACGATATGGGTCTCGGAAAAACCTGCCAAGTGATTGCCTTTTTGGCCCATCTCTACGAAAGGGGCATTAAAGGACCGCACCTGGTCGTTGTTCCTTCATCTACCATCGAGAACTGGCTGAGAGAGTTCCAGAAGTTCTGCCCCACCCTGTCAGTTATGCCATACTACGCTGGTCAGGCAGAACGAGCGATGCTCCGCGAACGGATTGAAGACGAGCGAGACAACATCAACGTCATCGTCACCACTTATACAATTGCCAAAGCCAAAGTCGATGCTCATTTCCTCCGTAACATGGATTTCTGTGTCTGTGTCTACGACGAAGGGCACATGCTCAAGAGTTCAACTTCTGTGCTTTACGAAAAGTTAATCAGGATTCCCGCCAGATTCAGGCTCTTGTTGACGGGTACTCCGCTGCAGAACAATCTCCAAGAGCTCGCTTCCCTCTTGGGATTCATTCTTCCAAAGGTCTTCAACGAAAAGAAAGAAGAACTTCAGTATATCTTTGCGAACAAGGCGAAGACAGTCGATGAATCTCATTCGACTCTCCTCTCTGCCCAACGCATCGAGCGAGCAAAGTCTATGCTGAGGCCTTTCGTTCTGCGGCGCAAGAAGCACCAAGTCATTGACTTACCGGCCAAAATCTCTCATGTGGAGTATTGTGAACTGAATGATTCCCAGAAGGAGATCTACGACCATGAGAAAGAGGAGGTGCGCCAGCTCTTGGCTGATCGAGCTGCGGGCAAAAAGACCGGCAATAAGTCCGCGAACATTTTGATGAAACTACGGCAGGCGGCCATTCATCCCCTACTCTACCGCAAACATTACAGCGACACCGTTCTGAGTCGCATGGCCAAGGCGTGTTTGAAGGAAGAGCAGTGGTCGCTATCGGACCCGAACATTATTTTCGAGGAACTCCAGCTGTATAACGACTTTGAGTGCCATATGATGTGTGTGAAATATCCCAAGTCACTCGGGAAATTCGCCCTGAAGAACGACGAATGGATGGATTCCGGCAAGGTCAATAAACTCTGTGAGCTTCTTCGGAGGTTTACAGCGAACGGTGACCGTTGTCTCATCTTCTCTCAGTTCACGTTGGTCATGGATATCCTTGAACAGGTGCTTGAAAACCAGCACCTTGGCTTCGTCAGATTGGACGGCCGTACCAACGTTGAAGATCGGCAGTCCATTCTCGACGCGTTCCACGAACGCACTGACATTCCTGTCTTTCTCCTTTCAACCAAAGCCGGCGGCGCAGGTATCAACTTAGCCTGCGCCAACAAGGTGATCATCTTTGACTCGAGTTTCAACCCACAGGAGGATGTGCAAGCCGAGAACCGTGCCCATCGAGTCGGTCAAACCCGTGAAGTCGAAGTCATCCGTCTGGTCACCAAAGACACTATCGAAGAACAGATCTACGCCCTCGGCCAGACCAAGCTGGCTCTTGACCAGGCCGTTGCCGGCGAAGATGCAGCTGAATCGAAGAAGAGCGAAGAAGCTGGCATGAAGGTGGTAGAAGACATGGTTCTTGCGGACATGCAGACATAGAGCAAGATGAAGAGAAATCATGAGTTTTTGTTTTCTTGGTCTTCATGTTGTCCTGGATATCCATAGATGGCGTCGGGATTCATCATTATTCTCGTGTTTGTTGGTTCGGCCTCCTTGTCTAATATCCGTACCTTGCGGTTCATCGCTATTTGTCGTTCAACGCGGTGTTTCAAAGTGCTTGGGTGACTTCTAGACTTAACGGCGACCGCCTGTTGACTAATATATGTTGTTTTCCTTTATAGACCAGGTGTGTGGTTGGCCATTTAGATACGTATCCTGTTGCGAATGAAAGGCTTTACCATATATAATTGTGACTACTATTAGTGGTGGGCGATCATGGAAGTACATCGGAGGCACGGGGAGCTGCTACTTCAATACCGACGTACCTGTGGTGTTCACACCTGCACTGTTTCAGCAGGACTTATTATTCTACTAGGTGGATCTTAGGGCAGTGACATGGGAGCTGTGTAGTCTGTGCACACGGTATGGCATTATGGCTTGAATTAGGCAACGGGAGTGACCTCAACATGAAGCTTATTGACAGATAAGAAATAGTCCTTGTGTACCTGGCATCTGAACCTGAAGCAAACATGATAGGTCTACACGCTGGAACGAATTTTATTATATACTCAGAAGATGAACAGTGGGAGAAGACATGCACTGAAAATGCCATGGGAATCTAAGAACAAACTCCAACAAATACCAACACCGAGAGATGCTGAGCCTCAACAGGCTATGAAAACGTAGCGAACAGGATGTATATGCGTTAAAAGAAATCTTGACGAGAAAACCATACCTAACCTCATATCAACCTACCTAAGCCGTGACCTCCTGTTTCTGAACCATCGAAGCAACAGACATATCCACATCGGCCCCATTCTCTTCCGGGGTTTTCGATTTCGAGGCCGGGGCTGGGATGGAGTTGGTACGAATGGGCCCTCCGCCACTGGGGGTAGGGGAGACGGCTTTGGGTCTGGATGCGCCGCCGGCCGCACGGGCAGACTCATTGTTCTGCATGGCGTTCTGCACAGCTTTGCTGACAGGAGAATCTTTGAAGACGGATCTACCGGAGAGTTCCATGATCTCGTCCACTTGCAGGGCAGCAGGCAGGAGGTCGTCGAATTTCAAGATGCGGCAGTAGTCGCCGTACGTCTTCATCTTCTTCACGTCGACAAACTCATGGCCCTTTCCGGGCACGAGGATGTTCATCAGGAACTTGGTGTTGCCGAAGCGGTTCTCCGACTCGATACAGGCGCGCAGGTAGTCGTGGACGACGTCCCGCCACGGAAGCAGGCCGCCATCTGCTTTGCTACGGAAGCACGAGAAGTTGGACTCTGCGGATGTCGCAATCATAGCACCGTCCACACCGTACTCCTGCATCAGGGCGAGCGCGTCGTCGCGCGAGGTGACGTCTCCATTCATGACGCAGGCCACGCCGGCGTTGTGGCACACGTTGGCGACCATGCGCAGCTGGTCGCGGATGGCGCGCTCCCGGGGCCGCATGGGCGTAGTCCGACAGTGGACCGTCAGACCCGTGATGCCGGTCTTGACGAGCCGGGAGACAAGACTCTCTGTGAGCTCGGGGGTCTCGAGGATGCGGATCTTGACCGAGATGCCGATCTGGTAGGGGGTTCCGACCTCGCGGACGAGGGCCTCTAGGATCGCAACGAGCTTGTCCGGGGTGCGCAAAAGGGCGGCGCCCATGCCACCACTGGTGCTGAACGGCTTCGGACAGCCAGAGTTCACGTCGATGCCGGCGACATCGCCGGCGACGATCTTGGCGGCCTGGACGGCCAACTCCGGTGACGCGGTACCGATTTGAAAGATGAGCTTGCCTTTCTCACGCACGGGGTCGAGACGGTATATGATGGACTCGCGGGCGGGTTTGTCTGTGCGGCCGCCATTGGAGGGGGTGCGGGTGAACTCAATGGTGCCGTTGCGGGGGTTGACGCGGCGGGAGGTTCCGATGAGGGCTTTGTCGATGGTCTCGGGGCCCCAGACCAGATCAGCGCCGTATTTGAGGGAGACGAGGCGCGAAGGAAGTTCTCCCGACCGAACCATCGGAGCGAGAACCACCTTGCCGCGGTAGTCGACCCCGTTGGCGGGGATGGGAACTCGAGGAACGGAGGTGAGCGAAGTCATTGCCGAACGTAGAAATCTGAGCATAGCATGCTTCTGAGGGGTCGAAAGAGCGAGAATCCGGTCGCGGGCTGGTCGCTGTACCGTAGAGGTAGGTTACTATCGGATCGAGCGGGCTTGGTGGTGTCTGAGATCTAGGGACGGTGATGCGACGGGGTGGTGTTGACGGTGACAACCCCATGTGGCGGAGGAAAAAGTGATGGTCACGTGAAGATAGCCGATAAGTTAAGGTTTTTTTCTGGTTACCCGATTGGGCAGCCTTGCTTGGGTCTCTACCGAGTCGGCAGTCACGCTGTTACGCGCCTCCAAGTTTGTTAATTAAGGTAGGAGCCTAAATAAGGTTGTACGGCAGAGATCGATAGAAGGTGGTCTATACTCGGGAGAAGAGTAAGACGAAGAGAGGATTGCTTCGTCTAGATCCACCTAACTAACTTCCTAGTACCTAACCTTCTTCCGCAGTCTCCTCCATCGGACGGAAGGGCCAATTCCAAAACAAACTGCTGGACTGGATCCTCACAGCTGTTTCGCAATGGCGTTCCTACCGCTTTTCTTGTGATTGCGTGATTGAGTCCAGAATGGGTTCCAGACAGTGTGAGACCATGGCTGTAGCGTCAGTCTTAATTCGACGGTAAGATGGTAACAAGGGAAAGGATGGACGGGCGTCCATACGGAACCAGGAATGGTGGACCGGAAGTGGAGCGAGTGTTCTATTGGATTCACCGAGGGCTCTTCAAGATGATTCGGGTGGAAGGATCCAAGAATAACTCTAGCAGTAGTGTATCGTTGGTGATAGAGGGAGTGACATATGTACGGTGATTTTATATCCGACAGACTCATGCAGAAACAATACCTCCTGTCATGGATATATTGTATTTGGGAGATAGTATGGAGTGCTGTAGTAACCAAGAAATACCACGAAAAGAACCTCGGAGGGAGTTCCCGACCCCGAATTTCCTTCCGACACCAACTCTTTCTCCCTTTTTCCCTCTTGCATATCGTGCTCTATTGTTCTCGGCCATTATTGGGATCATTCGCAGAGTTCCGAGATTAGGCCATAAATCCATTTGAAGCCGCACGTCATCCATTGACCGTCCTCCACGCCCCCTGGTATAATTCCAATGCCCAGACTGTCCCGACGACCAGTCCAGTTTGCAGTGTCGCCCACCGCCTGTCCGATCCTCGCCCGCTTCTCTCGCACATCCGCAACGCTGGCTCCCCCCACCAAACACGCCCCTCCTCCTCCCCCCTCCTCCTCTCCTTCTTCCCTCCTTTCTTCTTCCTCTTCTTCTCTTCTCTCCTCTCCTTCTCGTCCATCAACCGTTTTGTCTCCTTCTTCTGCCTCTCCCTTTGTTGATCGCTCCCTCTCGTCGGCGTCAACTCGTGCTGCTCAACTATCAAAACATTTTTCCTCTTCCGCGACCCCTCGTCAATCGCCCACCATGGTCTACTCCGTTCGCAAGATCGGCGCTCCCAACACCCTGGAGCACCGCGTCTACATTGAGAAGGATGGTCAGCCCGTTTCTCCCTTCCACGACATTCCTCTCTATGCCAATGAGGAGCAGACCGTCCTTAACATGATCGTTGAGATCCCCCGCTGGACCAACGCCAAGCAGGAGGTATGGCATTGTGCAATATCAAATACGAAAAAAAGAAATAACCATACTAATGTCCGACAAGATCTCCAAGGAGGAGTACCTCAACCCTATCAAGCAGGACACCAAGAAGGGCAAGCTCCGCTACGTCCGCAACTGCTTCCCCCACAAGGGTTACCTCTGGAACTACGGTGCCTTCCCCCAGACCTGGGAGGACCCCAACTCCGTCCACCCCGAGACCAAGGCCAACGGTGACAACGATCCGCTCGATGTCTGCGAAATCGGTGAGCTCGTCGGCTACCCCGGTCAGATCAAGCAGGTCAAGGTCCTCGGTATCATGGCCCTCCTCGATGAGGGTGAGACCGACTGGAAGGTCATTGTCATCGACGTCAACGACCCCCTGGCCTCTAAGCTTCACGACATCGAGGATGTGGAGCGTCACCTCCCCGGTCTCCTCCGCGCCACCAACGAGTGGTTCCGTATCTACAAGATCCCCGACGGCAAGCCCGAGAACCAGTTCGCTTTCTCTGGCGAGTGCAAGAACAAGAAGTGAGTTCCCGCGGGTCTCCATGCGAGTCCGATTGTCCGGCGCTAACCTTTTCGCTACTCTAGGTACGCCTTGGACATCATTCGTGAGTGCGCCGATGCCTGGGAGAAGCTGATCACCGGCAAGTCCCCCAAGGGTGACATCAGCGTGTAAGTACCGCACAGACTTCCATCCGGAATAATCACAGACTGACTTGATATTCAGGGCCAGCGCCACCGTCGAGAACGCCGCTGAGCGTGTCGACCCTGCCCAGGTCGCCAAGATTCCCAAGGGCGAGAACCTCGCGCCCGCCCCCATCGACCCCAGCGTCGACAAGTGGTTCTACATCTCTGGTGCTGCTATGTAAATTTGTTCTTAGCGAATATTCAAAAAATATGAAGATGTTGTAGATCCGGTCCACCCCGTGGGTGGATAGATTGGTTCATACTTACACCTGCTTTCTATCACTTGTCTCAGAGTAACGAATATACGTGTTTGGTTCTACGATTGCATCAACGTGATAGAAACAAGAACTGGGATATCTCTTGATGGCTAATATATACACATAAAGCGGTATCACGATGCAACAGACATCTACTCATCTCCACCCATGCATCCTTCCTGCATGTCTATCTCAGACATGGCATATGACAGCACCTCAAACCAGCAGTCCAGTCCCCAAGCGCCATAAGACCGAACCAACATTCAACGGCAGTCTAAGAACCTCGCACGTAACCAAACAAAGCAACCTAAAAGAGTAATAATACAAGCCCAACGCAATCCTCGTCTAACCCTTCAGAGTCTCCTCACGCTCGATCGTCCGACCAACGCGCGCAATCTCTTCCACCACATCTCCGATCTTCATTTGCCGCTTGCCGACCTCGATCTTCAATTCCTTGCCGCCCTTGAATCCAACCACGACTTCGGGCTCTTTTGTCGACGTCCGCGGGAGCTGGGTGACCTTAATATCGATGTGGGTGGGACTCGACGCCGGCGCGGTGGACGGGTTGCGCAGGAGGGACAGAAGCAGGCGGCACGGGCGGGCGGACCGCACGAAGGGGTTGAAGGTTGTGCGGAGGGAGGTGATCGTTTGCAGGGGGATGGTCATTGTTGCGAGGTTCCTGGTTAGGTCTATGTTAGCTCACTGTCTGGACTCTGTAGATGGGTTGTCAAGATCGGGCTGTGGGTGGACGCACGGTTGGATTGGCACCAGATGTATTTTTCAATGAGTGAAGAGGGGCCCCTGGTAGTGTAGAGAGGGTTCACAGATATAAGGACTGCAAGGATGGAGACAATGGCGCAAACGAGGTTGATATCGAGCCCGAGAAAATTACCTGGACTTCGCAGGCGTCGGAAAGCGGACGGAGTTGGTCGGTGTTTGCCGGGGATGCAAACACCCGCCGCGGGTCTGGCCTCAGGAACCGATGACGCTGCGGACAGATTGACCGTCCCGCTTCGATGAGTGCAGTATAATCATAGCGAGCTTTTCTCTTTCTGGTTTTCTCGTGTCTTTGCAGCATGGTCATGTGGACGTGATCTCTATTTGATTAACTGTTAGCTCTGTCCTAGCTCAATCGTCCTCACGCATCTCAACTGGCTACGAACCGATCAGATGTCGTCAATGTCGTCTCTACAGACGCGGCTAAAGGACCTATCTACCTCCTTGGCCCAGGTCCATACCCTAATCACCAGACTGCGCAATTTCACAACCGCCGTTGGACAGGGCGACGAGGCTCGCGTGGAACTAGGCACAGAAATCCACAGCCTTCTGAAGGATGCCGAGGAGGAACTCGAATTATTGAAGGTTGAAGTGGAGGCTCTTGAACCGGTGACGGACAGTCGACGAAAAGCAGTGGATAACGAGAAAGAGCTGGAGAGGGAGAGGATTGTTGCGTTGGCAGGGAGGCTGGCGCAAGACCTGAAGAAGTGAGCTCCCGGCACAAACTGCGTGCCTCGAAACTCGGGATTCTGGTACTAACGACGCCGCGACACTAGGACGAGAGGAGATTTCCGCACCGCCCAGTTACAAGCAAAGCGCAATGCGGAAGCTGCGCGCCGCAAGGAGAGAGAGCTTCTATTCTCGCGAGCGCAAAGCGCCGAGCGGCACAAACAGTCGAATGAGAAACTGACCCAGGACGAAGTCATACTGAACGCGTCGAACGACGTTACGGCCGCCTTGCGGCGGACGCACCAGCTCATGCAGGCTGAACTCTCCCGCAGTCGGTTTGCGCAGGAGACGCTAGGTTCGTGATGGGTTCTACAACGGTGGTCTGGGTGCGGCTCACTGACGTGCGTGCAGAGCAATCAACTGCGGCGCTTTCGTCGCTGTCGGAGTCCTATACGAGTCTTGACTCACTACTCTCGTCGTCGCGCAACTTGGTCGGGTCTCTTCTACGCTCGCAGAAGTCGGATACTTGGTACCTGGAGACGGCGTTTTATATTCTTATTGGGACGATCACTTGGCTGGTGTTCCGTCGCATACTGTACGGCCCTTTATGGTGGCTCGTGTGGCTGCCGCTTCGACTGGTAGCCAAGTTTGTGTTCGCTGTTCTCGGTACCGTGGGTATCACCAGTAAGAGTGTCCAGGCCTCCCCCAGCGCGTCTGTCAGTGACTCGCCTGTCGTGGAGACGCCAATCGTGGATCATAAAGTCGAGGCCAATGTCAAGAGTGCTGAAGGTGATGCGATGTGGGACCGAACCGCGCCGGAAGATGTGGAGGGAGATCGCATGATCGATGAGATCGGGGAGATGGTGGAGGAATCGACCAAGCAGGAGGAGACCAACATTGATGACATATCGCCTGAAGAGATGAAGAGGCAAGCCGAGCTTCCGCGAAATACCAAGAAGAGGATGTATGAAGCTACCGAGGTGGCACAGAACAGGAAGGATGAGCTATAGAGATCCGTTACGAGATAATGCAAGTATACAAATAGTAATTCTTTCAGTTATTTTGTCCTTAGTAACGGTAACCTGGTTGAGACTGCCGGCATCACACCGTCATACTTTACCTATGCACAAGACGTTCAAAACAGAGACTAGTTACGGAGTAAATGTCTGGCTAATGCATTCTGTTGTGATTCTCAGGCACCAAGGCATGAACTAATTATGCCAGTCGCGTATCACGTGGGGACGCGTCCCGACACGCTCTCCAACAGCTGCCCGCAAGCTCCCCCAGGGAACTCCAATGCAGCACAACCCTTGAGCATCCCAGACCCCTTCGATCACTGACAGATTCCGTTTCTGATCGGCTAAACATGGCTGTTAATTTCTTCAGCAACAAAGCTCGTGCGGCGGCCGCGGCATCGGGCAGCTCCAAAAAGCCGACAGATGCGAAGGATGAACAAGCCCAGCACCAACCTTGGGTTGAGAAATAGTATGACAGGCCCTCACCTCTAAGACAACACCCATTGACGTATAACCTAGTCGTCCCAGGACGCTAGATGATGTTGCCGCACAAGATCACACGACGAAGGTCCTCCAGCGAACACTACAAGCTTCCAACGTGAGTATTGCGTATCGCGACGCTGGTCCATTTTGCTGATCGTGTCAAGCTGCCGCATATGCTCTTCTACGGACCTCCAGGAACCGGTAAAACATCGACGATTCTGGCGCTTGCCAAGTCCCTATTCGGCCCTTCCCTCTACCGCTCCCGCATCCTGGAACTGAACGCCTCCGATGAACGCGGTATTGGCATTGTCCGTGACAAGATCAAGAACTTTGCCCGATCGCAGCTCAGCCACTCCTCCGGGATGAGCGAGGAGTATCTGGCGCAGTACCCCTGCCCTCCCTTCAAGATTATCATTCTCGACGAAGCAGACAGCATGACGCAGGATGCGCAGTCAGCCCTCCGTCGCACGATGGAGCAGTACAGTCGCATTACGCGATTCTGTCTTGTTTGCAACTACGTTACGCGAATCATTGACCCGCTTGCGAGTCGATGCAGCAAGTTCCGGTTCAAGGCCTTGGACAACTCCGCGGCGGGTGAGCGGTTGGAGCATATTGCGAAGCTGGAGAACCTGACGTTGGAGAGCGGCGTCGTTGATAAGTTGATCCAGTGTAGCGAGGGTGACTTGCGACGGGCGATCACATACATGCAGAGTGCTGCACGGTTAGTGGGGGCCCAGGGGGGCAACAAGAAGGATGGCGACGAAGATTCTGAGATGACAGATGCGACGCCGCAGCCGGTTACTGTTCGAATGGTCGAGGAAATTGCGGGCGTGATCCCGGAAGAAATCATCGACCGGCTGGCTAAAGCAATGCAACCTGTCAAGATCGGTTCCTCTTATGAGGCTGTTTCAAAGGTGATCACAGACGTTGTCGCAGATGGGTGGAGCGCAACGCAACTACTTCTACAGGTATGTGGTTCCCTCGCAGTCTCGCGATGTGATGTTAGTCTAATGGTCTTAGCTCTATCGACGAGTTGTTTACAACGATGCTATTCCTGATATCCAGAAGAACAAAATCGTCATGGTGTTCTCTGAAATGGACAAGCGGCTGTCTGATGGTGCAGATGAGCACCTATCGATCTTGGATACAGCTCTTAAAATCTCTGGTATTCTTAATGGAGCGTAATGGTGATCTTGACGATAATCATATCTGACGAACCCATTCTTTCACGCATGCTCCTACCCATACCCTGCGCCGGCCCATCTGTGGCTAAAATTGCTTTATCTGGGCCTCAATGTCGCTGGTATTGGTATAAGGACAAAGACCCTCCTGGCTACGGAAGTCAGGGTTGTGGAGGGGAACGTACCAAAACCCTACTTTTGAGTCGGGCTTGCGCTCACAGAGAGGACGCTACGAATCAACGAAATACTTGGGATGTCCCTTTAATTAGCATGAGATCTACCCAAATGCAAGATGCTACATTACCATGAAATCAATTGTATTTTTTGTTGTAACCTCCACTACAACGTGCACGCCACGTGCGGCCCGCCTCCGACGATTTCTCGGACAGTACACCGGACTGAGTCAACTCTTCTCTTCACATACCTACACTTGCCTCGCCCCGCGCTTTTTGGTCTGCACCACTATTTCGCTCTTTTCTTGACATAGACTTCGTTTTATCGCAGTGCGCAATCTAGACAGGGCACAAAGTACAACAACAGTCCTAGACACAACCCTACATACCCCGCCATGACAACTTCACCCCGCTATCTGACCGGCGACGCCGCGGGGATCCAGGACTTCCTCGACAAGTTTGATGTACGTACCATATGGTTTTATGCCACTTTCTGTGTTTTTAAAAAGCACGTCTTGCCTAAAGTCCGTCTACTAACCTCCTTAGGTCTTCCTCTTCGACTGCGACGGTCCGGACCCTTGCCCTTCCTGTCCCTCTATGATTTGCGACAATTGAAGAATACTGAGACTTCATTGCTTGCTTAGGTGTACTCTGGTCGGGCGATCATCTCTTTCCCGGAACGAACGAGACCCTCGAACTGTTGAGAAGTAAAGGTATGCACATGGGGTGAAATGCACGGGACGGTGGCGCAAAGCTTGCAGGACCAGGACTCACTTGTTTCCGTTCTTCAGGAAAGCAGGTTGTCTTCGTCACGAACAACAGCACGAAATCCCGCGCAGACTACAAGAAGAAGCTAGATGGCCTGGGGATTCCAAGCAACACGGTACGTCATAGCCATCCACCCAACCGCCGAACATCGCCAACGGTTCGGATCAGGAGGAAATCTTCTCCTCCTCGTACAGCGCCTCCATCTACATATCCCGTATTCTCAAGCTTCCCGAGAACAAGCGCAAGGTCTTCGTGATCGGTGAAACCGGCATCGAACAGGAGCTCCGCTCTGAAAATGTTCCGTTCATTGGGGGTACGGACCCGGCGTACCGTCGCGACATCACCCCGGAGGACTACAAGCGCATTGCGGCCGGCGATTCATCCCTACTTGACCCGGAGGTTGGAGTCGTGCTGGTCGGGCTGGACTTTCACATCAACTATCTGAAGATGGCTTTGGCGTACCACTATGTTAAGCGCGGCGCCGTGTTCCTGGCTACGAACATCGACTCTACGCTTCCCAACTCGGGAACCCTGTTCCCCGGCGCGGGATCGATGAGCGCCCCTCTCATTATGATGCTGGGACAGGAGCCCGTGTCGCTCGGAAAGCCGAACCAGGCGATGATGGATGCCATTGAGGGCAAGTTCAAGTTCGACCGCGCCCGCGCGTGCATGGTCGGAGACCGGGCTAACACTGACATTCGTTTTGGCTTGGAGGGTCAGCTCGGGGGTACCCTGGCTGTGTTGACTGGGGTTAGCTCCAAGGAGGACTTTGTGGACGGTCCTATCAGGCCGATGGCTTATCTGGACAAGCTTTCGGATCTTCTCGCGTCGGCGCCGAACTAAAGGAGCTCGGGTTGTTGCTGATTTGGTCGAGTTAGAATTAGACCGGGATGATTTACGATATAAGACTCGCACGACTGTCATATATACGGCAAGATATCCATAGATTATATATACACGCTGCCATGGAAGTCAACTGTTGATTGATGTATGTAATATATCATGCTCGGGGCGTCAAGGTGTTTCATCTCCGCGTACCAAGCCCTGAAGTTTCCACAATCCCAGTATTGCTTCTATCGTCATCGATTCATCAGGCCTGAAAAATACCGCAGCACTCTGGAACCGAGGGTGGTAAGTCCGGATCTTGTCTAGGTCACCCCGCGAGAGAAGCCGTCGCAGATCAAACACGGGGACCTTGGATTTCGTCTGAGGAAGTTCGATGAACTCAGGTAGAGTATCTTCAGCAATCGATGATGCCTCTAGTTCTGCGCCGGCCACGGCGTCTTCGCGTACTTGTGAAGAACCCAGCACGATAACCGCGCCTGTTTCCATGCGCGCAAATGTCTCTAAGCTCTTCAGACCCTCCAGTAGCTGGACCTCCGAAACCCCGTCCATATCCATTGTTGTCCAGACTCCATTGGCGACATTCGTCCGCTTATACCTATCGCTGACCCTCTTGATCTGCTTCACGACGCTGGTCCTCATCTGCGCCAATACAAAATCAGGCATATCCTCCCGCCAGATCATTTGTTTTTCCTCATGGGCCGTGATAGGGCCATGCGGATGCTTCCACCGGAAAGGGAGCACCCGCACGATTGGCGAGACCTTTCTTCCCGGCGCATGGCCCGTCAACGCCGCAGTCAACGATCGCAGCAGCGGAAGGCGATCAACAATGCGCAGGATGAGGTAGTGGAATGACCTGTTCCTGAACATCCCGCGTTCAGATCCAGGTGTGTCTTTTTCCGAACGTGGCTTGTGCGGAGAGGGCAGCTCCAGTTCGTCTTTCATCGCTCCCACGGGCATGAACCATAAACCCTCCTTTGAGTCCGGGCGGCGCACCATGCCCCAATCGCCGAGAAAAGCGCGCGGTAGGCGGGTCCCTGTGATAGCGCACATGCGCGGAGGCGATGCGAGGGCCACTGCCCAGGGGTTTTGGCGTAGTGCATGGAGGTCTTTGTGGGTTGCGATGCGCTTCTTGTGCTTTTTTGCGAGATGGGGATGCGGGTTGGTCAAGAGGGGGGATTGTGGGAGAAGTTGAGAGGGTCGAAGGGGCTGTTCATTGTTTTGTGATAATGCGCTGGGTTTCGTTTCTAGCGTTTGTGTGTTGTTGGCGTTCTCAGAAGAGCCTTGTCGCAGGGTTCTTGTTTGGGATAGAGTTGCAGTCGAGCTTGAGATCATGCGGCGGGAGCTGCTTCTAGCGGCGGTAAAGCGTGGCGATGGCATGAATAGTTGTCGGAATACCTGTAGACGCCATGATGAGTAGGATAGTCGTCCTTGCAGACAGTCCATCTTGTTGCTGGACTGGGTGGTAAGAGGGAGGAATATTGTAGCAGGTCCTCCGCAGTTAACCGCCCAGGGCAACCACATCAAAGCTCCGATGCGGCAGTCAGCTTGGCGTCCTCCATCACCTCCTCACCTCTTCTCCCCTCCCCTTCAATTTACGCTCGGCAATTCCTCTCATTTCCCAGACTCCCACGATGAATACATCTCGCTCGCTCCGGCGCGTAGCTCGGATCGTGTCCCGGTCCACGTCTCCCCTCGTACCGACGCTATCGCGAAGCTTCTCCAGCTCCATCCCGTCACTATCAAATACGAGCCCGCCGAGAGCTTGGACTCCGACGCCCTTTGTTACAGAGACAGTGGTGCGTGTCCACATTCCTTCATTTCGTCCTCTCCGGACACGACTGACAATAATATAGGGAGGCGGCTGGCATACATGTACGTCCTTACAACGCGACGTCCGACATCGCAATCAGGCTCGCTAACAATACCGACCAGACGACATCTTCTCGCGCCTGCTCAAGGAACGAATAATCTGTCTCAATGGCGAAGTCGACGAGACGATGTCCGCATCTATCGTTGCGCAGCTCCTCTTCCTCGAAGCCGATAACCCGCAGAAGCCCATCCACCTGTACATCAACTCGCCCGGCGGCTCCGTCACAGCCGGTGCGTTCGCATCCTTCACTTTTCCCCCGCCTGTTCTCTAACAGCTAATGTGCATTTCCAGGCCTCGCCATCTACGACACAATGACTTACATCGCCTCCCCCGTCAGCACGATCTGCGTCGGCCAAGCAGCCTCCATGGGCTCCCTCCTCCTCTGCGGTGGCCACCCGGGCAAACGCTACTGTCTCCCCCACTCCTCGATCATGATGCACCAGCCCTCGGGCGGCTACTTCGGCCAGGCAAGCGACATCGCCATCCACGCGAAGGAGATTCTGCGCGTGCGCGAGCAGCTGAACAAGATCTACAAGCGGCATCTGACCGGGAAGAAGGAGATGTCTCTCGAGGAGATTGAGAAGCTCATGGAACGAGACTACTTTATGGGCGCGAAGGAGGCGCTCGACATGGGTATTGTGGATGAGGTCCTCGACCGGAGGGTTAAGTCCAAGGAGGAGGGCGGCGAGGGCGAGGGAAAGCCTCCCGTGGTGTGAATTTTGAGATGAGCTCTTGATTGTGGATATCATACCCCTCTTTACTCTGGTTTTGTAATTTTATGATGATTGTTTATGGCTTGTCATGACATGCTCAGGTGCATACATAACGGTTGAACACTTGGAACGGGGGCATACGTGAGGAACCTGAAGACGTTGACATTCTTGTGGCATTTTTGGCGTTACCAAGATATATGATGGCAAATACGTCCGCCATCTAAATAATCATGGTAAACGCTACAGACTGGAGGACTTTGCACAGTATATGCATGTATTAAAGGGTATTTACACAAGTGAATCTCGCGGCTCCTCTTTAACACGGAATCGATTCGTACCACGTCAGTCCATTGGTATCAGGTGGGTATTCGTTCCACACGGCCCTCGGCGTTAACTTGCAGACCAAACCGCTGCCGGAGAAAGGCCGCGGTCTGGTCAGACGGCACATATGGAGACGATCGCCTCGCCGTAGCAGGGCTATAGCGCCACTGATCTCGGATGACGTCCACGAAGCCTAACTCCATGATGACGGCCTCGCCAGAAGTAAAAGTGTCCAGGGCATGACTGTTCTTTGCGCCAGATGCGAGTCCATTCTCCGATGGGTCCGCCAGGAGCTCTGTTCGTTCGGATTCCTCGCCCGCACTGGGCTGTCCGCTTGCGTTTCGAGAAGCTAAATCATCGAGTTCAATTCCTTCATCGGGGGATGGGGATGAGCCCGACCCGGGGGTGCTTCGAAGCACGCCACGCTCTTCAAAATCATGGTCCTGCGTGGGACTAGTCTCAATGGCGTCGGACGTATTAGACGTTGTGGCGGTGGATTCTGTCGTCTTCACCCGTTCAACAACAAGCCCCAGCATCACCAAGTCGAGGACCAACACGAGCACATCCAATAGTAGCAACCGAGCCAGCGGTACAGGGGCCTTCTGCCCGATGAAGTCGATCAAAAGGCCCCCATGTAAATATCCTCGCGTCGATTCCGTGGCTTCTGGTTGGGTGAAGAAATTATGGTAGAGCATACAGAAGAGATTACTGGCGAAGATGGCGCCGACAAAAGGCTGGTTTCGTGTGGGGTCAAACGGGGGGGCCTTGGGGGTGAAGAATATCAACTGCACAATGGCGCGGATTGCAAATAATATGATTGAACAGCTACAAGAGAAATTGGTCAGTATTAATCCACGCTCAAGCATGGAAGCTTCCTGCTTCCAAATCGCTGATGCGGGAAGGCAAAGGGAGCTCACTCCATATAGTACAATGCGGAGAGCTCGCAGTATATTAGGATGTCGAGATCGCGGAGTAATCGATCAATGAACGCAACCTTTGCAGCCGACTGGATCTTCTTCACGCGCCCATCCTGAGGTGCGGGAGAGCTCGCCTGCGGCTCTGCGGAGTCGGCGATGCTCCCATAAGGTATGCCGGACACGTCAGCGATGTATTCCGCATCTCGAAAGACATCTGGAGTGGTCATAGAGGGTCATGAGGACATGAATGGCAATTCGAAGAAAGAATACGGGAAAGCGATGAGCGAGAGTTGGGTTGCGAGAGCTATTCCTGTGGGACACCACAGCGATGAGCGGAATGTGAGAAGCGACGGTGATGCGTCTGGGGAGGAACGTGGAGTAGCCGATAGGTACCATCTCACGTCAGGTGGGAAACGGACTTTCCTCGGCCCGATTCCGCGATGGGTGGGCATTTCGATCCCGTTCAAAATACCAAGACTGACTGCGAATTGTTCGGTCTTGACGTGTACATAATAAGCTAATCTCATACAATGGATCAAATTGTATACGGAGAGTGCTTCCTGGTGGTGATAAATCCTGGCTCTTTCTATCCTTTGATGAGTGATAATCGCGTGCTGTTTTTCCATGAGCATGTCTCTGTGGCGCAATAGGTAAGCTCATCTGCAACCAATCACCAGTCAAATTCCATATACTAATTCAGCATCAACAGGTTAGCGCGTCTGACTGTTAATCAGGAGGTTGGAAGTTCGAGCCTTCCCAGGGACGTCCCTCTTTTTTTTTTCTTTTTTGCACCTATATCTACTCTATATTGCATCCTTCATGAAGCTTTCATTATCATCTTACTCCGTAGGTTTGGGGATTTTGCCATAAATGCTGTTCTCCTCTCCTGCTGCGTCTCGAAGTTCAAAAAAGGCAGTACATCATATCTCGCCAAGGAGACTACGGGTGGGTTGTATGTAGGATAGATACTCCATATGTCGACAGTTTTCTAACCAAAAAACCACTGCAGTAGTCTGCTCCAATACAGCTCCCTGCGCTGTTTACAGCCATCGTTGACGTTGTGCTACCGATATACGAAGCTTAGTGTGCCTGACCGCCAAGGCGGCCCATGATCTCATGCTTGATTCTTTCTCCGCTCCCCACTCTTCCTTTCTGCCTGCCAGCACCCGGACTTCGTCTCTTCTGTAGTGCAAATCCCCCGCTCACAGGGTACTCGTCCAAAGATGACCTCCAAGCTCGCCCAGAACCTCAAACAGCCGGCGCTGGACTTTTTGTCCTTCGTCAATGCCTCCCCAACCCGTGAGTCCAGCTCCTAACTAGGCTTGCTATCTAGCATTGACCTGTCAATCTAGCATTCCATGCTGTCCAGTCTGCAAAGGAACTGCTTGTAAAGGCAGGATTTCAGGAAATCAAGGTTAGTGGCTCGGTCACTCGAGCCTGTCGACTCAATTTACTGATGTACTTCGTAGGAGAAAGACTCCTGGGCTTCCACCTGCCGTCCTGGCGGAAAGTACTACCTGACTCGCAACAGCTCGACCATTGTCGCTTTTGCTGTCGGTAAGAAATGGAAGGTATTGCCATCATATTCAGTCCCTTTCTATGCGTCATGCTGATAGCTTCGACATAGCCTGGCAACCCTATTTCCATGGTCGGAGCGCATACCGACTCGCCTGTTCTGAGGGTCAAACCCGTCAGCAACAAGCGCGGCGAGGGTTACATGCAAGTTGGTGTGGAAACGTATGGAGGAGGCATCTGGCACACTTGTGAGTAGACCATCCACGATATCACGCATACATATTCGTTTAATTCATGCCCTCTGACTAACACCCTGAAGGGTTTGACCGTGACCTCGGGGCGGCCGGTCGGGCTATGGTGCGGATGGCCGACGGTTCCATCGTGCAGAAGCTGATCAAGATCGATCGTCCAAGTATGATACCTCCATTTTCATCTTGTATACGGGAAACATCAACTAACATTGCTCAGTTCTGCGCATCCCCACCCTGGCCATCCACCTTGATCGCCAGGAGACCTTCTCGTTCAACAAAGAAACCCAGCTCTTCCCGATTGCTGGCCTTGTCGCTGCGGAGCTTAATCGCACTGGTGGCGACTCCAATGGTGCTGAAAAAGACACCCAAAAGGCAGCGGAATCGAGCACAGAATTCTCGCCTTTGAAGTCGATTACCGAGCGCCATCACCCTTACTTCGTGGAGCTTATCGCTGCCGAGGCTGGTGTGAAGCCGATCGATATCCTGGACTTCGAGATGATCCTGTTCGACACCCAAAAGTCCTGCCTCGGTGGCCTTCAGGAAGAGTTCATCTTCTCTCCCCGTCTGGACAACCTCAACAGCTCCTTCTGTGCTACCGTTGGCTTGATCGACTCAGTTGCAGATGCCTCTGCCCTGGATGATGAACCATCGATTCGCCTGATTGCCTTGTTCGATCACGAGGAGATCGGCAGCAGAACTGCCCAGGGCGCCGACTCTAACATGCTCCCGGCCGTAATCCGCCGTCTGTCGGTCCTCCCCTCCGCTGCCGCTGGCAATGAGGATGTTTCTACCGCCTTCGAGGAGACCCTTTCTACCTCCTTCCTTCTTTCGGCCGACATGGCCCACGCCATTCATCCGAACTACTCGGGCAAGTATGAGTCCGACCACCGGCCGGAGATCAACAAGGGGCCTGTTATCAAGATCAACGCCAACGCGCGCTACGCCACCAACTCCCCGGGTATCGTACTCCTCCAGGAAGTGGCTCGCAAGGCTGCAGAGGGTGGTAGGGAAGGAGTCCCACTCCAGTTGTTCGTTGTGCGCAACGATTCCAGCTGTGGAAGCACGATTGGACCTATGCTGTCTGCAGCTCTGGGAGCTCGCACATTGGATCTGGGTAACCCCCAACTCAGCATGCACAGTATTCGAGAGACGGGCGGTACATACGACGTGGGACATTCTATCCGGCTTTTCACCAGCTTCTTCCAGCATTACTCTAGCCTGTCCAAGACCATTCTTGTTGATTAAGCATGTCATCGAATAGAAATCTGAATTACAATTCGATCTCAATAGATGCACGGTGAATATGTGATTATCACATATACACTCTGCTCACGTTGTTGCCTCGGCGGGCTACCAGGTGCAGCTTGTGTGGGCTAGTAGGATCCATTCTTGTATTGTCGATAGTTTCTATAGATACTTGTCTGGGGGTCCCTGGCAACTACGCGGTGGCTAGATCAAGGTCGCAGGAAGGATAAGGATGATTTCGTTCCACGTCCCAGCCCCGAAGATGATCCTATGTATGGTGTGATCGTTCATTGAGCAAGCCCAGACTCCAATACTCCTATTTCGAGTACAACTGTCAAGTCTCATTTCGACTCAAGCGCCCAGCATGCATCTGGTTCCTTCGCCCAGTGACATAGTACGGTCAAAGGTGATGCAAGCGAGACGAATCCATCAGGCACTGTCGTTGTAACCCGTTTTTGATCAATCATAGCCTTGAACAGTCCAGTCATAAGCTCGCGAGTGTATCTTGGCATCTTCACTGTCAGGATTTCTGTCCGAGAGTTGTATGAGAATTTTGCAGACTTTGGGTGTCTATTGTGGTCGGATGTAAGGAACTCGAACGGCAACCTTCCACTTGCTTGCAACATCATGAAGGGTTTCGAGTTACTCTTCGAGAAGAGGTATGACGTTTCAATATCACACGAGATGCCATCAATCAGATCACCCAGTTGCGCTTGCCGAATGTATTCGGTGGCCGTCGCGACGCCGGGGCCATACGCATGGGCAGGTCAATGGCTTTATTCTAATTTGGATAGTGTTCTTACCCTGCGGAATCTTCCCCTCAACGTCTCCTGACTCACTGTCGAGCTTCCAACCCGGACCGGTAGCGGACATACAAGGTCAAGGTTGCAATGGGCGAACTTTGCATGGGCCAAGTGTATTATGGTTACCATGATAGGTACCCCAGGCCTGTCAGAACGTTTGGAAGGGAAACGGTCGACCTACTGCTGCATCGCCGACATGACCAGTCTAGGCGTGTCTAGCTTATAAGCTTGCAACTAACCACACATTTGGTTAGATAGGACACTGGTCAGGATTCGGAGTGGCTAACGATAAGGCTCAATCGCTGAGATGAGGTTGCATCCTATTCTTCATGACTTCACTTGATCATAGAGACGTGAATGAACATGAGTATATGGGCCATATGTTCACCAACTAGACTAAAGGGTCGTCCGGCCAATGGTTATGGTCACAGCTAAACCTGAAGTAAGTACCTAGGTAGTAGGAGGGCAAGCCCAAGATGGTTAGGGCTCGTGGAACCAGTATCCGGCGCAGCCACGCCAACATCAGTCTCTGTGGCGCAATAGGTATGTTCAACTCTTTCGGTCAAGCATCACATAGCAATTCTAATTCAATATCAACAGGTTAGCGCGTCTGACTGTTAATCAGGAGGTTGGAAGTTCGAGCCTTCCCAGGGACGTCTCTTTTTGCTCTCAATTTTTGTGTACTGGGCTCAAAGCTGTATCTATACGTGCTCATGCTCACTGTGTGGCCTGTCATGACCTTGAAGATGCAGGCTATACACTTGGAACTAAGGAGTGACCTCTCCTGCGCAGGTGACCAGCCTGCATTTATGCAAGAAGTCGTCTAGGCAGTCATCCTCATCATTTTTCCCCTTTCCTTTCCTCATGTTCAGGTTCTCGTGTTGAGGTGAATGCCTTTGCATATGGTCTGAATCAATCGTTTGATTGACCGTTGTAACATGACCCAAGTGTCTACCCATCACGCTCTGTGAATAGAATGGGCGGGGGTGAGGCATTCTCGGGACATTCTTTGTATCTAGTCAATGGGCCACTGATCCCATCTGGGTCAGTTCCATTGGGCGTCCATCTGTGCATAGCCGGAATCTATGTCGGGAGCTGTTGTCGGTGGCATTGAGGGCATGTAAGGACTAGGGTTTCGACCACGCCATAGAACACCGAAGCGGGGTCAAACATAGGCTCGAGAAACGGATCAAGGGGGCAAGAAAGTACGAAGGTGAGGCAGAATGGGGGGGAGGATCATGAAGGGAAAAAAAAATATAGAAATAAAAATGGAAAAAGAAATCGTCCCTGGGAAGGCTCGAACTTCCAACCTCCTGATTAACAGTCAGACGCGCTAACCTGTTGATACTGGATTAGTTTATGTCTCATTGGCTATTGAGAGCAGACCACTCATACCTATTGCGCCACAGAGACAGTTCGTTAAGAGCCGTTGTTTTAGTGTGTATCAGGATCCTATGGTAGGAGACAAGCGCTTGTGTAGCCTGCAGACCCACCAAAGATACCTATCTACATTGCGAATCAGATAGGGAGGTACGGGTCTGCGAAACCAGTAAAGACCCCTCACGGGTAAGGGTATATAGTTGCGATCTGTGCGTCCCGCTTTCTATGTAAATGAGAAGAAAAAATTATGAAAATCATAAAAGAAAATGAATATCGTCCCTGGGAAGGCTCGAACTTCCAACCTCCTGATTAACAGTCAGACGCGCTAGCCTATTGATGATTTATTAGTATGGGTGTGATTGATTACTGGTGGTGAGCGAAGCTTACCTATTGCGCCACAGAGACATGCTGTGGCGAAACTGGTAGATTTTTGTTCTTATAGCCCAGTCAAGATTTTTACTAGTACCTATCCATTGTAAGAATGATCAAGCAAGCCATTATTGCTTCCTACAGAGTACGTGCTATGAAAATCAATGTTGTCCATGGCCCAATGTCACAATCCTGTGCAAGTTATCCACCGCCGTGGCCATCCTATTACTCATGTTATTTGTGTCATTGACGGTGATGTTACTTGTTACTTGATATATATAGACGTCCATACATCCAGTGGTCCACCTAGGGCCAAGGACTAGTTAGGGACATCGTCCGGTGGCACACTGCACATGGTAGGCCACACTGCCTGACGGCGAGATAGCCCGGGTATCGTAAAGACCAAGCCCTCCCTTCCCCGAAACGCGCGCCCACCAAGGACCCCCAAACGACCCTAACTCGGTACTCATGTGCCCCTGGCCCTCTGATGACTTGCCCAGAACACCTCGGCCTGCCAAAGTAGCCCAGTACATAGTAGGTAGGCAATCCCACACCCTGTTTGATACATGTCTCCCCTGCTACATAAAGTAGTTCTCCCAACTCGTAACCGTATGCCACACAGCTGAAGTATCTGATCAACAAGGACACACTCGCAATGCAGCGCATAGACAATGCATAGCTATGGTGTCATGCACACGGTACCGCCCACACAGAGTCAGCAGGGACCTGGGACCAGAAAGAATATGCATTTAAAGTAGAGCGAGGATGACGAGGCCGCAAAAGTACGTCGGGGGCGGCGGGGAGTTGTGCTGTTCAAGTAGCAATGATCATTCGCACCCACTGTTGTTTACTACCACTGCTGTTTACCACCCATCAAGGCCATCAACGCGTCTCGACCATCCAACAAACGGACATGTTCTACACATCCCTCACCTCTCACCTCACTACCACACCCAGTCGGTGGTCCTTGCCCACCCACACCAGCACTAAGACAGGATACCCCGAAGCTACTCTATCATGGATGCGGATACATGCCTGCAGGCCCTCGTGCGATGCCACGAACAGTTCAGCACCGAGAACAACCAGGAGAAAGATATACCATGCGACGAAGAAGAACGGACAGGGCCGGTAGATGAGTTCTCAGGACCGCACATTGCCAGGCGATTTGCCGAAGAGGCTGCGAAAGTGCTGACCAAAGAGGAACTTGATCAGCTCACCAGATTTCTCACGAGTCCCAAGGCCCGCAACCACGCCCCAACCCAGATTAAATCCCTAGCACAGGCTGTCCAGACCTTTTACGAAGCGGAGCCTCGGATATCTGGCCTGAGTGCAGAGAGACTCACCATACCTGGGGGCCCCGAAGATGCGGACTTTTGTATTATCCTTCACCTGGCAACCGGGAGGTACATACCCAGAGAATTTTGGAACACAAGAAGCGCAACTATTAGCCTACTAGAGGAGAAGGGTATTAACGAGAAGGTTGCCTTTGGATATGACTGGCACTGGAGAGCCGAGGACGCGTCGTACCTTGCAAGAAGCGATTGTCCAGTACGGAAATGGCCACAAGAGCTCAGACAGCTCCACAACCAACTATCGAAAGACATACTCGACATCCTACCGCTACCTTTTATTGTGACTGCATCTGGATGTACAAGAGACAACATCCGGAAGACACTGTCACCAGCCAGAAAGTCTTTCGACATCCAAATCTCAGAAACGACCGCCCTGAAAGTTGACCTGGACTTTCGTGAAGAAAGTACCTCCAGCAAAAGAGATCTACCGAGTAAATTTCTTCGTCGCCTTATTATCCACGTACACCACCCAGCCTCCGGTTTTGCGTCGACACTAGAGAGACGACCAAGCATGGCGAGTCAGATTGATGCAGGCCTGAACTTTGTCATGTGGCTAACAGGGCAAAAACATGACGCCACCTCATTCCGTCGTACATACAGCCAGGCTGGGCCCGCTGGGAAACGGCCATCTGGCAAGCGGCCCGCACCACTCGCGGAGATGTATGCGTATATCAGAAGGGAGCATAAGGAAGAGAGGACGCTGGAGCTCCTAGAATACACACCGTCATTCCTCAGCTGGGCCACAAGGTACTTGCTGCAGGATCCAGCCCAGATACTTGCACGGGGCCACTCGGTCGCTGGAACAGTGCTCCTGAAAATCCGGAGAAACATGAGAATCGCCCACAAGAATAGGCCACCGCAGACAAAGAAGAGAGGAAAGCCACCAAAAGAAATCACTACACCCGAGACCTTATTCCACGGAAAAACAGTGGCAGTACTTCGATGCGGGGCAGTTAAGCTTAGCTCACCCATCTTCACATTACGATTCCGGATGGCTGTTGATTCTGCAAAGGCAATCATTTCATTGAAAGAAGAACCGAGGATCTATTTCGACGCCGATGGAATTGTTCTTCGGATTAACGACCGGATCGTCTACCAAAAGCCAATTGAGCGATTGCTGACATCCATAAATGGCGAGGAATGGCTAGTCCAGATTACGAATGAGCTACGAGCCCTAACAGCAAACTGTGCTTTGAAAGACGGTCGCCCCCCTACCTCACTCGTTGTAAAACCCCATGACGCCCGACTTGGTGCGAGGTGGAAGAACGGCGAGCTCCAAAGGAAACTGATTGAGGGTAGCATATTCCCATGCACCGAGATGAGTAACATAGCAAAGGTGGGCCGAGTCTACTTTCGGGGAGTGCAATTGTATATCCCCAGAGAGGCGAATTTCGACACGGTTTTCGTCCAATGCGATTTAGTCCCCGAAGGGCTTCGGCACCCGAACATGTGCCCCTCAGCCTGTGAAGATGGAGACCCTGCAATTCGTCTTGGAATAAGGATCAGATACAACACCCAAGGAAGCAACGAGCAGAGAGAATATTGGGCAGCCCTCAAAGGCGCAAACAATACGAAGATATTGAATTCGCTGGTGGATTTTCTCGAGGGGAAAGATGAGGAGTGGACGGAAAGCCAGCCTCGACGGTTTCTTCCCAGAAGCGTCTCCCGAAAGAGAACGAAGATATGCTACACGACATAGAGTCGGAATCATCTACATGGCAAGCTAGGCCTGGGGGGAAGCTTGGAATGATCTGATGACCTGGGGCTTTGACTGCCTGGGACTTGTAAGGTTCGAGCTTATGTAGGATGTGACTTCAGTGTAACTCATGTATGGGGAATTAGAAGCATGACTAGGTACTTAGTACGGAGCATGTTTCATGTCCAGCTAATACGATGTACCCAGGTAGAAAGACAAATAACAGACGTGAGTTGGTAGCAACGAGTGTAGCATAGAAACCGGGCATGGGTATGATGACTGGAGTACTCCGTAATCTCAAGTTTAGGTAACAGTAGCAGAACCTGGACCGAAGTCATACTCTTCCAATGTCCCTAGACAAGTAATGATTGATCTCGGAGATAATATGTACCCCGTATGATTGTATACATCGTGCAGGCACCAATAGAAATTGACCATCTTGAGTACAAGAGTCATGGACGGCATGGTCCCACTGCGGATGTTGCCTGGAGACAATCAAGACCGGACTAAGGGCTTGGCCAGGGCAACTCTTTCTTGACAAGCGCAACGCGTCATACATTTTAGGAGCATCTATGTACTAGATCCACATCAGAAAAGAGGGTAGCCATTGGATGAGCGTAGAATTGTCAGGCGCAGGCCGGTGTTGATAAACGACTGGATAGGGCTCTTTATTGAGCATGGCAGTCTCGGAGTATGAAACGCGGAAAATTCGGCGCCACCAAGAGCCGTTACACTACGACCGTTCGTCCAGCAGATCGGCATGGAACGGGGGTTCGAACAAAGAGGCGTGCTTTCTTTGGTTGGAAAGTCTCCTCCACGCGTTGGTGGCCCAAGCTTTCAAAATTCGCGTTCCCTAGGGCGCGTGGAATGAGGGGCGGTCGCGATAGTTTAGTGTTTGTGGCACCGAAGAATCGGCCGTGGACGCGCAGATCCAATCACCAGACCGGCGGTGTTTCGCGCGTCCAAGCAGGGAGCGTGTCAGTCAAAACAATAACAACAATAACACCAGAACGCCATGACGGGAACACACCAGCATGGTGCCATGTGCTGGATTCTGCAGAGAAAAAGACAATGTTTGCGTTCGGATCCGACCCGAATGTTTTCTGCCTGAAGGAGGCTTTGGTATTGAATTCGTAAATTGGACCTATCGAAGTACTTAGTGTACGGAGTAGATAGGTAACGGTGGGGGAACATCATAGTCCGTAGTACGGGTAACGCGACTTAATATGAAGGAGGCGCCATGACTTGACGGATCGCATAGATGAGGGATCCAATACCATTCCTGAGGCTGGCCTGATGCGGATGACGCTCACCACGAGCCCCAAAGATCATCGCGAGACCTTTCATGTGAGAACAAAAGACCACGTTAAGCATGACAACGAGAGCAACCATCGGGATTGACAGCGAGAAGCAAAGACTCCAACCTCCTCTCGTGTGGCCCAGAAGGGCTTAGCGCACCCGACGCGTGACTGGGAGGACTCCCCTTCCAGACTAACCTACCGCCAAAGAACAGCCCTTGGATCATCTCCAGCTCGCTTTCAACCCTCCCTCCCTCACCAGACGGTGGTTCGGTCGCTCCTCAAATGACCTCCACACCTCGCCTGATTCCATCAAAGTCAGCTCTGGGTCTGGGGAGAGTCCGATCAGTTGATCCTTTGTCTCTATTCCTTTCGACCTACCCTTTATCTGATCATTGTTCGGAAAGCGGACCAGAACCCAACTGTTGTCGCTAATCGGCACCCTTCTTTATTCATCGACTGAACGCCACGACCGCTGTTTCTTTGACTGGAACCTCCCACCAGCCGCAGTCTCTCATTTGTTCGAGAATAGATCCCGGCCCTCATTGTCATTGCGATCCGATTCCTGAAACCTGTCGCATCAACCGCCCCCTTCTTACTGACCCCGGCCGCGACCGCCATTTCAACTACAGGGGATTCCGCTCCTCCGGAACAAGCATGGGCGGCGACAGCAAAGAGCCGAATCTACAAGAGAACCGCCGGGCTGCGGGAGGCGCATCCAGTGCGAAGACGTCGGCCGCCGGAGCGAACGGACTGAGCATCGTGTCTCCCCCGGGTTCAAGGACGCCACCCAGCATGCCTGCGAAAAAGACGCTCTTCTTTCCAGACAATCTAGGAGGACGACAAAGGAACCAAAATGGCTCCGAGCCTATTGATCCTGACGCCTTGACGAAGGCACTGAAGGAATATGAAGACGCCGGTCGCTCTCGCGAGAGAACACCAGGAACCAGTCCGAGTCGAAAAAGACAGCGAGTTTACGGTGATAGGTGAGTAACAGCACCTGACGATGTTGATCAAGTGTTGCACTAATTATGCGACATTGCGATTATCCCTTGGACATAGCGACTGACAATCTATAACCAGGTTCATACCAAATCGAGAGGGACAGGACCTTCAAGCGACGTATAGCTTACTTCATGAGGACGGTTGCCCTTCCACACCATCGAAATCAAAAAGACGCGCACCCCACTCAGAGCTACACTTCCAAAAGAGTTGGTCTTGTTCATAGCCCGAACCACACCAGTTCATCTTAGCTAACCTTTCCCCAGCGGAAGAAGCAAACAGGATGTATTCCCGCGTGTTGCGAAGCGAACTTTTCGGAAATACCGTCCCTCAAGCCGACCTTGATTCTTTATCTCCAGACCACCTCCTAGGCATGAGCAGCGGGATTAATGACAAAACCCGCTCTCACACGCCGCCTTCACATGCTATCTCGAACCTACCGCCCGCCAGCATAACACCATCAACCCCTCATAAAAACCTATTCAACTACGCCTCCCCACGCGCTGGATCAGGACACCCAACCCCTTCAAAGACCCCTCGAAGTCAGCATGGCCCGAACTTGAACGTGCGATCCGAGCTTTACAGCCTATCCCCCATCCGTTACGACAGCCAACGTATTCTTGAGACCCCTCGCAAACAGCCACGTTATGTGAATAAAGTCCCGTACAAAGTCCTCGATGCGCCTGACCTACAGGACGACTTCTATTTGAACCTTGTCGACTGGGGCAGCAGCAATGTGCTTGGCGTCGGGCTAGGAAATTCCGTGTATATGTGGAACTCACAGACGGGAAGAGTAACAAAGTTATGTGAGCTCAAGGATGATACCGTGACCAGTGTCAGTTGGATACAGAGGGTACGTGATCGCAACATGCTACCTAGGGGCTCTATAAAAACTAACGGTACCAGGGTACACATCTTTCCATAGGCACTGGGAAGGGTCTGGTTCAGATTTGGGACGCAGAGCGATGTCGCCGTCTTCGGACAATGATTGGCCATACCAACCGCGTTGGTGCTTTGGCATGGAATGACCATATCCTAACATCGGGATCGAGGGACCGTCTAATCTTCCACCGTGATGTCCGCTCCCCAGATCAGTACCTCCGTCGACTGTCTGGCCACAAGCAGGAGATTTGTGGTCTTCGATGGAACACAGAAGACGGCCAGTTGGCTTCTGGTGGGAATGACAATAAGCTCCTCGTTTGGGACAAATTGAACGAGACGCCACTATATCGCTTTTCCGATCATACTGCGGCTGTTAAGGCGATTACATGGTCTCCTCACCAACATCATCTTCTCGCCTCCGGTGGTGGAACAGCCGATCGAACCATCAAATTCTGGAATACAGCCACCGGGTCCCTCATCAAAGAAGTAGACACCGGTAGCCAAGTTTGTAACTTGGCGTGGTCCAAGAACTCGGACGAAATCATCAGCACACATGGCTACAGTCAGAACCAGATCGTGATCTGGAAATATCCTCGCATGGAGCAGATTGTCTCCTTGACTGGACATACCTTCCGTGTTCTCTACCTGGCAATGAGCCCCGACGGTCAAACCGTCGTCACTGGCGCTGGCGACGAGACCCTGCGTTTCTGGAAGATATTCAACAAACGGCCTGGAAGGGAACATGGGCGTGAAGGAAGCAAGTTGGCAGAATGGGGTACCATTCGGTGAATGATGATCTGTTGATTAATGACAGTGGTGCCGCTGCACCGTCCCTGCACCTCTCACGAGTTGCGATATGCATTAGACACGGCGTTCCATGGCTTTGGCGTTGTTACGACCCCAGTTACATCCTTGGTCGGACTGGGTGGATGGGTTTCTTCACGGTGTGATTTGGCATCTCTCGCATTTTGTGGTCTGCAGCATTTTACGGGCGACTATCGGGTACTCCGTTTTCCTTTTTTTGTTCAATTTCTTCACATTTTCGACATGTATGTTGGGCCTCTGCCTTTGACTTCAGCCTTTGCTTCGCATATTCCGAATTACTTGATAGTGCATGCATGGTGGTCTCCGCCTCCCGCTGCATATGCGTTCACCGAATTCGACCACAGCGACGGCGCTCATGGTGTTTTTGGTGATATGACTACGGCGTTGCTCGAGGATGGCTGGGTTTGCGGTGATCCAATACTCATCTCATCATAATCGCGTATCTCTGGCGCCTTCCTGTCAATCAATGCTTCCGCGTTTAACTTGATGACGAGATGACCTTGTTATTAACTCCATGCATTCCCATTCATATCAGTTAGTGCAGCAGCGCACTCGCGTTGCTACCCCCAGAGATGGAAATGAGAGCACCGCCGTTGATCTTAATGAGATGAAACATGCACATGTGATTTCTAAATGATCATAATTGCGCTTGAGTACATGGCTAGGCAAAGTAAAACAGTAGAATGAATAAAGTAGTCCAATTCCGACACAACCTTTCCCTTTTAAAGATACACTACCGTCGATTGTCAGCTTCCATCCCCACAAGGCCTTCAACCAATCAACTTACATTATGGAGTAGGGATCTATAGAACAAGGCGACCGGGCTCGATCGTCAGCAGCGCCTTGACACGGTCCAGGAAAGCCCGGGCGCGCTTCTCCTCACCAACAGGGACAGTCAAGCTGAAGACGTTCATGGCAGGCGCAGCAGGCTCCACCGTCTCCGGCCGGTAGACCGACTTCTTGGTGACATTTCCACTCAGGATATCGATAATGTCCTCCTCAGCCGGCTGGACGAAGTCGACCTCGGTGGGGGCCTCGACGGCATTCAGCTCGGGAATATAGTCACCACGGGACGTACGGACGGGCTCAGCGCCGAGGATTTCCTCGAAGAGCTCATCGGCGGAGGGGGCGGCGCCTGGCGCCCGGGGCAGGTCGTCGTTTGCGAGATCGGTGGCGCGGGCGAGGAAGGTGGAGAGCGGGATGCTGACGCCCAGGGAGTCCTGGATCTTCTTCTGGACGGACAGCACGGTGGCCAGGGAGATGGAGACGGCGACGGAAGTGGTTGGGGGCGGACGGGCGACGGCGGGCTCCTCGACGACGGCTTCAGCGGGCTTGGGAGGCGCTGGGGGCGCGGCGATCTTGATGTTGCTCAGGTCGAGGTGGCCGAGCTTGTCGATGCGGGCGGCCTGGGCGGACGGGTACTCGGGGGCGATGAGGCCCAGGTAGGCGAGGACGTCGCCCTTGAGCAGACGGCCCTTGGGCCCGGAGGCGGGGATCTTGGACACTTCGGAGTCGGGGATGCCCTTCTCGTGAAGAAGCTGCGTGACGGAGGGGTACAGCGGATAGGCGGGGTTCTGGGTCTGCGCGGCGGCGGAGGAAGCGAGGCCTGAATGACGGCCGCACGAGGCGCCAATGTCAGCGGTGTATCCCGGAAGGCGATGGTTGAGGCGGAGGAGGTTTTTCTGGAGATCGACTCTATCTTAGAACAAACTCCGCGGGCAACTCACGTCTGGTAGGGTTGAGGATACGCGGCTGGCGTCTGGCGAGGGCAGCCGGAAGCTGGCGAACTGAGAAGCTTGCGGCCATTCTGTCTAAATCGGCGTTTTTATTTCTTGTTGAGTGGTCTCAGATGAGAGTGTTCGCTCGAGATAAAGATGTTGCTCTCGGAGAAGGATCTCGCGATGCGCCGCAGGCGGAATTCGCCGATCCAGGAACACAGGGTCAATGTATCCCGCCACCGCAAGAAGAACGGCGCACGGAGGATGGAGATGAGTCGGGCGTATGCGAGAGATGCGGCGATCCGGGGTCAATTGGGCGGGAATGAGTTAAGCTGGGGAATGTCAAGCGATGGGAGGTGTCGGAGAAGGTTGAGGTGAAGTTGTTGGGAGCTTCACCGGCGGCCCCGACGGGGCGGTGGAGTCCGTACATTTTTTTGCCGTTCGATGCCATCAGACCCTGAGCATTCTACACTGAGCATAATCTATAAAATCAGAATTTAATTCTCTAGGCTAGGCTTATCTCAAAAAACAAAACAATGGATGGAGACGCTTCATAATGAAGGCAAGCCAAAAAAAGAAAAGAAAAATGAATCGTCCCTGGGAAGGCTCGAACTTCCAACCTCCTGATTAACAGTCAGACGCGCTAACCTGTTGAGGATTTATTAGCATATGAGTTTGACTGACGATTGGCTGTGAGTGATGCTTACCTATTGCGCCACAGAGACATGCTATGTTCGGCGGCGGCTTTCTATAATTTATATTGCAAACCGTTCTTTTCTACTGTCACCGGTGGAGCTCCGCACTCTTCGCCGACAAGACCGAGTACATCCTTGTCTTTCATCGCTTGTCGCCGTGAGGTCAAGGTAAGTTCATGAGCCCTCTTCCTGATCCCTCAGTAAACATATCATCCGCATTCTATCAATTGAATCTCCGCGCACCTAATTTCACCCATAGTTTCTGCGGTATTCGTGGAGATCAGTCGATTCTTTGCTAACAACCGTCGTGATTGCAAAGTCCACAATGTTCGCTCGATCCTCTGCCTTCCGGATATTTGCCCACCAATGTCCTAAAACCTCCTCCCTGCCAGGCCTTCAGGGCTCGCTCCCAACCTGGCGATACTTTACATCGAGCGCGCCTCGAGCAAAAGCCGCAACGAAAGGCAAGAAGCAACAACCCAAGTCCGTGAAGCCTTCCACGCCATCGAAAACCTATTCTCCTCCAGAAGAATCTCTTAAGTTTGCCGGCCGTCGCCCAGAAGGATTTGGAAAGCTCGAACGGAAAGTCGCCAAGGAAGGAAAAGTGCTCCTCTTCAAGGCTCCGTCGCATCGCAGCTACGTGCTAGGCGCCTACGGCATTACGGCCTTTTGCTTCGCTTACTCTGTGTACAACTCCAATGCTGTATTCCGTGACCCCGTCGTGCCCCTGCCGATGTGGCAGCAGGCTCTGTTTGGAGGTGTCTGCGTCATGATGAGCGTGATGGGCACAGTGTTCCTGTTCAAGACGGGGAGATTAATTCGAACGGTGAATGCGGTCAATGTCAATGGACAGACGTACCTCCGGTTTACCGTCCGGAGCATGATTCCCTTCAAGAAGCCATATGAATTTGATACTCTGCCTCGCCAAATCGCTTTCTCCCGTCGGCTGGTCGTTACGCCCGAGACGATGCACCGCATGGAAAACCCTGGAATCGCCCAGCCCGAGCAACCGGCGCGCACGAGCATCTACAAGTTGCCATTGACGAAAATGAGCCAGATTCTTTGGCGAGTGTTTCGATCTGTGCGCCAGCTGTTCACCACGGAGGATTTCATTCTGTTGGAAGTTGAGGGCCAGAAGGGCGTGTTCCGTATGGACTCTGGTGGCTATGTTTCGGAGGACTTCCTGGTGGTCGGAAACCCAGTGAGCATTGCTCGTTGAAGCAGGCATCAGGCGTCTTACTGGGAGTTTGAGATCACCTTATCTTTCTTACAGTGTTTAACTATCCACCTTTTGTTCCTTTTGGATCCGGTCAGTCCGGCATTTTCAACCTACCCAAGCGAACACTATGTATATATAGAATAGAGCCTATGAGTGCAACTGTATTATGAATCCGATATCGAACTTGAATACCCAGGTAGTCCAGCAAGCCGTGGTTGTTGGGAACCACGTGATCGGGCGCGTCTCCTAATCGGCGGCCGTGACGCGACTTCCGCCTCACTATCGATCGCGCCGGCCCCTCCAAACACCTCGACTTGACCCCAGCGTTACCCCAGACGCATCCCACGCAGATTCGGTGTCCCATCCTCTGAACGCCTGTTTCCTGCCCCGCGGTCGCTCGAAAGCGGCTGCATTGTCGCACGATGGGGAAACTTATCCGCCTTGAGCTTTACAGTATGCATCTTGTTCGCAGAATACTACGGGGCCGGAAAAGTTGCTGACCATCTCTTCAGACTTCAAGTCATACAAGGGACACCACACTCTTTTGTTTGGCGATGCTTACTTTACCTCGATCATTGGGCCCAACGGGTCTGGAAAGTCCAATTCGTATGTTACCCGCGCTCTTTAGACGCGGAGTTCGTTTTGCGCTGACCTCGGTTAGGATGGACGCCATTTCTTTCGTGCTCGGAATCAAATCGTCGCACCTGCGGTCAACCAACCTCCGCGACCTCGTCTACCGCGGCCGTGTCTTGCGAACGTCGAAACTCGATGCCGACGGAAACGTCATTGATGGGGAAGTGAACGGAGATGAGGACAACGCGGAGGACGGAGTCGACGGAGAGCTCTCGCAGGATGCCAACGGCTCGAATGACCCGCGCACCGCGTGGGTTATGGCCGTCTATGAGGACGACGCAGGTGAGGAACAGCAGTGGCGTCGGTCCATTACGAGCCAGGGTGTCAGCGAGTACCGGATCAACAACCGCATCGTCACGGCGCAGCAGTACAACGAGGCTCTGGAGGCGGAGAACATCCTGATCAAGGCGCGCAATTTCCTCGTCTTTCAGGGTGACGTGGAGGCCATTGCGTCGCAGTCTCCCAGGGATTTGACCCGCTTGATCGAGCAGATATCCGGAAGTCTCGAGTACAAGGCTGAGTACGAGCGTCTGAAGGCAGAGGCCGAGGAGGCGGCGGAGCAGCAGACTGTGCAGCTCAACCGTCGCAGAGGTATCAATTCTGAGATTAAGCAGTACCAGGAGCAGAAGCGCGAGGCCGAAAACTACGCTAGAAAAGCAGAGGAGCGTGACCAGGCCATCATCACGCATATATTGTGGAAGCTCTTCCACTTCCAGCGCCTGATTGACGCTTCCAGTGCAGACATTCTCAAGTACCAGGATGAACTCAAGGAATATCGACGGGGTGTTGAGAAGTACGAAAAGAATGTTGAGGAGGCAAAGAAGGAACACGCCAGCGTTGGTCGAAATGTTGCAAAGGCCGAGAAAAATATCATGAAGAAGGAGAAAGAGATTGAGGAGGCTACCAATGCTTTGGTTCCTGTTGACGAGAAAGTCGAAATCACTCGGAAGAAGGTTGAGCGGTTTGCCTCCCGAATTGAAGAGATCGGCAAAGAGCGCGATTCCCAGTCCGCCAACATGAAGCAGCTGGAGAAAGATTTGAAGGTCGTTGAGAAAGCCCAGGCTCAGTGGGAAGCGGAGTGGCAGAAGACCATCAGCAAGCAAGGCAGACAGCTCAGCGATGCCGACCAGCAGGAGTACAATCGGCTCAAGGAGGAGGTTAGCAGGCAGACTTCTGCCGAGCAGCTGAATCTTGATCACTTGCGACGACAAAGGAAGATGGAAGCTGAAGCATACAATAGCCTGAAGAGCAAATTTGAGGCTACGGAATGGCAGCTCAAGTCTTTACAATCCGACACACAATCAATGACTGAGCGTAAGAAGACTCTTAACGATACGATCAAGAGTACCTCGAAAGAGATCGAAAGCAAGAAAAAAGACCTGAACGCCCTCACCTCCGAACGGCTCCGTGTCTCGCAGATGAGGACGGAACTTGAGGAGAAACTTCAGGTGGTCTTGAAGAAGCTTCTGGAGGCCGATGATGGGAAGAAACAGACCGAAAAGGAGCTTAGAGTCAAGGAGTTGATCTCTACTCTCAAGCGCATTTTCCCAGGTGTCAAGGGCCGCGTCAGCGACCTCTGCAAACCGAAGCAGAAAAAATACGCCGATGCTGTTGCCACCGTTCTTGGTCGTCACTTTGACGCTATTGTTGTGGACAATGAAAAGACAGCTAAAGAGTGTATCCAACATCTGCGTGACCAGAGAGCAGGCCAGGCGACTTTCATTCCTCTGGAAACCATTCAAGTGAAAGCCTTCAACTCGAATCTTAAAGGAATGCACCGTGCAATGCGACCAGCGATTGAGACAGTGGATTACGATGACTCTGTCGCTAGAGCGATTAGCTACGCCTGTGGGAACGCCATCGTGTGCGATGACTTGGCAACGGCCAAGTATCTGTGCTATGAAAGGAATGTTGACGCCAGAGCCGTAACTCTCGACGGGACCATCATTCACAAGGGAGGTTTAATGACGGGTGGTCGCGGGCCCCAGCAACAGCACTCAAAGCGCTGGGAAGATTCGGAGGTGGAAAACCTCTACAAGCTTAAGGACAAGCTCATGGCCGATCTTGCCAGCCTGCCCAAGGGGCACCGGAGAGGTACAGAAGAGGAGGCCCTGCAGGGCGAGCTTGTTGGTCTTGAACAGCGTCTGGCTTATACCAAAGAGGAGCTGAAGGCGCTTGAAAGGAATCTTCAAAGCAAGAAGAGCGAGCTTGATTTCACCAAGCGTCAGCTGGAAGATCTGAGGCCGAAGTATACCGAGAAGCAAGAGACTTTGGAAGAGCTCGACCAGACGATCGCCACATCCCAAGAGTCCGTCAGTAGTGTTGAGGACGAGATTTATCGCAAGTTCTGCAAGCGTCTTGGATACAGCAATATCCGCGAGTACGAGATCCAACAAGGCTCACTGCACGAAGAAGCATCCCAAAAGAAGCTGGAATTCACCACACAGAAAAGCAGGATTGAGAACCAGCTTAGCTTCGAAAAGCAGCGGCTGACCGCTACGATTGATCGGATATCAGGTCTCGAGGCTCAGCACCAACGTGATGTCAACATGATTGAAGAGCTCCAGGCGGAACAGGAACGCATCCGGAACCAGTTGGATGAGTTCAACGCCGAGCTTGATATCCTTCGCGAGCGTTTGGAGGAGCAGAAGGAAGCATATGCCCAATCTGCTGAGAACCTTGCCCAACATCGCCGAGAACTCCAAAAGCGGAGCCGAGAAGTGGAAGGTGTCTTGAAGAGTATCAACGCTTTGGAAGCAGAGATCCAACGCAATTCGGCCAGTCGATATGCTCTTCTCCGCCGTTGCAAGCTTGAGGACATTGATCTTCCGCTGACCGAAGACTCTAATCCATTGGATCAGCTTCCTATCGATGATCTTGTTCAGGCAGCTGACCCCGATGCGATGGACGTGGACGAGGATGGCGCTGGTGGTACTGGTGCCGTTCAGGACTATGGCATTGAGGTCGACTTTGACTCCTTGGGGGAGACCCTTAAAGAGGTGAGTAGCCAAGGCCATCTTCAATTAAATGTATGCTGACTTCTGTAGGAATCGGATGAAAAGGTTGAAGAGGAACTACTCGACAAAGTTCGCTCTCTCAACAATGATCTCGATAAGATGGCACCGAACACGCGCGCAATGGAGCGATTAGAGAGCGTAGAGAACAAACTTCGGGCTACGGAGAAGGACTTCGAAAATGCTCGCAAACACGCCCGCAAGACTAAGGAAGATTTTGAGGAAGTGATGCAGAAACGCTCTGATCTGTTCAACAAAGCTTTCTCTCATATCTCCGAGCAAATCGGCCCCATCTATCGTGAATTGACGAAGAGCCCTGGCTACCCCATGGGCGGCCAAGCGTAAGCCCTGCTGACCCATGCACCAAATGTCTGGATGCTAATGCAATAACAGCTACTTGGATATTGAGGATTCAGATGAGCCATACCTCGACGGCATTAAATACCACGCCATGCCCCCATTGAAACGATTCCGAGATATGGAGCACCTCTCTGGTGGTGAGAAGACAATGGCGGCTTTGGCATTGTTGTTCGCTATCCATTCCTACCAGCCATCGCCGTTCTTCGTTCTCGACGAGGTCGATGCTGCGCTTGACAACACCAACGTTGCTCGGATTGCCAACTACATCCACGACCACGCTGCCCCCGGTATGCAGTTCATTGTCATCAGTTTGAAGACGGGACTCTTCCAGAACAGCGAGGCTCTGGTAGGTATTTACCGAGACCAGAACGAAAACAGCAGCAAATCTTTGACACTGGATGTAAGTATACACCTCTACCACTTTGTACGATTGATAGGCATTGACTGACATATTCTTACCAGCTTCGGAAATACAATTAATTCAGCGGCTGGATGGGGTTGTGCGCATGAGATACCAAGATAGCTTTAACTTCTGGGATTTGTAGAATATTTTATTGGTTTCTCTATGTTCTTTTCATTTTCATGATTTATAGCTCGATGGGGTATGATACGGCAAGGCAATCGAACTGCGTCTGAGATTTAATGGTGCCTGAATAAAGTAGGATAGTGCCGGGGTGTTCTAGATGTAGTTTCCTGGGAGAAGGTCGAGGTTGCAGTGGTCTATGCCCGACTTACCTGCCTATTCAGTCCAGTAGAAGCATGTTCAGAGGCGGAATGGTCTCCAGAATGTCTCCTGTCAACAGGCACGCTATATGTTGTTGCTGAAGGTTGTGATCGACGCTTACTACTATGTCCACACCTAAGGGGACCTGTGTTATATGTCGACTCATCGTATGTAAAATATATATAAACGGTCCGCGACCCTCTACACCGTGAAGATAGGAATCCGAAGAAGAAGTGTCTACAATGTCAGTGTCGTACAGAAGAAGAAACTAGCGAAAACAAGATATCAAAGCGTCTCTAGTGGCGCAATGGTGTACCACTACCAGATAGTTTTAACCTTGCGCTCTGGGCCACCCCGGATACACCAAATGTGTCTGATACATATACGGCGGCGAGCTTGTGTATGTCCCACCCAATGCATCAGGGAGACGCGTTGGTGGCGCGGAGATAAGCCACCACAACGCGTCGGCCAAAGGTAAATCTGGCGGGTAAGAAGCCTGGGTGCTGCCTGTGACTTGCGGGAGTATCAATAGACTTTGGCATGGAAGCCTATCTATCTACTGATAGACAGGGGCGGAGGATCCGAGCACATCATCAGAAAGGCTATGGTGGTAGTAGTGTGTTATTGGTGCGCATGCTTCGTCGCCTCCACGGCAGATAAGTGTCGGCGTTTCCCACTCGCCTTGGATCCCAAGGGTGAATTCAGGTTGCCTTCGTAGGCGGCCTGGGAGTATTTTCGTAGCAATCTGTTCTCACACAAAAAAGGGATCAGTGCACGTTCGGGATTTGGATTGAGGAACATAGTTAGAGTTCAGTTTTCGAAGGCACTGGAGAAGCAAAGGCTCTGCGGACACGGAGGCTCCAAGTGGAGAAAGGCGTCTTAATTTCCATGTTAGTTAGCTGTTGTATATCCTTGCGACGATGACTGAAGTGGAAACAATGAGACCAATGGAACATTCGATTCCTGTGCAGAAGAGCCACATGGCCATGGTCTCAAGCTTAGTGCATCCCACAGCCGAAAGGCCTCGTCAACAGAGGCAGATAGGAGTTTGAAACGTCAGGAGTGGATGGCGTTGGATTGTGACTAGCATGGGGCGCATCCCATTGCCAGGCAGAAAGATCTTCTTCAACACAGCCCTACTCCGTAAAACAACACAATAAGTGGAGATCTAGATGGGGTCGAAGTTAGATTAAGAGTGAGTATCGCAGAGCGGAATGGCGTCCTCAGCCGGGCCCTTCAAAACTGAAAGTCAACATTGTCACTTTCACGATGCATCGATTTTCCTGACACCCGGCCCTTCCTTGCAGGTTTTCTTTCCGTGGCTCATTCAACGCGACACGGTCGCCTATCACTACGTCAACTAGAGCCGGAAAAGACCGAAGCTGTCGGGGTATTTGCGTAAGTGCATCAATATCGGCAAGTGTGAAACCAATAGTGCAAGTATTGTGACATAAAATAAATCACCGACCCATGGGAGTGGCAATCCCGCCCGACACCCGACCAGATGGTGCCCGTCGGAACTTGGCGGACTGTGGGTTGGGCCCGGTCCTCCATCGATCGATGACTCTAGATGTCAGGAGTTTATGGATCGAATGGTCGGTGTGGAGAGGACCATTGATCTGCACTGACGGGAGCGATATCTCATAAATCCACGGACCAATGAACTGGCACAGACACGCAGAGATCCTTCAGGTATTCGAGGCCCAATTGATTCATCCATTTCTCGAAAGTGCTCAGGCACCGTGTCATGGCTAGGATCCCTACTGATGGGGTGCTTTTTCATATGTTACGCTCTCCTTCCGATAGTTTGGTGCCTGGAGTTTCGAGTATGGAGATGCATCGATCGTGACCACCGAGCCTTACCCCGTACTCCGTAGATAGCAAGTGCTAAGCGGCTCTCAGCGATGGACTGAGTATGGCCATAAGTGACACAAATCCTCTCGTGATAATACCTCGTACACTGCTCTTGACAGGCATCATTCAGATCCTAGTTCAAAAGTCTGCATGCGGGTCTTCCCGGGCGAAGGCCAACTTGACATAACCGCGGACTTAGCATCAAGTACGTACGTGGCGACTTTGCTGACGAGAGTTGGTTCATCGAGAGGGAACAGAGAGTGATCTCAAGGAAAGCCGATAGGAAAAAGAAGACGCCAGTCCACTTTCCCCGCAAAGAAGCGAGGGGGCATGGTCGGGCGTCTTCTTGCATGCTGGGTCGTGTTTCTTATTGGTCTCTGTCCCTGCAAAGCCAGGTATCTGGCGAAGGTGGCGTTGAATGGCTGACTGACTGCTCGCGATGCTATCTGTCGCCTGCCGTCCGGGATCAAGCCCGATCCAGATAGTTAGGTGGCTATCATATACGGTAGCCCGGAGGTCCGTGTCCTGTCCATGTCATACAGCATTGGATCCTCTTTGCTTTTGCCGGCACCTTCCCGCATTTGTTAACCATCGACGCATTTTTCGCTGGGTATAATTCCCGTTGTTGCACATCGACGAGAACGAAGCCCAATGGTGATCATTGGAGAAGTTATCCGAGTTGACAAACAAAGCCCTGGAACCTCTAGTGAACCTGAGAGGCAGTCCAGAACAAGAACAACCGTGGTGGAGATTAGACAGCGTTTACCATGACAGCCGCGTAACCTAGCTTACTGCGGGGTGGGCCTGTGATTCGACAGGGAAATCCAGGATAGGGCCCCCCTATAGTTCTTGTCAACGCCCGGACTCTCCGGGCAGGGTATCCATGGAGCTGTCTGCGTTCCAGCTGAACTTTAATCTCTTGAAACGATCCCGGGCATTCTTGACGCAGGATCTGCCCTGACCAGCGGTCTGGACTAGTCCATGGCGCTAGAAAACCATTGGATGTTCGCTTCGGTTGATTTGGCAAAGGGAATCGATCCCACTGGTGGAGAAGTCATCCTGAACGCAGCGGCGTTTGCATCCCCTTAGCTGGTCTCCTTATGATCCGATGACTGGCTGAAAGATCCAGACCGTTACCCTAGCGAACCGTGTGGAGAGGCTAGAAACAGTCTGTGCTGGACTATCCCCAAGCCCCAACGGATGTTCCGTGTGACACTTGACACCCCAGTGGGATCTTAGCACACTGGAATCGGAGCGGTCTTGTATTATTGATCGTCCGGATTTTTACCGATGTGGAACGGCAAGTCAGAGTTTGCTTGATAGACAGGCCTTGAGCTGAGTGGGAATTGCCACTGATTACCTTTCCCTTGGGAAAGGAACTAGTGAGAAGGCCAAGGAGCAATTGCATGCATGACTTAAGAGAGGCAAAGGTCTCAACGCTATGTTGACACAGAGATTGAGTAGAGTTGGAACAAGATTTGACGTGATACTTGTGACACCTAGGATTGGCTCCATGCTGTACCATCAGAGTCCTCAGGATGTCACCCGATGTTTATGGAGACCGACGTATTGTGGTTTTCATTTGGCGTTGCCTTGGTGTGAGGATGGCTCCGTCGCAGTTGATCTCCACTCCCCGGAGCTTGGGATGGGACCCGGATTCTGTAGATCAGTTAGTGAAACTCGGGGTTGTAAATCGCACCTCGATCGAAGATTCGAGGTTCAATTTTTCGTGCCATGGTCCACAAGAGGAGCAGGGTTCCTTGGGAAGCCGGAATAAGAAAAGACGAGAAAATGCAGGCAAAACGCCATACACGCACGAAGATGGAGACATTCGATTCCTGATGGACCCCAGGCAATCTATCCCTCTATGTATGCATTTGTTTTCCTTGCATTAGTCTGTCAAATCTTCGCAGCCACCAATTGTGTTGGATTCGCGTGCTATGCCGTTGATCAGGATCTCGGGACCCGTACTTTTGCCTCTTAGTCGCAGGCTGGATAAACCAATAGACGTATTTATATTTTGGTTTTTGACGTATGGTGTTTAGGTTTTCAGGAGCCACTCCAAATATTCGCGTGGCTCTGAAGTGAAACCCGGTGCACCTCGAAGATTCTTAAGGGACGGATGTTCCTCTAGTCTGCAGACACATGCAGTGAAGTGGCCTTCCAACACCGAAGCCGGAGAAAAAAAGGGAGCTCTTCTTTCAGCCTTACCTTTTGGGAGTGACCATATCAGTGTGCGGGCTCTGACGAGTCTCACCAAGTGCAAGATGGAAACGATAGGTCAGCCTGTCACGGCAAAGGATGAGGAGCGGCCGCCCATGTTGCCGTACTCTGATGTGACTGCCCGACCGAAGATGACGGTATGAGATGGTGTCGCAAAAAACGTCCCAGTCGTGATTATTAAGACGCTTTATAGGAACTCCCATGCACTCAGCCGATGTCATTTAACTTTCCGTTCGCGCACTTCGCGTTGATGTATATCAACCGCCATGGGGAACTCCAGGTGGAAGCCTCACCCTCGATCGCGGGGTATGAGAAGGGAATCTTTACAGAGGATGTAAGAGAAAAGTTCCTCAAGTCCGCAACGGTTGGATGGCAGCCAAATATGCAGTCTGGTGAGTGAGGCTGGTCCCTCGACGGTGTGGTTGGAAGAGATCCGAAGCTGAGAGAATGTACGGCAGGCACAGTTGGTCACATGGACAACGACATCACGGGAAAGCAACAAGCCTTTCTGGCGAATCCCACGGCCCAGATCGGCTTACAACAATCGTCGGGCAGCTGGTATCAACCACAGTCTGGACTCATTCCTTGCGAGTGGCAATCGTTTCAGAACAAGCGTCACCGTCGCAACATGAGACGGGTGGGCTCTGCGTACGGCCAAGATTCGGATTCGATCTCACCCACACCTTCACTCCGGTGGTCTGCGCTTCGAGTTGGAAATCAGGAGCTTTTGCGAACTTATTATGACAAAGCGTTCGAGAATTTCCAGCAGCTGAACTGTCGAGCGATTGCAAAAGCCTTTGTCAAGCTGGTGGAACCCCGAAAGCAAGTCAACCACCCGTACAATGGCCGGAAGACAACGGGAGGATCATCGCAGCGGGTCGACCCTGAGTTGACAAAGCCCAAATGGTGGCCAGCAGGAGTCACTCACCGGGAGCCGGACCATCTTCTAAAAGCAGGTATGGCGACCCACGCTATCCCCACGAGGTGTGTGACGAGGTTCTTGACTGACACTTTCCTGCACAATGTAGATCGCATCCGACTGCTTGTCCATATACTTTGCGAGTTGAAGGAGTCCCATGGAATTACGGCGGCCAAGTTGAGGGAAGCAGGCCAAGATGTACGACGACAGATAGTACCGGCAGAGCGCTCACAGGTCCTCGACGAGATTTACTACGTTCGAGAGATGGAGGAAATGTATCTCGACGGGAAGATCAGTATGTTCCCAGCAAGCCACATTGTTTTATGAACTTGGGGGCTAACATCCGGTACCAGGTGGAGATACCGTCATCCATGTGTCCCATGTCCACATGGGAGAAGCGTGTGTTGCATCTGAGCTGCAGGCGCAGGTAACTGATTCCAGCTTCTGTGACCCGTCTCTCGCGACGAGCTCGATGAAGAGGAACGTGTCTAATATTGTGGACAACCAGTACCACGGAATTGGCCATGAAGCGCCTCAGTCATCTTTTGAGGGAGGACATGCCACCATGGCAAATTATCAGACAAAACAATCGAACGCGCAAGACACTCACCCTCCTTTGTCTCCGGCATCCTCTCCTTCGATCAGCCGAAAGAGTTCGTTGGAGAGCAGTCTTACAACCTATTCAGATGATATACATCCGGGCGTGTTGGCTCCCAGCGACCAGAACCGTGGTCTCTGCGAACCTAAAGACGTCAATCCCGGGGGAGTTTCATGTTTGCCGGAATACTTCACGCAGCACATGGCGACTCAGACAACAACACAGCACCATAATGCGGGGTTCTGGAATCCTCTGCCTCATGCGCATCAACCTTTAGCCTTCCCGGGCTACTGAGTTGTGATCTATAGCGGACTGCCTTTGTTTGATTTTTTTCATACATATTACGGGGGAGTTATGGCGATGAATTTCACTGGGACCATGTATGCATTAAGTGGGCTCTAAGGGGACTCTGGGATTGGTATTCTGTAATAATAAGATATACATAGATCACTAGACCTGAACATGATCATACTTATCATCCACCATCAATCTAAGATCTCCTGTCGGTAGTACTACTAGTAGTATGGAACGCCAAGCACACCCGCGTCGATCCCCGACGTCTGGACCCGTGGATTCCACCTGGGCCAACCAGGAGCTCCCGCCCACGCACACGCCGTTCTTCACTCTTCCAACTTGTCCTTCCTCTCCTTCACAACCATCTCTGTGCCCATCGTGGATCCCCGCACGTTATCGCCTGTGGTTACTTCTCGCCGTTGGTTTCGTTTGATTCTCGAGTCAGGCGCCGTGGACTCTGAACGCGACTGGCGCATCTAGTGTCCGGATCCGAACTTTGGTCCCGATCAAGGAGGGTAGTAGGTATGTACCACGCAGGAGGAGGAGTGTTCGTGGGTCATGGCTCGATGATACTCTGACGGTATATATCGAGTCACCCGAGCCTATCTTTTTTCTTTTCTTCTTCTTGCCCTCATGCCACCACCTGTCTCGAGAGGCTCGTCTCTACCCCCCCGGACCGAGGGAGCACACTTTAACCATGGCGATACTAATGTTCGGCCGTTTTCTTAGTCGATCCTTGCCTCATCACCGCGACGGCCCTACGATCTTCTCTTTCCAGCAGAAACTCATCATGGAGGGTGGTGGTCCGTCTTCTACTGCGGGCGCCTCACCGGTGCTGGAACCTGTTGTCAACGATGAACTCTCCGATGCCGAAGATCTCGCGGCGGACAACTTCTATTCTCCGCCTGCAACACCCGGACTATCGCGAACCCCTTCCTTTTCATACCAGGATGACTGGGATACGTTTCCCTCCCTGGACCATTTTACCGTCTTCGACCTGCTCGACAACCTCGCCCTGTCCCAAAGACTCGAGAAGCTTCAGCGAACTATAAACCTCCAGAAAGATAAGGTTAAACAACAGCGTGAGAAGCTCAAGTCGAGCTCGGTGAATGCCAAGAATCGCGTCGTCGGAGAATGGAAGAAACGCGTCCCGACTGCCGACGAACAACTCGACAAGTACCGCCGTCGCATGAAACATGGGGTTGAGCGCCTGGGGAAGCAGTGGAACGCGACTGCGACGGTGACCTTGCGCGAGAAGATATCCTTCATAGCCGGCGTTTTGAACATATTCGTCAGTGGCTACCTCATCGGAGGCCATCCGGAATACTTCTATATCTGGTTCAGTGTACAGCTTCTATACTTCATGCCGATTCGGTATTACAGGTACCACAAGAAGGGCTACCATTATTTCCTTGCGGATCTATGCTACTTTGTCAACATGCTCTGCATGTTGAGCATTTGGGTCTTCCCGCAATCTGCACGGCTGTTTATCAGCACGTTCTGCCTCACATTTGGCAATAACGCCGTGGCGATTGCTATGTGGAGGAATTCCATGGTCTTCCATAGCATGGACAAGGTCGTTAGGTAAGGCTTCAGCCATCGATTGAATAGGTTGCATTGATTTCGCTAACGCATATGGCAGTTTGTTCATCCATATCATGCCCCCGGCCACTCTGCACTGCTTGGTGCATTTGACCTCCGCTGAGATCTTGAAAGAGAGGTTCCCGGCCATCTACGCCATCAAGTTCAGTGAGCCAGGCTCGCCGAACCATTTCTCGCTTCTGGCTATGATGGGTTGGGCGACTTTGCCGTATGTGATCTGGCAATCAGCCTACCATTGTTTTATTACAGTGCGTCGGGCCGAAAAGATTGCCGCGGGCCGCCCGACCAGTTTCACCTGGCTTCGCAAATCCTATGCAAAGACCTGGATCGGGAAACTCGTGCTGAACCTGCCAGAATCTTTACAGTCTCCGGCCTTCATGGTAATTCAATATCTCTATGCACTCTTGACGATGATTCCGTGCCCGCTCTGGTTCTGGTCTCGCTGGGCAAGTGGGCTGTTCCTGACGGCACTTTTCATCCTGAGCATCCACAACGGTGCCACCTACTACATCGATATCTTCGGTAACCGTTTCCAGAAGGAACTGGAAGAGCTGAAGCGAGATGTTGCGCGGTGGCAATCGTCACCCGAGGGCTCCATGAGCCCGACAACCCTGGGGGGATCGGATAGTGCTGCTGCGGTGGGGGCTCAAGTCTTGGATGACTCGGCGGGTACTTCTAAAAATAATGGCGGATCTGACCAGGCCAGTCTGGACCGAATTCCGCCACTTGATTCTGAAGCCGCCACGACTGGTGCACAGGATGCCAACAACCGCTCAGAGCCTGCAGTGTTGCGGGAGAGGAGATGATTTCTCATTTCTTCTTTACGTGGGTCGCTTTCACCGTTTTATGCAAAGATCCTTGGTGCCTGGTCCCAACTTGGACCATTCTTTCTCTTATTTTAATCGTCTTTGGACCTGAATCATGATACCCAACTGTATAGTCGATCGTTATTGTTTGAGATAAGCTGGTTTAGATATCGTTTTGTGCTATACCTAGGTAGACGACTCTGTGAAGCTGAGGAGTTGGTATTTACATAGTAGTGCTCACATTATGGGTTATATGCTTGCTTGTGACTGTCTTAGATATGAACACTACCGTATTTGTATGCATTCTTTCGTGCATCAAAGATTCATTATGATGTCTTCCTAACTAGTCTACTTTCTACCTATGTTAGTGGCACATGTTGACCGGAAAAGCTTAGCTAAGTCCGGCGGCGAATCAAGCCGTAATCCCCGAATGCCGAGTCACGTGCCGAGCCATATTCCTCATTCCTCCTCGCAAGCCTCGGAGGGCGACATCAGCCCCATCAACATCGCTCCGGATTACTGACGCCCAACTTCTTTGATTCCCATTGTCTTTCGCCAGAATCTATCTCGAATTTTCTCTCTCTCGCGTGTCGAATTGTTGTGTGCGCCTGTTCCGTTCGCTCGTTATCCCGAGCACCCTTCCATCCGTCATATTGCGCCATGTCCGTCACTATGAGATCGGCCAGCCTTATGCGCGGCAATTCTGTGTTGCGTCCGGGTTTAATTGGTAAGATACTCTTGCAGTGTTGCATTGATAGATGTTGCTAATAGTCCGAAATCAGCCCGGCCTCGTTTTCCCGGCGCGCTGGGCGCAGCCTCGACCGCAAGCCTCCGGTTCAACGGCAGGGGTCTTCCTTCTCACGTACAAGCCATCGCCCTCTTGGTATCTCATCAACGCGGATATGCGACGGAGCAATCAACGTCCCACTCGAATCCTTCGGACCTCCCTCCTCCTGGGTTCAATGCCGAACAGGCCAAGAAGCCCATCCCCTCAAACACAGAGCAGTCGACAGACCGGAACCAGCAGCTTGATCGTCGGCCGGACCAATCAGTCGCTTCAAAGGCAGATGGCAAATCGACGCCAGATACCGCCGTTTCCAAGGCTTCGGAAGAAAACAAAAAGGTGACTGAAGAGAAGAAGGAGCAGAAGAAGTTGACCATTGGTCAAAAGATCAAGAAGGAGGCCCAGCACTACTGGGATGGTACGAAGCTTCTTGCTACAGAGGTCCGGATCAGCTCCAGGCTAGCCCTGAAGATGGCTGCAGGCTATGAACTCAGTCGGAGAGAGCATCGCCAGGTAAGTCGACACACTTTGTGCCGGACCCTGGTCGTCTGTAGTGCTAATTACTCGTTCGTGTAGCTTCAAAGAACGGTGAAGGACCTCGGGCGTTTAGTTCCTTTCTCGATGTTCATCATCATTCCTTTCGCTGAATTGCTTCTTCCTGTTGCCTTGAAGCTCTTCCCCAATCTCCTTCCTAGCACCTACGAGGGCCAGAACGCTCGCGAGAAGAAGGCGCTGAACTTGAGCTCCACCCGCAAGGAGGTTTCCACTTTCTTGAAGGACACCCTCCGGGAGAGCGGTCTGCCTGTGACGGCAGCCACTGTCAAGAACGAGGAGTTTGCCGAGTTCTTCAAGAAGATTCGGACTACCGGCGAGACCCCGTCCACCGAGGATGTCATCAAAGTCTGCAAGATCTTCAAGGATGACCTGACTCTGGACAACCTTTCCCGCCCGCAGCTGGTTGGTATCTGCAAATACATGAACCTCAACTCGTTCGGCACGGACGCCATGCTCCGGTACAACATTCGGCACCGGATGCGCCAGATCAAGCGCGACGACCGCGCCATCTTCTACGAGGGAGTTTCGTCCCTTTCGGTGCCGGAACTGCAGATGGCCTGCGCCTCTCGTGGTATTCGCACACACGGAGTTTCTCCCGCCCGTCTGCGCGAGGATCTTTCCATGTGGCTGGACCTTCGTCTCAAACAGGGTGTCCCGTCTACTCTCCTCGTCCTGAGCAATGCCTACGTCTACGCCCAGGGCGGCAAGGAGGCCGAAATGTCTTCTCAGATCGAATCGCTGCAGGCGGTGCTGTCTAGTATCCCCGAGGAGTTGTTCCACGAGATCGAACTGGAGGTGCACAACGCCGAGGGTGCGGCCACCAACAAGCAGCGTCTCGAGGTCATCAAGGAGCAGCAAGAGCTCATTGAGGAGGAGAACAGCGAGAACGAGGAGAAGGGCGTTGCGGCCCCCAAGGACATTGAAGACATTGATGAGAAGGAAGACGTCAAATTCGAGGCGAGCCAGTCGGGCGAGGCCGCTGAAGCCATCCGTGAAGGCGAGCAGGCCGAGCAGCAGTCTAAGGATACGGCTGCCACCGACAAGAAGAACACCTCTGCTTAAGGTGTCTGCTGTTCCGTCTTCTCTCGACTTTCTTTACCTACACCCATTCCCACTCTTCTTCTTTTCATGTGTTAGTGTTGATATGATAGACTTCTTTTTTTTTTTCGACCATTTTGGTTGGCGACATCAGTCTTTCCCTATTCTTTTTGTTTTATATTCCATGAACCAAATAATTTTGTGATGTACGGCCGCATAGAACGTTGGAATTGATCGGGGTAAATCCGATGTGCTAGGATGGCTGGATGGATGACAGCGGGTGTTTGCAGATACATAAAATGTAGATAAGGACAGAATGATATACTGCTGATTGATGTATTGAGTCATGCCTGGATATGTACAATATGTACATGATCCGAAATTCGATACTACCTGACATTCCTCAGCCGTGGCTGCACCTCCGCTTCTTAACCTCGGCAATCCACTGCGACCACCAGCGTCTCCAACAACAGACCGAACCATCCCATCGTCTCCAAGCGGTAAATAAGAACGAAGACCATCGATCTCTGGCCATGCGGAGTCGAGGCCTCCTTCGGTTAATCGTGAACAGTCGCAACTTCAGCTCTCACCGTCCGAAAATGCCACGTCTGAACGCTACGTCGGAGGTATGTTTGCAGCGCCTTATATATCCAACCCCGCATACGCTGTCTATCTATGAGGCTTAGATTATGCATCTGGCTGCATATTGTTGTCATAATTTCCTAGCTTGACCTGGGAGTTGGGTGGACAAATCCTTGATTTTTGCCTGCTCGTCAGTATCCATGGGGATGACGTACGCGGCTAACATCCACCTGCAACTAGAAAGCAATTGAGCGCTTGAGAGCGTTCCAGCCTCCACCAACAAGCTACAACCTCGTCCCCTTATCGCGACGCGCCGCAGTCCTGGTCCTGCTGTACGCTGATTTAAATGGAGATCTCCGCGTCGTGCTCACTATTCGCGCAAAGACTCTGAGTTCATGTACGCCTCTCGCTCCCCTGACTCCATCCTACCAGCTAACAATATAAATAGATGCCGGCCAAGCAGCCTTACCAGGGGGTACGCTGTCAAACCACCAAATCCCCATCCATACAGATAACCCAGAAACTAACCCCACCACAGGCCGTGCCGACACCCTAGAAGAAACCCCCTTCCAGACAGCCCGCCGCGAGGCCCACGAGGAAATCGGCCTCCCCGACATCCACCACCAGCTGCCCGCGCCCTTCCACGTCGAGCACCTCTGCGAGCTGCCGGCGAGTCTCGCGCGGACAGAGCTCGTCGTGCGCCCCTGCGTGGCCCTGCTGCACTCCTACGACGAGAAGACGGGCCAGAACGCCGACCCGGAAGTCTCGCTGATCCCGCGGCTGGACGCCCGCGAGGTCGCCGCCGTGTTTACAGCGCCGTTCCGGAATTTCCTGCGCCTCCGCGATGAAAGCGATGACGGTAGCGGGAACCCGGGGGATTGGTATCAGGGGGCATGGACGGAGTGGCACCAGTCGAATTGGCGGAGTAAGTCGAGCATTTTCAACGAACATGTCCCTCTGTTTGTTGGTTTTAGTGAGGGGGGTACTGACGGAAAACAGTGCATCAGTTCTTTGTCCCGATCCGCCCGCAGTCGGTAGTGAAGCCGCGCAGCTCGAGTCAGCGGCAGAAGGAGGCCGTCAGCGAGCTCGAGGAGAAGGAAAAGTCCGGCGAGGTCACGCGGTATCGGGTGTTTGGGATGACGGCGCGGATGCTGGTGGATGTTGCGCGCGTGGCGTACGCCGAGGAGCCGGAGTTTGAGCATAATAGCCACTTTGGCGATGAGAAGCTCATTGCGCAGCTGCGGAAGATGGGACGGTTGAGTCCGATCCGGAGGAAGGATGATATGCTTACGCGGGAGGATTTGTTGAGGGCGGCTAAGTTGAGTTAGAGTAGAGTCTGGATTGGATGTGTTGGCGTGTGATACCCAGAGAGGATGTGGTTGGTTAGAAATACACTGGTATTCTTAAGAGTTGATTATCGAAGAATCAATAGTCAGACACTACTAAATTAGACGTCACTGCAAGCGCCCTATCGAAGATGATTGCTGATCGGTCAAGTGTCTTAGCTCGTTGGCACGCATGAGAGTAGAGGCTGCAGTGTCTCATCTACTTGCTGAAGTCTCGCGAGTCCAACGGCAGGGCTTCCATTGCATTCTCCCATGTGATCATCCATTCAATCTAGGATCCAGGTGGGCGTGAAATTACTGAAAGACAATACGGCCGATTTCGTTTGCCTGTGCATCTCAGACATGCTCCTTGCGGCTCGCTTGTAAACGAACTGGTCCGAATGCAAGGATTGCGCCTGGAGGCAACCATTGTGGTAAAAGCAATCCTATCCGAAGAGTCCGGTGGGAGGGGACTCCAACAGACAAGAAGTTATCGAAGGAGACGGTATCGAATGCTTTGTAGCTACGTCGATCAAAAAACAACGGAAGAAGAGATCATGTGTTAAAAATTTTATCGGACGAGATCATTCATGGCTGTGTTTGTAATATCCCCGCTGTCAGGCGATGGAAAGGTCCTGATATATCCACGCGTTACCGCTCCACGGTCATCTACCAGATCTGAACCTGTGTAACCAACCTCGCTTCGTCTTCGGTTGCATTTCGCTTTCCAGAGACCCCATGGGCTTGAAGCTGTTGTAGTCTTCTGGTATAGGGCGGTTTAAATGTATGCGGTGCGGTCTTTTGGTAGAGCTTGTAGATGGCATGATCCAGCTTGGTCCGTAATGTTGTTCGTGCTGAACGTGGTCCCGATGTTGCCGGCCTTCTATGTTATCAATTACAAGTGTGGTTCATATTGCACTGGATTCCCCTGGGATATAAGGAGAGTAAGCGAGGTCTTTGTGTTTATTTGGCGAGTGCCGACAGGCAAAGGTTTGTTCGCCACGTGTGCCACATGGTGTCTCTTGTGGGTGATCATACCACTTGACGGAGAGGTAACCAATTCCTCATAACCATACTGTACAGTGACATGGCCTACTATGTAATCGATCTGGACCAAAGTGTCATTCTCAAGCAGATCGCTGCGCAAGTGGGGAGGACCTGTGGACCGCCCTTGGAATACGCCCGACAAACAACATCGTGCAGTCTGCAGTTCGTCCCCTCAGGCCTAAGCGATGGCCAAGGATTTACTCACATTCCCGTATTAGGGATACATTCTTGGATTCTTTGTTGAAATCCGGCACTAGACCAGACTGGCGGGTCCGCTAGCAACTCTATTTTTCGGCTCTGGTATGCGTGTCGACGCCATATAGGCTACGGTTAGCAGGCCCTCAGCTAAGAACTCCACTGGCGGCCTCATGGCGTTGCTCTCTCTTTGTCCTTGTGTATCACGTTCCCGATTCCATCTAGGTCCTTCCTACTCGGGAGCATGGTCCGGCGCATGGCGTTTCCGCTGTGGCTGGGAATGGGCGCCTCATCCCGGCTTTTGCCCTATACGGTTAGGGAGTGGGTGGAGTTGGTTGCCCGGGTTCTGGGTTGTGTTCTTCGGAGCGGACGGGGAGATGAAGAAAGAATGACGAGCGGTATGGGAAGTGCTCGGACTGTGAGTGGGAATCGAGGCGGGCCACGGGAGATCGCTGGAGGACGACAAGACTCAGGCTAAGATTAGGGAGGAGTGTTATCACGCTTCATGGCTGATGGGCGTCATGCAGCCTCCCGATTGACTAGTAGTTGCAGAGACATCGATAGAAGATGGTTGAGGATGGGATCGTCGTCGGTTGGGAGAGGCCCCTATCTACTACTAACCTACTGCCTAGACTAGAACCGGCTAGCGGATTGCCCGAGGATGGATCGTGCATCTTTGACGCTACCGGCGACTCCACCGACTATCAATAATGGGCGGCGCGACCATGGCAGACAAGACCTGTCAGGCTGGGACCCGGGTGGGTGGTGGCCATGCGGTATTCCCGTCGCTGGGACTATCCGCAGTTACGCAGGCGTGGTCTGTATGTCGGTCCCGCGCATTGTACGGAGTATACAGATAATGGAATGAAGCAATTGTCGGTACCAGAGGGATGGTACTATGGCACTTGGAACCATGGTACTCGAGGCGAGACCCGTGCAGTTGGTCTCGTTGCAAAGCTGACCAGCTCAGTAGCTAGCAAGAGTCAGGCTATGGCTATAGGTAGTGTCCTGAGAGGAAGCTTGGATGGGAATTAGGGTGGAATGTTGGTCGATCAGCGTTCACCGCAAAAAAGCCCAATGTGATAGATCACTGGACCCTGAATGTCATAAGCGAGGTGGATGGAATGTGAGGTGGGTTGGCCACGCCGACTGCCACATACCAATGGGGGAGATTAATTAGCGGTAGAAGATTAGGCAGAGCCGAATGAGGAGTTCCCTTCTCCGTACTGATCCGGGGAGGTTCTTTGTTGTTGTTGTCGTCGTTTTGTTGTTGTTGCGTTGGAGTAAGAACCGAACTAAGGCAGACGGCCTGTACGACATGACGATGCGTTCGTCTCGCTGATCGGATCGCCCTTGATGAACACACTCTGACGGTTTCCATGATTTGCTGGGTTTGAGCCGAATAGTCGACAGGTGATTGCGATAGTCTCGCTTGGGCAGTGCAACCAACCTAACCCTTTGCCTGTATCCCTTGCATGCCCCTGTCGTCGTCCATGAGGCTTCTCAGGTATGTAAGATGGATTCGACTCGGTCCGGATGGGGATGACCATCGACGATCCTGCAGGCGAAGACCGACACTAGTCACTCACGCTCTGATCGATCGTATTTTCTTTTCTTTTTCGGCGGTTCTTCTACGTCAATCAAGGGGGGAGTGGGAGTTGGACGGGAGCGTGCTCGTTTGCCTCCATCCATATCCCTTCTTCAACTATATCTATCATCCTTCCATGCGGCCTTTGTGCCCTCGTTGAGTTCGACGTCGTCTTTTCTTTCTTCTTTCCTTTTAGTCTACCCCTCTCGGTGCTATTCTTATCTTCGTTTCTTCTCGTTCTTGTTTCATTCCGTTCTACATGCTCCGGGTTTCTTTGTTGGCCTCCATATTCTTCTGCAGCCGGACTAGGGCTTTGAGCAACATCGGCCTGGAGAAAGTCGGATGATCCTGGTCCAAAAAGAAGAAAATAAAATAAAAAAAAGAGTGAATGAGAAAAAATGAAAAAAGGAAATTAGCTCACTCTCGCATCCGATCATACTTTGGCGCAGTGCAGCCAGTCCTAAATTAACTGCAAGTGACACATAGCGTGCTGGTCACTCACCTCACAATCTTGTTATCAACCCTACTGTCACTTCCTCTTTCTATACTTTACTTTTTCTTC